TATAGTAAACCTAGGAACAAGGAAACTATATTAAAATAAGTAAAAGAAGTAATAAAGATACTTAAAATACTATACTAGTAATTAGCAAGAGATATCAACTTCATGAATATAAAGATAGTGATTTATTATAATAAATATCATAAGAAAGAGCCTGATCTAAAAGAGAGAGAAAAGATATTCCTATTCTATAGAAATATTAAAATTAAATAACCAAGTCAGAAACTTGACTACTAAAAATTAGGACTATTTATTATTAAAAAGAAATTAGAAACAGTTAACTATTAGCTAAAACTACTAGAATTAATATACTACATACACCTAGTCTTTTATATCTTATTATTAGAACTAGTACTAAAGAAAAGCTAAATTATAATAAGAGTAAAAATTAATAAAAGTATTAAATAAGAATATAAAGTTAAGAAAATCTTAAGAGATAAACAAGTTAGCAGGAAATTACTTTACTTAATTAAATAAAAAGAATATAATATCTTAGAAAACACATGAAAGCCTATCAAGAATTTAATAGATTATTACTAGCTAGTTTAGTAATACTACTAGTAAATAAATTAATACTTATCTAGAAAAAAGGATTATTTATTATCTAAGAAAAACTAGAGATATCTGATATTATAGCAAGTTAAGTATTATCTTAGGTATTAGCTAGATAATCTAGCTCTTAAAGATCCTCAGAACTTAAAGAATTCTTATTATTAAGTTACTTTATAATAAAGGAGTTATAGCCAAGTATCTAGTTATTATAATCTTTTAGAAATTATTCTTACTTCCTTAAATAGAGAATCTTAGATATAATTTATAATATTTTTTAAGAATATTCAAGCTATTACTTTTTGGCTTTAACTAAATTATTAGCTAGATACTTTCTATCCCTCTTAAGAAATTTCTACTCTTGTTTACTATGTAACTACTTTATATACTTTTATTTATAATATATATATTTAGTACAGTTCTTGCTCTTCAAGTCTATAATATAGTTAATATTATAAGAAAAATAGGATTTATAAGAAATATTAATAACAGAGCTAGTAGCAAGAATAAAGTTATATTAATAAAGGTAATTATACTTTTAGATATTATTATCTACTAGTATAATAATATTAGCATAAGAAAAGGATTAATAAATTTTAGAAACTATAATTAAGAAAGAAATATATCTTTATAAGTTTCAAGAATAAAATACTAGAAGAGGAGAGAGTAATATTATAGAAATTTAATAAGATTAATATCTTATAAAAGGCAGCACAGCCAGGCAGAAGCCTAATACTAATTAATTAATATAAGAATCAGGACCCTTGCATAAGGATAACTATAAGTTATATAATATAATTATTTACTCCTAACATGAGATGGAGAAGTAATTATATAATATAATCATCTACTTTATGCCTATTCTTAGGGAGTAGCCAGAGGAGTAGGTACTAAGAGAAATATATAATTAAAATAATTCTAGAAGTAATTATAAAAGAGTTACTATAGGAGTAGCTAAGAAAGAATATATAAGAATACTTATTCACCTGTATTTATAGTTTAATTAGTTATATTTAATAACACTCTCAAGTCTGAGTATATATTTCAAGTCTAGTTTCTACTCACCTATACTTAACCTAAGTGATCAGGTTTTTATACCTGACATATCTTACTTTTCTTATCACTTATTAATCATCTTTAGATTATTGGGTTACTTGTCAATCAATACAGTAGTATAGTTACTATGTGAGGCCTCGGGTTAGTACAGAACCCCTTGTTGATAGCTGATAGAAAGACCACAGGGTGCTCTTTACCCTGAATAACCCAAGTCACCAACGCTAGTACAGCAGAAGCGAGAAGGGATCCTAGGGTCTTGACAACTAAGTGTTATTTTTCTAATATTATATATATTATATTTCTAAATATTATATGTGCTTCTATTAGTATATTTCTTATAATTTATTAGTTTTTTTCTAGTATTCTAGATTCTAGTAGGTATAGTTTCTAATCCTGTTATAAATACTTATTTTAATAACTTTATTAAACTCTTTAATCCTATTAGTTATAATTAATTATTTTCTTAGTTTAACTAATACTTATATAATATCTTATATATCAGCTTTTTTATAATATTTTTCTACAGTTTTCTCTGGTTCTAGAGAATTTTAAGATATATTTATTTTTAAGCTTAGCCTTAGACTTCTTGCTTAAGTATTAAATTCTTTATTAAGTAAATTAATATTATTCTAAATTATACTAAGAAATTTATCTTTTTTAACTAACTTATTTATATTAATAGCTTTGTCAGACTTATTTATTCTTATATAAAATTTATTACTTTTATTATTAGACTCTATTATTTTTTTCTTTTTATTAAAATAGCTTTAATTCTTTATATTATAATTATTATTATTACTTTATTAATAATTGCTTAGATTCATGAGTTTATTTAACTAATTAATTTTATAGATTATATATAATTTCTTAGCTAGTAAGTCTATCTTAAATCCTTTACTTTTATTATTATTCTAAGTATCTCTAGCTTCTTTATAAATAGCTTTTAACTACTTTTATAATTTCTTATTATTATTTTTTTATTATTAGCCTGATTAGTATTCCCTTACTATATAACCTTGTTTATTATAATTATAATATACTTTATTATTTTAGTATCTTTCTCTTTCTTTCTTAAGAATTTCTTAATATTAAGCTATATCTAGCTTTATTAATTATAATCTATAAGAATTATTATATTCTTAGCTTTTTAGTTATACTTGTTATTTATTATTAGTATTATACTAGCTTATTCTCTAGTTATCTTGATATCTATTATTTAATTAATTCTTATACCTAATATTAAAGTTAAATAGCTTGTTATTAATCTTAATTACTTATTTAATTATCTTGTTAAGAGTTCCTGGTTATTTTATCTAGATTAGCTTCTCTTAAATCTCTAGTTTAAGCCCTTTCTTAAATTATATAATATAAATATTATTATCCTAATTTAACTAAGATATAACCTGCTAAAATTCTGAAATATACTAGCTAACTAACTTAAATTATTATAGTTACTATAACTTTTATTTAGTATTTTAAATTAAATTAATATCTTTAAATATTATGCAGAGTCACTTTTTAAAGTTATTATAATTTTTAAATATTTTTTTTATTTTATTATCTTAATTATTTTTAGTATTATCCTAGAAGTTCCTGATATAAAGTTCAAATTAATTAAATACTAGATTTTTTAGGTATATAATAATAAATATAATTTTATTAGATTTAGTAACAAGTCTCTCTCTATTTATATTAGGAATATATAAGGCTTAGAATAAGTATTATTAAATATCTCTAATAATTTAACTTTAATAGTATAAGTCATAAGTTATCTCTTTAAGATTATAATATACACCTGTAATTACTTAATTATACTAATAATATCTATTAGAATTAGTTCTATACTAGTATCTTTCTAACTACTTCTATTACTAGTCCTAGGGATTAGTATAGTTATTTTATTATTATTTAATATAATAATATTTTAAATTATTTTAAGTTAATCTAAGACTTTACTTATATTAACTAGTATTTAATATATTAAGACCCTAGGATCCCTTCAAGCTTTTATTATATTAATATTAATAGCTTGAGTTATTTAAAGTAAAAAGTATCCTGTAATCTTTCTATTAGCTATTAATAATAAATTAGACTAACCTGAGACCTCACACAGTGGCTATACTAATTATATTAATTAATAAGATAACCTGATAATCTGAAGATAACTAATAAGTAAGAAGAGAAGTAAGGTGTATTAAGTATATATACTTAATACTTAGTAGAGTGTAGACAAGTAAAAACTAGACTTAAATATATACTCAGACTTAAAATTATTATTAAATATAACTAACTAAACTATAGATACAGGTAAATAAGTATTCTTATATATTATTTATTCCTATACTTCTCTATATACCTTCTAAGGTAGATAACAAGATATATCTAATTAATATATTTATCCCTGTATACTTTATTATATACTTTCTAAAGTAGATCCTCAAGTATATTATATTATGTGACTTGTATCTTTGTTTGTGCAGGGTTCTTGATCCTTTTATCAGCTGATTAGTATTTAGCTTCTGCCTGGCTGTGCCACCTTCGTGGGGTATTAACCTTGTTAGGTTTCTGTAACACTTCTCTTCTTGCTTATTAGTTCCCTTCAGATTATTAGATTACTTATTAATTAATATAATTAGCACAGCTATTATATGAGGCCTCAGGGTAGTACAACCTATTATTAATAGCTGATAGGAAGATCACAGGGCGCTCTCCACCTTGAACAACCCAAGCCACCAATACTAGTATAGCAGAAGCTCGAAGGGATCCTAGGGTCTTGACACAACTATTTATTATATAGTTTAAGCCTTACTTTATTATCTAGGTGTGTGGTGAGAAGAGATGGGCAGAGGTACCAAATACCCTTGCTAAACACCTCCAGTCAATTATCAGAAGTCTTCCCATAGAGACCTCGCAACCTCGATTACAGATCCTCCGGAGACTTATAAAAAAGCTAGCCTATAATATTACAGCACCCTGGAAAAGAGCCAAGATACCAATTGTTGATATGATTGGCTCGCCTCCTTTTCACGTGACCCACAGCTGCTGTTTTCCCGCGTAGAGGTTTTAGCAGTTTAGATAGGCATAACTAATTCAACTAACTTGTTATTATATAATAATTAATATTAATAAACTTCTAATACTTGTCAGAGTAGATAAATATTAGATATAAAAAAAAATAATTTAAATATATCTTTATTCTTAAAAAGTATAAAAAAATTATTACTAGAAGTAATATTGGTGAGGAGGGTGTTTGGCACTGTAGCAGTATTATGTAGACTTATTGCGTAGAACTATACTACCATTGAATAGGGTATCAATAATTCAAAAGCATGTATAAATTGGACTAAAGCATGTAAAATCAAGGTTCATTTTAACGATCTGATTTAGCAATTTCGATTAGCAAAAGTCGCTACCCATGCCGTCCCACGTCGAAATGACCTTTATACCCCTCTCAATTTCATGGCTGCCTTGAAATGCTTTACGAACGCAGCAGCATACTCGGGGTTGAGCATATTTGCATGGATCCCGGGGCATTCATAGAACTCAGCATCGCTCCTCACAAAGTCAACCCACCGTCCAAGTTTGTTGTCTCTCCAGTCTTGCCGGTTTAATGCCGCGTATCCTGGCGGATCAGCCACAAAAACATCCAAATGATCAACACTGCCGACGGGTTCGTATGCCTCCCCATGGACCCTGAAATTTTCCCCGATATCACCAATTCGTTCTAGCAGTTCGGGAGTGAGATGGAGAGCCTGAACTCGCTGGGGGTCACTGATGGACAGTACATATTTCAGGGCTTCCTCGCGGGTCATGTCATGGCTGTGCATGTGAACGGTGGCGCGCGCCATGATCTCATCGTCGATGAGCTCAAGGAAGAAGGAAATATGCAGAAGCACGTCCAGCCAGTTTTGGCCTCGGACGTATTGCGCAATATGGGGTGGGTAGTCAATACTGGCCAGGAAGCGGACCTCCTGCCCCTGAGCCTCTAGCTTCTTACCTACCTCGAAGGCAAGCGTGGACCCGAGTGAGTATCCGGCTACCGCATATGGGCCGTGGGGTTGCACTTTACGGATATGTTCCACGTAAGTGTCGACGGTCTCCTCCATTGTCTCGAAAAGAGAATCGTTGGCGTTGTAACCGCGAGTGCGAAGTGCGTAGACAGGCCTTGTGGGGAAATGTGTTGCAAGTGCGATGAAAACGAGGATATCGCCGCTGCCGGGGTGGATCAAGAAAAGGGGGATCTTGGTTCCATGCAGCTGTAGTGGAACAATAGGATTGTAGACAGGAGGCTGCGAAAGGAGTCGATCAACAGATGAGGCGATGCCAGCAACCGTGGGCCTGTTTTTTGCCATCTATATTAGCCTTAGGGGAAAGGGAATAGCGGTTGGGTGGATGTCATTTTCTTACTCCATCATTATGTCTGACATGGGAATGTCAATCGGTGCTTGCACGGCCTCTTGGATCAGGGCCTTGAGCAGGATGAGGTTAAATGAGGTGATACCCAAATCAAAGATAGACGAATCCGAGCTAATGGCCTCCATAGGAACATTAACGACTTGTGCTAGCACGCTTTGGACCTTCCGTTCGTTCTCGGTCTCAGGATGGCGTAGCTTAGATTGACCATATACCCGGATAGCCTCTCTGTCTCTTTTTTCATAGCTCTCATAGTCGCCTCGCTGGAATGCAGCCCGCACCTTGGAACGAGGGATTTTACCAAGGGAGGTTTTAACAAGCATCTCCACTGGCAGCGGCACTAAATGCCCAGGTTTCCGGCCTGTCACAGCCGCGACGGTCTTTGAGATAGCAGTGGCCGTTGCAAAACGTGCAGCATCATCGTCGGATGCATAACTTGGGGAGTAGACAACAGCGATATCCTCCGTGGGAGACCCGGCGGGGCGGTGCGGGAAAGCGACAGTAAATGAGGGTATGAGACCAGGAATACCCTCTTCTTCAATGGCGGTTTCAATCTCCGTAGCACTCCATTTGACCCCATTGACAATAATAATGTCCGTGATACGACCGGCAAGGTTCAAATTACCCACCTGGTCCTGCCAAGCCAAGTCGCCTGTCACGAACCACCCATCGTCGGTGAATGCGGCAGCTGTAGCAGCCGGGTCGTTGAAGTATCCATGGAACACAACCGGTCCGGTAAGCTGTAGCTCCCCTACTTCACCACACGGGACTTCCTTGTCTTTCGATTCTCGGTTCATCACCCGCATCTTCATTCCGGGGATGCACTTTCCCAGACTCGCGAATTCCAGTTCCTTTGCAGTATCAAGGATTGGCTGGGCATGAACAGCGCCCGCACACGTCTCTGTCATCCCGAAACCAGGACTGATTACCGGCCCGCGGGCCCCGAGATTGCATAGCTCGCGCGATATAGAATCACATGTCGCCGTTGGGTTGGCCTCACCTCCTGAGTTGATCCGCTTGAGACAGGAGAGATCAATATTAACAGGCGGGTGTGCTAGCATGGCATTCCGCAGCTGATTCAGGAAAAAATTGGGTGCGAAGGTGTACGCGACTCGGTGAGTATCAAGCAGGCGTATGAACCGCAGCGGATCCTGCAAGAGTACCGTCGCGGGGATGTGGACTTGCTGAGCCCCGAGACTCACTGCTCGATATTAGTGAATTTGTTTCAGAAGGGCGGACTGCAAGGGTACTTCCCGGCATGTAGGTGGATTTCACACAGACTTGCGACATGGTCCAGCCCAACCCAGTTTAGGAACACATCTCCAGGCTGGGTTAGATGATGCGTACTTTTGCCTTGGACCGCGGTCAACAACTGCCCATGGCGGAGTGGTACGGCCTTGGCGCTACCAGTGCTGCCAGATGTCAACATGAGAACAGCCGGATCATCTGCGCATTTCGTGGTCCCAGGGATCGTCCCTGTATCAGCCGGAGAATTGGTAACTTTGCTGATCAATGACTCTATGGTGCACAGGCTAAGACCCTCCACCCCTTGAAATTCAGGAAGAAGTCTCTCGGAGGTAAGGATGGTAGGCTGCTTCAGGAGCTTCTGTAGGTGGTTCAGATGCTTGATCCGTTGGGCCGCGTCGTGGACGAAGGAGCCGGATATGGCCGGTAAAAGTCCCGCGAGCGTTGCGGCCCAAAACCACTCAATTATCTCGAGCTGAGTATCGAAATGCAATAACACAATGGACGAATCCAATACATGATCAATCATGCTCAGTAAGCGGGATTTTTGCAATGCACGTTGTTGAAGCTCAGCGTACGAGACATGAAAGGGCTTGGCGCTCTCATCCGCAGATGTATAGAAAGACAACCCTTCATTGGTCACGGCAGCTCTAGCAAGTAATTGGGCGAGGTTATGCATTGACCCATGGGATCGACATGACGGCTGTGGAGTGCCCCCGGGATTGATAGACTTTGGTACTGGCAGGTGTGGATCTCCACCATTGTCGATAACAGGAACCGTCATCTCTTCTTGTTGTTTGTGGTTCTATAAGCAATTGAACAGAGTGTGTAATTATGACTTTGATGAATTGAGTATTATAGCTTGCTTCAACATATTTTGCTCGGGGGAGGACGCGGTATTTAAGAGCCTGGTATAACAGCGTGGACTTTCTTTTGCACATACTTAGTGGTGTAGATGATTGTGGCCAATCTACAGCGTCGTCTGTTACCTGGGGATAGAAATCCGGTGAAGCAAGTGATGTGAGGGACAGCTGTCTCGTATTTCTCGACTCGCAATTGGTCCTATAGACGTATAATCTTGTTTCTAGTACGTCCAGTGGTGTATGAACAGACTTTGTGGCGCTAGCAGCAGCAGTATTAGCTGTATCAATACAGTAAGCTGAACATAGGCACTTCTCTCGCCCTATGTTTGTGTTTTACCATTATTACTGTATCTTCGGTGTCTCACTGGTCTGTTAAACCCCTTACCCAAAGTAGGGCTCTTTTATCATACCCCAAGGTAGCCAAGAATGTCGGTTGGATGAATAGTTATCTAGTGTCTCAGCCATCTGTTGGAACCCTTACCTGATGTAGGATTGCTTTCTCAGGGCTCCAGGTAATCAAGAATGTGAGTAGGACAAACAGTTGATTAGTGTTACAATGCTGTGTTTACCTAGGTTGCAACACACCTTGCATGCTGATTCAGGTGAAATTGCGTTTTCATGTGCCAAGTATACATGATAGATTGGCACGACCTGCTCAAAGTCAAAGCAGTGAAAAATTGCGGGCGCTTTCATCCGATGTAATTTATCATGGTATCATGTGAATAATAATTCAAGATGCAACGGTGCCCATTAAGCTATATATATATGTGTCCCATGTACACTGCTTTTGCTCAATCAGTCGTGGGAAGATCATTTGTACAAGTGGGGAAATGACCGTCCATACTGGATATACAGTCAAACAGGAAAGGGCACAGGGAAAGCACTTGCTATCACCTCCCCTACCTCGTCTGACCCAGAGTTTCGAACAGAATGGCGAAGCGAAGTATGAGGTTATTGTTGTTGGTGTACGTGATTGCAAAGTTACTTTTTCAAAAACAGGAGAACGGAAGCTGACTCCTAGCCTAGGGTGGACCAGCAGGAATGATGCTCACCTTGCTTCTGGCTCGTTATGGGCTGGACGAGACTTCTCTCCTTTGTATAGACAACAACGAGAGTGGCCAAAGCTCTGGCCACGCCGACGCTTTTCAACCAAGGACCCTCGAGGTGCTCAAATCCTTGGGACTTGCTGACGACATTATCAATGCAGTACGTAAAGTTCAAAAGATTCGAGCATGCCTTTCATAGGATAAATTGTATATGAGGTATATGATGGCTTATCACTAACACAGGGGTATCAATTGTGGGAGACTGCCGTCTGGGACCCTTCGCCAACGCAAAAGAATGTCATCGAACATACCGCTGTTAATCCGCTTATATCGACTGCAGCTCGCTACCCATTTAACCTCGCCCTCCATCTCTCTAAGATCGAGCCCTTTATTGAGAATGATCTTCTGCGCTATCATAAACAGGGAATTCAGCGCGGTGCGAGACTCAGCGATGTCAAAATAAGTGACGACCCAGGTTTCCCCGTTGAAGCTATAATAGAGGACAAAGGACAGCGGCGTACTGTGAGGAGCAAGTATCTCGTGGGTGCGGATGGAGCACATTCCAGCGTGCGGCGTTGCATGGAGCTCCAGCTAGAAGGCGATTCGCTTGGCTATATATGGGGTGTCATAGACTTGATCGTTGAGACCGACTTCCCTGATATTCGCAGGCCAAGCTTCATCCATTCGTCAACTGGGTCAGTGTTAGTTATTCCACGCGAACAAGTTGAGTCAGGTGAATACTTGACCCGGCTATATGTTCAGACTCCAGAAAAGGTAAATACATGGGATACCCAAGAAACAACAAAGGCCAAACGGAATGGATTCACACTGGAAAATATTCTTCAATACGCCGCTGCTGCCTTCAGGCCATTCAAAATCAGTCCCAAACCACACGGTGGAGTGTATTGGTGGGCTGTCTACGAGATCAGCCAGCGTATGTTGAGCCACTTCACTGTGGCAGACTCCGCCGGCACACCCCGTGTATTCTTTGTGGGAGATGGTAATCCCTGTCACTGTGCTTGAATACTTGTACTGAGATAAGCTAATTATCTCTTATAGCTTGTCATGTTCATAGCCCTATGGCAGGACAGGGCATGAATGTGTCAATGATGGACTCTTACAACTTGGCTTGGAAGCTCATGTATTCTATCAACGGTCTAACTCCAAAAGCGTCCTCGAAATCTCTGCTTGACTCATATCACACCGAGCGCTATCCAATCGCCAAACAGCTTATGCAGTTTGACCGGGTGACAGCTTTGATGGCCTCGGGAAAGGTAACAGCAGCCAGAGACAGCAATGGCAACACTCTCACCTCAGAGGATTTCATCGATAACTTCAAAGAAGGAAGTGCATTCATGTCAGGATGCGGAATTGAGTATCAGGAATCTATAGCTGTTCAGATAACAGCGGACAATAACAATCCCATCAGTGGGACTGATTATGCGTCCGGCATCCTGCGTCCGGGAAGAAGACTTTTAAATGTCAAATTGAGGAGGGAGGCAGATGGATCACCGCGAGATCTACACGATAGTAAGTGGTCATTTTATAAGGCGTGTTAGGCCGCTAAGCTGATACAAGCTAATACCGCAGGCTTTCAATCTTCTGGGCGCTTTAGAATCCTTGTACTCGCGTCAAGCGATCTTCTTGACCCCCAGGGTACCTCGTCCCAAACACTCAAATATCTCACCGAGTCACTGCTCCCTTCGTATGCACCTTCGACGATAGAGATGGTGGCGGTGCATCCTGGTTTGCCTAGTCGATTGAATCTCAATGCCCTTCCCAGCCGAGTGAAACAGTATTGCGAGATGAGCTTTTATGACGGCTCCAAGATCGATGATGCATATCAGATTTTTGGGGTGGATAACAAGAGAGGCGTGCTTGCCGTAGTCCGTCCGGATGGCTACGTGGGAGTTGTCGCAGAGTTAGGAGATGTTGGAAGGATAGATGACTATCTCCAGAAGTGTGTTCAGAGGCTGCCATTGTTAGGTGTAATGGTCTGAATAATGTAAAGTTTTCGAACTGGTGTTGAAATTAAGCCAAGGACCGCTTCACTTTACAATATTATCAACACTCTTGTTTTGCTGGTAAAGAGAATGAGCATGAATTTCCAGTGATTGTGAAGATAGTATTGAATGCTTCACTGATACCTATCATTAGTATAGTGTCCAATAGGTCTTTTTATCATGATTGACATGTCCATCAATTCTATAAGAGATAACTATCATACCGCACACGAGAGAATTCTGGTATACCATCAAACTAGACTTCTAAGTCAACTGAGCAACCTTGCTCAGGATGCCTTGTTGCTCTAATTTATACATATATTAACCTATGTATCCCTGAAGATACCTGAATATACGTTTCACATTTCGATATTATTGACAAGGAGCGTAAAGAAAGTAGCAAGGCTGGACTAGGATATGTACCACGGTATAAAAATTTCAAGGAGGGCTCAGCTTCCTAGACTAGGCCTCAAAAGGATCTGCTCTGATCTGGATCCAGACCTGTTTTAATCTTGATTTAAAACAGATTAGATTAAAGAATTCAATAGTTTTATAAATCTTAAATTTATCTTAGATAAAGTGGATTTACTAGCTTAATAAATAAGATAAATAGGAGAGTAGTCTTTCACACAACCCATCTTGGGTCAAAGGCCCTGACCTAAAATCTAACCCAGTCTGGGCCTGAGTTAAAAGCTTATAACCCAGACCTACCCCAGACCCAGTGACTGGGCCTCTGGAAAACGCTGTCGCAAAGTGCCCATATCGTTGGCAGCCAGTAGGACGAACGTACACTGTTTGCACCATATCCATTCAATACTACCACCGAACCCGAGCTCCTAGATTATTTGTTGGGTATATCAGTCAGGCCAAGCCCTATACCAAGCATTAGTCAATGTTTTGGTCTAGTGGTCTTGAGAGATTATAAGCCTGGCTCAGATTATTAGTTTGATCCTTGCCCTGAGCACGCTAAATACTTATAAATAAATAATTTTACTAGTAACTAGTTTGAGATCTAGTCACTCTAGAATTACTAGTACCCAGGAGAGGTCAGTGTTTCTGCCTGTGCTAAGAGAGGGCCAGAGCAGTGTCTAGATCCTTAAGTCCACTCAATAGTGCTTAATAAGGGTGTGTTGGGTATATCAGTCAGGTTAAACCCTATACCAAGGGTTGGTCAACGTTTTGATCTAGCGGTCTTGAGAGTATTTGGGTTGGGTTCTCTTTCCACACAGCGCGAAGAGGGTTATCAAGCAGCTTGTTGTACTGTATGCCGACACCCATAAGAACAGCACGCCATTCCACACTGGGAAGAACAACAGCATCTATCCCGATTTCAACCGGCTGGCGGCAATGATTGGTGATTATGAGTTTTCACTTGCTCACCGAAATTTTCCAAACGCATCTAAATCACTAAACCCTGGTCTCTTCACTTGGTCTTATATGAGCTTTTACAATTATGGCACCTTGATTCTTGGGACATTCCATGGGAGTGACATCCACCAAGCGGTCTTCGGGGTCTTACCCAACCATGCGTTCCGTGCATTTCATCCATACTATATCTCATTCATTGCAAGCTTGGACCCCCAAACGACGGGCACGAAAAAATGTATGACCACTGGCCACAATTGGGCGATAACCACACGTTGCTCAACATGTGTTTTGACGGGGCGGAATTTATCACTGAAAATTAGGGTCATTAGGGTCTCGCGCGCATTTAGCATATGAAAGGCGGTGGAGAACTAGGCGGAATAGACGCATGAAGAGATTGTTCAAGATAATTTGCCGCGAGAAGAGGACCACCTATCTCTTGGAGGACACGCAGCTTAACAGATAGTAAGAACCGATGCAAACCGCTGTCACCCTTATCAGTGCCATTATCGAGGTCTGCCCGCGAAGCCAGGGGCAGGATCGGGTTGCCCACTGGCGGAGGGTTGGCGTAACCTGCGATGGGCGCCTTTACCGAGTAATATCAGTGCCTGGTTTTATATTGTCTCTTGTAGCAGTGTTTACTGTATTTATACGTTCCACTGTAAATTACCTTACGGCTGGTTCAGTTTATCTGGGGCCGGTTGATATTACTGTCGTTGATCTCCCTGTCAACATCTATCCGAAAACGCGTTGTTCGAACTTAGAGTCCAACCATTCTACTCTTCCATTCTCGGAGGCTTCATGCCTCTCTATCCTATTCAGAATCTCCTTCTTCCATCCTTTGCACAGTCCCAACCCAGGATCAGCAGTGTGCATAGATACCACATGGAAATAGACAAACTGCAATGTTTGAATTTGGTTTTTCTGTACACTATTTCTAGGATGTCTACCTGGCACCCAACTGACATCCAGCCACAGCCCTTGCCTTACTGTTCTAAAAAGCCGTTGGGTACGTAAACTGGCATGGCATCTTCCCAGAGACTATCCGTCAAGACCGTCATGTTTGAGCCATCCACATTCATAATCATGATCTGGCCATAAGGCTGGAACGTGTTATCGTAGGTCGCGGGCTCTGCCTGGAATCCCCACATCCCACTCGACCACAAAATGCGACCATCGACAGTCCAGACGGCGTGTGCATCGTTGGCAAACGAGGTAGTAAGTATAGTGAGATCCGTTCCATTCGGACGAATGATGCACACCTCGTAGTTCGAGAACTCATCCCGGGACAAGTCGGTGATGTTGCGAGTGAATAGCACCCATTCACCGCCCGGGGAGAAATACGGCAAGTTATCGCGCTCCGTGGTCAAAGTGATAGTCCTGTTGGTCTCCAGATTCAGCAGACGCAGACCGAGACCGGGCATCCATTCGCGGTAGACGACCATTTTTCCGTCGGGAGAGAAGCTGGGGTAGCCCTTGTTGGTCGAGTTTCCAAAGGTCAGTTGCTCGTAGCTCGACCCATCCGCTTTGGTCCGGAAGATCCACCCGGGGGCCTTGTCACGGCTCTGGAACCAATATCCAAAACCGAACGTGATCCACTCTTCGTCCATCGACCACGAAGGCTGAAAGGCCCCACCACCACCCCTGGCCACCGTGTCTGGGTCAAGGACGCCTGGTTCGTACGTATCAAACGCAATAACAAAGTCGGGATCGTCAGGCGCCGAGACCGCCACTGAGCTGTTTCCAGGATTGCCGGTCTGCTTGGTGGTAAAGGCCAGCTTTCCTTGGGGGGAGAGTTGGGGGAACACGTCGATGAAGCGGTAATCCCACTCGGAATCCCAGGACCAGAGCTCCTTCTGCAATGGCCGAATATCCCACCCAGTCTTCTCGTAGACAACGTATTTGCCGTCGGCAGACCACGCCGGGGAACGCATACCGCCGAGAATCTTTTTTGAGCTCGAAGTATAGTGAATCCCCCCAGCATCTCCGCCCTTTATCAGGTATCCGATATCGGTATTGGAGACATACTGCGGGTAGATCTTCACACCAGATGTATTGGTGTGTCGAACAAAATCGTTGCCGGACTTGAAATCTAGTGAAACGATCTGGCTTTCCGATGAATTGACGCTGAAAGCTGTCCTCGAGTCCCATGTTGCTTGCAATGTCATCTCGTAGCACACAACACGCTTGCCGTCCGGAGAGAATCGGGGCGATCCGTAGGTATGATCCGACTTCCCGTACACCTTGCGAAAACCAGTGCCCTCGGGGGTAATGGCATAGAGAGCCAGTTTCTGCGTATGCTCCCAGCCTGAGCCATCATCGTGACCGGTCCACGCGGTATTTCGGTCCGAGGAAAAGATGATCCATTCTCCATCGGGCGACCAGGCCGGCGCGAAGAACCCGTTCGGCGATTCAGGCTTCCCCGTAACGCCGGTTTGATTTGTAAGGTTTCGAGCCACACCTGTTTCAAGGTTCATGAGCCAGATGTTGGAGGTGTAGACGCCGGCGGTAGACGCGTAGGCGACAAACTTCCCATTGGGTGAAATCACCGCCGCGTCTTCAACAGAGGGTGTAGTAGCGACTGGCTTCAAGCCTCTACCGTCGATGTTGACCATGTAGACATCGGAGTTACCGTCACCATTACGTTCAGTGGTGAAGATAACTTTTTCACCGTCAGGGGAGAATGATGCGTGGTACTCGAACACGGAGTCGTCGCCAAGCAAAGAGCGTTCGTTGGAACCGTCCGCATTCGCAATGTACAGTTCTGATGATGAGGGATTGATGCGGTTCATCAGCATCACACCCTTCTTTCCTAGCGCGGCGCGAGGGACCACTGCACCCGAGTGCGGGTTGATGCTCGTATCAAGATCCTTGGTATCTGCCAAATTCGCATAGGGGCAGGCGGCGCTACACAACATGGGTGCTAACAGGGCCACAAGACAGAAGAACATCTTTCCGACACTAGATCGACTGGTGGGTTTCTAGAAGAACTGGGTAGATCTCGCGCCTGGCCTATCTTTATATACCATTATACTGCGCAGACATGGGGAGACTCGGAGAAAAAAAGAAAGAGAGAAACGAGAAACGCAAAGAACGGGCCGCATGCTTGACTGATTCGGTGGACGGACAAATTAACATGACGATCGGCAGAATTTACCCTGTTGACTGATTTTACAGGCAATACCATGAATGGCCAGACTCCGCCTAGCTGAGCGATCGGCTCGGGTTATTACTCGAATTTGATCCGGTGCTTTTGGGATAAGGTGGGATTTCACCAGAGGCGAAGAGCGGTGCCAAAGCTAAGAATTATAATCCATAGCCTTTCAGAGCCTAGAGGTGGACCCCATCGCTTGGGCCCGCAGCGAAATTGCCTTATCTGATCGGTAGCCGAGTTACCCGGGTGTTATCAGATCCGCACCTTGGTCTGTCTTTTCTTCATTCAGATTTTCGCTTAAGTGTCAACCAGAAGAAGCTAATAAGACCTGAACAGCATCGATTGGTTCTGAATCCCTGGCATCAATGATCTTGCGGTCCAGACTTGTAATCTAACAGAAAAAGGCGCGCTCTAGCCCACTGATAAGAGTTATTGTGCCGCCTAGAGTCACATTAATGAGATTAAAAAGTGACTCTGAAACTGGTCTAAATCAAACTGGTTCAGTTTTAGTCCAATTCGTTACTAGCACTACTCTTTTAACTACAATCTATGGATAATCAAGATACTGCTACTCCAAAATGTTGACCAATAATCGGTATGGGGCTTAACGTGGCTGTCATTTCAACATATAATACATCACACATATGTTTCTATACCCCACCGTGTTTTGTAATATTGCCCTATTTCAGTACTATCTTTGAAACTGTCCAAATAATGGGTGTCACTGAGTAATTTCAGCTGGTCTTTATCTCTTAATGAAGTCTTCTACTAGATGAGCTGGACTCTCCCTGGGTGGATTCTGATAGGGCAATCACATACAGCCCTCTAGAGCGGGTGAGTGTGACAACCTTTTCCATCTAATCAGGGCTCAAGATGCAGGTGAAAGCCCTTCTTCCTCATTTTCATGCCTATACTTCCTGTTCCATAACCCAGAATACCGAGCTCAATAATCAGCTTTTTGAAGATACTGATAGCACCCTTGATAATAATTCTTGTGGTACAATAATCTTGTACTGGTAAAAATATATCAAGTCCTATTAACTTTCACAAATGAAGCCGATGGTTGTGGCCAGCCTGGGGAGTTGAATGCAGCAGGGCTTGAAAAAGGCCCAGTCATAACATGCTTGTGGGGAAATAGATCCCGAAGAATAATTCAATCTCCATGGACCATCATGGGGCGATCTGTAATTGCTGTCATGTATATATCCCCATCAAAGACAGCTGAGGAGGGGTGGAACAATGATCAGAAACCTCAAAGTTGATCGACCTGGGTCGGGCATAGTCAATCCACGTGGTTCCTGGGGCCAGATAAACGAACCGGAACGTGCAGAGAAACAACAGCACGCGGTTTTGGTCGAGATTGCCGCTAATCTGCATGATATTAATCATCGCCTGCTCGATGGTTTGGTGCATGCGCGGGATGTCGAAACACCCGGTCCCCGCTGGGGCCACAGCAAGTCATGTTCCACCGATTCCTGTCGGGAGAGGTGCAGGATCTATGCCATAAATGCCATGATTGTATCTCGCGAGACTAGGGTGCAAGCTTCCGAAGAGTCGGGGTCGGATACTGCGCGGTGGCCATAGATCAACGTGGTGTTATGATACATAGACACCAGGCATTAAAAGTCGCGCCAACCATCGGGTGAGATGAACTCAATAGCGTGACCGAGATGAAGCGTGCGGCGATAGGCGCCCTCAATCTTTTTTTTTATTCCAGATTTTTGACTCGCGCGATGTCGCCCGTCAGGCATAGGATATAGTTTAACTGCTCTCGGCGGGTGGCCGTGTGCATGATGCCACTGAAATCGCTGAAAACGGTCAGACTATCCTTCAGTAGGGATGACATCCTCAATATCATTTGTGCGATCAAGTTTTATAATGCCAATAAAGTTACATGTGAAGTAGTATTTGTAGAGAAAGCGACGAGCTGCTTAGAGTTTCTATCAGATGATCTCGCGCCTGGTCGGTGTCCGCGATCATATTCGTGGTCTGGCGGAGGGTGACCAGTCCTTGGGAGAGGTACTATAGTGTAGTATCGCGGTAATGCCCCGACCACCCATGGAGCTGCTGGGCATATGTATGACTAATCGAATATTTGTGGGCCAAGTCCTCCAAGACCATAGCCAGCACGGAGTAGAGCACTATTGGGGAGGCATGGGACAGAGGCAGGATGATATTTCTTCACGAGTTTCACAGCCCGTCGACCCAGGTGAATTGGGCCGTGGCGCGGTAATCAAAGTGCTGCAGCAATTGGTCAGTGAGATTTTTTTATGGCAGTCCAGTCCCAACAAAGATAACCCCAACTCCCGGAGACCCTGCCCCGGGGCATGCGTCTTCTAAATTCAGATATTATGCTGTCTAACAGATCATGCTAGTTTACTATTTTTAAGTATATAGCTTTAATTCCGTGGGTGGAAGCGCTCTCAGCGCAGCAGGCCGCGTGATTAGACAAGAGTACTAGGACTACAGGTGATCACTAATAAGAAGAGTCACGAGGAATACCTAGAGACTGGATCCATTATACAGGAACAAGAATTCTGACAGAAAGTAGTTTCCCTACCCGACTCCCCCTATTCTCTCCTTCTCATCAACTCGAATCCCATTCTCGGCACTATATTAATCTGCATAAAGCTCACATGACATGCCACGCGCTGGCACCTCATCTCTACTACTAGACTCTCCGCTCCGCTGGGACAGGCGAACTCCACTGTTGTGCTGTTTGGCTTGGCTGTGAGATCCAGCACGCCGAGCAACTCCCCGCGCACAGGAAGGGTCGAGTATGATAATGTGTCATAATCGAGCTCGTCCATACTGAAAGAGACGGTGGATGAAGTGGCCGAGGGTGCAATAAGCTGCCAGACTTCAATTTCCGTTACATCCCCCTTGGTGGTGATGTCGTTCACACGCGCAGAAAACTCGGGAGGCGGCCGCCAGGAGAGCGCGCAGGCATTGACGCCGTTGGAGGGAATAGGGAAGCGCATGATTGTAGAGTCCTTCTCTCGTATTAGCAGCTGCACACAAAGGGGTAGACACTAAGAACAGGTGGATGAATTGAAGGGAATGTGAAAGGAGGAAGTATGGAATACGGACCTCGACTGTAACATAAACCTGCACACCCTGTCCCCACACGGCATCCTTCAGCTTCCGACTCACCCGTGCAATTCTATCTGGCCAAGCGTGGTGGTAGACCAGGGGAGGGGGGATGGATTCCGCTACCCTGTGCAGCCCCAGTCTAGCGTCGCCATAGGGGAGAGCCTCGAGTTCGGAGTCAGAAAAGGGGTAGGCCTGGTACTTTGATAGTGTAGTGGGAAAGAGAGCAATGTTCACGGCCGATAACAGCGCTAGGGCGAACGAGAAGTAGAAGATGAGCTGGGGCAGCGGAGAGGGCTTGGATGTTTCGTGGGCGGGGAGGTTGTCCGAGGCTTTCAGCAAGGGGGCACAGTGGTCATCCTCGGAGAAGGAGCGCTTCTCAAGAGCGGAGCTGGAGCCCTCACCATCGTCGTGTAGCGGAAGAGGCGCATACTGGGAAGAGCTGGACATCGCTTTGGAGGTGGACATGTAGATGGGGGGTAAAGAGTAGAACAGAGCGAGCGAGAGGTTGAGAGAGGGCGCGCTGTGGGTGGAAGCAACTAATGTTAAAGCAGACGGTGGCACCTGTGCCAGATAATTGTCCAGGAAGTGAGACTGCAGAACGCCTGGTACGCCTTGCCGCTCACCGCGCTCGCCAGAGATAGTAGGGTTACATTCCATCTAAGACCTAGCCTTTCTACATGGACAAATACACCCCGTGCATTCATGCATCAGTCAGGTCGCATTTGTGCGCATCGTGGCCAAGGAGGTAGGAATAGGTCGACTTCTATAACTGTCTTCCGTAATACCGCTGATACCATTGATACCATTGATACCGCCTGATGTTATCTGAATCGGCGACTGGCCATTTCTGGGGTGTGATGGTGACAGCTCCATCTAGCAGGTATGAAGGGATCCAACAGAATTAGACTGTCTCAGCATACTTGATCTTTCCCTCGCTCTGTGTACGGTGCTGCAATTGACCTTTATTGACCATGCCCTTCCTCCTCGCCGCAACCACGTTCCTATTTACCCTCAGCATCAGAATCAACCTCACTTCTGCCGCGCATGCCGGCTTTCACGTCCAGTTCCCATCGATGACCCGCGGTCCAAAGCCCAAGACCCGGCCAGAGATTGATCAGTACAGCCCTTTCTGCAGTATGCCCCTCTCTGTCCCCGGTCTAGCAGCAGCATAGGCTGATACAAAGAAGGGGAGATAGTTCATAACCCCCAAGGTTACTACCGTGGCTCCCGCAGTTTCCTGTCATTCTCCGGCCATCCTGGAGACCTTGTGACAACTCTCTATAGTCGAAATCGAGTGCCAAAGAAGAGAGAGGACTTCCCCTACACCATCCTGCAGGATGTGCCCATTCAGCCTTCGGGGCAACTGTGTGTGAACGTCACGATAACATTTCAGACCAAGGTCGACGAGATGGGAGTCATGTACTTTGAGGCGAGGGACCCAAAGACAGGGAATGTGGAATACCACGTCAGTTGTTCTGGCATGCAAATAGTAGAGCTGTTACTGATACAAAGACAGTGCTCCGACGTCAAGATGGATGACGACGAGGCCCTTCCGGAGGAGCATCCGGCTATGTGTGCGGCTAACAACGAGACGCTTATCCCGATGCCGGATGAGTACCTGTGAATTCAGGCTGGAGAGCTGTTATGCCATGCAATCATCATGTGTAGTTCCCCTCTAATCAACGTGCAACTTGTGCTCCTCCCTCATCGTAACATACGATAGCTCAACGCCACAGCGCTTGCGTAGCTTTAAATAGAGCAGATATTCAGCTTGCTAGCTCTTCTATTTGGTTCTATCATTTTCAGATTGGTCCTCGTAGTGCTACAGCTATGCATAGTGTGAATGGACGAGTCAAAGCCCTGGTGCACCAGCCCGTCGTGATTTTGTAAGCGAAACTGAGAAAGCTTACTTATCTAGAAAACAAGATAATCGTGAGATATGTACTCGACATAAACCCACATAGATGCATGGTGGATTTATAGCCTTGGTAAGGCCAGCGAAACAGCATCATAGCAAAAGCAGATTGCTCGTGGAGAGAGTCAACGGAGGGAGCAATCAGGTCTGAGTCGCCAGATTCTAGCATGCTGTGCATGGAGAAGAGAGACTGGACATATTACACGTTCGTTCAAAACAGGCAATCGAGATACTGCTTGATATTCTCGCTTCATATAGATGTATACTGCTATGTAACGACCGTGGTGAAAATAATAAGCTCAAAGAGGAAGCAAAGGCTACGGGCTCCGGAACCTGCAAAGCATGTCATAGATGTTTGTGAAGCTCGATTCATGCGGCGAGATCTCAGGTATCCGTAGCTGAGCGTGTCTCAACTTGCATGGTCTCAGTTCTCGTGTGCCATCTCGTCATGATTTATTCCGTACTTGTGGCGCTTCTCATGTGCCATCTCGTCATGGTTTATTCCGTACTTGTGTCGCTTCTCGTGCGCCATCTCGTCATGATTGATTCCGTATTTGTGGCGCTTCTCGTGCGCCATCTCGTCATGATTGATTCCGTACTTGTGGCGCTTCTCGTGCGCCATCTCGTCATGATTGATTCCGTATTTGTGGCGCTTCTCGTGCGCCATCTCGTCATGATTGATTCCGTATTTGTGGCGCTTCTCGACCATGTCAGAGGGATGGAACTGATTCATTGACTCCTCAGTGTGTGCAGCCAAATCAGCGGTGGGAGCCGCTGCAGCCTGGAGAGGGAAAAAGTTCAGGCCGAGACTGGCGAGGCTGAGCAGGGTGGTGAAATGCATTGTTGGAGTCCGGTGGTCAGTGGATGCTTTTGTCGGGCGAGGTGAAGAGGTGCCTTGTTGATGAGATGTTTTGAGTGCTTGTTGAAGAGGTGACTTGGTGATGAAATGTTATTAGTTCGTGTTATGCCCTTGGGGATTTATATGTTTCCTGTTCTGAAGGACCACAAATCTGCTTACTTACTTCAGGAGTGGGTTGAAGCGCCAACTGAGATTTTTCCCTCGTCTAGTCAATCATCACTACTAAAACACGGCGTAGTGTATTCTTTGGTTGTAATGCATATGGTGTGATCCGCTGGATTACTAGGAGGGTAGAGATAAGGTCAGCGTTACTCCCAAATCTTACCTACTTCCTACCAATTTCCTATTGGGTCTTAAATGTAAGGAGAGACGATAATCCGTTATGCGTACCCCCAATAGCTTCATTAAATAGCTACCTGGCGACCAGGACGCCCAAAGCAGGGGGTAGTCATCAATAGACTCAAGGCCTATCCCAGTGTTTTTCTAGTTACCTTCATTATGAGTAGCGTGGTATTATATGCGAAGCTACAAACTGCCTTGCGTGTGTTTCATTACTTACTACCACTACCCACGTCATTTATAAATTTTGAATAATGACTGTAGTTAGCATGGTATCTCGGAAGTTACCTCTCCTTGCGTGTGCTTCTCCGCGTACTGACACCTGCCACGTCATCAACAAAACCATTTGAATAACCGCTTTGATGATCAGAACATCGCAGCAGTCGGCCCACCTTGCATGCTCCTTTAGGCCATTATGATTTGCCCATCTAAGTGAGAGCACATACGGGCATAGATGTGTCAAACACAGTTAGCCCGCTTCTGATACAGATCAAAATCCCATCTGTCTCTGCTCCTTTCAACCCACCACCCGACCAGCCCACTGAGATGTCCCCCAAGTCCCTGGCACCCCAATTACGCGGAGTTGCCCTCGGCCTGCTCGCAGTGCTGAGCGTATGCCTCGCCCTGAACTTGGGTGCCCTCCTCTTCTCTTTGCGCATCCTAACGCGCGGTTCAAGGGAATATAGTACGCCATATCCCAACTTCTCCTTGCACTCATGGCTAACACACAGAAGCCTACCTCGCCGGAGACCGACCTCGCGAGCTCCCCCTAAAAGTTCGCACTATCCAAGCCGCGTTCCACGACGATCCCTCCCACTACGGGATGGAAGGCATCACTGCCACGGCTGAATGGAACGAAATTCGCCCTCCTGGGAGGGGTTACGTTTTCTTGGGGGAGGAGCACTTCGCATTTGGTGTGTCGATGTGGCACCAGATGCATTGCCTTAACCACATACGCGCGGTGCTTGTCTACGGGGACGATGGGTCGGACCATACGGCGCACTGCTTCCATTATCTACGGCAGGGCATTCTCTGCGCCGCCGACACAACCCTAGAGTCGGGCGGCACAATGAAGAAATTGGCTAATGGGAATACAGTCGCTACTGGCGATGGAACCGTGCATACCTGCCGGGACTGGAGACAGGTTTATGATTGGCTGGAAAGCGATCATGAGAAGTGGACACCGGACATGTATGAAAGGGTTGAGGAGGCTAGTTGATGATATGGTGGGTATAGGGTGGCTCAATGCGGTGTGCGCAATTCATGGTTCTTCTTGCTTCGTCATTGGCGTGTCCATGAATCCAGGGCTCGCGTCAATCTGTCGGTTGTTGCTAGCGGATACGTCGAGCGACTTCTTCACTGCTGAGTTCCTTGTCGGCGTACTCATTATTTGCGCCTGGAAGGTGGGTAATCATGTCCTTCGGGAAACATCACTGAATTTGAGCTGCGACCTGTCCCTATCCGCAACTACCAAGTTCGGGGACATCAAAAGAGGGGGTGGGGTAGTTAGAACCTTGTGGTTAGCAAACCAATGGACTAGGACATCCAGTTTGGCCACGTGTCACCATGAGTAAAGGGGTCTGATAGAGGGGCGTAAATCGCGAGATAGAGACAACAGCACAACAGAGGTTTGTAGCGACAGTCAGGGCATTGAGTTGGGTCAAAGAGCAACACGAATTCAAGTACATCAAGAAGAACATGAATCGAGAATACATACGACCGTTGACAGCGTGAAGCTTAGTAGAGATAATACAAGTCTCTCAGAAGGGCACCAGCAAACTCCAACGCTGCCAAGATTACACACTCTCAAATCTGATCATGAAGTAATACATGCACGGACCGCCCCTGTCTTAAGCATACTGTTCATGTATAATATGATAGTGTTGGTTTACGCAATATGACATTGAAGAACTGTACTTTCACATACAGATATAATTTGATATTTCGAAGACAGAACTCTGTACAAAATTTGAACTATTTAAATGCATGTATATGCTGTTTTAATTACAAAACCCTCCTGGGCAATTCCAAGATATTATCAAACATGTAATATAGAAATATCTTGGACAATAATATACCTCTAAGATATATTAGTATATGTGACTACAAGAGAAGAATTGTGATGAATTTATGCAGACAAAGGAAGCCTATGAGACACTGGACTGATACTAGATGAGCACAAAACAATCTGGAAATGCAAGAGATCACATACTACGGATTGACCCACAGACGTGGATAATAGACCCCTGCTCCATCAGATAAGATGATTTCGGAACGGCCCGTTCCTGGGAACCCGACCCAACGCCGATCATTCCTCACCAAAATCTGACCATCCCTCCTTGCACCGGGACTCGGATACTCGACATATACGAACATGGTCTAACCAGTGCAAGCTTCTCACTGACGCTCCACTTTTCACGATCAGCTCTTGGCTGGCCCAAAGTGGCAACCCGACCGAAATCTGTTTACGAGTTTTGACACCCACCGAGAAAAATATGACACATATGACCGCGAGCTATTGGCTATCACATTGACAGGGTCTATACACTCTAGACAAGGGGATGACTAGGTAAGGAGACCATGATGATGACTCAGTGACAGAACCAGCATACAGTACATATTGGTATGAGAATAACCCTTGGAAAGATACGGGAATGGCGTAACCCCTTGTATCATTAGGGATAACCGAGGGTTTATACATACGCACCAGAAAAATGGTTCAATGTGTTGCAAGGATTGCCAGGACTCCGCATCCTGACAGACCACAAGAACTTGGAGAAGAGATTGAATATGACGACCACCAACAGGCGAAAGAACAGACAGATACTATTTCTGGACAGGGTTAGAACAAGGATCAATTGTCATTAGAGTTAGACAGCGATTATTTGGCCGTTGTGTAGGAAAGTACGTAGTGATGTGCACAGAACCAGTTGAGAAGGGAGCCTTGCTTCTCTTTTCCCGTCACCAAAAATGACAAGCTAGGTAAGCGGTCGTGGTGAAGCAAGGTGGAGCAGAGCTATAACACGAGTGAATGTGGCCCTGATGCGACTGGACCCCAAAAGATGGTATCGGTCTAGTATAGTACCGCTCACTCCTCATCTATATACCGATAACACAACGGCCAAGCCTCCGTATCAAACACCCTCCTCGGCGCCACGGGTACACTCTGAACATCGAAGGGCATCTGATGATCTGCGTGCGCGTCAAGGTCGTAGTCTAGGTCGGTCATATTGTGTGGCGTTAGGGGCATACCGGAGAAGGCGGCGAAGTTGGATGGGTGGTAGTGCTGCCACTGTATGACCCATGTCAGTAACGTTGTATCGCTGTAGGCGTATAGAATGGGAAGGTAGCATGGGGTTCGGGAGCGCACCTCACTCCACAGCCGGTCAAGTTGCGCATGATGCAGCCAAAAGAGCGGGTCATTGGGCGTGAAGCTGTCTGCCATGCCCTGGCAGTCCTTCTCCAGCAGGGGCTTTGGGCAGTCACCCGCCAAATCTCCCCCAATGAAGTTGTGTATGTGATCATGCATTTGTGCCATGACGCGCTGGAACCCAAAGAAGTCGCCTGTGGTTTGCTCGGTCAGGTTTCGCACGAAGTCTGGGCCGAGAGTACGATTTTGAGGCCGCTCATCTGCAAACCAGCCAGTTATGAGGGTCAGGTTCCTCCGAAGCGGGTGTGGGATTGGCCAGGCAAGCTCGAAGTCCCCTACAGACGAGGCAAAGGCACCAGTGGTGACGGTACAGTCCGCCTCGCGAGATGAATCGCAGTCCCCCGTTCCACCCAGCCCGTACTCCGCCGAATTCTCGAACACTGGCGAGCCGAACAGGTCTGCGTGATCCCGCGACCAGTCCCAGTATGGTGTTGGCCCGCTGTACCCGCACGTGTGGCGGAGGGAGGTGTCGAATAGGTAGGTGAACCAGCGGTCTGCGGTCAGGTAAGGATGTGCTGGGGAAAGGCAAGGAGAGACAGAACATACGCCAGGGCAAAAAGTAAGCATTCCTGTGCACGCTGTGCTCCACAGATGCGTGCGCGTAAGAGAAGTCATCGTACAGGCTTCTCTTTCCCTGAAGTACCGTCTGGTCCTTCGTCAAGGATAGCCGTTCGTGTCGTACGTTTGCCAAGCACTACTCGGCATAAGCAACGTACGCGTTAACTACGGGGAGGAAGGAGGGCGCACCTTGACAGCTCCCACCCACTCGGCCTTCTCACTATGCGTCAGCGTCCGCCATTCTTTGCGTGTTAGAAGCTTGCTGCACTTTTGTGGTTGTCCGTTGTTCCATTCGTACGCATATGAGAGGCCGGCGTTGGGGGGGGCGGCGAGTACGGCGAGTACGTAGAGAAATAGCATCCAACAGCCCATGGTTATCATTCAAGCAGAAAGAGATGAGAGTTCGTAATAGTCGAAGTACCAAATAAAAGCCCAAATAAATAGTCAGTTTCCTATGCATCAATGGAAGAAGGCGCCCAGTCAGCATACCATTGATGCAGAGCAGACACAACCGACCTTTAGACTGACCCGTAAGGGCCTCGAGCCTGTATTCTCTGGGTTTTTGAAAGCAAACATCTCCAATATCACGAAATGGTCTCTAAGTTGCCGTAGCGCTACAGTGTCTTACTGTACCCTCCGCCCGTGGTGGCTTTCCCACCCCTCCGCGCTCCTCTTATGCTACTGACAGCAAGAGCCAACTCGCCCCCTATCCAACTTGAAGTCACAAGCACAATGATGCGCACCTCTATCTCCCTTTCCCGCTTCCCTGCTCTCCTCCTCTGCGTCGCCTTCCCCCTCTATCTCGCCATTCGTGGCTCCGCCTCGTTGTCCGACATCGCACTTCTTCTCTCCTCTCTCTCCGAGCGTGTCGAAGCCCTTCAGGTCAGGCTCACCTCCCCGCTCGCTGCCCCTCCAGCACCAGTCTCCAAAAAATCCCTCGATCCTCCTGCCGAGCCCGCCAAAACCGTGCGCGAGCCCGAAGACGGGGGAAGGAAGAGATACCAGCCCCTACCCGATGGACTGGCGCACTGTATCAACTCCTTCGAGCAGTATTCGTTCCTTGCTGAGCAAGGGCTCCAGCGGAAGCATGCACGGTATTCCAAGCAGGACCCCGCTCAGAAAGCGATAAGCAACGAGCTCGGCTATCCTGCACACTTCGAGAAAGCTAGGAAAGGGATCGATGTGAACGCCCAGTTCTCGGAAAAGATCGCGTTGATTGGGAGAGAGGACTACCACACCGGCCCGCAGGCATTGGAAGGCAGAGAAGACGCGGAATTCGGCCTTGTGGACCTGGCGTTTGGCCATCTTTTGCGGGACTGGAGTTCGCAGGGCGCAGAGGAGAGGAAGGCCGTGTTTCCCCCTATTCTGGATACGCTGGAGCGACATTTTGGTGGGAACGGAAGAGGTAACAAGGTGCTTGTGCCCGGAAGCGGTATGGGCAGGCTGGCAAGCGATATCGCTGATCTCGGTGCGTCCATCTTACTTCATTGAGTTGAAAACACGGCCTCACATAGGCGCAGGGTACGACGTCACGGCCAACGAGCTGGACTACGGGTCCATCCTGGCCTATCACTTACTAACGAACCACACGCACTCGTTGCACCAGCACACCCTGCAGCCATTCGTGACCAAATGGGCGCATCAGGCCAACCCCTCCTCGCGCTACTCCACCTCGACGGTGCCGGACCACTGGCCCAACAAGGCTGTAAAGCTCGTCGAGGGTGACTTCTTGGAGATGTTCCCCCGGGACGGTGAGTTCGACTCCGTCGTTACACTGTTCTTCATCGACATGTCCGATAACGTGATTGACTTCCTGAGCAATATACATCGGCTGCTAAAACCTGGTGGGGTGTGGATCAACCTTGGGCGTACGTTACTGCCATCTCTTAACAACTGACATTCATACTTTTTTTGTACTGCCGTTGACCGCTGCACTTGGGCTGACGTGGATACAGCGCTTAAATGGGGGTCCTACAGCGCTATCCAGCTCTCCGCAGAGGAAGTGCTTGACCTAGCAGTTCTGCTCGGGTTCGATGTGGACCATACGTCAAGGAAGGACATTGAAAGCTTGTATGCCGAGCAGCCGGAAACGTTGCTAAAGTTCACTTATGGTGAGTGTCTGCCGTTTCCTTGGGATAAGTGAGGGCGGTTGCTGATGCGACGGGCAGTTACGCAGTTCTGGTCTGCGACGAAGAGGGGGTAAATCGGGGGTTGTGTTTCACTTGCTTTTACGCTGTGGGCTAGGAATCTTGAAAATTGCATTTTTGCAATGCCGAGACCAGCTTGTTAGACCTAGCTTCTCTACAGAGCTGCCGATCGGTGGTTTTTACAAATGATCACGTCAACTACAGAACGATATTTTAGTCTTTGGCAAGGTAGTTGTCAAGATAGCAATAGCACTGGAATTATTACTTGTTGTGGCCATCAGTCAGGTTAGGCCCTATACCAAACGTTGCTCAGCGGTTCGGCGTAGCCGCTATGAGGTTACGGGCCTTTCCTTCCGAGGTCATGTGTATAATTCTCACCCTAAGCAAGCTAAACACCTGTGATAATGCCACCAGTCGCTGTTGCTAGCTGCCCTAGACTTATCAGTACCTAGATAGTTTAGTGTCTGCAGGTGATGAGAACCAATTCCAAGGTGCCAGACGCAAGTGCTAGTCAGTACCAGTATTGAAGATAGCCAGTGCCTAGGTCTTTGAGTATCGGCTCAATAGAGATTAAAAGGGGCTTGTTGGGTTTATCAGTCAGATTTATCCCTATATCCAAAATTGGTCAACGTTTTGGTGTATCGGTCACTGAGATATTTCACTGTTACGGGATGAAAGTCCCACACCTCAACCAAGCGACGGTGGCCGCACCTCAAAACAATGGACGGCTGTTGGGACCGAGGTCGACGGGCCGGAAACCAAGCGGCGATTTGCAAACCTCACCGGCGCCGACAAGGCTGGGTACATTACTCGGTGATATGATAGTTCAGCAGAGGGACACTGGAATATGTCGACACCTGCCTAATTAGGCCTAACGCCTCGCTTGCCAGAGCCTTTCCCTCGCTTCCCATCTAGATAGCCTTCATAGTCCTCCATAGTTCTACATAGCCTCTAATACGAGTCTATCTCCCCTTTTCATCCTTTCCATCGAGGTTCCAACAGAATATGTAGAACATCACCAATACCGGCAAGCCCAAGACTTAGGTGGATGTGATCGCCATCGCGGATGGGGTTCAGGAACGGGGTCTAATGATATATGCAGACTTCAACGGCTATGGGAAGAACGTTTGTCTTGTTGGCTTTGAAGTGTGTGAGTTTGTTCATATGTTAACATCGATATTTTGGGAACCTGGAGGTGGGAACTACGGTGGCTATGATTGTGTCCCGCTCCATCTGTCTATCTATCTGGTGAGACAGGAATCTCATGATTTACTATCAGACACCGTGTATTCTGGCTTTATATCTGCTTACATGAAACAGAGCTACAGGCCTACGCCTCGATAACAGTGTCAGGGGATGTCAAACACGGAAGTCTAACATGGTAGCCTGGTCTATCTAGACTACGGGCGACACGCAAAGACGTGCGAGGTAACAATTTCCAATTCCTGTCATTTGTCCAATAAACTTGAAGTAGGGCTATCCTTGACTTGTTGTGGTTTCTATCAATGCACATGTTTCATATCACAAGAAGCTCCTCAAATGACTGCCTCATTAAGCAATTGTAAAGAGGACTGGCCGTGTGTGCCTTTAGCACTCCATCAAGATATGTTTGACCCACCAATTGAAATCTTTCTGACACCCCTCGAAGGACAAGCGGTTGCAATGTTGAGGTTGCCACAACCACCAGATCCCCGTCCCGTGTTTCTGGCTCACTAATAGCAAAGGCACGGCCCCAAGAGTCCTGTACCTGTAGCACGAGCTTTCCGTAATTCACCGGGAGTTGATTTCTTAACATATCCGAGCATAGCCTCTGTCTCGTGTCCCGCTCAGGTCTAAACCCCCGAGCGACCTGGTGTAGAGCTTCTAGGATTTCTTCCGTTTTGAAGTCTCCGTATCGGTTGGTATTGAAGATACAAGCATCGATGAACCTCCTGTGAACAGATCCTGGCTCCCAGGCCTCTATCCACAGCACATGGCGTTCGTCAGTAATGGCGTCAATAATCTGCGAAGCAACCGTCTCCAAATCAGACCCGAACTTGAATACCGCTGTACAGTATCCGGCCTTGCGTACCCACAGATGCAAAGTAGATAGATCATGTGACACGCGCGGCAGACAGCCCTTGACCGGGTCCCAAAGGTCATCGTGGATCTCCCAAGGGATTGTCTGTGATTGTATCATCCGGTAGGATAACTTCGTGTAATCAGGAAGCCATGACGGCAGGCTCCCTGTCAGATGATCACCCCGGAGAGACAGGAAATGGTACATAGTACCCATGCGCTCACGATTGACGAGGTACTCCGTTGTCTCTAGAAAAACCTGCTCAGCGGGCTTCCTGTAGTCCGGCGGGTACACCTTCTGCACCTGGGGGGAGAAACTGTAGCAACCATAGATTTTGTCGCGGGGATCGGAACACTGGCGGTGGTTGGTCAAAACAAGGCTCCAGGCGAACGGAACCCGTGTGAGGTCCTGTCGCTGGTAATCTTGCGGTGATGATAAAATACCACGAATATCATCATCACTACCATTGATACTCATAGTGGTCTCTTGGACCTGCTGGCAATGCGCCCTGGTCTCTTTATCTTGCTCTGCTGATGGCACATTCCTCCGTTTTATCTCATCCGCCACGACATGCAATTGCTTGATTCTCTCGGGGTCAATGAGCGACATTTTGAAAGCGACATTACCGCAGATGCAGGTTGGGTCTTGCGTCGCCACTTGGTATTCCTGGTAGGTCCACATCCGGTTCCAGTATGGCAGCTTCACTAAGTCCAGGATGCCACTGCTCGCACGGACAAGAGAGATCTCCTTTTTCCGACGGGCTCGCGTAGAAAAGCGACTTGTGATGTCAAGCTTCCACCAGTACATTGTCTGCCGATTGAATTTCTTACCAACATATCTCATGGTCCAGGTCACTCCTATTTGCAACAAATCTAAAGAAACGGGCTTGCCCATGTACTGTAACGACTTGTCGGCTAGGAGAGCGATAACCTTCCGGGCTTCGCGATATATGTCCCCCATCATGGCGACCTGGGTGTTCTTCTCATCCGTGTCTGTCTGATTGATGCAGATATAGTCGACCCAGATGGTACGTGGCTGTTTGGGCCGACGTAGCATGCGTAATGCCGCGAAGAGGTTATGTGTGACGGGAAATCGGTATCCCTCTACCAAGACACTTTCCGTCGCATTAGGATCACCCCAAACGTAGGAGAGTGCCTCGTATTTTGGTTGCTGCCCTCGCAGCGACACGGACTGTATAGTACATCTGACTATAGCGTCGGTGTTCGTGTCGGGGATGATACTTAACAGACGAATCTGTTTCTGGTCGGTGTCAAGCTTGTTATATGGAAACCCCATTTTTTCCTTCATACTCCTTGGGATGCTCCGAAACCGCCAGGGGGTAATAAAGAGAAAGGGAAATGGGCAGGTTCGGAGGGCTTATAATAGGAGCGGCTAAGCCATCAGCGTCTAAGCGCTGCTGACCCTAATGACCCTTTACCAAATCTGACATTTTGACGACGAGTAGAGTGCCCCAGCTCCAGCCTCAAAGGAGGCGTGTCATGTTTGTAACAAATAGCAGTTCTCAGCCACTACACCAAAATGCCGATCTATTATTTAGGCAGACTTGGCATTCACATCCTTGTAAAAATCTCACTCAGCTTGGGATGGCCAACTCAAAAGTGCTGCCGTTTGGTCTGAGATTACAAGCACTTCTCGGGTTAACATGAGGGTTACTCTCGAGGTCTTGGGACTACTTCATGTCTTGAACAGATTCCATGATGGAAGCGACGCTAGTAATACACAATCAGAGAAGCATAGTGAGCATTGATAACATACCGTTAGATAACAAGACTGTGCTTCCGGACCAGTAACATTTCAGGGATCAACCCATTTTCTCCTCTTTAATGATTGGAGAGAAGGTGTACAATCTATGTCAGCTGAAACACTGGACATCCATCCTACTGATAAGCTCTGGAGACGTGTCGGCAAGCCGGATCGGTCATGCATAACGGAGGGCAACCGGGATCAGCACGGCTTATCAACCACCAGAACAGCAGGAGGGCTTAAATAGACACCGAAGATAATAGGTAATATCCTCGACCACGGATATCCCGAATATCCGAGTGGCAGTCTCGCCGTGGCGGACCAATCCCCACCAAACTGTTGCATTGGTAGTCTTGACATGCGAGCAGGCAACCATTATATAGCGCTTCTTCTCCGCTATTGTGGTTAGTTTCCATACTCTGCTCCTCTGTCTTTGATTGATTTAACGCGAACCTTCATATGCAGGCGGGGATTTGAGATTCTCGTATATTCAATTCAGCAACGTAAAAATTCAAGCAACACCGGTTTATCTATTGTGGGGCCCATTCTCCACCGTGACAGGTCCAAGTGGGCCAAGGGACTGATAAGAAACCGAGTCAAGATAACAAAGACATGGGTGAGACAAAGCGGTGCGGTTTTGGTAAGATCGTCGCCCTCCTGTCCAGCCGTGTTTGCTATCCTTTGATCCGTCGAGAACGCCCTGGATGCGACAATATTCGTGCATCTGTTATTGCCTCGGATCCTGGGACACACACGGCCCGGTGAGCCCTCAACCGCTCTGGCCAACTCTTTGATCTCACGGGTCAAGACCTGGTCGCAGGATCACCGCTCGAGCCAATGACTGTCAGCAAGGACAGCAGAGGCCACAGACTGGGAGAGATCCTGGTTCCTTCGTCCCATGTTCGGGCCTAGAGGTACCTCTCATACCACTCGTTCTGGTCAAGCATGTTATCGAGATATTGTGTTCGAACCGTGACCACCCGATCGGTGACATCGGCCCAGAGTGGGTCGGTCCTCTCCCACGCGGAGATCGGCTCTTACCAAATATGAGCGATTAAACGAAGAACGAATTCTTTTGTCGTCACTGCGGAATACAGGGCGGCAAATTTACCTGATCAGGCGTTTCAGGCCCTCAACCCCAAGAGCGGGTTTTGGAGGAAGCGAGATGAGGGGCCCCCGTGTCAGGAAAAGGCGGCGACGATAATATATCCCCAGCACTGGGTCCGCCGGAGACCAATCCCATCGCGCGGTCTCCCGGCACCCCCCATTCTCCGCCAAGCCGCTATCGGCGCCAGCCTCATCCGCAGTCGATGCTGATTGGGGTCGCTTAGACTACGAGCCTGAAAAGGGGCAAAACATGACGTGGGAATCCTGGTTCCCTGTCTGGGGTGGCTTCACGAGCCGGTCTTGACTCTTCTTGGCTGGCTCTGACCACCATCCGGGGTTTTGTCATCGATACTACGGTGGTTTTGAGGCCCGAGGACGATGGACCACCGACAGGGCCCGGATTATTCATCGTGATTCCACACGGTGTTGTCCGTTGATCGTACCACTTTCGAATCCCAGTCGGTGGCGGGTGGGGAAATTCGCGCAGTCTGGGGTTAGTCTTGCACTTGCCCAGGGTCCAATCGTCAGTCAGCCATTTGGGGCGCGGTGGGGACCCACAATTTAGTGTTAAATGGAGGGGGGGCAAAACAACGCTGCCTGCATGGCCATTGCAGACCACGATAGTTATCGCAGTCTGACTATTTACCCCAGGGCGTTGGTGCGTGTCTGCTCCTTCCACACGCACCAAGTGGATAACGCTGCTAGGCAGACGGGGGTCGGTGGAGAAATGGACCCGAATCCCACGCTGACCGCTGGAGAAAGCGAAGCCACGCAGGGGCTGAACCAGAAAAAGCAGCCCAGGATCCAGGCAATGGGGAGAATACCAGCGAATGCAAGGGTGCTGTCGAACGCATGGAAGAGACGAAGAATCCACGATGGTCCTCCAGTTCACGCGGCATCCTCCGCGTTCGGATCCTGCAGAAGGCCCAGCAGTCGACGGAGTTGACAGGGGCCCCCAAGGGACTGACCAACTCAAGAAAGATCGACCGACCGGTTTGGTTGCACTGCGTCTGGTGACCGGCCCGGTGGGGATTCCCAAATTGACTGTCGTGCATACTTAAGAGGATCAGCACCCACCTCTCCCCCGCAGAGTGTCAGAATGTCACTGTGAATACACCATTGCTCCTTCTCTTCTCCCTCCTTCCTCCTTATCCTGCGTCGGCCAACATGTCAGAAAAGAAAGAGCACGAGACGTTAGGTCCCATGGACCCCAAGTACGGCGAGATGGCGGACGCGCCGGGTTATTCCCACGATGCCGTCTTTGGAGAAATGGGCGAGGACGGTCCTGACTATCGGAGTGTAAGGCTCACGGATCTCATGCACGCCTCGACGTCGCTAACAGGAGTCTACTTAGGTTGGATGGTTGGGCTCGGCCGTGCTCATGATGAAATCCCAGATCGGTATTGGGGTCCTCTCGATACCGGTCGCCTTCGATGCCCTGGGAATTGTGCCAGGAGTGATCTGCTTGTTGGCCATCGGCGGCATCACCACATGGTCGGACTACATTATCGGCGTCTTCAAGCTCCGACATCCCGAGGTCTACGGTATTGATGATGTGGGACACTTGCTATTTGGGAAAACGGGACGGATCGTGTTGGGCGCCGCATTCTGCCTCTGTGAGTGGGACCGGGGGGAGGAAATCAATACCCAACCATGTGCTGACTGCTCCTAACTAGGGTGGACGTTTGTTGCTGGCTCCGGCATGCTGGGTCTCTCCATCGGTTTAAACACAGTCTCGAGCCACGCGACCTGTACGGCAGTGTGGGTGGCGATTGCCGCGATCTTCGGATTCATGTTCGGCAGTATCCAGACCCTCGGGCGCATTTCCTGGCTGGCGTGGCTGGGTCTGTTCTCCATTCTGGCCTCCAGTCAGTGCTCCTGATCCCACTTCCCCTCGATCCACATTAACAGAGTTAGTCCTCATCGTCACCATCGCGGTCGGCGTCCAAGACCGCCCGGCGTCGGCACCTCACGACGGCGTCTGGGTTTCCGATTACAAGATCATCAACAGCGAAGCGACCTTCACGCAAGCCATCACGGCTCTCACCACCATCGTCTTTGCCTACGCTGGTACCCCGGCCTTCTTCTCTATCGCGTCCGAGATGCGGGACCCGACCCACTACAACCGCGCCCTGATTATGTGCCAAGTCGTCGTGACGGCCTTCTACCTGATCATCGGCATCGTCATGTATTATTTCTGCGGCTCGTACGTTGCCTCGCCCGCGCTGGGTTCGGGCGGTGCCACGATCAAGATCGTCAGTTACGGATTCGCCCTGCCGGGGCTGTTGGCGAGCACCCTTCTCTTCGTCCACGTAAGTTTCTTCCGCTCCGTCGTGACGATCAGTGCTAATAGGACCGGGTGCAGATCACGGCCAAGTACGTCTTCGTGCGCATCCTCAGCGGCACGCGCCACCTGGCTGCCAACACGCTCACCCATTGGGTGGTGTGGATCAGCTGCACGGCTGGCGTGGCCCTGATCGCCTACATCATCGCCAGCGCGATCCCCGTGTTCAGCGACCTGGTGTCCTTGGTGGGTGCGCTGCTTGGCACGCCGATGTGTTTCCAACCCATGGCGGGTATGTGGCTCTACGATAACTGGCATACACCGGGGCCCAAGTCGATGCAATGGAAGCTGATGGTCGCCTGGTGTGTCTTTGTCATCGTGTCGGGGACGTTCCTGATGATTGGAGGAACCTACGGGTCGATCATCACGATCATGGAGAGTTATGCCAAGTCCGGCGGATCGGCCGCGTGGTCGTGCGCGGACAACTCGTAGATGTCTCTCTGATATCACTGCATCAGATGCCAGGCAGCGGGGACGGGTTGATCGCGATCCTGCGGCGGTGGTTTGATTTTGTATAGATTTGATGTCAATTAGTGCCAAAGATACCTTTTTGTTCAAGTCTATGGTTTATGGGAGTAAATTGAGAATGTATTCATTGGCGAGGCGCCCGTAGTAAATGAGTGAGGTGACCTCTATAGAGCAAGGCACTAACAGTCGGTTTAAGACAACTTCAATATATATAGATGCGGCTGCAATGACCGAAATCCACTAGCCATAAGATACAATTCCCCTCCTTTCTTTATATTGCTAATTATTGGATTTCTTAATATCTCTTCACGGTCATCACAATCATTGCCATTTTCCAATCTCCCAAATTATGGTCAGTCCTGTCAATCAATCCAGTAATATTCCTACTTCTCTTCCTAAACGGGTAACGTATTTAAAGACCTGTGACCATTTTGGTCTCCTACAAAGGGCCAATCACAATTAATTTGGGTGGTTATTGAGTGCGCCATGAAGAAATATATATTTGCCAGGGATTACCATAACCAAAGGTCTATCAACAACTTCTACAACCCAAACCCATATCAACCTAGTATTTACGAACTCTGAAGAGTATAGCGCTCAGGAGGCAAACTTAATCAATAGACACTCAACAATTCACACCAAATTCTCAACCATAGGAATTCCATTCAGACTAGGCATCGTGCCTCTTCCGATGTCGGCCAAGTGGCACGTGCTTCAACCCTGCAGTCCTGCCTCTTCGGGACTAGTGTGTGCTGGACCCGGTGGCGATACCTACCTCGGCATCTCAGGCAACCCCTACACCGATCCCTGGTTTTGTCGGAGGCTCTTGATCACACTGAGACACACACCTTTTTGATGGACGATACGCAATGGTCCCGCGGAGGGAAATGCTCTGATCAGCCTATTCCGACATTGATGTTACGATTACCGAGAACACGTCTCTATACATTAGAAATTGGAAAGCATACAAAGGACGAAAACATTCCACCGGCCACCCATCACAGGGTCAGCCACTCGGGAGAATAACATGGCAGTGTGCAAGGTGGATCCCCTTGCGAAAGAAGCAACGGAGCCGAGACGCGGTGCGAACATTATTGCATATTAAGTCGAAACCCACATAGCCAAAGTCCATGGGGTGGACCTGGGTGGGTCATATCCCCAGACAAACTCCACATGGCCTGCATTCCCCACATCCGGACTCGGTTCCAATAAGAAATGCTGAATGAGAGACAGAGAGTGAGAAATCGCGCCCCCAACGAAGACTGGTGTGGAAGAAGATGGGAAGCATGCAAAGACCTAGTGCCTGGGCGATCCGTCGACCATGACGCTTAATACTTCCTGAATGTGGACACCCAAGTCAGCATCGCACCCAATTCAAGACGCTCCGAATGACACTTACGAGCACCACAGTCGCTTGTACCCAGAAAAACACATGTTCCCATATGCGTTGTAACAGCTGCGGGTAATCCGGCCATTCTTCATGAGCTTACGCTCATTCATGTCTTCGGTCGTTTCAAGGAGCATGTCCCACTGGTCCACCTCGTAAATCTGGAATTTGGTGCTGCCACAGTTGGGCGCGGATCCCACCCAGTAGCAGTCGCCATCCTCCGGACTGTTGTTACACCGGAGTCCTTGGACTGCAAGGAAGAGGGTCGCGCTCGCGAACAAGATCGATGGATTGAGTTGCATAGTTCCGGTCCAGCGGAGTGCACGTTGACAGATTGGAAGGGAAAAAGATAGTAATCGGTCAGGGAGTGTTTTGTCCACGATGGAGGATTTGTCCAGAAAAAGGTGTTATTTATATATTAGAAGAACCGCTGCCGTCGACAAGATATGCAGCGACTCTTTGACCACATCCGGTGGCGCATTACGGCGTGGTGCCCATGCGGAGATCCCGGCCACTGTGCGAGCATAAGGGTGTCAGCCGGAATTGAAGCTTTTGATCACCATGAACAAGTCGTTGATCCATACCGGGGTGGTCCTAGTCTAATGCAAGTGCTATTGATGCAAGTCTTTGTTGGCGATCATCCTATTGATACCCATTTGCGGCCCGCGGAAGGCCACCACTCGATACTACTCGCAGGTTCCTTTGTGACCTCGACGCATGGAGATACGCTATTACATCGCAGAATAACCACTGGGAATATTTGTCGTCAATAAGACAGTGATAGTGAGGGGATGAGTGTTGACCGGGTGAGACCAGAATGGGGCCTCGTGGGAGATGGCTTACCATCCCATACCACCCTATATCACCCGCGCTGACCCGAGACAAAGATGTTGTTGTTTTGTGGTGCTCTGTGTGGTTGTTTGTCTGCAAATCCTTATCCATGACTGGGGATTCCAGTGAAATATGCTCGCGAACGCAGATCCCGAAGGAGGGATGGGCATGCGGTTCGCGCTTCACGCTGCCCGGGACATCCACCAACGTTGGCCAAACCCTACAACGCGAGTGGATTGAGCATATGATTCACAATCAGCAATTTTATATTTGTGGAATGGTTGCCTTTCGTTTCCCCCATTCCAACTATCGCGCAACAGGCAATGAACCCCCGAATGGCCCCAGTGAGCAAAAAGACGTCTCCGACTAGATTCAGATAGCTTGGTAAGTTGTTGACAGTCGAGAACGACAGAGAGTGATGGCATTAATCATCTAGAAACATCTAGTATCAAGTGGCTGGGACACCGTTCCAGCTATCTATTCGCCAGGGATGGAAACCCCAGAAACCTCCTGACAGACAGTCAAGAGCTGTTCTTGTTGCTTGACATTGCCAGCCCCGGGGTGCGGCGCCTCGGCACCTCGGGTGGTGAAGAACGTCCCACTCTCCAAACTCGCCAGGCTCCCCTGCCCCGCGGCCCAATCGGCCAGCGCTTTGGCCGGCTTGTCCATCCCACCCGGCGCCATCGATCCTCCCATCTTCGTGCGGACCCAACCAGGGTGCATACTCACCACCTGGAGATCGGTCCACCGGCGCGAGAAGGCGTTGGCCAACATCACAGCGTGTAGTTTACTGTCGCTGTACGAGTGCGACTGCGTCACGTTCCGGAGCGACTCGTCCCCACCATAGTGGCTATCGGAACTCATGTACAACAGGCGCTCTTTGGGCTTCTTCATCAAGCAGGTGAGGATATATGGCGCGAGGGTATTGACGGAGAAGACCGCCGAGATCTTGTCGGCGGTAATCTCACGGCTAGACGTGGAGCCGTAGCCAATTCCGGCATTGTGGATGACGGCGTCGAACGACCCCGAGCCCAAGGCATTCGCTTCCTCGGCGAGTTTTTTCGTCTCAGAAATAGACCGTAGGTCAGCGACCAAGACCGCCTCGGCGTTGGGAACGGCTTGGCGGGTCGAGGCGGCGCGGTCTGCGTTTCGAGCGTGGAGAACAACGGAGTGGCCGCGGTCTGAGAGGATCTTTCCAGCGGCCTGACCGATTCCGTCGCTGGAGCCGGTGATGAATATGCGAGCCATGATAGTTGGCTATTAGGAGGATGTAGAAACGGTTTGGGGTTGAAACAGTCTCGAGAGAAGTCAGGATAAATACCACGCTGGATGATGTAAGGGTAGCGTGCCAACGATGACGTCATACACACCGACCAATGGTCAGGAATTGACGAGAGGTGTAAGGATGAGGCTTTTTTAAATAGGAGGACTTTTATGGCTGTTTGAATGAAACAAAGCTATTACCATATGGCTGCGACAAAATCCATAGCGGAAAGTGTGATATGTCCTATTCCGAATCAAAGTGTATGCCATTCAAATCAAAAGCGATAGCTCAAAAAAGACCCCTAACAGCAATGTATCCCAACGCCAACCGCCAAAATCAAGTCAGATTCTGAAGATTTACCAAATCGTGATATCGCCCACGCCGTCGCATAAGTTGCGTATGCGTCCCGGACTCGACGACCCCTCCTTGGTCCAGCACGTAGATCACGTCCGCACGTTGAATGGTGCTAAGTCGGTGAGCGACCGCAATCGTCGTGCGCCCGTGAGAGGCGGCATCTAGAGCGGTTTGGACAATTTTCTCGGACTCGGAATCCAGCGCTGAGGTCGCCTCGTCGAGGAGGAGGATTTTGGGATCGCGAATGAGGGCCCGGGCAATGGCAACGCGCTGTTTTTGGCCGCCGGAGAGCATGCCCCCTTTGCTGCCGACGATCGTATTAAACCCTTGTCTGCTACTGGTGAGTATATGGAATGGGATGGAATGAGGTAGACTAACGGTAACGACACGATGAAATCATAAATGTTCGATTCCCGACAAGCTTTGATGACGGTCTCTTCGGTGATATCAGCGGACCCACATCCCAGCAGGATATTATCACGGATGGTCCCCTGGAATAGGGCCGGTTCCTGCCCCACCAAGGCGATGTGGTTCCGGTACGACGCCGTGTCCACTGTCTGGATATTTCTACCATCCACGCAGATACTCCCTCTGGTGGCATCATAAAACCGCTCGAGGAGCGCGATGACTGTACTCTTTCCACTCCCGCTTGGGCCAACTAGCGCGACGTATTGGCCCGGCTTGATCGTCAGGTTTAGTCTGTACAGAACAGGCTGCTCCGGACGGGTGGAATAGCGGAAGGTCACCTCGTGGAATTCAATGAGCCCCTGCATTTCCCGCACATGCGTGCCAGCATGGTGGGCAGTAATCCCCGAGGCACTGTCGAATAGCTGTTTGAACTCCGCTGCCGCATGCTTGGCCTTGCCCATATCGGGCGCATGGGAGAACACCGTCCCCGCAGCCTGGGCGCCGAAGATGACCTCGCTGAAGCAGACGTAAAATTTAAAGAGGGAGTATTCATGATGGCCGAAAAGGGTCCCGCCATACCAAAAGCCCAACGCCATGCACATGAACGGGAGAGACTGGGAAGCAGCGTAGAGAAGGGACGATTTGATGATAGGGAGAATGTCGCTTCGTAACTGCTGGCGGATCTGTACCTCGTAGGACCGGTGGATCTCACTCTCCATGGTCAAGGTAGCTACCGTGCGAATGGCGCTGGCCGCCTCGCAGGCTGCGCTGGCGGATTGCTGGTACGCCTTTTTTGCGCGTCGCTGGAATTTATCGAGCATGGATACGCGAACGAATCCACACATTAATAGTACTGGGACCGCGGAGATGCAGACGAGGGCCAGCTTCCATCCCATGATCAGGGCTACCACTAGCGATGCTACGAGGTTAACGGAGACGATCAAGATCGTCCCCAGCGTGACACCACTGATCCCCGCTAACTGTTTCGTCTCAGCACTAAGGGTCGCCGTTAAGGCACCTGTGGAGTTCTCCGGTCGGTCGAAGAAAGGGATGTCTTGTTGTAGCATGACGCGGAAGGCTCGGCTTCGCGCACGGTATACCATGCGCTCGGAGCTGTATGCGAACAGGGCCCCTTGTAAACTGTACAGGATTAGAGTCACCAGACCAATCATGAGAAAAAAGAGTGACCAAAAGTTCGTATCATCGCGGAGTTTTCCGTATTGCGACTCGGGAAGGGTTAGCGTGGTGATGGCTTTGGCAAACAACACTGCTTGCGACGGCTGGATCCCACCGGCCAGAACGGACGCACAGAGTCCGAGGACGAGGAAAGGCCTCTCAGGCTTGTTGAATGACGCGAGGAATCTAAATAACGTCCAAATGGAATACGGTCTTGTTCTCTTTGTCCCATGTGGAAAGGATGGCAAGGACATCCTAGAAACCGGGCGCGCTACCTTCTTGCCCCCTTGCAAGCCAATGTCTGACTCGTCATCTGTTCTCATGGAGATCATCTCGTAGGCGTCATCGCTCAGATCATCGTCATCGTCCTGGAGATACGAGCGGCTCATCCGGAACTTGGCCGTCAGCCGGTTCGGCGAGGGAGGCATATTTCTGTGTTTGATCTGCTGCGCCTCAACCATGTCACGATAGACGCCATCCTGCTCCATCAATTTCTGATGAGGACCCTGTTCGACAATTTTCCCGTGGCGCAAGACAATGATATTGTGTGCATCTTTGATCGTGGAGAGACGGTGTGCAATCATGATGGTCGTTCTGCCTTGGGCGACGTTGTCGAGTGCAGCTTGCACTAGTCCCTCTGACTTAGTATCGAGAGCGGATGTCGCTTCGTCGAGCAGCAAGATCTTCGGGTTCTTCACGATGGCTCGCGCAATGGCGATGCGCTGCTTTTGCCCCCCTGACAGCGAGCAACGCCCGATGTGGGTATCATACCCCTGAGGAAGCGCCAAGATAAAGTCATGCGCATTAGCCATCCGCGCCGCCGTTTCGATATGTTTCTGTACCTGTCCCATGGGCTGAGTGTCTAATCCGGAGCCTACCAGGCCAAACCGGATATTTTCAGCAATGGTGGCGGCAAATAGGCGAGGCTCCTGTGACACTAGGGACACTTGTTGTCGCAGCCATTGGAGGTTTAGCGTCGCGATGTCATGGCCGTCGAGGGAAACGGTCCCTGCAACGGGGTTGTAGAACCGCTCGAGGAGACCAATGATGGTACTCTTGCCTGACCCGGAGGGCCCGACAAAAGCTGTTGTCTTCCCCGCGGGGATGTCCACATTTAGGTTATCGGCGATAACTACCTCGGGGCGGGAGGGATAGATGTGTCTAACGTTGCGTAGGGTGATGTCTCCGAGTACGGTGTTTAATTTGATTCCAACTGACGAAGATGGATCGAGGGGCGAGTGACGATCGATGGTCGTATACAGCTTAGATGCAGCGGCTACTGCCGTTGATAGTGCTTGTCCATGTGGGGCGACATTCCCCAGGTTATATGACCCCAGGATAATCGCCATTAACACAGTCAGGATGTCTCCGGCTTTGACGTGATTCTCCGAGTTGACGAGAAATCGGGATCCCATCCAGAAGCCGAGACCGTAGTTTAGGTACATCACACAGAGCATGGCGCCGACCATGGCGACGAAAGTCAACTGCGACTTCATGCCTGGTCGCTCCGCCTCCTTGAGATAGGACTCGTACTTACGAGCCAGAGTTTCCTGGGCGTCGAACGCCACGACCGTCCGGATAGAGTCCAGGATATCCTCCGCCAAGCTGGCGCCGCGCCCCTGACTCTCCAACGCAACCTTGCTGTAGACCAGCATGGCGGCAGAACAACCGCCCATTATCAACAGCAAGGCAACCAAGGTGGCGCTGCAAATCAGAGCTAACCTCCAGCTCACGATATATGCGATGATAAACGCGGTTACGAACGTCCCGAGCCCTGACAAGACCAGGCTGACCTTTTCAGAGATGCCGTCTTGGATTAGGTTGGTATCTGCGGTGATGCGCGTGGTGATCTCTCCGGCTCCGAGGTTATCGAAGAAGGCGATATTTTGCCGTAGGATAGCGCGAAAATATTGGATGCGGATTTGCTGCGACACATGTTCGCCGGTGTATACAAAGCCAGCGGTCGCAAGACAGACAGTGAGGAACTCCCCAATAGCAAGGTAAACAAAGTATACAACGTTGGTAGTCAGTTCATCATAGAAGTCATCATAAGTCATCTGATGCGTAGCGACGTCTTGAAAAGTCGAGGTTAGGTTTCCGAATAGAACCTTGAGCGTGGCGGTCAGTTATTCCATGACAGCAACAGCGAGAGAGGGATCAGTACCGTGAAGATAGGAAGCCCAGCGCCCGCTGCGACGGCAAAGACGCAACTGAAACCTATTATAACTAGGTCCACTCGACTGGCATACCGGTATATACCAAAGAAGCCCACCTTGGACACTGGGGCGGAAATTTGGGCTTCTAGGATGGCACTCTCGCTGCTTGTGCCGTTGGGCTTGGTGGACTGTTGGACGTCGTTAGTTGCCATTGTGGATCCATCGCAATGGATTCATGTCATACCTGCTGGAGCCCCATAAACGAGGGCCATTCCGTATCGTCCATTTTTCGATTACGGGGAATCTCTACAGTTCTATCGAACACATCATACATCGGCCGCTTCAGTCACTAGGAACTGAGTATGGCCAGTGCACGGACAGATAGGGGGGAAAGCTTCGCCCAGGTGAAGATGACAAGTTGACGGGAACCCTACCACATGTGGGAACAGCACCTACATGGAGCGCGGTTGGGACGGCGGCCGCTCGGATGTCCTTGATGGCAGTGTGTAGGTGACATTATCGAAGGATGCACCCAATGGGGATTGGAATCATCACATGGCTCAGGGGCAATGCACGAAGTCCCGGGCAGCGGTAAAGATGAGGCCTTCATGACGTGAACACCCCAATATCCTCGGAAGGATCACATCTATCCCGCGAAACTTCGGCTCCTGCATCCTGGTGTTTCTCTATAAGCCATATTATGATGCCGCAACCGAATTGGCTTCGTGTTGATATCCTTGGCTTTCCTAGTGGTTCCTCGCGTTTCAACTCGACTCCAGCGATCCCAGGATCTGCACGTGAAGGATCGACATAGTGAGGGGTGAGGGACATTTCGGAGCGACTTTGCAGGAACAAGGTTTCATAACGACCAGGGTGGGACTCCTTATCAAACTCACTACCGGGGTAGCGGAAACATTAAGTTTGGCACGATGGATAGTGAAAAGCCAAGGGAACTCCCGTGGAGTCCGATGGCCGAGGAAGACGGGGTCAGGGGCAAGGGAGAAGGGATCGACCGATAGCGCGGCGAATGATAACCTTAGATATACCGAGAATCAAATTATGGGGCCGGTCAAGCACGTTCCTCGGCGATTGTAACGCGTTTCATGTGCCGGGTCGATGCCATGAAGAGTCTAGACTGAGGATTTCTCCGCTCTTCACTCGCGCACTGCGTTCTCTTTAGGGTATCGTGCTCTAACCTGCATCGCCTTCCCCAGCCATGCCCCAGCCGAGCGAAGCAAGGGGACGATAATCACCAATCTAGTTTCTACAGGGCAGGGTAAATGTTTCAAACAGGGCAGGAATTTTACGATCCAATGATGATTTTCTCTCCCGTTTCCATCGTCTTGTCAACCGACCTGTGCCCCAATATCACAATTGCCGAACGAGGCCAAAACAGAGGTCAATTTCAATTTGAAACTCAGAGATCTAACAAGCAATGCGGAGTAAAGTAACAGTGGGTCGGTTTCGACCATGGCACCGGCTGAGTTCGATGGACTCAGGCGGCCCTCTCGCGGCGCTTCAATCTCACCCGCAAATCTGGCAGCTCCCAAAATGCGTAGCACGGGCTCTGGCGCTGCCAGTCCTTCACCTTCCCCACATACTCCGCATCAAAGTCCAGAAAGAAGGCCGCCAGGGTCAACTGGAGCATTTGCTTGGCAAAGTATTTGGCAATACAAGCCCGACTCCCGACTAAGAACGGCTGGACCGCTTCCTTGCGATCTGTCGATCCTGGCTCCGTCCAACGCTCCGGAATAAATTCGTATGGTGCGTTGAAATACTCCGGATTGTGGTGCAGGGAGAACAAGGAAGTGGCAACTTCCGTCTGCAGTAGTGGTACAAATGTTAGTGATAGCGAGGTGAGGTCGGACAAGCAACTTACCCCAGCAGGGATGTATGTTCCATCCACATACGCCCCTGGCGACACACGCGGTCCACCCATGGGAACGGGGGGATACAGCCGAAGCGCCTCTGTAATTACCGCGTCAAGGTACGGCAGTTGCTGGGCCACTTCCCAGGAGACATCCTCTGCCGAGTGGAACGCGGTCTGCAATTCCCGGAGTAATTTTGCATGAGACTCCGGGTGTGTCAGGACGAAGTAGATGACGGCACAGAGGGCATTCTGGGTAGTATGGAAGCCAGCCAACATGATAGCGCTAAAGTTCTCCGCTATCTCCGCTTCGGGGAGGTCGCTGGTCCCTGCACGCTCCATCACTTCAACCATGATATCGCGGCGATGGTGCGATGCACGTAGTTGTCTGAAAAGTTGCATGTGTTAGACCGACTGGCCGGGGATGCGGGGGAAGATGAACATCGGCTTACTCGTTGATCAACCGCATCCGTGCCTGCTCGCTGCGGGCACGAATTCCCTTGCGTAGAAGACGTCGCAGCATCCACTTGATCATCGTGGGGACCCCGGATCCTTGGAATTGGTCTCGGATAGTTGCCCAGAAAAAGATCCGCGGCAGCTGCTCTGTCCAGAAGTAAGGCTTGCCCCGCTGCAGGCATCCTAGCGGCTTTCCTAGCAGGACTTCGGACACCGTATCCACCGAGTGGCAGTAGAACAGTTCATTGAGCGTCAGTGTATCGGTTGCCGCTAATTTGGCCTGGATCACGTCATGCAGGCGCAGCACACACCCACGGATCACTCCCCCATGTGCTTGCATGCTTCCAGGGGTCAGGGAGGGCCCGAACAGCTTGCGCACTGACCCATGATATCTAGTGTCCGAGGCAGTGAATATGTTCTGTCGCGAGATATTCTTGTAGAACCCTGTTTTGAGGAACGGTGTAGATTTTCCAGACCCGCCACCGTAAATGTTTCGCAGGGCCTTGAGCGTGTTTGTTGTGGCCTGCCCTGGACTAAACCGTGCGATCTTCCCTGCTCACAGTTAGCGGGGTTCTGAGGAACGGTGGGGATGTTTATCACCATAGGATAGATGGAGAGAGTGGAAATGGTGAGCGCTCCTCCCGGTCACGAATGATATTTTGGTAATGACCTATGCCAATGTATGTGAGAAGGTGTGCTTTCTTGGCTCATGTGGGGACTTACGCCACAGAAAAAGAGATCCAGGAACGAACCCGGAACGTCCTTGATGACGGGTCCCTTTGGCAGAAGCTGGACATAAAGGGACAGAAGGGACATGCCCTGGCCTCATGTTAATTCAACGAAATGACCATAGTACGTGCTGTAAAAGGTGTGCCTGACATACCACGAATATAGCAATAGCTGCATAGGTGATAGTAGTTGAGGGATAATAGAACTCGGGCATCTGCCCCGAAGGAAGGGCCACAGCAAGAAACACCATACTGATAGCAGCAATTGGTATAGTGGGGTGTACGTTTTCTTTCTCGTCCTTGCCCTCGAACGGTATGTTTGCCATCTTATTTATCTCGCAACGGATATCACATCTACCCCATCAACCCCCCTCCCCTCTCACAAGGGCCAAGGCGTAGTCAAACCAGGGCATCACCTACTCCGAACGGACGCTGTTCACCTCCCCTCCGACTATCAGGTGGGTCATTCACCTTCCTGGCGAGTGCTCGAAACAGCCTCGGCGTACACCAGGTGCCTCAGGATCCTGCCATGAATCGGCTCATGGGTCGGGTCTTCTCGGTTGTCAGAAGGTTGAAACATCGCTTATTAGATTTCTGTCGGCGATCTGGAGGTGTGAAGGTTCCTAATCCCATTTATTAGACATAACGATCTGCACCAAGGTCATTGATAGCGACGCGACAGATGAATATAGTTGGTAGTTGTGGCCCGTTCCCCTCCTCCCCTGATCTAACTTTCCATTGCTTTTTATTTCTCGGCTTTTCTTTCCCTTCTGTCAGCAAGCCCAAATATCGGGCATCTTAAACCACATTTTTTATCGGGTCTTCTTGTGGTAGCGCTTTTCTGCCAATAGGCGGGTCACTGACATACTCCATTCCTACCCATCAATTACGTCCACAATGGCCGATGTGAGCGTTCTGTTTCTCGCCAACAGCGAGCATGGTCAGACAAACATCATTCTGGCCATGACTCATGAGCTACTGGTGCGCGGGGATGTGGACGTGCACATTGCCTCGTTTCCTGTACTGGAGAAACGGTTGGAAAAGCTGTTGAACGACAATTCTGACGCATACAATGACACTTTTCGATCAAGAGTTCACTTTCATCCGCTCCGGGGTCCCTCAAACACGGATGTCTTCATTCGCACCGGTAAACGAGGGGCGTTCCATCCTCCTGGCTACCACGGCGCAGTTCTTGGTTTCCAGTCGCTGTGCGAGGATATCTGGGGATGGACCGAAGAGGAATATGTCGACATATACCACTGCTGCATCGAAGTCATCAAGAGCGTGCAGCCGTCGGTTATCGCGTCGGACTTTTTCTTCCTGATGGGCCGCGATGCGGCGTTCAATGCGGGATACACAGCCATCCTGATCAACACCACGTCTCTCACACATATCGTGCTGGGGCTGCAAAAGGGCTCAGCTGCCCTGTGGAAATACCCTCTGTAAGTTCTTGGACTTTCTCTTTCAATGATTTTACTGACACCCTCAAGCCCCGGGACTGGCTTCCCTTATCCCCTCCCATGGCATCAAATTCCGTTCAACACCCTCGCCGCCCTTAAAACAGCGAAGATGTATCACGGCAGCGGACGTCGACGCGAAATTCGCGATTGGCGTATTCGTAACAAGATTCACGGTCGATTCCCTTTTGCCGACTCTTGGCGGCCAGACCGGTTCCACCTGACGCCCGCATTGAAGGAACTCGACTGGCCAATGGATGTGCCAGATAACATCATGCCCTGCGGGCCGATCCTCCTGCCCACGGCGTCTGTCGAAAAGCAGGACCCGGAGATGGCCACATGGCTAAATCGAGGTCCCACAATCTTGGTGAACTTGGGCACATTGTATGCACCAGACCCCCACGTGGCGGAAAATATTGCCACTGGATTGAAGTTGTTCTTCGATTCTTGGAAGGGAGAGGAGACCCAGGTCCTATGGAAACTACCCCCGCACCCGCACGATGAGGATGGTATATATCACCGGGCAATTCAAATTCTCCAGAAGGAAGTGGATGAGGATCGGGCGCGCATCCAGTCGTGGTTTCAAGTGGAACCTATGGCCATGCTACGGACAGGCCAAATCATCTGTTCCGTCCACCATGGCGGTGCCAATTCCTGGTATGAAGCTATCCAGTGAGTGCGATGTCTCCCTTCCCCTTCCCTGCTGGTCTACATCATCCCCAATATCTAACCCATACAGAAATGGAGTCCCCCACGTGATCCTTCCCGCATGGCAAGACTGTTACGAGAATGCCGCTCGAGCCGAATGGCTGGGGGTCGGCGTATATGGAAACCGGTCTCGGGCTCCCAACATCGACGGCAAAGAGCTTAGCAAGGCATTGCTGAAAGTGATGAGCAACAAGGCGTACAAGGAAAAGTCGGTGGAACTGTCGAAGCTGTGCCACAAGAAGGAGGGACGTGTGGCCGGGGCGGAAAAGATCGTGGAAATCGCGCGGAACCCGGAGAAAATGTCCATGGACATGCCTAAGCTCAATGTTGGCGACCCTCAGTGCAAGCTGTACGAGGTCAAGAACAATGCCGGCATGATCCTCCAAACGGTCGATCCTCCCAAGCCCGTAGGCAAAGATTCGTCAAAGTCCGTCCCCTTTCTATACTGTGCCTAGCTCAGAGACTGACGAATACAGACCCTTCTCCACTGACATTGCCGAGACTCTCCTTGTTACCGCTCTCTGCAACACATGGTGCATGCTACCTCTCATCGGGTACTCGATGCTTTTGGTGCCCCGTCTGCGACTCATTGCCCTGCTCTATATTCTTTACATTAAATTTGTGGCGAAGGCACACACCACAGGCACCCTCCCTTTACGAAATGACACGTTCCGTACGTCGTGGATCTGGAAAGCTTTTGCCGCTTACTTCCCTCTGCGCCTGTATCGATCCACTCAGTTGTCCCCAGGGAAACGGTACGTGTTTGGATATCACCCCCACGGTGTGGCGTTCCGGGGAGCCATGGGGGCGCTGGCTGCAGACTGTGCGGGGTTCTCGCAGCTGTTCCCTGGCATTACCAACACCCTTCTGGTCAAAGATGAGTTCTTCTACCAGCCCCTCCTCCGGGAATACCTGCTCGGAGCTGGAGCCAGTGGTGTGTCGCGGAGTTCGTGCATCCGCCACCTAACGAAGAACGGGCACGATGGACGTGGGATGGGCAGCGCTATCACCATCACGGTGGGCGGCAGCCGCGAATACAACATAGCGGAGCCTGGAACAATGGGGGTCGTAGTGAAGATCCGCAAGGGTTTCATCCGAGTGGCGGTTTCGACGGGAGCGGAGCTGGTTCCAGTCATCGGCTTCGGCGAGAATGAGCTGTTCGACCGGGTTGACGTAAAATCGTCGCGACTGCTCATTCCCCTTGCCAAACTATGGGAGTGGTCGGTCGGCCACAAGGTCGCGTTCTCTACCGGGCGCTTCAATATCTTCTGTCCTCATCGTAAGCCGCTCAATGTGGTTGTCGGGAAGCCAATTCCGGTTCAGCAGCAACGATATGACCCGGATGAGAAGTATATCGAGGAGTTACACTTTCAATATCGGGTGGAGTTGGAGAAGCTTTGGGACGACTGGAAGGACGTGTTTGGAGTGGACAGGTCAGTCAAGTTCGAGTTAGTTGACTGATGAGCTGGGATATATGTGGTTTTCTCGGGAGGGTACGGAGTGTGGTTGATGTTTGCCCGTTCCCATCTGTTATTGCGTATCGACATCTCTGTACCGAGTTATGAGTCGTCTTAAGGCACGCTGGACCTGCCAAGAGGCTTATTAGTCGCTGATAGTTCTATGTTATTGCCGTATTGGCGTTTTGCCCCGAGTTATATTTCTTGTGTCCGATGTTGCTTTACATTGCATGATTTCTTGACGACGAATATCCACCAGGAACTCAGTTGACATCCTGAAACCTTTTTTTTTTTCATTTCATCACGCGGTATTCAAATTCCTGGATAACATGCCTGAGATACCGTCAGAACAGTTGGTAAGATTGACCGAACAGATGTGTTGAGAAGAGGACTGGAAGTTGCAAAGGAGGGAAGAGCAGGAGTCATCCTACCCAGTAGTCAGGTGACAGGCCTTCTTGCTCATTATCAACCATCAACGCCCTGACCGATAATTTGTTTCTTCCCACAGCAGCCCTGTAACTGTCACTCTTGATTCTCTTTTGTACGACCTCAGTCTGGGTTGGAGGTACTAATTCCAGGGCTTACCAATCCGACCAAGCAACTTGTACCACATCGCAAACGGCGCGAAACCTCTAGATTACACAATTACAAAGCGTGCCTATCTTGTGGGGTCAGAGTGCATACTCAGTCGCATTCTCTCAAGCACAAGTCGCATCCTCGCGACGCACTTCACACCATGGCTCCGGAATTGGTCCACTTGGGTGGCGACTTCCACTGCTACGCCAGTGGAGTGGACGAAGCGCGCTTCATCTACCGAGAGATTTTTCAAGATCGCAGCTACGGAGGCCCTGATCTCCCATCAGAACCGCTGATTGTCGACGTCGGTGCCAACATCGGACTCTTCTCTCTATACATGAAACAACGGCACCCAGGGGCACAGATCCTAGCTTTCGAACCAGCCCCTGAAACTTTCGATGTCTTGACTCGCAATCTCGACCTACATGGGGCATCCGGCGTCGCAGCACATCGTTGTGCGCTTGGAGCGGATAGGCACACGGCTACGCTAACGTACTATCCAAACGTCCCGGGCAACTCGACGCTGCGGGCCATGGACAAGGTGCGCGACCAAGAGATTCTGCGGGAACACTTTGGAGTCGTTAAGGTGGAAGGCTGGTTTCGAGACCCTGTCGAGGTTGAAGTTCCCGTTCACCGGCTGTCAGACTGCTTGGGTAGGTATGTGGACAAAGGAGACGCTATCGACCTACTGAAGATCGACGTGGAGGGATCGGAAATGTCGGTACTTCGGGGGATAGACGAGGCAGATTGGTGGCGAGTGCGCCATGTGCTGGTCGAAGTAACCGGCCTCAACGGCTGTCGAGAACAGGTACAGGATTTTCTACATAACAAGGGGTTCACTATCTCTTATGCTGCGGCTCGCGAAATTCCAGAAGGGTTAAAGACAGGCATGTTGACGGCCGTTCGGAGCCCATCAAATGATGACTCCGGCGTGGACATTAAGGTCTAACCACGGAACGCCACATGTGCACGGCGTTCATCAAGGGCTGCCTCAAGATCCATTGAGACAGCGTGGATGGGCGGATGCTTATGACCATCCAATGTTCTCTTCCCACAGATGGTCCATGTGCCAAGTTAAGAGTCTAGCAATAGTCCTTATTGAGGGCCTGGCGCAGGAAATCTCACAGGGTGTAACACTCTGGATGGCAAAATTGTCACGCCATTGGAAAAGGATGATCAAGAGAAGCAGAGCAGAGGTTGGGACACACATGGCCTTCTCCCTGGTATCTCTCTTGAGAGTCATAATATAGGAGAAACTTCTTATCAATAAAAAACCCCATCTTAGAATCGCATCACGTCCCTCTGCAAAGCGCTCTACGTATACGATGGCTAGTAACATAACACCATCCATAAATAGTCATCTGGTAGGCACCTGGTGCGTGGAGTACATCTGTCGTGCTGAAAGAAGAGAATCACCACTCAACTACAGGACATGTTATCACAGTTTCCAGCTTTGTGAGTAACCCCATATTGAGCGCGACGGCATCTTTTGTTGCTAAGTTGGTTTGGTGAGGGATAGATCACTGTATAAGCCATCGCTAGTCGACGGTCGGTTGGTCTGAAGGTGACTCGGTTGGTTCCAGTAAACTGGTGACTACTGTGCTCAACCAGACGCATGCTCCGCTGTCAAACTATCCAGGGGAAAAAGAGTGTTCAACCATGGTGGGGTCAGGCGGCGGACATTCTTCCGAGCAATGGTGGGGCATCTCCAATGTTTGGTGATGCATGATCCCCGCATTCACCAACCCATCCTCATTATTTCATTCCTTGACTTCCCCTGCCAGTGAGAAGTACCCTGATCAATATGTCTATGACCCTGCAAGATTGTGTAACTGTGAGGGAGGGATTTCCCCGACCCTTCCCCAACACCCCTACCAACGTCCTGGAACAATTCTCCCTGCGGGGAAAGGTGGTGGTGATCACGGGCGCCGCCGATGGCATCGGATATGCTGTGGCCGAAGCCATGGCTGAAGCGGGGGCTGACCTTGCCATGTGGTATAACTCGTATGTCTATCCATGGCCTTCCATTCAGCAGTGAATAACGTGGTTAGCAACGACGTGGCAGTTTCCAAGGCCCAGTCCTTGTCCCAGGAACATAATGTCAAGGCCACCGCGTACAAGGTGGATGGTGAGTCGCCGAACCCTGGGTTTCAATCGCTTGGTAGCCATACTAACAGGTGTCTAGTGTCAAATCCCGACACTGTCCAAAGCAAAATCCAGGAAGTTGTGAATGATTTTGGGAAAATGGATGTTTTTATCGCTAACGCGGGCAAGGACCATCTCTCCCCAGGATACTATATCTGTACTCATATGTTATCCAGGGATGGCAATCTCGAAACCACTTCTGCAACAAACTCTGGAGGAATACCGCAAGCAGATGTCGGTGAATGGTAAGTACCACTATCTACGACCCCCATGAGGTACAATCAGTTGACTCTGCCAGTTGATGGCGTTCTGTATTGTGCCAAATACGCCGGGGAAGTCTTCCAGCGCCAGGGCTTCGGCAACTTGATCATCACGTCCAGCATGAGCGCCCAGATCGTCAACGTCCCGGTGGACCAACCCGTCTACAACGCCAGCAAGGCGTTCATCACGCACTTCGGCAAGTCTCTCGCTCGGGAGTGGCGGGAATTCGCCCGCGTCAATATTGTTTCCCCCGGATTCTTCGACACTAAGATGGGCGCGAGCACAGAGACGGTACAGGAGGCGTACCGAATGACGGTGCTGGGACGTCAGGGCCACACCAAGGAAATTAAAGGCCTGTATTTGTATCTGGCTAGCGATGCCTCTACGTACATGACGGGGAGTGACGTGATTATTGACGGGGGATATGTACTGCCGTAGGAGACTAAGGGTCCACAATGATTTTACCGGTTTTCGAACGGTCTTGAGAGTGATCGGAAGATAGTGAGCAAAGTAGCAAAGCACTAGACTGATATTTCAAATCATCCTAATGCACCCATTAACGCGATTCAGTCTCATACACCATCGCCGACATTATCCATGTCTGTTGTGTAACATCATCCAAGACCAACTAAACATTGTCGCACGATCCGCGCACCATTCGCTGGGGCTTCTTCAGCTTCTTCCTGTCCTCCGCGTAAATCACTACGGTTTCACCCTCGGCACCGACAAAGGTGCAGAATCCTCCTCCGGGAGAGGAGATTTCGAAGACGATCATCGGATTGGCTAAACTGTTAGTCTTTTGCTCCATACCACGTGGGTATACATGGGAAGGGAAACACCTACTAATGGCATGGCTAGAGGCATCAGTGGGAAAGGACTGGCCGAACCGTTCTCCACGGCCGCCGCGGAAGGTGACAGCGACGTCAAACGCGGCCGTCAGGGAGGCCAGGGAGGCGATGGTAGCGACGATGACGGAGGTCTTCATTGTAAATGATACTCTGGAGTTGGATCTTTTGGCGATGGTAGAAGTTTGTCAGTTCTGTGGTTGGCATAGGAGACCATCTTCAGCCCAGGTGCAATGACGGGCTTTATACCCGTCGTCGGTCTGCCAGCTCGACTGCGTTGTGCTGCCATCTCGCTGTCTAGAAAATGTCTATCCATACCAGGGTGACAATCGTCCCCATCAAGGCCTCCTACCACCACAAATAGATGATGGTCGATGCCGTCAGGCCGCCCATGGGATCGACATTTCCCAGCGACGGGGAGGCGCGGCACGACAAATCGCGAGGGCTACAATACGGGGTAGGGCAGGATGGGACGATCCGATAGGCCATCACACATTCCATGTGGGTCGCCCAGCTAGATTTCCGCCAGGTCAACTCCAATCCACAATGCAAGGGAACGACGTCCCAGGTATGAGACAGGTAGGGGGCTGAAGCGGCTGGCTCCACTCGTGGTGGACCATGTCCAAGTCGTGATCGCGAAGGATTGCTGACTGGCTGGCCTTATCGTCTTCGTTTGGTATAATTTGAACAAGCTGTGGCTGCTACATGGAGAATGTGAAGACCGTCCTATTTATAGATATGATGTGTCCAGTAGACGCTGTATCTCAATATAGAAAACCTTGGTTCATCCCAAAAGCAAACCTGCCTTTTCGTTAGGCGTGCTGTGTGATTGACCAACCTTCAATTCTGCATGGTTGATCTTTGAAACATGTATACCTGGATTCCTCAGAGGTCTGAATGTCTAGCAATTGTATCCATATCTGAGCCGTGATTGGATTCTCTGACGCCCCCCTTACTGACCCACCTCAGAATGGCTCGTGTTCGCGGTGTGGATGGATTCCACAGATATTTACACTCTCGATCTTCCATTATATTCCTTTTTGTGACCGATGAAGGGTGAAATTATGCTATTGGTATTTAGTCCACTACGGATGGTGAATTACATGCATGATCCATTCTTTCCATGAATATGTATAGGAGCGTCCATTATAGTGACAGCCCGACATAGTAGCGTCAGAGAGTACCAATATACGCAGCTCACTGACATCGTATATGATCTCTGTATAGACAAGTCATGATCAGCCTGGTTTCGTCTACTAACCTTGACCAAATGCGACCAAATTGTAATGCGATCAAATTGTTATTAGGGATATGTTGGAATGGGTCTCGTGTTGAGTCTATGTTTGATTCTGGCCGTCGAGGGCCGGATGCTGGCCCCAACGCCGGCAAGATAGAAGCAAGAAATAGCGGCATAGTATTACCAGGTGTTCATGTATCAGAGTAGGTTTTACAATTTAAAGACTCACAGATCCATCGATGGACCTTGTCATTGATCCACAAACCAACCATGATACATGTACGTAAAATCAAGCATGGAACTGCCACACCCACCATATTGGCTCCCACAGTAATGGATTATATAGCTAGCTACCCTATTCGCACTTCTCTAATATTCATCAATGTCAACTGGTATAAGTACTTGCCGGGGGATACGACCTATCATGCATGGCTTCCTAGAGTTAACTATAGATATCCAACACCCCTGATTAGCAATGGTCATGGGATAGACGTTGCCCTAGTCTCTCCTTCGATACTCGGTAGTTTCAGGCAATGGCGGCCCATGCTTGTTCTCGCCCTTATCTAGAGTAAACAGAATCGTCGGGACGAAGTGCGATGCATAGATGATAGTTATCAAGATTTGTTCTGCAGCCACTCGATGGTTCGGGTTGGATGGCCTATCCGACCCCACTCGCCCTCGGCGCTTGGGCAAATCGGCGTTGCTAGTCAGCCTAGCAAGGATCAGCGACTGGTTATCATGTCGATCACCTTCAAGATGAATGAGGGGCAGGCTACTCAAACGCTTGGGGTTTACTTATCACTGTTTATCATGCTGATAGCATTATTCCCCTCTTCACCGTTATAAAACTGTCCCTATCGTCCACCATGACTCGACTCTTCCTTCAGCAATCTCTTAAGCAGGCAACACGGTGGCAGCGGAAATCACTGCGTCGATTCTCTCTCCGCACAATGTCTCTCCAACAAGTGAAGCCATCGGCCAATGGTGGCCAGCATGACCACACCCTGTGTGCAAACCGCAAGACCGAAACGGCCATCCTCCACGCCAAACTCGACACCGTCCCACCAACAATCGTCAACAGTCGAGGGATCTACCTAATCACAGAAGACGGACGCGAAATCGTTGATGCCAGCACCGGAGCAGCCGTGGCATGTATAGGACACAACAACTCGCGAGTCAACGCGGCCATCATGAGCCAACTCAACAGCTTCGCCTACATCTACTCGCCGTTCTTCACGAGCAAGATATCCGAGAAGCTAGCGAGAGCCCTGAGCGACTCCACGCAGAATCAGATGGCAAAGGCCTTCATCGTCAGCTCTGGTAGCATCTCTCTCCCGTTCACGACATGACCGCATCGACGCTGATCCTGGAAATAGGCACCGAGGCGATTGAAGCCGCCCTCAAGATGGCCCGCCAGTACTTCCTAGAACTCCCCGAACCTCAAACCGAACGAGCCCACTTCATCGCCCGTCGACAGTCCTACCACGGGAACACGCTAGGCTCGCTATCCGTGGGAGGACACTTTGGCCGCAGGGCGCCATACGCGCCCCTCCTGACGGGAAATGTATCCCACGTCTCGCCATGTTACGCCTACCGTGGGAAGACGCCCGGCGAGAGCGACGAGAATTTTGTCGCACGACTCGCACAGGAACTGGAAGATGAATTCCAGGCTGTCGGACCGAACAAAGTGTGCGCATTCGTTGCGGAGACTGTCTCCGGCACCGTAAGTCGACCAGCCTAACAATTACTATCGAATCATGCCAATGCTAAAACTAAACAGACACTCGGTTGCGTCCCTCCCGTACCGGGATACTTCCAAGCAATGCGAGCAGTCTGCGACCGGCACGGGGCTCTCCTGATCATGGACGAAGTGATGTCCGGGATGGGCCGATGCGGAACCCTGCACGCCTGGGAGCAGGAAGGGGTGGTGCCAGACTTACAGACCGTAGCCAAGGGCCTCGGAGGCGGCTACGCGCCGATCGGGGCCCTGCTGGTCAACAAAAGGGTGATAGATGCGCTTGAGAAAGGCTCGGGGGCCTTCATCCACAGCCAGACATACCAGGGCCACCCGGTGGCATGCGCAGCCGCATACGAAGTGCAGCAGATCATGCAAGAAGAGAATCTCCTAGAAAATGTGCGCGGACTGGGACCCTACATGGGGACGTTGTTGCAGGACAAGCTGAGCGACCATCCACACGTCGGCGATATCCGAGGGAGGGGGTTCTTTTGGGGGGTAAGTCAGCTCCTGTTCCTACAAGACAATTCCTTATATACTAGACGTAGCTGACCACACCAACAGGTGGAGTTCGTGAAGGACAAAGCAACCAAGGAGCCATTTCCAGTTGAGCAACGGGTCGCGCCGACGGTGTTCAAGACCGGGCTGGCTGATCACTCGATTTCCTTCATCCCGGGTACGGGAGTCGCCGATGGGAAGAATGGGGATATTATTCAAATCGCACCGCCGTACAATGCGACTCGGGCGGACATTGAATTGATTGTGGAGAGAACGGCACGGGTGGTGCGACAGGTGCTGGGATAAGATACGGTAGGCCGTTTGGGGGAGTGCAAGCGCTTGGTGAAGAAGTCACTAGCCTCATGGCAGGATGTGTCCAAACTACACATGAATGGGCTAACAAGTTAGGCATATTGTGTTCGTTTCTTCGTATGTAGTTCTATACAGTAAAGGGTATATACGCATATACGGCGTTATGTTCTGGACCTCCTCAATAGCATACCAAGTGAAGGAAGATAGCACTGTCAAGCCTGTCACCAACTCTTGTTAACCCAAGGGCTATCATGTCTTATTGGTCAATTTGCCGTAATATCGCGCGCACATCCGGCCCCTTGACCGGTTTCACGAGAAACGTGTCGATCCCAGCGCTAGCAGCTTCTTTCCGAGCAGCCGGACCGTCTAGGCCGGTCAAGCCTGCAATAATGGTGCGTCGAACCGACTGGCGATCTGACTCGGACATCTGCTCGAGACGTTCATGATCGAATCGGCGCATCTCTCGGGCTGCATCGAAGCCATCCATGACTGGCATGGAGATATCTAATTGGATTAGTGAATTTATACCACAGCACTGTGCGGGTCGGGGACTTACCGAGCAAAACAACGCAGAACTTTCCAGGATGGGCCTTGTACGTATCCACAGCTTCTTGCCCATCCTGAGCTGTCATATACTCACGATTTTCTTTTCTGGCGTAGGCTGTGAGTAATTGCAGGTTGAGGTCGTTATCATCCACCAGGAGTGCCGCTCGCCCGTCATTTTCCCTCTGCTGTGCGGGCTCCACAGAGGACGAAGGCACCCGAAGTTGTTGATGTGATTCACCCGTAGGAGTGTCCGTGGCAGCCGCGGACTGCGGATTGAGGGTCCCCATCGTGTCCGTGGTCGGCCGTTTATGAATCGGCAATCTTTTGCTCGGCGCATCCGCCGCGCTAATGTCCAATGGCAAACGGGAGGATTCTGGCATCTCAACCCACCGAGTATGTTCGCTAGGGTTTGTCCCACCGGTTTGTTGCCCTGTGCGGCGTTTGATACAGAGACTGAGGGCTCGAGCCAATTTCCGAGGGCCACACGGTTGACTGATAAACTCGAAGATGCCGGTTTGCTCGCGGACTTTGGCAGCCACGAACATATTGTGCGCTACTTCGGGATATTGGCAGATCACCACCACAGGGGACTCGTGGCCCACGCCACCACCGGTGTGTTCAGCGAGGCTGAACAGGTCTCTTCCCTTGGGGTCCTCGCTATCCAGCTCGGTTTGCACGGCCAGATAAAAGTCAAACGAAGCAACTTCATCGCCGACCGGAGACACCGAGGTGACTTTCAAGCCAAACCACTCCCGACACATCCGCTCCAGGGCCTCGTACAAAGTGATGTCACGCTGAGAGGAAAGGGAGGCGCCGAACCCTAATATCCCGATAGACTTGTCCACCGTTTCCCGGCGAAGCGCGCTGAATGCCGACATCTCGGGGAAGTCTCAGGGGAGCTCTCAGGGGAGTCGGAGACAGGGTAGCGCCGGAGCGCCGTTCGGATGGTCATTTCCGTCCCTTCTCCCCTGGCGGAAACGATGTCTATAGAACCCCCAATCGACCCAACGGCCTGTCGAACAATACTCAGACCTAATCCGCTCCCGGCTGCAAGGGGGTTTTCTTGCGAGAAAGGCCGGAAGAGATCATTCTGCAGATACTCGGGGCTGATGCCTTTGCCGGTATCTTTGACCGTGAGGACCACGTCATCCTGATCAAGCTGTTCCGTTGCCGAGCCTGAATCAGAGTTCGCAGCACTGTTAGGTTGGTCCCTGGACGATGATTTCAACCCCAGATATATGTAGCCAGAGTTGGTGTATTTTAGAGCGTTCCCAAGCACATTCATCAAAATCCGACGCCACGCACCCGCGTGGGTGAAGAACTCCCAATTTGCGCCGTACTGGATGTCAAAGATCACAGTCACCTCGTTGAGTTGATTGTCAAGCGGTTTCGAGCCCATCATACCACTGGTTGTTCGAGACGACGAATCGACTAACGCCGGTGGGGGTTGTTGTGGGTGATGATAGAAGCTATACCCCGCAAACACACACTCGGCCACCTCCTCGAGGACAGAGTCCAGATTCACCCGTGAGTATGAGCGGAACTTGTCGGCGTCGTTAGACTTGTTCATTTGATTATCAGTGGAACCGGCTGATTCGTTTTTCCCGGAGCCAATCGCTTTCGCTTGGAATTTGTTGATGAAGGTCAGATCCAGGAGATTATTGATGGTGTCGAGTAGCGTGCGACCGCATGATTCGATAGTATGTACCATGCCATGCTGCAGAGCGTTCATGGCCGTATCACTGAGAATGTCCGCCGTGCCCAGGATACCATGCAGGGGATTCCGGAGCTCGTGAGAGATGCTGCTAACCAAGTTGGTTTCCGCCTTCTCCGCCATTTCCACGTCGAGACGACGGATCTCCGCCATGATGTTATTGGCGAATGATGAAACGTAAACAAGCTCATTCTCAGCTGAGAAGACACGGGCCGGAGTGTTCGTCCATATCAAGGATCCCGCAAAGCACCGGGTTCTATCGAAGTCCCAAACAGGTACAAGCAATATGTGTCTGGCGTCGGGGAACATTCGGATCAGACTCAGGGCGTCTTGTCGAAATTTAGACCGGCCCCGCTTTTTGCTAGTCAGGGATCGCTTCTCGAAAGGAGAGCCGGTCGAGGACGCTGTCTTTGCTGGGTCCGATCCCGACGCCTGCCCAGATGTATTGTCGCTGTCATCGGATACGGAACCATCGGCGTTGTATGTGAAGATCTGTCCATGGGGGTAACGTCGCAGTAGACGCGTAAGAAGGAGCTCCGGCACCGCCCCCTCGCGACCAGCGGCGGACTCATCATTGATACTCGAGGTTCGGGAGGTGGCATACCCTAAGGTGAAAGCGCTGCTACCCCCGTCATTCTTAGGTTTCGACACCGCAGAGCCCACATCAGTACTCTCGTCCCCGCTTGAGGTCGAATCACCATCCTCGATCCCAGACACCTGCCGACTCGTGCGGTCGAGTACGCTCCCGAACCGTTGGCTGTTCGCGCCCAGAAAGACGACACCCTCCGCCTCGATCGACTCGCGGATGAGGTTGGCCGCCCGTGAAAATATAAGCTTGATCCCTGTCAGCGAATCCTCCTCTGGGGGGTCACCGGAGAACCGGGCCCGAATTGGATGATTTTGGGGGGATGGCACTGCGGTCTCATCGCGTTGATCGGGACTTGAGGATGTGTTTCGATCGTTGGAGGAATTCTGGCCGTTGGCATCCTGGGACTTTTTCGCGGAATCACGGTGAGATGATGAGACTGGAACACCGCCATCTGCCGCTTCTTGCAGGCCCTGCTGGCGCATGTTTAACTGGCCTTCCACCTTCTCTCCCGAATGCTCCGATGCCTTCTGCTGTGCGGTGGCTTCGCGCCAGGAATCGCGCAGGGTGGCCCTGCCTTCCACAAAGCTCCCCAAGCCAACGATCATCCGTTCAGCCTGGCGGTTTTTGTGTTCGGACCGCTGCATTTCCAAATGTTCCATCACCGTTGCGGCCATGTCTTTCATGAATTGGATTGAATGCCCATCCACGCCAGCTGGGCGTGGCCGTGTATCTATCACACTGTAGGCGCCGATGATGAATCCTCTGGGGCTTATGATCGGCACCCCTGCGTAAAAGTGCACGTCGGAGAGTGCAGCCAGGAGGGACGACCGGAGAGGATCGTCATGAGGTATGTCCGATATGACCACTGCACTCTTATCCATCACCACGCCCTCGTGCGAGTGCGTGGAAGACGACAGGCCGGACACGAGGTTGCAAAGGCCCCGCGCCTTCGGAAAGACACAACATCCTAGTCGCAAATGTTCCTGATCGTTCGCCACTTTCCCCCCGACGAGGCTCAAGGATGGGGTAGCCTCGGCCAAAACATGCTGGTGTGTCCGATCGAAAAGAGAGATAATCGCCCGCTGGGTACCTAAGCGGAAGGCACCCAACTGGGCGAAGGATGTCAAGGCAGAGTCGCGAGAGGGTACCGGCGTGAAGGTGGTTCTGCCGGCCGCGTCGATCGGAGCGAAATGGGAGGAGGACTCGTCACTGGGAACGTATCTGTCGAGTACCGTTAGATGGATTCTCCCCACAGTATCATGCTTCCGCGCCACAACGGTCAACTGACTTGAAAAACTCACGTTCCTGAGCGGATCGGAAACGTGACTGCCCACCCAGACCTGCGATGGGAATCATCTTGTCCGGAGAACCACCATACACCGATCGGTGGGGGAGGTGGCGTTGTCGAGCTGCAATACCGCTCGGTGGACTAGTGATAGGGACTCGGTAAACTAGTGATAGGGCTGATATAGTCGATGATCACAGATCAGAGAAAACGAGAAATCTTCAGCCACTGCTGCTGAATCCATTGGGGGGGGCGTGTTGCCCATCCAGATTATATCGCTGCCATTCTTTGGCTCGGATGTGCATGACATCATGTCCCAAGGAACCACTGCCGTCATTTGCGTCGGACAATCCATACCGAGGCAGGAAATGTCCCCTCTGGGTGGATCAACCCCAGTCGGTTCGGGTCTTGGTTTGGATTCGGGTCGCACCCTTTGACCCATGAAATCATCCAACAAAGGAGGGGAAATGCAGGGGATGGACGATATCAGTGGAGGAAATCTCGATCAGACGGTCCAACATTCCACAGATAATTCAAGGAGAGAATGATGGAATTGGAGGGAGAAGAAGCATCTCCACGTGACTGTGATGGGACATGCAGGTGATCCACAACCAATGACGTAATTGATCCAAGCATAATCTTCTCCATAATCTCAGCCTAGTTCTTTACTTACTCCTCAGTGGTCGATCAAAGACTTGGATATTATAAGATGGATCAGCGATCGTCCTTATTGGTCATGTTGCTTTCATTAGCTAAGATCCAGGGAACTCCCATACGCGAGGAAATGGGCCTCAGGTTAGCCGTCCAGAGGGGACAACTAGGATCAATTATCACCAGTGGGCAAAGCCAACTTTATATTGAAAGATTATAAATAACATAGCCACCAAGAATATTAACGGAAAAATTGCCAGGGATGATATCTATGTCATTGTGTGGTATGTATGAACATGCTGTATAATGACCTGTCAAACCTGGGTAGTTCACACAGCATGAAAGAACACATAGTCAATGACACAAGTTATGCCTATTATTGATCTTAGTGGTATCAGTAGCTTGCGGGATTGACTCGCACTGGCCTTCAATGTAGCAAAGGACGCGTTCTGGGGTTGATAATGAACAACATGATCAATGGGGTTTGTTCTAAGAATACCTTGTGTTCATCTAAATCTTGGCCCTTTGTCCTGAGCAGGCTGTGATCCTTGTTGATACATAGCAAGCCGCCCTGTACAAAGACTTGCTCCTCTAGTATAAATATTCGTGTTCAGCCCTTCTTATCTATACGTCACCTATACCACCAAACATTATTCCCTCCAACCTACCATTCCATCTGCCAATCTGATCGTCAATTCAATTTTAGCTAAGATAGCCCCCGATTCAGGACAAATTGCTGTCAAAGGTAATCAAGATGTCTGACGAATCATCCACATCCCCAGAGCCGTCGGATTTCAGAGCTCCCACGATCACGTTTGGCCCTGAAACCAGATACTTTTACACTGTTCTCACCCCGGAGCTCGTAAACGGCAAAGTATGGTATGTATGGGTGCCAATCCAAGGACAGTTTAATACTGTTGACATCCTCACTTTGATGGCTAATTGCGTATCACATACTCAATACATCGACGAGGTGCCGGACACGGTGTACAGCGAGGACGAAAGAGGAGGCGTCTGGGTGGAGTACTTTACATCCCCCCATATCAAATGCGCTGATGTGATGCTGCGGCTGTATTCACATCTCAAGAAGCACGTTGATGCGGTTAGGGTGGGATATGACATTGACTTGACGACGAAGCCGTACACTGCGCCTGAAGAATCGAGTTCGAGTTCGAGTTCGAGTTTCAGTGGTGAAAGTCCTCGACGGCCCTAGAATTTGCCTGCTGAGCCCATTATATATGTTGCAAGTATTAGTACAATGCAGGCTGGATTCCAGATCTAGAATCATCCTTTCCCATGCAACGGCCGCGCTTATGGCCGTGATGTAGAGTTGCCCGTGTCATCTTATAGTGGTTCTTGACATAGTCCTCGTGGCGGTGATTGAATACCTGATTGATAATTTCCTGTTAAATCAGCAGAAGATGTCCTGACACAGTAAGCCAGCAGTATGAATGAATTGTTGGCCTCATCTTTTCTAGTTTCGTTGTCTTGATTCGGATAACTTCCCATCCAGCACGGTTCGTGCCCATGGCGTTGCGACCAACAACATCCGCAGATCCGCACTGTCGGGATGGCAAAGGCGGAAACGGGCGGCAGTAATTCGTAACTTAACCCCGTGGGGACTTTTCCCTCGGGGATCCTCTGAAATCATCCATCTTCGTCATAATACTCCCTACTACCATCTTGCTCCCAGATCGTCATAAAGTAACCGTTTTCATCAGGCTCTGACTACGGAGTCATCAACACCAAACCACCACACTTGGAACCTTAACCGAGTCGTCCCGTGGTATCTTTTAGTTGACATTAGTGCTTATCGCTGCTTCAAATGTAAATGACCAATACCCACTGCTCCCTGCCGGGGATTCCACTCGGTTGGATATCAACTCATATTACGCTTTTTCTTGGAACCAAAGAAGCCTGACCAACCCATTCCGTCGCTGAAGCATGGAGAGGCGATGGACGGAAGTTTCACCTGGCCGATGGGAGCGCCCTACGAGTGGCATGGAAGGGTACTTCTGTGTCACTGGTGAAACGACAGCGTCGGCCTGCGACGGCCGCGAGCATTACAGCATTTTCTCCACGCTTACTCTCGAGTTGGACTACGTAGACGTGGAACCGGCCTTGCGACATGCCTGGAAACAGATGCGATATGAACAGCCTCAGATCGCCACGACAGCGGAGGGAACAAACTTTGTGTACGAGGTTCCCGATGAGACCGCCCTAAGCCACTGGCTAGGATTGACGTTTGTCGTCTCCGACGCTGGGGGCTCCGATGAGCTCTACCTCCAGGGAACCCCATTCAGGCAATCGACCTTATACTGGCTCCCGCGATCGTCGGAGCTCGTGTTCCGTGCCCACCACCAGAACATCGACGGCACAGGGGTGCTGCTGTTTTGGCACCGCTATCTCGGCGCGCTGACGTCTCCTACCCAGCCAATCGACTTCGGCGACGAGCCGGCCAGACTGGCTCCCGTGATGGAAGACATCCTCGGCCTTGAGAGCCAATCGTCTAAAAAAGACGAGAAAGCACTAGGCGTGCTTTCAGAGTACATCAACAACGTCCCCGGCATCGGCCACACCTCCAGAGTGGGGTCCGCGCCTTCCGGACGCAGTCGGACTGCAGACCTAACCTTCTCGATGGCGAAGACGGACCGAATCGTCCGGGCTTGCCAGGCGCACGGCGTCACGGTCACGTCGGCCCTACATGCGGCATATATCCAGGCGCTCACGAAACACGCGGACCCAAACTCGCAGACAACGCGGTACGTCAGTGCCAACCAGTTCAATTTACGTCCATACCTCCCCGAGCCGTACAGCACGGATCGGTACGGCGTTGCAGTGTATTATGCGACCCATCCGTTCACGATCGCCTTACCGTCGACTTTCTGGGAGACGGCCCACGCGCTGCATCACTACTATTCCACCTCATACAAGGGCAATCGGCCGCTGCTGGAGCTCAACGGCCACATCACGCGCGCACTCTGCAACATCGTGCAGACACCCGAGTACTTAGCAGCCCCGGTGCCGACTGACGCGCTTGTGAGCAGCCTAGGAATCGCAGAGAGATATCTGCAGCGAGAATATGGGAAGGGCGTGGTCGTCAAGAACCTGGCAGTGGGTGTGGAAGTCGTGCTAAGGATGAGTATGATATTCTTCTATACGTTTCGGGATCAATTACGATTGAGGTACTGTTTCAACGAGGGATTTGAAAACATGACAGATGTTGGACTGTACTTGCAGGAGATGGAGATGGTTTTGGACCAGGAGTTATTGTCTTGATGGGGGCTTTCTCTTAGGGTGCACTCTGTCACCTGACTGCGAGGCTGTCGGTCGTTTCTTCTTCTTCTTCTTGCCAACTCAACTTTCTTCCCAACCCTTCTCTCCCCTCTCCTCATCATCACTATCATCATTATTATCATCATCATGCATGCCATCGATTTCATCAATTTCATCAATTCCATTAGCGTCCCACTACAAGACGATGGCCTAGGCTAGGTTTTGCTCTAAATACAACCCATAGAGGTAAATTCCCCTACTGAAGCCCGGAGAGTTCGTCGGCGTTACTATCCTCCCACTGAAGGTCCCCCTCTTGAATTATTTTCGCATAAGCAGCACTCCGGGGCTTAATGTCGACCTCGAACGGCTTCGGATGAACAATGATACCGTTGGTAAGTTCCAGGGACAGATCCACTTCTTTACCATCGCGGATGGGCTTGGTGATGTTGAAGGAAGCTACGACTTGGGCAATACTGAGGAAAAGGTTCGCGTCCGCCAGCGTGCGACCCGGACATACGCGTCGTCCGTGTCCGAAAGTCAGATAGTAAGGGTCCTGCTCGGGGACATGGCCTTCCGAGTGCAGGAATCGTTCGGGCTTGAATGCCTCAGGATCGGGGTAGGTGACCGGGTCGTGGGTGAAAGCCCTATGGTTTGTTAGCCGGGGTTGCTCCAGGCGCGATTATTCTGCTCAAGTGAGCGGGGATAGATACCAGGTGTTCGGCATGACCATAGTTCCCTTGGGGATCACGTATTCCCCCCAAACATCATCGCGGATCGACGTGTGGGCAGCGCCCATTGGGAGAATTGGGTGCCAGCGGATGATTTCCTTGATCATCGCGTTGATGTAGGGCAGGTTCTCGCGATCCTCAAAGGTAGGCAGACGGCCGGGCCCGACAACGCGATCGATCTCCGCTTGCGCTTGGCGCTGGACCTCGGGGAACATGGCCATGGCAAGAAACCAGCCTCTCATAGTTGACACCGTCTATATCAGTCAGCAACGGGTGCCTTGTTTTGGTGACGCACAAGAGTAAGGGTGAATGTCTCACAGTGTCAGCACCCCCGCCATAAAGCACGCTGCTGGCCCATTTAACAACGATCTCTTCTTCCGACCCGGGCTTCGGTACACCCTCTTCCAGTAAGTTGGAGAGGAAGGAGGGCGTGTAATCGCCTTTCGCCATTCTACTCCTTGTGAAGTCATACGGGACGGTGCTGAATGCGTGCGCGCGCGCTCGGAACGCTTTTGCCACTCGTGCGAACTGTGCGCCGGGGAACCAGGCGGGGACGTGTTTGACTAGACACCTCATTAGCCGATGATATCATGAATGCATAGGAGGCGGCATAGCATACGGAAGGGAAGGAAGTCGACGGCCCAAGTGCCAGAAAGGAAAGCAAATGAAAAATCATCCATGGCTTTGTCCGCCAAATCCACGAGAGGATCAGGTTGATGTGGGTCGACATTGTAACCATATGCGATCTTCAGCACGATCCCACCGGCTTCCCTAATATGTGTCAGACACTGCGCCGGACGAAAGGCGGGGGCAGACTGACTTGCGTATATGTTTCGTCAAGTTCGCCGGATCTTCGAGCAGTCGATACAATAAGCGCCGAACCTCGACTTCCTGCACTGAGCGAAAACCCGCAACGGACACATTAGACCCGACTTGGCGATGGATGGCCCTCCGGATCGCTTTGAATCGCGGGGAATATTCGACACAGCCAAGCATCTTATCCCAACCCGCTCTGGGACCAGTTAGCGCCAGCCATTTGGGACCTGGGAGAGAATTACAAGCTGGCAAAGTTCATGTGCGGTCGGGAGGAGTAGGTCAGGGAGCGTCTTTCGAGGAGTTCAATGGCGAGATGCATGTCATTGACGATCACAATGTTTTGACCGCTTACTGTCAACGAGCTGATGGGGCCTGTCGCCGTGAGTTTATGAGCTTGAGTTAGGAATATCGGTCGCCGTACCATAGAGGTCCTTGTGCTTGAGCCAGTGTTCCCATGGCTTCACTTCATGGGATGGTAAGTCGTTCAAGTTTCCCACAAAGGGCTTCCGAGGAGGACCTGGAGGAAGCTTTCCCAATGTCGCTTTCTGTTTGAAGGATGCCTGGAAAAGCCATTTCAACAAATACAGGCCAACGGCAGTGATCGCGACCGTGATCATGGGTGACATGATGGCGGTTGTTTACAATCCCAGTGGTTGTTGAGTATTGAGAAAAGGCTCGAAGGGCAGTGGAATATTTCGTCCAAGGAGACAGACCTGACTACGGGCATAGCTACCACGGCAGGAATCACTGCGGGGTTGCGCACCATGAGCTATTGCCACTTATTACGCGACCGGACTTGACCAGATCTGTATGGGGATCAACGACACCACCATCTTGGACTCCCGTACACTCATTAGGAATGGTTGGTTGCACTGGATTAAGACCTTTTGTCACAAAAAACAAAGCTATGGTGACAGCCCGGTCCGGACAGGATATGACCTGTCTAGAGATCCACATTAGTCAATCATTGCCTAATAGAGGAGTTGGCGTGTGTCCCCGCCGTTCAGTCTCGGGTGGAGAGACGGAACGGAATCCCCGAAATAAAGGGCGCACAAGTGATTGGTTGTTTTCATGTGTTTTGGTCAAAGTGTGGCTTCATCAGGTGAGGAAAGCATCTTGACCTAACGAAGTCCCAAAGTAAGTCAGGCTTCCGGATATTGAAGCATATACTTGTTGCGTTACCTATTGCGCGAACAGAGCGCCAATCACCGCCAATGCAACTTCAAAACCCCGGTGCTCTCCGCACACCAACTTACTCGCATTGTTTCTTGTATCTTCTACTTTTCCTACTTTCGAAATACTCGACTGGATCCCAGGACTCAGCTCGCCGGGAAACTTGGCATATCGCTCCCGGTCTATAGGACCTCGAGAAAGCTTTACTCCGTACGCAGCGGCACATGCCCAGTGTCTTCCCCCGATCTCCTCCCCAACCGCCATTCCACGCGATAAAACAGTTCCGTCTCATAAAAGTGACTCGACGCCGGCAACATTATTCTGAGATCACCAAATTCTTCCCTGTTGGGCTATCATAACCAGACGTCCAGGCGCCGTCTCTCCAGGCTGGCCTTGACCAAGCCATCGATCCAATCGTCGATAGCGTCGGATTCTCAAATTAGTGCTCTTTTTAGGTCGACGCGATGGCGTTCTGTTCCCAATCCTCCACTTAAAGCATTGTCGGGCAACGTGGAAGTCTGAATACTGCCCTGTCGGAACGCGGCCGTCCCTTTTAGCGGCGAGCGAAGTCTATCGTGTTCCAAGATCGCCGAGAGACGGACATAATAGCCACCCCCGTAGCCCATCTTATGATTGGTAGACTCGAGCGGGCCAGGTGGGCTCTCCCGACGGTCACTCCGCCACGTTGGGACCGTCCGGCGTGAGAGTCTCACGAGTCGTGACGCCTATGTCAACGGGGTCGCCTGGACTCCTCGCAAACGGCCAATACTTTAACCACGTGTGCGTCAAAATTTCAGAGTCATACTCGAGATTTTCGATGTGAGTAGGATCAGCTAGTGGAACTAGGAGATGGGCTGTCGTGCGTGTGCTTTTGACAAACGCTGGATGCCAAAGAGGCAGGAGACAAGGGCTTGTCGTCGGGTATTTTCACGCCCCACATTTTCCTTTTTGCTTTTCCCGATGGCGCCGTTTGACGAATAGGATAGGCTGAAAGTTCATATATTTGGGAACAGAGTGTTACCTTGAAGAGTGATGATAGACACCCCACCCGCTCTGGTCGCGAACTCAGGAGGATTACAACCCACGTGCAGTAAGTGAGTCCCCTGCTCGAACGATCAACAGAATGAATCAGTTTAACGTGGATTTGGGCATTCCTGCTATGGTAAATGAGTTAGTAGACCTATTGGTTGAATGAGTGCCGGTGCTGGACTCGCAGGGTTGTGATCCGAAAGACATTTATGCATATCTCACATGGAAGTCTTTTCATCCTAGGCTGGTAGCTTGGCACCACTGATGCTCGGGGAACTTGATCTTGGCGAAGCAGTGCTCTAGTACCTCGCCCGGTCGAAGGGGTGGAGAAGGGCAGTCCCACTCTCCGAGACCGTCTCTAGAACTATGCCCAGGATCGACGTCCTGCCCGCATTAGTTCTGTCTTTGTTGGGAGCTGAGCTGACATTAGCATTTCTTTGTTTGGCCGCAATGAAGGAACCATACCAGGATGGGCTTTCGGGTTCAAAAGTTCTAGCGACCACGGACACTTCCATATGCCCTATTCTACAGGCGTGGGCTCCAACTGTCTCAGGACACGTTTACCATCGTTGGAATACAGTGTACGGGGAATGCTGTTAGTCCGCGTTGGAATCGGCACTGTGGATCAGTTAGAGTCAATGACGGTGACCACGCTAGCCTTCGGGCTGTTAGATTCCAGCATGTCCCGGAGTCAACTAAAAGAGGGACAGCTGAGTCTACCAGCCCTGGAAGCATTGGTGTTGCAAGTACTCCGTACGAGAGGGAGAGTATTCTGGTATGCAAGAGATTTGGTCCTGGCTCATGAGAACAGGTGGTTCAAGGTTCACTTACCTGCATCCTGACTGGCGTAAATTTTCATTTAAAATAAGAGCTATATAATATTAGTCCCAGGCCAGACTCTTTAGACCTTTGATCTTATCCAATAAGTCTTGATTTGGTTAGTGGATAACACATTCCTTTGGATCGAATATCTACCTCTATGTTCCATGACCCACTAGACAAACCTGATTAGAAGTGAATAGAACACGGCTTGGTACAGAGTAGTTCGATTCACTTATCTAGGATAATTGATCAACACTAGACTTGAATTCTACACAAACTGGTTATCTCACTCTGGTGATTTTGCTTTAACTTTCCATATACCCTCAGCTTTATTCCTTATCCCACACATCCTGACGATCTACGGCTGTCCAATTTCATTATAATTATTGGTATCTTTTCATATTTATAAGATGTATGGCTGATCTATTGTTCCTCTTTTGCAGCCAAAGTCACCGATGACTATCATAATGTTTCTCCAATACCCATGGTTTATGACCGTCATCATGTCTCGCGTGTGCTGTCTTTCTTCTCTGAAAGGTGCCTCCTTTGTATCATTTTGTGGCATTGCCTGCATTATACTATCTGTGTACTGTAGGTATGTAGTATATAGACCGGGAATATACAATATACCTCTGGCACGGTATAAGATGGCAAACGATTGTTATTATTTAACTAACTAACTAGAACTCGCTACGGTATGACAGATCGAAGGATATGATATACCCGACACATTGTTATGTACATCACAATTGAAGCCATTCCAGCCGCCTTACTATCAATCCTTGACAATTCACAAGCATCTGCCGGCGCTAAAAGCCCAGGGAGTACAACGTTCTAATGAGTGGCTTGGAACACTAAAGTATAGATTATGATGGCTTCTATACGAACAGGGACAGTTTGATAGGGGACAGGGCCAATATATGCCTCTCTAGTCTATCAGGCCTAGGGGGCGCTTCGCATTTCTGCTACCCTGTAAGGCCTAAGACCAACGAGAGGGTTACGTCCACTCTAATTAAACACCTACGAAGATGATCATTGTTCAACAAATCCGCGGTGGGAGGTTGTGAGGTAATAGAAAGCCATCAATAGTGACGTTTTCAAATGTAGCACGAAGTTCCCTCAATTTATTTCCAAATGTGAATCTACTGGTGGTGTCATGAAATGGTGCTGAGCATCTTCTCACCCCGAGTCCTAGAGCTTCAATGTCAGAGAGCAAAACATGACATTATTTCCAATCAAGCTCAAAACCGCCTGTCTTTACCTGTCGCTTGGCTTCTATACTATTGTTGGCGATGTATTACTCCTGGCTCCGCTCAGTTCCGCTTCTCTGGACAAGTGGCCATAAGATAATTGAAAAACTTTATACATCTCTTCCTACGCAATATCCTTTCCGACGAATCTGTCTTGGTATATCTGAGTCTGAGAACCATCCCCAGTATCATTCATTACGAAACATTCTAATACAACAGAAAATCCAACCATGAGAGAATTTCACGCCCTATGAGGCACGATCAACGGCTAAACAGACTTCTCATCCCCGGGCCATCAGTGTACACAACCCCCATTCCCAAACACCGCCTTCGAAGCATCAGCCCAGACACTCTCCTGCGACAACACATTCTCCGCCGTATAGAACCTCCGACATCCCGCAGGCTCGTAGGTGAATTGCATCGGCAGCTCGTCATCATCTTGTGCGAAGGCGTTCTGGATATTCACAGCAGCTTCCCACGCCACGCCGAGTTGGCTGAAAGGTATGTTTGGAAGCGTCTCATTCCAAGATTGTAGTTCACCCCTGGTCAACAGGGGCGAGTCGGTGCCAGAGGAGCCGACGGCCTTTTCATAAGACCGAGTGACCAGGCGCGACAGACCTGTAAGGCTGGCAAGAATTCCACCCCTTACGGCACCGATGGTCTGCATTTCGGCCTTCTGGGGCCGGCCACCAAAGGCAATACTCTTGACGTTTTGCTCGAGCATGAGCTCGGCGAACATGGCGCAGGCCGAACCGCACATGCCGTCGGAGACCTATTGAGGTTAGCGAAGCCCTACACGCGGTTTCATGAACGCGGAACCATACAATAACGATGTCTTCAGCCTTGAAAGGAGCGGTTTTCGGATCTAACGGAATAGGTCCATATCCACTAACAGGTGATTCCTCTGTCGACCGCAGCTTCGTATTGGTCGTAGATATCAGCATCGTTGAATTCATTCCAACCGTCTCGTACGGCCCGTAGAGCTTTTGCCAGGACGTGATGTTATGTTCCAGATCCGGCGTCACGGCTTCTCCAGCCCAGTATACAAATTGCCCGTCTTTCTCGACCCTCCCGTCGTCCGGATCCCCGTTCGGATATACCTTTCCGAGAAGGTTGAGGCCATCGTGCGCACGGTATCGACTAGCGGTGTAAGGCAGCTTTTCCGGGAAGAACATCTTGAAAAGATCAAGCGCAGAAGTTATGACCCCGCCGGTGTTGCTAGATATGTCAATGATGATTTTGCTTCTACCTCGAGCCGTCGCATTCTTAATAAGGTCTTTAGCTGCCCGGGAGAAGCTTCTTGTGTAGATTGTCCCGAACGTTGGGACCGACAGTACGGCGACGTCCTTGAGAGCCGGATGATCGGGGAGGTACCCAGTAATTTCATCTCCTTTGGAACGAGTGAAAGGCTCTGGATATCCATCTAGCGGCATCCTTTTTGCTGACTTAATCGACTCAGGTGATGTGGCAAAGTCCTGCGTGGCCTCGTCGCTATTCACGCAGAGCTTATCGTACAAGGAGGGGCCGTCTCGCCAGGGAAAGTGGGTGAGCGGTGTCAGAAGTTGTGCGTGTGTCTCCACCGTAATTTCAGTGCTGTTCTTGAACTTCAACGTGTGAGATGAACCTGGCCACAGTCGGTTCTGTGCCCAGCCTCCGGTCCCATTGGACCTGGCGCCCAGTGTGTGGGCATTGGACGGGAAAAGATTGTTGTATCTGGATAGTGTTAGTATTTTTAGTATCTTGGTGCTTCGGGAGAGCAATCAAGGACAAACATACTGAGCGTCCGGGTCGTGCGCGTTGTAACCATTGTAATGGACGACTTGAGAGAGTTTTGCTAGATACTCGCTCACGGCCACTCCATCGATGAACGTCACCGGAGAGACATGCTCAACGCCGTTCCGTTGGAGCTCGCCATCGTCTAGTGACATTAGCGATCCCTGTCCGAGTACACTGCGGACTGGGGTAGCTCACGATGTGTGTATACTTCGGGGAGATCGATCCCGTCCTTCGAGATGGACACAAGAGGATAATCGTTGGTGAACTGGACAACGTTGATCGAGCACATTTTGACAGAAAGATGCTCATCGCGTGCGGCTAGGATTAGCTGCACGATGTCGGAGTCGAAATCAAACTGGCTCTGGTAGGCATTCCCCACTGCCTTCTTCTTGATATCGTCCAATCCGGCTTTGAGATCGACGCCGGGCACCGGATACGCGGGAGGAGGGTCTGCTTGTAAGTTATGAGCCGCACGCGGTAAACACCCCGTTTCCATCTACTGCTTACCTCGCAGAATGTCGATATTCGACTGGAATTCTAGCCATTTCCTGTATTGGTCGAGAAATGTCACAGCTGGGTCGGGTTTGAACGGGATCGACTGGAGGCAATCGTAGGCCACATTGCCGGGGAATTTTGGGGACGCTGACCCATTAGCAGCCCATAATGGCACCAGAAAAGGCAAACCTACTCTGATTCTCTTTGGCGGCCCTTTCAATGAGGTCACCCAGCAGGGCGCAAGGTTCCTGATGCTGCGGGGCCGCGGACCCGATACTCGGGAGACAAAGTGAAAACAGGGCAAGATTGAAAGGTTTCAGCATGGTCACGAAGCTCTGGTATGATAGATTCAAATTTGGCTCGTCTCAGCCATGCATGCGTCAATGTTATCTATTTGTAGCTGTCCACCAGGATATCAGGCTGTGGTGCTTACATCCACGCCTCAATTATCATGGCAGTGCAGGTCGGCTGTGAGCGTATGATTGTCAATTCTTAGTGTAATATCAGCCACATCAAGCCCGACCAAATGCTGCTTTGGTATTTTGGTGCCGAGGATAATAATCATTATAGTGGCTTCCAATGCCGTCACCGACACTACTCGGGACAGTGAAACGAGTGAGGTTCGAATAAGCTTGTGGTCCTAGGCGCCACCCTCGTGCTCTCCATGGAGTTGTTCAATGCTTGCGCAGTTACCTAGCAACATCTCAAAATTTCTTTGGGATTTTTGGATATTTTTCTATGTCATGGACGTTGTAATTGCTATGGGATTCTAACCTCCTGCGCGAGCAGTCACTGACATGACTGGGATCAGGCTTGAAAGCAACCAGCAGCCTTGCCGTATCCTCTGTCCAAAAGATCGCCAGAAAAGAAGCCCAACGCTGCCTCACCTTTGATACCCCATTGTTCTTGCTCCATGAAGTAAATGGTGGAGCGTAACGCCCATCCGATCACGGGGCTGTGTTCATCTCTAGGCAGTCCCTTTTTGGGGAGTTGTTCATGGGACACTAACAAGGCTCTCACAGACCTCCTGCAGGCAGGAGTATCAAGAATCAGGATCTTAGCAATGGTTTATGTGCCTAATCATAGCAATCTAGTCTTACCGTTGCGTAGCCTTGTCTGCTACTTTCGAGTTTCAAGAGCTGTGGTGGGTGATTTGGAAAGTAGGCAATCCAAACCCAAAAAAATTAGAAAAAAAAAAAATTTAAAAAGGTTGAATGATGAAAATTATGAATAAATAAACAGATAAGAAAGGAATTACATCAATCAAAAACGACAAGAAGCAGAAGGCGAGGAAGCAGAAGAAGAAGAAGACAAGGAAAGGAGTTTATTGACATCCATAGCAGAGCAATGACATATCATACCCCAAACAGGGAAAGTAGCCGACTCCACCGCGGGATCAATTCACCACTCCTGCATCACACCGATACTACGCACAGAATACATACAAGGGATGTGAGTTCAACCAGCGTACGCGTCTGCCTTTCCGGACTAAATAAAGCTGCCTGCATAAGCCAGCCGGTACATGGGCAATTTCGTGCCAGTCGGATGGTGGTCGGGCCTCAGGCTGGGCATATGATAGACTCCGCCACCTGCACACCAGGCAAGGCTGTTGCGCGGTTTAAGTCTGGGGGTTATATTTAGATCAACATCGGGTGTGGACGGTGTACTCGAGAGCAAGGTAGAATAGTTCGACATTACTATTAATCTATTTCGGATCTTGAGTCGTGGGCTACCAGGTCGTGATTCCACTATATCGTGAATTGGTGAGCCATGGTTGCTTTATATATATTGACCCGATCCACACCCATGGATCATAACATCCTTGCTTTTGAGATCGGTACCAGGATAAATTATGTAAAATTTACTGGAATACTAAAGTATAATAATAGACAACACTATCCACCCCGCCATTCACCCAACCGGCACCACGATCCATACCCCGTAGTCGTTAAATAAAAGATACATAATAATGGGACATGACGAACGCCAAGGCCCGCCACAACCGGTAAATTCAGGGACGATCAGCGCCAAGAAGACACGCCGAGGCGACCGCGTGGCCCGACAAGCCGCCTAGCGCAGCCACTGCCGTCATTTCCGCCTTAATTGCACCATCGCGATCTCCCTCCCGACCAAAGAACTTGGATGGTATGGTATACAAGATGATTGTTATGGTGTCATAGTAATATATTTATTTGTATTAAGTCATATCGATACACTGTGCATCATGCAAAGATCAAGTTTAGAAACCAAGGAAAACAGAGCAACATAAGAAAAGGTTCCCATTATAATCACATAGATCGCTGACGTTATGATTGTTCGTCACGCGTCCATGCGAGCTGGCCATAAAAAATCAACCCATTTAGAGGGCGAGGACAACGGCCAGCATACCGGCGGCACCGGCAACACCAGCGGCCATGCCAGTGGGGGCAGCAGCGGCGTTGTCGGAGGCGGAGGCAGACTCCTTGGAGTCAGCGGGGTCGGCGGAGCCGCCCTCGGACTCGGAGATCTCAGTGGGCAGGACGGAGGCGAGCTCGGGGAAAGCGGAGGTAGCCTCGTCGACGACGGAAGAGGCGTAGGCCTGGACCGAGGTGGGCAGGCTAGAGTACCAGCCGGGGGCGCTGTTGCTGGGCCACTGGCTGAAGAGGGAGGCGGCCTTCTCGGGGTCGGCAAAGGCAGCGGCGACGGAGGAGGGGACGGCGGTGGCGAAGGCCGACTCGATGCTGGGGGGGACGCTGGCCAGGGCAGGCACCTCGGAGGCGAACTCCTCGGGGGAGATGTCCAGGTCGAGTCCCTCGAGGAAATCGCCGGCCTCCTGGCTGGCGGAGCTACCGCTGGGGCCGCTCTGGCTCTGGGCGAAGGCCAGGCCGGAAGAGGCGAGGAGGATGGTACCGACAGTCTTGAAATGCATGGTGATGGTTGTTGAGGTGGGGTGGTGATTTGAGAGAGGGTTTTGTTTTATTTTTAAATTGAATTGGAAGTCTCTTGTCTGAAGGCACGGAGAGGAATGGAAAAGGAAGAAGGAGGAGAGCCGGGGGATGCGGCTTTAAGTAGCCATCGACAAACAGGATTGCCTGAGATCACCCTGCCAAGAGGCTGAGGCGGCGTGTCGTGGTAATTGTGTTTGTTATTATTAGAGCATCATAGTTCTCATGGAATCAAGATGCTGGTCCTGAGAGGCTCCGCCTCCGTCGGGACGCTATCATCACTACTAAAGCCCGATGGAGTAAGTGATCTCGACCGTAGAGTTAAGGATGGACCCAGCAATACCCAATCACACTCGCCACTCGGCAGACCGACTCCATCGATGGAAGAAGAGGAAACGACGGGTCAGATCATGGTCCTATCCAGGAAAGTAAACGGAGTTCCACGAAAATAATCACAATTCGACAGAGCACTAGAAAGATCAAGCGTCGTCTAACCCCTGAGACACGGTGATCAAGTCGGGTTGTTGTGTGAGGCAGGTATTGGGATGATCGTGGAGGATGCGCGGCCAGGTCCACCGCTGCTAAGCCCTAACAGTCCTGAAAATCAACATTGCCAATACAAGGATATCAAGGAGACCAACCACCGCCGTGCAGTTGTTGAATCCGATGGGTCGGGACCCACTCCACGGTCTTGCCAGCGCCCCCCTGGCCGACCCACAGACACTCCCCCTCAAAGTCTACGCCCGCATCTTACGGGACGACGGGGGTTGTGGATGCACATAGAACGTATTCCATTGGCTAAATAACACCGCGGATGGTAAACAGCGGCTACGAGGTCGGCTCCATTGTTGGGCCGAAGGATTGATCAGACCGCACTCGGTCGCTTCCCATTCAAGACTGCCTCAATCTGATCCAGCTCTTTCTCCCACGGTTCCATGGGCTCCGGGGCGTGATCAAAGGGGTCCTTGTTGGGACCCTCCACGTCGATATGCACGTCGTCGCGTAGTTCCATGGTACCCTGCCCGATCGGACTGCCCAGGTACTCCAGCAGCCCCGGGCCGGCCGCCGACGCGCTGTTGGGGTCGCAGTACACCTTGACACTGTACTTTCGGCCCTTGCTGAAGAAGAATGTCGTGAGGTCGATTGCCCCGTTGGTCGTCGGGAAGGGCTGCATCGTCACCTCGCGGAATTCGGTCAGCGTCAGGATCAGGCCCTCGGACAAATGCTCGTCGACCACAGCGGAGAGGTCGCGATCGAGACGGACATTGCTCGCCGAGAGGGCCGCGTTTGGTGCTTTTAGTAGCATGTGAGAGAGATGTTTCTGTTCCGCCGTCCCGTAGAGATATAAACGGCATGTAATGACGAGGGTAATCGGGCTCGCGGTTGGCCGAGTTCAGCGGTCGGCTATTGATCACGCGCGTCACCGTCACATCGCAGGAGATGCTACCGGGGGTGCTGATCTTGTCAGCGTTGTCACCGTACAGGGTATAATTGGGAGAGGGGACATACTTCTTAACGCCGATGGAACCTTTAAGGGTGGGATTCTCCTTCTTCAACGCCCGATTCACTAGATCTTCTAGGTGGATGTTCTCCACAGATACAAGGGTGATATTCTCCTCGGGATTCTCCTCTTTCAATTTCACATAGCTGGCCTTGGTGGCGGGGTTCAACTCGGCAGAGAAGATAATCTGCTGCCGTTGCGTAGCCTGGTGGAAGCAGGCCAGAAAATCGAGGAACACCTCGTCGGTGCCTCGCAGCAAAAACGCAACTTTGTCGTTACCTGGTTTATTCCTCGGCCAGCATCCTTTCACCACCTCGTCCTTGATGATATCCTGGAAGTAGCCCATCAACTGCCCAATAAAGTCCCGCTCCGTTGGAAAGGGGCTCATGACCACATTTCGTAGTACCCACAGGTCCTGCGGGGCTTGGTCCAGGTGCAGTCGCTTCATAAAATGCAGCGCGCATTTTCCGTAAAGCTCAGGGGTGAATTGGGTCGACGTGAGGTACAGGGGGATCTTTCGGGGGTCTTGGTCCACACTAGTAATACTGAGTCGGTTCACCACGCGTCGCATCAGGTGATTTGCCTCCTCGATATCGTTGTTCAGGGTGCCGTCCTCTCTATACCAATTCAGGGCGAAGGCATTGATGTTCAGATCCGACCCCAACTCCCGGATGTATGTCATGATATTCGCGTTTTGGCTGATGTAGTCATTGTCCTTCCTGATGATATGCTCGAGGATTGCCTGTCGCCGCTCATTCATCTCGGGAGACAGAGAGTCATACCCAAGCTTTTCCAGCGGAAGGCGGTTGAACGGGATACAGATGAAACGCTTCTCAGTCTGCGCGTGGTGCATGGCAGCATAGTGTGCAGAGAGCTGTGGTCGTTAGTGATATCCGCGACACTAATCAGGGTAGAATCGATATTGCCTACCTGAGCACTGATGAAAGCGGCCTCTCCAAGAAGTCGGCCGTTCCTGTCTCGTTCAAGCCAATGGTCTTGTTGGACAGCCATGTCGCCATCGCTGCCGCTCCGGGCTTGCTACCTTCAACGCCGTAAACGCCGATACTCTCCAGGGATCCCTGCGTCAGATACGGCGATGTCCAGGTGACAAGGAATCGCATGCGACCGTCCCGATATGTTAAAGCCCCGGCCGGATACGGAATATACCCGGCCTTGTGGGGATCAACCGTGATACTGTCGGCATTCTTCAGGGCCAGAAAGTCCGTCAGGGTATCTTCACGGAGCGCAAGGGACGGAACCGTCTTAACGGCCTTGTAGCCTCCGCCGCCCCAGTACGGCTCCTTCATCACCTTTCGAGGGATCATCGTGGCAAAGTAGCCTCCCCATGCGGCATCTGCATGAACAAGAAACGACAATCCCTTCGTGCGGAACTTTTTGCGGAGATCAATAATCGAACTCAGTCGGTCGGCCGCGCCCTCCTCCGTGCTGCCCATAATGGCCACGACTGCATATACTGGCTGCCGCTCCTCAAGACATCGATTCAACTCGCGCTGAAGATCATCGATATCAATGTGACCATCCAGATCGAGTTCAATGCCGTGCATATTTCCGGCGCCGATGCCCGCGATGGCTGTTGTGGTCAGATATAGTTCGCTATCGGGAATTGTGCAGATATACCACCGCCTTTTGGCCAAGAGTAATGGCTGGTCTTTGCGTGGAAGTACATTCTTGGCTTCTGGATGTTGAAACGGCGTTCAAGGGCGTCCTTGCCAACGGTTTGGATGTTGTACGTAGTCAGGATTTTCCCCAGGAACTTGTTCGTAATCCCAAAGTCCTGATACAAAGTATCGGCCATTCCCAGGATGACTTTGGGTGGGAGATTAAGGAGTTCCCAGACGCTGAGGTCGCGAAATAGCTTCTCCTCGCCGACACAAGTGGTCACCGAGAAGCGATCGGCGATGAACCAGAGCGAGTCTTCCTTCATCGCCTGGTACAGCGAGAGAGGGTAGAACTTGAGATTGCGTGCTGCTCATTGTCAGTAGCTGAGCAAAGCCATGGGACACGCGACACGTACCAACCCAGATGGATTCCAAGTTAGCTACCGTGCCATCATAAGTGATGTGTCCCCACGCGGTTGGCACATCCTCCTTCTTGGGGTTGATGTTATACCCGAACATCTCACACAGCTGCTGTCCTGCTTTCAGCTCTGTCATTGTCGTAAATGGACTTGCCTCGACAGTGACATTGTTTGGGTTGTATATCATTAGTCATGGCGTAACCGAGGAGGCCGGGCATTGTCAAGTTTGTGCACATGTGCGACTCGTAGCTAGGGGTCACGATCAGGTATGCCCTTCAAGAACGCCCCCAAACCGCGGATGGATAAGATACCGAGGGTGCCAGAACGGGATGGAGTGCTTTCCCAAGAGCTGGGCCGCCTTCCTCACCGCGGCATTGAAGTTGACACGGATCTCATTGAAAGTGGCCGAGTCCCGGACTTCCTGGGAAATGAAGTCCTATCACAAAGTCAGCTATTGCCTGTGCGGAGGTAGCTGGGGGCAAGTTTACACCATCGCTTCCGTGGTAAGCCTCTCGCGCCTTCTCTAGCTCATCCAGGATAGTGTCGAGATTGTTTTTGAAGTCAGGGAGGTTCTCAGCTCTGGGGCCAATGAAGTAAGAACTGATCACATGGTGGGGATTGACGACCCCATTGGATGAAGACATATTCAAGACTCGTGAGGGATGATGTTCTTCAGTGTTGATCTTATTGTTTCAGAAAATGACCCTGTTGATGAAACCTTTTCTCTCGTAGTAATTCCGTGACTTTTCTTGAAATATATATGCTCCAGCTGCCCCTCGTCCATCCAAGGCGCGGGGACAAAAAGGACTGCCGAAGTGGCAAAAAGATGTCTCAAATTTGGGCAGGAATGGCGGAGGCAGCCCTATACTTGCGGTTTTATCTTAGAAAGTTTCCTGCAATGATTGCGGAACAATGTCTATTGGCGACAGACGGGGGGCGCTGGCCCTCAACTAGAAGGCCTCCACAGTTGTGGCTTTGGGACCATACAGTGCACACCTGTCGGGTGAAGCGTCGCAGACCGCAAGAAAGATCAAGGGGCTCCTGCTATTAACCATAAAGCTCGACGGGGGCGCGCGGTGGCAGGCTTTACTAACATCATCGTAGCTACCATGATCCCGCTTGTTGACTTGAGACGAAACAATGTTTGACAAGTACTATTGACCATGAAACCATTGATATAGCTTCGCGTGCTACTTTTTGTTTCCTGGAAGTCTCTAGATGAGATGCTCACGGCTCCTGTCGCTCACTTCGATCGACGTCTCCAGGCTGACGGGACAACAGACTGGTATGACCAGATCGGAATGCAGATGCAGTCTACTAGTTGATCAGCATATACGAGGCAAGATAATTGGCGGAAGTAAAGTCTGCATGAGGGACTGCGACTCAATTCCCGATCATTCTTACCACCTACGGCCGAGAACGCTACCCCGCTTCTGGCTGCACTGTGATAAACACCGAGGCTCTGGTGGATCCCCATGCACGGCTGATGATGGCGTGGTCATAGCGGTTGAAGAGATGTATAGTGTCGCTTATCAAGCTGTAGATGCCGATGGTAGTGTGCTGTCCTATCGATGGAAGATCTTATCTACCATTTGATGGGCTAGGGGGGCCCAGCGTTCCGGTGGAACTGACTAGACTGGTTGAACTTTGGTATGGTCAGCGAGCACCAGTGGCTCGAACGCATCTGGGCGCAAGAAATCTTAACCTACTAGGCGAGAACAGAATGAGAATAGTCTAGGAACAAGTTTGTTGTTGAAGGATTTTCAGGGCCCCACCGTCTCGTGCAGATGTGGTCCTGGTTTTCGTCAGTAGCTGGCACCAGAAGCTACGATTGATGGTGGAGAATTATTACTCAACAAGGACATTCAAACTGTATTCTTGACTCAACGTGGCATGGTTTGGAAGCCTTCCTCCATTTGAAGAGAAACCTCGGGCATTTGTCCTCAGGATCATAAACTCGAGAGCTTCTAACACTTTGACGATGGGCTAATGATGGGACACATCCCTTTTCGATGTGCAACAGGAGGCCGGTAAGGGTCCGGCCCCGATACCATTCGGTTGCTAGATTGAGCCTAGCTGTGTTTCGACTGGAGGGCTGCTTATTTACCATTGCATGAATCTCGTTCAACAACTTCCTTGAACGCGATGTTTCTGTTAACAAAAACCATGTTCTCGGGATACACGACCGGAGTGGTCACCGATTCGACCCAACTACGAGCATGACCTATTTGGAAGTTCCCATAGAAACTCATACCGGCATATCAGGGACATAGGTGAAAAAGTAGGCTATCGTCGGCTGCAATAAGATGCCTGTCTCTACTAATACTTGGGCATAGATCTCGGTAACAAAGAAGAATTGATGGCTCAAGCGTGATGGGCTTCCGACTTGGGTCGCCTGATTTCACACAGCGTGATTCTCTACCGCCTGGGATACCACCATCTGACGGGGCAGAGTACTCCGTACATGCATGTCGGTCAATGATAATATGACTAGAGCATCTGCCATGCTCGAGGATGTGAGTATGGGTTTGTGTCCAGGGTCCTGTCTTGCGAGAAAACCCCCAACAGTCCTCAGTCCTCGGAACACGATTGTACATATTTGTTTACATCCACGGGCGGTCAATTAGATAAAGTCATACGGTCGTACGGCTATAACTTTAGGTCCCTGTCCCAGAGGGACAGCCATCCCAGACTTGGTTTGGTGTGGTGGGTTAACAACGTGCCTATGAACTTTGAGCTCGAAACCTCAACCCCGTACGGGGCTTCCGATGGTGATCTCTGATCCAGGATTGTCAGTCACTGGGTATTCCGGGCCGCTTCGCTCTAATGACAGACCTCTGGTTGTATGGATATGCTTGTTCTCAGGGCAGACCTCGCCCGAGTCGGATCGTTTGAGACTGTTAGCATTGTGTAGTAGCAGGCAAGTCATCAACTGTTTCACCACACCGGAGAGGATGTAATCTTCATCCTCTCCCTCCATAAACGATCTTTAGCTCGAGGGGTGAGCCGCCCTGGTCACTGGGGCTGCCGGGGTCAAGGGCCAGGAAGCCAGTGGTGCTCTAGTTGAATCTAGGGACGACGTTGTCTCCCTCGATCAAGCGCCAGGGCCTATGGTAGTCAAAATCTAGGTAATAGTTCCCCGGTCATGCAAGAGGTACACTCGATGCTGATAGCGTTAGCTCCCCAAGGATATTGTTAATGTCCTTACATCATAAACACGGATAATCCCCTAACTACCATTCACTGCGCCGGGATCCAAATATGGGGCGCACATCCGACATTACAATCGAAGAAATAGACAGATTTCTTCGCATCAACACAACAACCAGTGTTGTCGTCGCCCGGGATTCCATCAAACACTGCGAGAACCAACCCGAGCGACCGTCGTATTTGCAAAAGATCAACTTCGCCATCATCTTCAGCTTCCGGGGCGATGCAAAGTGTGTCCCGTACCCGGCCAGCAAGGGGGACGCGGTATGTCTCTGCTTAATACTGTTGGTGCGTGTTGTAAGCATAGCAAGGTTGGCTCGAACAGTCGTGGGATCTGCGTCATTTTCATCGCACCGGTTGTACCGAGTCTCAGATGACGGAGAGACGATACGACGAGGAGGTTGAACCAAAAGTTGGATCGGATCCTGCCAGCAAGGGTGTGGCAAGAATTGAAGGAGGTCGCCGCCGCATGTGTTCATCTCTCCGGTCCGGCCCGCGACTATGTTACTTGGACTTATTTGCTCGTTGAAGGTGGAGTCCTTGGTAGAGGTTCATAATTTCCTGAAAGGTTGTGGTATTGTTTTCACATAGACACTACCTCCGAATAACTCGGGGCTGTGCTTCTGTCGGCATAGTGATTGACGGTAATATATTTAGCGTGTCCGGGATCAACAAACCCAGCGTCGGCCAACTGGTATGTCATAATGAGGTCGAATTACCCGGACTGCGTACCAACCCATGGCAATGGATTGAACCAACTTGAGAATCGAGGTAAACATCCCCAACGATTCATGCCGTGACCTCCATATATAAACAAGCAAAGCTCACTATCCAGGGGAGAAAGCCAAAGCATGCAGCTAACCCAAATAGTGCTTATGGGGGCATGGTGAAATGATTACGGCCAAGATATAGTAACCCCATGGCTCGAAACGTGTCATGGTGTAATATTATTTCTGGCAAATCCATAATAGATAATTCAAAGGGAGAGGCGCATAACGAGACTCTTGGGCGTATGAAATATGCTCTTGATATGTTCTGAATATAGGACCCTATCCTGTGACTCGCATCCTTGATATGTTCTGAATATAGGACCCTATCCTGTGACTCGCATCCTTGATATATATCATATAGGTTTCTAGCCAAGGATTTGCATGTGTCCAACCCCAGTTATATATTAGAAACAGGAATATAAGTAACAATGTCTTCTTTCCACTCGAGCATTGATACGCTTATTATAGGTAGCCGACTTGTCCTTCATTATACCCTTATCATATATACCAGTACAGTAGGACCTATCAATTGATTGGCTGTGTCTGCCCTTCGTTCGATAATCATCATGATGTCTAGTCCACGCTTTCGTATAATCAAGGTCAGGGTACAGCAACAGCCCCAAAGCCTACACAAAGTCATCCAGTAAAGTTCCCAGGGACCCACGCAGCCTAACAACTTGACATGGTTCAATATGCCCCTGTCATCGCGCGAAGCATAATTTGAGCCTTGGGTGTGACTGGTAATCCCCTGACAGCCACGTGCGATTTATCAACGAGAAGGATGGCCACATGGGACAGCCGTCCGATCCTGTTCCTTCGTCTACAGTAGCCAGGGGCAGGGGTGGGACAGAGGGGTAATGCCACACTCGGCTCCTTGTCCTGTTCTGTCCACTCCTGGATACTATCTATCTTCATCCTAATTGTTCTTTGTCCTTCCCCCTCCGGCCATCATCAGAACCAGATAGGAACGGGGGGGTGTGCTTCCCCAGCATGGTATCCCGACCCCGCCATCCTTATTGAATGCGGCAGGGAGGATTTAGAAGAGAAATGTGCTTGCATCCCTTGGACTCCGGCTCCGGCGCTGGTGGCGCTATTCCTGTCCGGCAGTCCGTGCCTGCACCTGCCGGACCAATCGTAGCTCGATTCTATACGGGCGGGATATTAGATCGTTTTGAATTTTTCCTGGTACCTATTTTATGTCCAATCCTTCGAGATAGATTAGCAGACTAGCAGCATTTAGTTGCCGTTTCTTCAGTGTGTAGTCAAATAATCAGCCGTGTCCACGACTTGTAACGTGACCGATATCGCGCGACCTGTGGATCCTTATTTTATACTGTAGCCAGGTTTACTGGGCAAGTCTCTATCCCTCAAACTCGGGCCTGGTGGAACTACCAATAGGCAGACCACGATAGGATAGAATGCTGTGGATATGGTAGGCCGGGGAAGTTTTTCCGCCATGCTCGGCGAAGGGTGGTATGGCTTGAATAATAATAATGGTAATTAACGGCCAGGATTCTCACTAGTGCTCCATCCCTGCCTTGTGGCGTTTTCTGCACTTAACTGCCGCGGCCACCACCCCCAACCCTTGAGTTCCAGGGAAAGTCAGTCAACACACGCTGGATCCTCCGGATAGCCACCTCAAGCTCGATGAGAGAGTAGCCACTCAACCGGACGACGAGATCCGGCGAGCAGAGCAGAGTTTGTCACGTGACTGTCATGTATAGCCCTAACCCTAATGACCCACCGCGCGACAGCACGAGCATCAGGATTGGATGAATGAATATTGCAAGATAGACATGAGGATGGGTTCAGTGCTGGCTAAAGGGATAATCTTGATGCTGACCACATGCCATGCCTGTCCATGGTAACCGACTGAGTCAGGGGGTCGTCACCTGTGCCACGCAGACCCTGCATGGAGGACACTCAAGATGGTCTCGACTGATTCAGACGTGGACGTCCTTCCCAGGTGGTGTTTCCCCATGGAGTTTAGAGCCATGGAACCAATCATCCTGCGGCCATCGATGGAGCACTAACCCCGACTATTGGCCTGTTGGTGAAAAGATCGCCCACGGACCACGATTAATAAACCATCCCGCTGCATGCACTTTGCAAGAAAGAGGGAGCTTTGGCTGCTTTAGGTAGGACGCCATGAGTCCATCAAGCTACTGGACTGGTGGATCACCGGGCCGGAGATGTAGGGTGTTGCCGGATTGATGTCCTCACTGCCTATCTCTTAAGTGTCCAAGAAATGGTCACCGTTCGTCCACCACCCACATCTTTAGATTCACAGTCCGTCCAAGTACCAATGCTGCGAGTCTGCGGCATCTAATATGGATCGTCCCCCACCCGTCTACCCGCGGCCTGGTCCACGCTATAAGGTCAACCGATCTTACCCTAACAAGGAGATCAACAAGTCAAAGGATTCAGTGTGTGCCACTCCCCTTAGATCGCATGAGTCGTCGCCCCTTGAATTTTGGTGTCCCCTGATACAATCTTCCAACTTCTCCGCTCTTGAGATTGGCTTGATCTGAAGTCCGCCCAGGATACCACCCCAGTCGACCTAATCCTGACAGAACCCTTGGACCCAAGTTTGCCGGTGCTATCTGACAGCGGGGATCCACTCCCGCGCTAGACTGGGGGCGAAACCCACCATGTCTCAGTAAACCGACGCCAAACCGACGCCAAAACAGGACCAAACCAGGGTCAAACCACGGGAGTGGATCCGCCTAGAAATTTCATACAAATAATAATCATGATAGTCAAATGCAAGAAAAATACCAGTCGGCTTGGCTGGCAGGATTAGGGGGATTTGGGAGTCTGGATCGGGGACCAGAAGTCCTGGTATCCTAGTTTCCACAAAAAAGTCCCAATGGAGAGCATGGATATCATAGACCACCCTAGAGCGGGTCGAAAGAACGGTTTCCCGCGGATGGGGTTCCGTCTGGGTCTCATCCTCATTTTCCCAATCATATGGGGAACCCCCAGGGCTGACGGTCAGTGCAGACGCCAGACTGGTCCGTTCGAATTTTTCCTAGAGGGACCATCGAACAGGATGTAATTATGATAGTCCCGCCTAAGAGACTTTAGCAGGGGCCGTTCTCGCTTAGGGCGTCCATGACAGCTCTCGACGTGAGGGAAGTCTTAACAGGATCGCCGTTATCCATGTCGTGAAACCGCTTCCCTCCCCCTCTCCGCTGTGCACAAGGGTCACCCTGCCATGTGATGTGGTTGAGGTTCGGAACGAAGTTGAGAGGCAGACTCCGGCGGCAAGTGTCCACCGATCCCCGGGGAGAACGTGCTGCATGGATGTCAGACGTGTTGCTGCTCCCAATCAACCCATATTGTCGAATGCCCTCTATACCCAATGTGGTATCCAGCTCGCCATTCACTATGCAGGGCTAGACCCCCCTATCGATCCCGAGCCCGACTAGAAGCAATCATCTGCCCCGTCGATGGATAGTCGGAGGGAGTAGCCAGGTCGGGATAAGGTCGAGCCAGAAACAGGAAACCGTTGTCAATCCTTTTAGTAAGGGGGATGAGACCAGGGCCCCTCATATAGTCGTCCGTTTCTGTCCACCGCGCTCTGTTCACGATTTACCTTTTTCTTCTTTTTCTTGTTCAATCTCGGTATTCTGAGTATATCGTTGTACCGTCATCATGGAGGACAAGGAATTGCCCCCGACTCAGGTGGTCAGCCAAAACTCCAACGAGCCCATCATCCAGAATGACACCTTCGCCATCAAGGCCGAAGCCCTGGGCAATGACCTGCCTCCGAACTACTATCGTTCGATTGGGTTCATTGGAACGATCTTCGTATGTTCTGCCGCAAGTCTAGGAGAAGCAGAGACAGACGGACTGACGTGTATAGGCCTTCTGCATGAGCAACATCTCGCAATTCATCAGCTTCATCCTCCCCGCCAACATGCTCACCTTCATCGGCCAGGATATTGGACCCAGTCCCAACCTTACCTGGGTCTCCCTGTCGTACAGTCTAGGTCTCAGTGTCGGCTTCCTGCTGGTAGGACGACTGAGTGACATCTTCGGACGACGCTGGTTCTTCATCGGCGGCAACGCGCTCTCCCTGATCGGTGGCATCGTCGGCGCAGCCGCCAAAGACGTTGAGACCCTCATCGCGGCGGACCTGCTGATGGGCCTGGGTGGAGCGGTGCAGATCTCCTTCACGGTGGCCGTATCAGAGCTGGTGCCCAACAAGTACCGGCCGTCGACCATCGTCGCCATCTTCTTCTCCAGCTTCCAGATCGCCTGCTTCGGCCCCGTCATCTCGCAGTCGATCGTGTCGACGACCACCCAGACCTGGCGCTGGGCCTATTACCTCAACATCATCTGCGCGGGTCTCGCCGTCGTCGCGTTCTTCTTCTTCTACCACCCGCCGACCTTCTCCCTGCTGCACATGAACCGCTCCTTCAAGCAGCAGCTCCGCCGACAGGACTTAGTCGGCTTCATCCTCTTCACGGGCGGTCTGCTCCTCTTCATCATGGGCCTCAGCTGGGGCGGTCTCATGTACCCGTGGGGGTCAGCGCACGTCATCGCCACTATTGTCGTCGGCTTCGTCGCGCTCGTCCTCTTCGTCCTGTACGACGCCTACGTGCACCCGCGCATCCACGGCGACCCGCTGCTGCCGACTCACCTCTTCCGCAAGCCGGGCTACTTGGCCATGGTGGCGGCCGCGACGGGCGGCAGTTCTGTCTACTACAGCATGAACGTGCTGGCGCCGCAGCAGGTGGCGTTCCTCTTCCCGTCGCCGTCGGTCATCCACGCTGGATGGCTGACCTGCTCGGTGGGGTCAGGTTGCCTGCTGGGACAGATCGTGGCAGGCTGGCTGTCGCAGTACGTGCACCGATCGCGGTGGATCATGATCGGGTCGTGCTCCATGCTGGTGGCCTTCGCAGCGGCGATGACCTCCGTCGAGGCGGGCGAGTCCTCCAAGTGGGTGGGGCTGATGATCATGGCGATGTTCTCGGTGGGCATCATCGAGACGTGCAGTCTGTCGCTGGCGCCGCTGTCGCTGCCTAGCGAGGACATTGGCGCCGCGCTGGGCGCCCTGGGCAGTATCCGGTCGGCGGGCGGGTCTGTGTCAACGGCCGTGCTGTCGACGATTCTCAACAACAAGGTGAAGGCGATTGTCGCGCCGGCGGTGATGCGGGAGGCGCAGAAGCTGGACCTGTCACCCGCGCAGATCGAAGGTGTCGTTGCCCAGCTGGCGACCGGCATGTTTATCAGCGTGCCGGGTGTCGATATGGAAGCCGCGGCGCAGCTGTCACTTGTGCGCAGCGCTAGCGCCGCCGACGCGTGGCGCTATGTCTGGTACGCGGTGATTGCCTTTGCCGGATTGGCGCTCATTCTCAGCTTCACGACCATTGACTACGGCGTGTATCTGACTGACGAGGTGACTCGTAAGATGCATGGACGGGCAGTGGGAGTCGTGGAAGGTGAGAAGCGGTCGGACGAGAGGTCAGACGAGAGTGTCTAAGCCTGTGCGAGGGGGTTGTCCAAAATTCTTTTCGTTTCTGGTGGTTCTCATTCGGTTGGCATGCCGCCGCGTTTCTTCAATTTGTGGTCTTATTTCCTTTGTCGATAGTATATTGTAATCGGAGTGGTGGAGTGTTGCAGGTCTACGGACTGAAAAGTCGGAGCAAACAGTTACCTTCAGCTGCGGAAATTGGGATAGAGCGAATATAGCAATTCTATGACCAGTGATTCTTGCATTTGCATTCCTACAACGTATCTGCGCTTACAACTTACTAACGGCCGATTCCCTCGCCCACTTTCGCAAGACAGTCCGCTGGATCTTCCCACTTGCCAATCGCGGAATTTCGTCGACGACCCTGACCCCCCCAACGAGCCACTTATGCTTGGCGACACGCTGACGCAGAAAGGCCTCGATCTGACCCTCTCGCAGACGACGCCCTTCCTTCGGGAGGACATACGCACGAGGGCGCTCCTCGCCATCTCCGAACGGGACCCCGACGACACCCGCATCGGCGATGTCGTCATGCTCGAGCAAGACGGCCTCCAGCTCTGCGGGGGCCACCTGCAAGCCGTTAACCTTGATCAGCTCCTTCTTGCGATCGACGATCCAGAACCATCCGTCCCTAACAACCATGACGTCGCCGGTTTTGAGCCATCCGTCGGGGGAGATAGTTTCGCGGGTGGCGGCCTCATTGCGCCAATAGCCGAGACAGACGTTGGGTCCGCGGATATAGACCTCGCCCGGCTCACCGGGGGAAGTAATGATACTTCCGTCAGGGGCGATGAGCTTGGACTCGCAGTTGGGGTCGAGGAGGCCTACACTGCCGGTGTCGTCGGAGGCACCGCCCGGGACATGGATGACGCCGCAGGTGAGCTCGGTCATCCCGTAGGCTTGCACGACGCGGAGGCCGAAGCGGCGCTGGACGCTGTTCTGCAGATCGCGGGAGAGAGGGGCGGCGCCGCAGAGGATGGCCTCGATGCTGGACAGGTCGTAGTGAACTGTTTCGGGGCGTTTGTCAAGCATGATGAGGATGGGGGGCGCCACTTGGAGGTGGGTGATGCGGTAGGTTTGAATGGCGGCGAGGAAGTCCTCGAAGGCAAATTGGCGCATTATGTAGACCGGGAATCCTAGTTTGGGGGCTACGAGGCAGGCGAAGAGTTGGCCTGGTGGTGTTAGAAATTGGGAATATGGTAGTGGGGAATAGGAGGATATACCGTATGCATGGTAGAGCGGGAGAAAGCCCAGCCATCGCTCTTTAGGTCGAGAAGCCAATGGGGAGGTGGAACTGGCCAAAGGCGTCCCCTGGTCGCGCATGAAGATGTTCTGCTCGACGTTGGCGATGAGGTTGGCGTGTGAGATACACACCCCCTTGGGGAGGCCGGTCGTGCCAGACGAGTAATTGACCGTCGCGACGGTCGTTTTCGCCCTGTCCCCCAGCTCATCCCAGTGCCACGAGGCGCCCTCCTCTTCCGTGCCGACCATCTCGCGCCAGTCGTGCACGCCCTCGATAGGAGCCGACGGAGGGTCATCGGAGAAGAGGAACATGCGGTCGGGGGAGACCCCCGCGCGCTGCCCCGCCGCGACCGCGGTGTGCACCAGTGATGGATGCACGAGGACGACACTGGCTGCCGTGTTCCGCATCTGGTACTCGACCTCTGACTCCGTGTAGATAGGGTTGGCCCCGCTGAAAATGCGTCCTGCGCCCACGATGCCCTGGTAGGCGATGGGGACGTATATATGGTTGGGTGTCAGAATCATGACAACCGCGCCTCGAGGCACTCCCAGACAGTCCAGTCCATAGCCCAGCCGGCGCACCCAGGAGTGTATCTGCCGGGGGGAGAGCGAGTGAGCTGGGTTCGCGGCATCGATCCAGATAGGTTGGTCAGAGATGGGTTGGTTAGGGGGAAAGAGGTAGGACAGCACGTTGGTCTGGGGAATGTCCAGCGGGGGGTACATCGATTGCAATGCCATCTTGACGGCTCTGGGAGGTTGCAAGGTGTTGTCGATTTTGACGCGGTGATGAGATGTGATTTCATGCAGCCTCATGCAGCCTCATGCGGGGTTCGGATCATAACACGCGAACCCTGGCTTTACCTCGGCCTATTCTCTGGCTCCGCAGGTATATCTTCTCGCTTTCCCTCTTCTTGTCTTCTTGTTTCTCATTTCGCCCCGTAACTCAACCATGTCGGAATTACAAAACCCAAACACCTACTTCGACCTGGCCGACAAGGTGGCCGTTGTCACCGGCGGTTAGTATCCCCTCCTCACCACACGGTTATCGCTGACCATCAAAGGATCTCGAGGCCTGGGACTGCATGCAGCCACCGTTTTCCTCCGAGCGGGTGCAAAGACCGTCTTTGTCACCGCGCGCAAAGCAGAGGGCGTCAATGCCGCTGTAGACCAACTCAACAAGCTCCCTGGCATCAAAGGCAAGGCGATCGGCATTGCTGCGAACGTGGCGGATACCAAGGAAATCCAGCGCCTCGTAGGCGACGTCCAGGAGCACGAACCGCAGGTGGATATCCTCGTCGCTAACGCCGGCGCCTCCTGGGGTGGACCCTTCGAGCCGACCCCCGACCGGGCCACGGAGAAAGTGCTCGACCTCAACGTCAAAGGCGTCTTCAACCTCGCTCGGCTGTTCACCCCCCTGCTTGCCAAGGCTGGCACGCCCTCATCGCCGTCGCGCATCATCGTCGTCAGCTCGACCGCGGGCAGCACCGTCCCGCACGTCGGCGAGCACGGCACCATCATGTATTCGGTGTCTAAGGCTGCAGCGCAACATCTGACGCGCAATCTGGCCGTCGAGCTGGGCCCGCGCAACATCACGGTTAACAGCATTTCCCCCGGCTTCTTCCCCTCCAAGCTTGCCAACGGGCTGATCGACATTCTTGGTGGGGAGGAGGAGCTCAAGCAGGAGAATCCCCGTCGCCGACTGGGGGTGCCGGATGATATTGCGGCGACCATGCTGTTTCTGGCCAGCCCGGGAGCCAACTATATTAATGGGGTCGACATTCCTTGCGATGGTGGGAGAAGGTTGGTGCATGTGAAATTGTAAATATTCGACCATCGTGTATCTGAAGTCATGATTCCTATCTTTCCCTACGGTCGTTCGATATGATGTGTGAATAAAACTCTCTCTCACCCACCTAGTAAGCCAAGTGATCATAAACAGGGCCATAAAGACAAGAATGGACAGGAATGAAACTTTTAGATAGATAGAAATCATTGAAAGAGAGGACACATACGGAGAATTATAGAAGAGAGAAGAATGGTATAGGGGTAAGAAGAGTATCAGCGAAACGTTAGATGTGCATGCCCCTGTACAAGAAGGCTCCACGCCGTTCTCTGCTAGTAAGTGTGCCATCGCTGGCCTGTGAGGAAAAAAGACCACACGATTAAAGCTGACATTTGTCCTGGGAGTTTTGCATCTCAACTGACTATTGTGGGCTTCATTTACTCTGTTGCTGGTTCTTCCGTCCGGGCATATTGATCCCAATGGGGTCGGAAGTAACTCATCCATATGTCAGACCACTACGGAATGAGGATACCAACAAGCATAATCCAAGTGTTTCCTGGACCGCAAGAGCTTTCTACTCCTGGATGACTGGTCAATGGACCAAGAAAACTTTTATTCGTCAACTTGGCTGTTGCGAACATAACGTCCTGGTGCCGTAAGCTACATTAGGTATTGTACAGCATTGGAGCGAAATCCGACATAGAATCCGCTAGTCGGCCAGTTTCAGATACCGGAATTGGTATTGATTGGCTCGTATTGTCGTGTGCATGGTTGAGAGATCAGCACGGTGCTTGATTGACACATATTAATCACGCAAAGCGCGGAAGTACTCCCTACAAGGAATCCTCTACAAGACTGCGGCAGATGTGTGGCTGGCTTGAGGGAGCGACTGACGACGTCCGTGGTCGGAGATCAATGTGATGTACTCGAGCGGATTGTTGATTGGATTGATGATTGATGATCGCAATGTTCTGAATTAGTGTCGGATAGCATGAGGATGCAGTCGAAAAGTATCCACACACTGCAGACGCGTGGGATGATTTCTTTTTCTTTTCTTTTGGCTTTTGTTCTACTGAATTGAGAAAGCACCTTGATAATGTGTGCTGGTCTGTCAGTTTCTTGCTACTTACTGACTGGTCTTGTGACTTTACTAGGCATGGATATATATTATCATCATCAAGTGAGTATTGTTACATAAAGCGTATCATTTCTCTTCTACAGCGGTCGAATTCCTGGCAGAATTGACAAACAACACCTATGATTATGCTTTGCAATCACTAATGGGCAATAGATAGCTAAACCAATAGTCACTGATATAACAACGTTCACTTCATTCCAGCTGGACAGGGACAAGTGCCGGGATTCTCATCATGGCACTTATTTGGAATTGCCAAGATAAGCCAAATTTGCGCCCTGTAGCGAGAGCTACTTTTATTGTATTTGTATTATCAAGGAACATTCCCAGGAGGCTATTCCTTCCATGATGATAACGCATTGCATACATTGCTGAAACACTGGACTAGCGGACTCCTGTAACATGTCTATATAGTGATAAAATCAACCACTGTTAGATACTCAGATGATTAGTGGATAACGGTGTGGCGTGGACTTAAGTGTCATGTACTAAATTCAAAGAAAGAAATTATCCTTTTGTTATTTTACATCTCCCCGAATCTTGACTTGTCATTGCCCCTCTTCCACCAATACTGAAGCCCAGGGCCTTGGTTGGGATTATCAGTCAGATCAAGCCCTCCCATAATGCTGCTTATCATTTTGGTGCAGTGGTTAATAACCTTGACACGCAATGAAAATCCTCAACATTTTCATTGGCTGCTCAACTTGTCGATGACGATGACTGAATTACTGTTCTAGAACCACCATGGGTATGTCGATTTATGGTCTTCCTGTCCTTGCTTTGGGGGTAGGCGAAAGGAACGCCGTTGGCTCGCTGCCACGTTGCTATGAACTAACAGCGAAATAGTCTCGCAATGTCTTGAACTGGAACAGTTCAACACCTGGCTAGGATATGAGATGAGAAGACGGTCGTATATGTGCGAGGGACACCAGCCTCTGGAAAACAACACTGGCCCAAGATCTCCACGAGTACTACTGCCGACAAAAAACAATAGCGAGGATAATCATTACACTGAAGATAGGGCCACTTGCGAAGCCCAAAAGTGTCGTACATCTTTTTTAGACTGGTGGCGATTCCCAGATTTTATTGCCACACTATTAATGGGCACTTTCCTAGAATTACTGTCTTCTGGGAAGGAATCTAGCAAAAGGTTTTAGAGGCAAGGCGATTGCTAGCCTGGAGACCGCAATAATCCAACCGGAGAAAGACAATCTACCGACAAGGCTGTTTTATCAACGTTTGGATGCAGACAGAGCCTCAGAGAAATCGGTGGAGCCTTGGGATCATACTACGCACTACCGCATGGTGTGGACAGACCACTTGAAGCTACATATCACGACAAGCTCATGGTCCCCTACACAATCTGTCGGGGCTTTTTACAGATATGTCCAGCGAGTGGTCGGGTGCTGGCCTCGGAGACATTGAATGCAGGTCACGATTGTTGGTCGGGGCATTAAGCTATTACTTAATGAAGATGGATTGGAGTCGACTGTGATAAATTTGTCGGCGCTGGAACGTATACTCCGTGGATTAAAAACGGGTGGCTTCGAGATTGGTTGATGATTGACTGCCGCACGACGATGCCGCAACCCTACGGTAAGTTGCCCTTACAGAAACCCGCCCCGTACTTAGCCTGATTTGCTAAGTTGAGGATAAAAGTCACGGACACTAAACTCTGGAGGGCGCTGTTCTGGGAAGACTTTTCATCGGTGGAAGTGCTCGATGCCCGGAACCAGGTGGTTGTTGCACGCTTCCCTCTCATGTCGTAGCTTTCCGAGAATGAAACATGAATGTCTGGATTTGCCCTGCCTTATTCTGAACCTCTGTAGTCCAATGTTTAATGTGAATGTCAGGACCATAGACTTCGCTATGTGGAATGCTAGATGGCAAGGAAGATTATTTCACCTGACACTGGCTACTTTGTGGCTAATAAATAAATTATTGAGACACACGACTGTGCCATGCTTGGAATCTATGAGCCTTCCGGGAACGACAGACTGTGGGCGACAACAAGCGATAAAGGTACGATATATCATGCGCGTGTCTGGTGCTTCCATATATATACCCAGGTATAGCAAGGGATGGATGCCTGATTTGGGAGGCGTCCATCAGGCCGACCAACCAACAGATCGACCGACACCACGTGAGGAGAGTTGATCAAACCAACGTCATCTCTGGTCTTGGATTTGTCCCAAAGCGAAAACAGTGGCTTTCTTCGTGGAATCCAGCCGAGATTTCCCTAACTATCAATGCTTCGGTGCTACTTCTTTCAAAGCTTTCGTCCGACCACCACAACACTCGCCGAAAACCGGACTTTGGGATACGGTGAGTGAGGAGGCTTGATCCGACTCTTTGCAGAACCCTCCATGCCCTTTCACGAGGATACTCTCCCGCTAAGGTGGTCGCTCAACGACAACAAGTCAATCCGTCCCTCTACGAAGATGAAACATACATAAGTGCAAAAAGGAACGGTGCAGACCACCTATTCCCATCTCCATAGGCTGGGAAACGAAAGATCGGCGCGGTTGACATCATTAGCGGCATCTCCCTGGTTTGGCTATTACTTTCTCTCCTATTTTTCGTTTGCACGTCCAGAGCCTGCCCGACGGTGTCGGAAAAAGCCAAAAGATGCCCGAGAAAAAAAAAAAAAAAACACGTTTGCAGATCGCCCGAACCGGTCCCGAGCGGTGTCGACGTCGAGGACCCGGTGGGCACTGGATAACGACATTCGTCGCTGATCGACATGGGCTATACTGTTTTGCTATACGCTGATCCCAACCCGAGTGCGCCGGATGGGTTGGTGTCCGTGGGCGGGTGCATCATGCGAGGTACACACTTCCAATTTCCTGCAGAATGTCGATTTCATATCGGGATGCCCATGCAGAATCCCACGCGACATTTTCTTCGGGAGCCAGGCAGGTAGTTGGTTGGAGCCAAGTCTTTCATCCGTTCCCGTTCCGATTTGCCTGTGATGCTCCCACTGCCCAATAGAGACGCGGGTGGAGTTGAAATCGCGTGGGATTTGTTTTTCTTCGTCTGCGGATAGTGTGGGTGGGACAATGTCGATGGAGACATCCAGACACCAATGGGCGGGCATCCTCCGAATAGCCATGTGTCATGATGGTGTCCGCCATCAAAATCTGCTGTCCCAGCAGAGTTATCTGATCCGAATAGTCCAAAGTTAAATCCGGCCCATGCCGTGGTTGAGGCGGTTATTGGCCCGACGATTATATACCGCAACGATCGCCGTTGTGAAGTGCGCCTTGCGCACAATGTTGGGTAGAGCCGGTATTGGTCTTACCGACAAGCTCCTCCCCTCACGTTCCAACTGCTGCGTACTGATAACCTTACCCTCCCCCCATCATTATACCATGCCGGAATCTTGTTCCGACCGACGCACTCCGGCACTGGTGAATCCAACGAATACAAGCATAGAAACCGCACGCGTTCCGGTCACCCCACCAACTGGCCAACGGCTCTCCGACCATGGGCATCGCGAATCTGGTACGAGGGCGTAGCGACTTTCGCCTGGCGGAGTATACCTCCGGGATCGACTTCCGCCGCGCCCATTACGAGGTCAACGTTTCCGCGACCAAGGACAGCGAGTCCGTCGACAGTGTGCTGCCGCAGAAACAACATCATGTCAACCCAGGAGCGGTGATGGGTGTCCAGAAGGCAGAGGCTGCCGCGATGGCCTGGTCTAAGCAGACGGCTTACATGACTTATGCACTGTCAGGCAAGCATCGCTAAATCCAAACGGCGCCTCGCTAACTCCTATCCCACAGAATCTGGGTTTCGTTTTTTATCTTGGCTCTGCAGTCCGCCATCAGCAGCAACGTAATACACAGCGCCTATGCCTCGTTCAAAGACGCCCCGTCGGTTGGAACCGCCAATATTCTGTCGAATGTGATTAGCGGGGTCCTGAAGCTTCCGATAGGTCGTTTGCTGAGTATATGGGGCCGAACGGAAGGGTTTTTGTTCTTCATCGTTGTCTACGTCCTGGGCCTCATTATCCTCGCGGCATGCAACAGCCCCGCCTCGTATAGCGTGGGCTACGTCCTGTACTGGGTTGGGTACGATGCGCTGTACTTGATTCTGGATGTTTTTATCGCCGATACCAGTGGAATGAGAAACCGAGCCTTTGCGTTTGGATTTGCCAGTACGCCGTTTATCTGTACGGCGTTCACCGGTCCGTTGGCCGCCCAATCGTTTGTTGAAACAGCCTCCTGGCGTTGGGCCTATGGGACTTTTGCTATCGTCGCGCCGGCCGTGATGTTGCCCCTCGCTGCCCACTTTCGCTTCTACCAGAAGAAGGCCCAGCGGATGACGCTCTACTGCCCACAGCCGAGTGGCCGCACGCCTGTGGAGTCGTTTATCCATTATGCCCGTGAATTTGACAGTACGTGGCTCGGTCATTCCATGCCTTGGTCCCGGATAGCGCTAACCTCGCCATTGTGCTTTTGCAGTTGTTGGCGCGTTCTTTCTCATGGCAGCCTTCGTTCTTCTCCTTCTGCCGTTCAGCCTTGCTAGTGTCGGACACACTGCATACAAGAGTGGAACGTTCATCGGGATGCTCGCCGCCAGCGTTGTTGCTTTTAGCTCATTTGGGGTGTGGGAACGGTACTACGCTTCCTCCCACTTTATTCAGTGGTCCCTGTTTAACAACCGATCTGTCGTCGGGGCCTGCGTCTCTACCTGCGCCCTTTTCTTCAGCTACTACTGCTGGGAACTGTACTTCTACAACTTTTGCATGGTCGTGTATGACCTGTCGATCAGCATGACAGGCTATGTTGGGCAGATCTACAATGTTGGGTCTTGCTTTTGGTCGGCCGTGTTTGGAATCCTGGTCTATTTGACGAGACAGTTCAAGTATACCTGTCTAGGGTTTGGTCTGCCGTTGGTGTTGTTGGGAGCTGGGTTGATGATCCACTTCCGCAGCACTGAAAGTGGCGGGATCGGTTATATCGTGATGTGCCAGGTTTTCATCGCGATTGGTGGAGGCACGTTGGTGATCGGTAAGCATAATGCCCCTTCTGCGAAAACCGTTGCTTACTGACGACATAAATAGGGCAAGACATGGCGGTCATGGCCGCGGCTGACCGGGAATATATTCCGATGATGCTATCGCTCATCGGACTGTTCTCGTCACTTGGCGCGGCGATCGGGTCGGCTGTTTCTTCGGGAATCTACACGAACACGTTCCCTGCTTCCCTACGCGAGGCGCTTCCGGCCGCGCACAAGGACGAGTACTTGGCGATCTACAAAGGGGGATACACTAAACAGCTGCAATATCCCGTAGGCTCGGAAATACGTGCTGCCATCAGTCACGCGTATGGTGTGTACATGACCTGGGGATGTGTGGCAGCGGTTGCCATTATGGGCTTGGCCATCCCGGCCGTTGCCTGCTGGCGCAATTTCCGGGTGGACAACGATCCCGACAACGACCAGAGTAAAGGGAATGTGATATGACGATCAACGACACAAATTAAAGACATGACATGATAAAATTTGGTAGATGAATTAGTGTCTGTTCCTTTTCCAGATTTTGTTTCCGAGATACTTTGCATAGGCTTGCTGCGTCTGTCGGACGTCTTCGAGCTGCGAGGGTCTAGTCCACAATCGATACTTTGCTCCGTACCAAACACCTGGGATTCAGCCCATGATTGACCGCTTCCCAGTGCGCGCTTTTTTTCGGTCCCACGCGCTCACCGCAACGTCATCTAGCAGACTAGGCGAGCATGGGTGGAGCTGTGCTCCGCTTCAGTCATTCAGGCGCGAGGTTTGGTGCCGAGAACTCAAAACGGGGACACTAGCGACACCGCATCCACTAGCGTTTAGTGAAGCTGACCTCATGGAGTAGCGATCGCCTGATGATAAGATTGATAAAGCGATGTCGGATGGTGGGGGCACCCCTAACAGAGGGACGTCACTTGCTTAGCCTTTCTGACATCTGTCTGTCATGACAATCACAGGGTTGGTGTGACGTTGGAATCTAGAGTGTCGTATATAGCGTTAGCTTGGAAACCTGCCTGTTATGCCTGAGCTCCTGAGGCATAGGCGGCATTCTCGTCGCTGGAATCACTCCTGGCACGGGGAGACGCTGGGCGCTGCATTCCACCTTGGTCCACAACCTCCCAATTTGGATGAGATGAAGGAGCAGCACGTTCGTCGACGCTCCGAAGAGCTAGTGTACGACGTTGCCGTGCACGATATTATCAAAGAAGGCAACCTCGGGACCCTGGTAGATCATCTGACAGACCCGGAAAGGAGCGAGCCGACGTTTAGCGATGTATTCTTCCTGACATACAGCACCTTCACGACGGCCTCGGAGCTCTTCACCATTCTAGTTGAACGTGCCAGGGAGACGCAGTTTGATCAGCGATCCCAGGAAGTCATACGGACCCGCACCATCGCGGCCCTGACGAGCTGGTTCGAACGATACTGGGGCGAGTCCAATAGTCCAGAGACTACTCAAGAGCTTCGTCGCATGCATGGGCAGGTTCAACAATGCTCAGAGATTATGGACAATGCGGCCTCGTCCCGGCTGCTGGCCGCCATGGAACAACGACTGACCGGTAATGAGCCCACTCGACGGGTCGTGACGCCGCCGTCCAACACACAACCCCCGTCCCCGATCACGCCCAAGAGTATGAAGAAGATGAAGCTGGGAGAAATTGATCCCACCGAGATGGCCCGTCAATTGACAATCCTGGAGTCGCAGCTGTACTGTCGAATACGACACCTGGACTGGCTGAACAAGGCGTGGACCACAGAGGCCCACACAGGAATCAATGCCATGATTCTACATTCGAACCAGCTGGCCAACTGGGTAGTGGAGGTCATCCTGGGACAGTGTGACATGAAACGGCGAGTGGGCATGATGAAATATTTTATTCAAGTAGCGGAGGTAAGCACTACCGTCTCAGCACACACGATTCGCCCCAGGCTGATCAGAGAAGAAATGCCGTGAGTTGAACAACTACGCGACCCTAATGTCCATCATCTCCGGCCTGGGTACAACCCCCGTTTTCCGGCTGTACCTGCATTGGAACCAAGTCAGTCGGAAGGCAATGGCCTCATTGGAGAATCTGCGACATCTCATGTCCAGCGAGAGGAACTTCGTTCGATACCGGGAAAGCTTGAGAACGTCCCCGCCACCATGCATCCCGTTTATTGGTAAGCGTTTCTGCCAAGTGTGTATCTTCCTGCATTCACTAACCACACGGTGGCACTGCAGGTATTTTTCTCACCGACCTCGTCTTCCTCGAGGACGGAATTCCCAACCAGACGCCCTCAGGGGTTATCAATTTCGGCAAACGCGCAAAAGTCGCGGAAGTGCTGCGCGAGATCCAGCACCACCAACGCACACCCCACTACTTCCTCCCCGTCCCCGAGCTTCAGGACATGATCCAGAAAGGCCTACAGAACGCAGGAAAACTGGATGACACGTATGACCAGAGCTTAGAGATCGAGCCTCGGCGACAAGGCGAGGAGAACTTGCCCGGGAGGGATCGATATGCGGCGACCGGGTCACATATGACCAGTGTCCTGATTGCCAGTATGGCTATGCGGTAGTCCCATACTGGGAAGTATGCGCTCATGCGGTTTATGATGATTACGACGTCTTGTTCTTATAATTAGTATAGTATAATAATCAACTGATACCCGTTGACCTGCATGTGTTTGGCGGCCACCCACCAAAATGGCGGAAATAGGGGAAGGACATGATCTGATGTACCTCCGGTCCATCTACAAGACACAGTCATTGTGGAGCCAGATGCATCTCTCGATTGAATAACGCAGGATATGACTAGACACGTGATACGCATGTCTTCAGCGATCTACTTCTCCCCGCTGATCTCTCCACCTCCGCCCCCCAGGTGCCCCCAGTCTCCACTAGAGATCCATCCTGACGCCGTTGTTTTATCACACACATTGCCCTGCTCACTCACCCACTATAGTGGGTGCAGGATAGGCACCGTGTCCGTGCCCGCGAACCTGGCCTGCAGTCTCCGATTGTCCCTCCACAGGATCCACCGCATTAGCCCCGCCGAGAGAATGCACACGACTGAAAACGCCACCAGGATCGCCATGCCCTTAATATAGCGTGGGGCATCGTTATTCTGGAAAAAATAGGACGACCAGACTTCGCTCAGCGACGTGATAGCCTCGACGATCGCTACGGCACACGCGCGCTTTTCCGGTGTCTGGCCGGCCGCCGTTGCGATCAAGGCCCTGGGGAGGGCATTTGTCGCTGAGTCGGCAGGTATGTAAAGGAAGGAGGCGAAATACTGGACGGGCCGATTTTCCACAGCGATGTGGATGATGAACCCGATAGTCACCACCGTCATCGTTCCCATAATATGTCCACTGCGGTCGTGGAATCGGTCACTCGACCATGATACCAGGCAGCTGACGATGGCGCCGAGGAGGTACGGCGGGGCCGTGCAAAGCAGCGTGATATACGTGTTTCCGAGGTGCATGGCCTTGACGATTGATGGGTAGAAAGTCGAGTACCCAGTGGCCGATCGGTGGCAGCAGGCGACCAGAGCCTAGAACGACGGTCAGTTGTCTTCCCCGGTAGACGAAGGCGTAAGTTCCAGTTTATCTCCCAAGGGTACATACTAACAACCACACACGGTAGTCAAGCACAGCACTCTTCAAGCCAGCCCAAACAGTGGACTTAGGGTGCGCTACGCGGTCCCGCCGCATGCGTTCGATGGCCCACCGCCGCTCGACTGGAGTCAGCAGCCACTGTGTCGATCCTGTGGACGACTCGGGATAATCTGGGAAGAAGACGAAGGCCGTGAGCGCTGCCGCGAGGGAAATGCATCCCATGAGCAGAAATAGCCAGCGCCACCCTGCCCAGCCGTGAAGCCCTTCCATCTTCGAAAATACCCCTGCGCTAATCAAACCGACGAAGGCACTGGATAGTGGAGTGGCTATGGCGAGGATGGCGTTGCGCAGGGCCAGTTCCTCTTTCGTGTACCAGCAAGAAAGCACGAAAATGCACCCCGGGCTATACGGACCCTCACAAAGACCGAGCAAGAACCTTAGCGCGACGATTTGCGGGTAGTTCTGCGCCGCTGCCGTGGCCATCGCAACGATTGCCCAGAGAGATGCGCAGCATGGAAGGTATATGGACGGCCGAGCTCGCGTCAGCAATATGTTGCTGGGTATTATGGTTATGATATATCTATAGGCAAAAGTCAGCGACAATGCGGAAAATTATTGGCACAGTGGACAATGCCCACCCCGCCGCCGCCATCGATACCGCTGTATTGAATTGCGTGCCGTGTAGGTCGAGATCGCGCTCGAAACTGCTAAGCTTGGCTTTGCTACACGAACCGTCAGCTGGATAATTCCTAGAATATTCCCCAAAATCGCAACCCACGCGATGATAGACTTGTCCACGCGCTTGAAAAAGAATACGAGGACCATGACCGAGAGAAAGGCAGCGTCCATTTTACGGACTAGCCGCTGATTGAGGGTTTTGGTGGCCTTCTCATCGGCGAATTCGTCAACCGCGTCGTCGGAAGGAAACTGCTGTTCTGGTATGATCTGGCACGTGCCTGTTGGACTTTTTCCATCCTGGCGAGCGTGCGAAATCATTTTGGGCTGCGTATTCGATCGGCTTCTAGCCTTGCTTCCTACATCCTCTTGGAGGGACCAAGGGTGCTATATGTAAGTGGCATGGATTGTCCAGCTTCGCAGCGGGGTTATCACAAAACAGGTCACGCCTGTCGGCCTAGGCCTTTGAAATTCAATTAATACTCTAATGCAGATTGCAGTGACTTCCTTCACAGTTTTAATCCCTACCGCAAACGGACGAGGATTACGAAGCCGCCGAAACGCCGTGGATCCGCAGCACAAGCTGCTTGGCGGTGTGTCAATCCCCGCCTTCACTCGCTGCACCGCACAGTCCGCCATTAACACACTGACAGGGATCACGCATGATGGCCAGTAAGAGAAGAAGATACCAAGGATCGGATATCCTCTAATAATGCTGTTCGCCATACGGCGCGGGAGCTCCCGCCATAAGGGGTCCAAGCCCTGCTTGAGATCTGGCCAAGGCGTCTAGCTTGCGTCACTCGTGTCGGGCTTGGAGTGGAGTGGGTGATCTATCTCGAAGTGTGTTAGATTTGGTATTCCCCGCACTATGCGCGCCAACGCACGCTGGTAGTTTGAAGTGAGGGGGAGTTTTCTTCGTGGAAGGTAAGATTGTCTTGTTTCCCGTATCCAAACCATCGCTTTCGTGTAGCTATGGCACAAAATTCATGGATCCCTTACAAATACGAGGGACACAAACATCAATCCAAGAAATTGCCAGTAAACTTGCTGCGACGAAGTTACAATTTGTCCCACCGAACATAGGGTTGCTTACGACAACCGAAAGTGCCATGCTACCTCGTGTAGGAGGGTGGTAATTCATTCAAACAAGATAGATGCATCGAATGGTGCTGATCAATATTACAGTGTACTTCGTGTGAGGAGCTACATAGTATAGCTCTCACAATGGAGTTATATCAAGCTGATATATATATATATCAGTGTGCGATGGCTGCGAATTAATCCCCGACAACAAACGCGGTGAACCGCGTATAAGAATAACCATATTCTCACCTCACATCCCCTACCTGTTTTGCATTCACCAAAAACAAAAAACGACAGAAAATAGTAGCTGGGCTGTTCGCATATTTCCTCTCCCCAGAGCTCGTGGGACGGGTAACCCGTGTCGACGCTCAAACATATATGAGCGTGGCTTGAAGCGAGGAGCTGACTCAAAGTCCGTTTCCAAACCCGTATCGTCCAAGTGGACACCTGTGACGCTTTCATGCTCCTCATTGGCCCCCGACCGGCAAATAGGGGAGGACTTGACGCGAGTAAGAGGGGCGAGGCCGTCGATCGCTACCTATTTTGGCTGGCGAATTGAAATAATTTCGATAGGTACGATCTCGTCGCTGGGGAGCAAAGCGTCACCAATGATAATAATCGCGAGCGTGGGACACCTCGAGCATTTAACAACTAGGACGACAGGTATAAAGTCATGTTAAAGTTGAGACAAGTGGTACAAGGGTAGCTCATGTTGAACCCCGGGTCCATTCCTTGATCCCTGTAAATGTGAGACACTGTCCGCCTGCATTGTCTCACCGATCTATGGGGTTTGCGGTATATGCCAAGCTTTGTGCAGACATTCCCCCTGGTATGAAGCCGAGTACTGTCGGGGATTTGGAACATGCCTTTCGATCTTTATCCCATGAGTTCTTGTGTTTTATCGAGCGCAGATCAGCATCACGGCATGTTCAGACCCTTCACGCCGCAATGATTGTCATCACGAGCACCGGCAGTCAGAGATCATCATGGCCTGGTTTGCATGGAGTATCTCGACAATGGTACACCTCCACATCTTCAAGTTATGAAGTAAGGGACCGGTCGGAGGAGATTCAATGCGGATGAAAACCGCCGAATTGCGGGTCCCAGTCGGACTCGCTCCCAGAGTGCGAGAAAATCATCGTCAACAACGCTGCTCAATGGTCCGGAGTGGATTTGCACTGAAACTAAGATTGAGTATTAGATGATGCATTAGTCTGCCGATTACGCCAGCAGATTCCGTTTAGGACTCCTTGACTTGTGGTCCACCTAGCCCAATAATCCCACTGCCCGTCTCGCTTCTCTGGACCGAACTCCAGATCTGCCTCATTGGTGGTCTTCACGATTGGATGATAGCATGTGAAACCCAGATTCATTGTCTATTTGCCTGAACTGGTGTTGGACCGAAAATCTCCAGTGGAGTGGCGTGATAGATCGTAAGTCCGGGACTGGTTATAGAGACAGCCCGATCCGAAGGCGATGGCACAGTTCATCATCCATTGACCCAATCTTAGTGATGAATGCAAAGACTTGCTATTTGGGAGGCTAGCTTCGCAACTTTTAAGCCCAGTGGGGTGGCTTTAGGGTATTTCTGCCCCAAGGTCCACTTCTCCGCTATGGTTCTGACGAACGAACAAAATTACTGTGACGCGGCCATTCCCCAGGCTGAATATGTGGGTTGTAGAGGGTCTGCGGAGAGGGCTCCTATCAGGTCATTGTCGGAGATCGATCACGACCAACCTGGGAGGAATGCTGCGTGACTGGAAGAGGCGAGCGAGGGTTCGATCAATCAGGACTAACGAAATTACGTCACTCACATCTCCATAGGAGGTACGCAACTTGTCGTCGTGGTTCCAACACATGGTGTATCTCCGATATCCGAGGCAAGACTCTGACGGCTGCACAATGCACCCCATTGACAAACGTGGTAAGAAATGGCATCAACCGGTTCCTTCAGTCCGTGGCGACTCTGCCTCGGAAAGTGACTCCATGAAGCTTGTCCGAGGTGGAATGAAGGCTGGGCCTGGTTTGGCATGTTGCCCAGTTGATAAGCTCTCCCAAGAAGGAGTAACAACACTGCAGAATCATCCTAATCCCCCGAGAAGATCGCCCACCTCGTAGGGAAAAACCCCTTTGGGAGTCCGTGCATTTGGCACTAGGGCTATTGGATCAACTCATGGGTCCCAGTATCTTGAAATCGCGCCAATGACACGCTTCCATTACGTGTCTGGGGCAGAACTGAGCCAAGAGGAGACGTTTCTGCTGGAATGCGAAGATCCATCCCCGGCGCACTCCTGCAATTCATTGGCCGTCAGTACCCGGTAGGGGGGCTGCTGAACCCCTTGATTAACAGGCCGCATGATTATGAAGCCATCAAGAGGATGGCGGTGAATCTGCATCCCTCTATAACATGAGGAACGGCTGCTCCCTTATATGTATCCGGGCTACCGTTTACCTTGTCCACTGAATAGCGCACTATACCCCGACGCTGGACATGGAAAAGTCTCCCCCGGCCGTTAGTTCCTCCAGTGAGGAGAGTCGCGACATCTCGCTGCACAATGTGCTTGTTGCCCACGGACTGGGACTGGCACCAGATGGAAGCTTCGTTCGATGGTTGGAGAAAAACCCGCGGCATCCCCGAAACTGGTCGACACCCCGCAAGTTCTACGACCTGATCGTTATTCATCTGTGTGATTTCTTTGTGTGAGTGTATTCATGGGCGGGTTTGCGCTGCGAGTAATTAACATCATTGGCAGTACAGTGGCTAGTAGCGCAGGGGTAAGCGTCTCGATCCTTCCTCCTAGTAACGGCATATAACGATATTGACTTGGTGTCGAATAGACCGCCGCGGCTAAAGCAGCGCATGTGGAGTTCGGAATATCGCAAACGATGGCAATATTCTGCTTTGTTTCAGTGTATGTTGTCGGCCCTTGACGACAACACCCATCTTACGCTCGATAGTTCCCTCATGGGCCAGGTCCTTGGCTCCTTAATCCTTTCCTCCTACTCCGAGACATTTGGTCGCAAGCGATTGTACGTTCTCAGCACGGCCATCTTTAGCATCGGGTGCATCATCATTCCAGCTGTGCCGTCCCTAGCGGCGGTGGTCATCGGGCGATGGGTAACGGGGTTTGTCTCTTCGATTCCAGCCAACGTGTTGACGGGAAGCCTCGAGGACATGTATAACAGTCAAGACCGGCTTTGGTGGATGTGCATGATAGCCGTGGCGTCCAATCTGGGGTTGGTGCTGGGACCACTGTTCGGAGTGTACATCACGACGGACCTAGGATGGTCAGTCATCCCTTGCCCGTCCCCCACAAAGTCACAGCCACGCTCATAGTAATCCGTAGGAGATGGCTGTTCTACATCATGGCCATCATCACCGGGATCCTAGCGGGCCTGTGTATGTTCATCCGAGAATCACGACCCGCCCTTGTGCTGGCCCATGAAGTCGCCCTCTTCCGTCAAACAACCGGCCTCGACACCCCGCCACCCCTCAACCCGGACCACAGCCCTGACTTCCGCACATTCGCGCGAACGACCCTCCTCCGCCCCATTCAGCTGTACACCGAGCCGATCGTCTGCTGCGTCGCACTCATGAACTCGACGACCTTCGGACTCATCTACCTCTTCAGCGACGCGCTGCTCCCGATATACGAAAACATGGGGTTCGCACAGCCACAAGCCTCGCTTCCCTTCATCGCCATGGCCATCGGGGTCATCCTCAGCCTGGGCATGCGCCTCGTCGACCGAGTCATCATCCGCCGCCGCATCAACAGCGGGCGAACCCTGCTCCCAGAGCACAAGCTGACCGGCCTCTGCGTCGGCACGCCCATGCTAGCAATCAGCCTCTGGTGGTTCGGGTGGACCATCCCGCCGCGCATTCAAGGCCTGCACTGGATGGTGCCGACACTGCCGCTCGTACTACTAGGGTTCGCCCTGAACGAGTTCCTCACCGTCATGCTGGGCTACCTCGCAGACAGCTACCTCTGCTACGCGGCGAGCGGCCTCGCCGCCGTGGCGCTGCTGCGGGGCGTCTTCTCAGCAGTATTTCCACTATTCGCGGGCCACATGTTCTCGTCTCTGGGGGCGAACGTGGCGACGTCCGTGCTAGCCTCGTTGGCAACGGTGTATTGTTTCATCCCGCCGCTGTTTGTCCGATACGGGCCGCAAATCCGGGCGCGCAGCCGGTTTGCGAAGCATAGCTTGCGGACGCACGAGGCGACCTGTATAGACAAGGATCAGTTTGTGACGGTCGCGAATTAGTGCAGGCGGGGATTGAGAGAGGGTGGGATTCGTCGCGGCGGATGGTTCCGATTCGATCACGGATTATGTATTTTATGAGAATGAAGTAGGTGTCGGGGTGTTTACGGGCTGGAGGTATGCGATCGACATGTGTCATTATGAACTATTAGCATGCTGTACAGTCGTGTCCAAGCAATATAATAATAATAACCTAGATCCTGTAGAAGGGTCACTCAAAATACCCCTGGACCGTTAAGACGATATGCGCCCCGACAGCAGGAGAGACAGTGGTCATCCACACTACCTTCTCGGGGAGACGGTGGAACACTGTCGGGCTCGGGGACCTCGGGGATAGAAGGGAGGGTTGAATACGGCATGCTATTCCGTGAGGAAGTAGTCAAATCAAGTGAGACAGCAGACGAGTTTGTGACAGGCTCGCGTCTCTCGGAAATAGGAGGTAGAGCTGTATCCAATATACTATTCGGTGAACCAACAGGCAAACCGTGCGATGTAGCCGACGAAATCGTGACTGGCCGAGACGCCATCTTCCAGTACCACAGGGCCAAGAGGCAGATATCGTTCTGTAGCCCTTTCCAATGTTCGGCAGCGGCAGCCTTCCACACGTTGACCGCACTTTTCAGGAGACAGTTGGTCGACTGGATGTTCTTCCAATAATCCCACTCGGGACCCTCCGTCAAGCGCGACAGTTCGCCCTGTGGCGTCACCCACTGGGTCCGTAGGCGGTATAGCTTGTTGTTGCTGGTCAGCCCTGACCATGAGAACGAAAATGGCTGGTCAGCCCGTCGAACGAGTTGTTTCTCGGTGTAGTTGAAGAAAGATTGTCGGTTTGTCTCGGTGTTTCGGAAACAAGCTACACGATGGAAATTGACGTTTTGCGGATCGATTTGCACGACGGCGGACGAGTAGAACTCACCGTCCAGGGCCTGGTAACCCACATCAGCTTCCGGGTCCTGAATCATTAGAAAGCTTTGTCCGAGCGCTGCTGCAGCGAGTAGAAGGGAGTCGCCCCCTGGGTCTCCCGGGCCCCCCTGCCCGAAGAGGGGGTAGTAGTACGACGGACCATGGTAATTGTAGTACGCGTTTAGGAACAGCGTCGTGAGGTGGCTTCGCTTCGACACGAAGAATGCCGAAGTATCGGACGCCGGGCGCGCCGCCATGCTGGGGACTGGTTGGCCAGAGATATTATAGTAGATCGGATTCACGGTGGAGGCCCAGTGGCCCGGCCAGGTGGTGAGGCTGTCATCGGCGCAAGGACGGGCCGTGGACGCACTATAAGTCGGGAGGCTCCAAGGGTCCATATATATCACATTTTCAAAGGAAGACAACAGGACGGCGAAGGCCTTGAGTTGGGAATGTTGAACGTCCACCTTGTTGCTGGAGTTGAAGAGCCTGGACAGCACGATGCAGGAGGCGTCATACAGAGGCAACACCCTCTCACACAGATGCCCGTCGTAATTCCATTCATCTGACAGAAACAGCTCAACCGGTACAGTACAGCCCGTATATCGCAACATGCGTAGGGACGCCAGGAACATGGGCAGGTAAGTCTTGGTTGTACTGGACACGATGCCTTCGGTTCCAGGGATGTGGACTTGGGTGTATTCCGTAGTCTTAATGCCGTGAACAAACCCGTCATGCGCTTCCTTCATCGATGCTTCTATCACCTGTGTATTTGCGATCATATCTGGTCGTGACCGGCCATCCGTGCTGAACTCCCGACGCTCAACGGCGTTCGATATTTCGGGGAAGCGACACGTTGGGGCATGGGTCTCCGCCAGAGAGTGAAACTCGGCCCATAGACTCCGGCGACGCTCCCTGAGAGCCAGACTTGAGTTCATGTTGAAAGCCGCGTGTAGTATCAAATTGGCGAAGACTACGTAGAATATCACAAAGTTCATGAAAATCTCCCACAGAATCATGAGTCTCGCGGGGGTCAACAATCCAAACCTAGTAATGAGAAAAAATGACCGAAAGTGTGATAAGATTATAGTTTGCTATTCGACAAAGGTAGTGATGTTATAGTTAATGATGGAGTGTGGTGGAGGGTGGAAGATGCCATGGGTTGATATAGGGCTAGTCCATGAGGCACAATGGGAAGGGACTATTGTGAAAATCGGACCTGCCGCGTAAATAGCACCTTCGCATTGCAGTTGCAATAGAAGAGCCGATCCACTTTCAAAAAAGAGCGCAGAGATAATGATATCTATAAGGTCAGCTCCCTCTGGATATGTTGCAAATGTCAATCGAGGGATATAATAAGGATCTACGGTAGGTCTTCAGCTGCTCTCGTAGTATGGAATATTAGATACTCTAGCCTGGTCTCAAAACAGTGCCGTTCAAGACCGTTGGTTAGGTCGAGTATAAGACGAAGATTAGAAGTGATAACAATGCTTGGGAAATGCCCCAAATGATAGCAAAATACATTAATTACCAAGTATTAAGGCTTAATAAAAGAATCGGCATAATAGACATACTTGTTGGTCGAGATATATATATGTCGTGGGGGATGGAACAGAGAACATCATGATAGTTGCAATACTGCTAAGAAAAGACTGAATGAATTCGAACAAGGCGAGGACGCTTATAGACTGTCACAATCTATGAGATATGCGTAGAAAGACATATGGGAGAAACAAAGCATGAGAGAGAAATACAAGTGGTTAGAGACGAGATGGTCACGTGCAGGACGCGTTCTGCTTTTGTGTTTTCTTTGCACTTCATATTTCCGTTCTTTCTCCCCGTAAATCTATCAGACAGGCCATTCGATCACAATTCCTATTGTTATTATATGCGATACTTCCAAATGACGATGTTACTGCTAGACCATAGGCCAGGGCGTCCGCCTAGACATCAGGATGCGGCCTCTCAAGATCTAGGACAAACACAGGCACAGAAAGATAATGTGACCGTGGGATAACCAGGAGCAACAAAATCGACCCACTTATTCAGCTATATGTCGTGTGAATGGCTGGTTTGACAACCGACTACCCACGAAGACCAATGGCCTGGTTGTATAGCGACCCACTCTGCCCAATAACCTGCCATGCGCCGAGTGATAAGCAACTAGCCGGATGATCAACAAAGCAACCCCGAAGGTTCCGGCCAAAGGCGACAGGAGAATTTAGGAGAATTTGCAAGATGGCAGAGAAAGATTTGGGGAGAAGGAAGAGAGAGCGACGGGAATACCCCCGCAATACAACCGCTCTTATTGTTATCTTTGGACATCTCATGACAGCCTGTGATATTGTCTTCCCAAGCGGGCCAGCGTGGATTCGCGCCAGGCAGATGAGGTTCCCCGCCACGACAGGTGAAAAGTCTTGGCCTCTGGGTTTTGTGTTCGCTTAAGCCTATCTCACTTAATGGTCGCCGTCTGCGGGCTTAGTTCAGGTCATTGGTCTCCCCCAGAAACCGGATGGCCGGAGGGGAAAGGGTCTAATGCATAGCTTCTATGCCGCAGCGTTGGGCTTCTGTGACATTTTGATCGACAGCAGGGATCCTGGTTGAATGAATAAGCATCAACGAGATGCCACATCCAAGACACGACGCAAATTCGGTGCACAATAAACCATCGGCGAGGCCCGACGCTCTCAAGTCTGAACCAATCCCAACACCCAAGGCCAGCTGGTGGGATGGAATTCTAGGAGCTTCACACAAGATCAGCCAGGCTGGAAGTGATGTCGCCGATCGCTTGGGACGACCGACAGACGAAGGCGAGGCGCTGGATGCCGCGCATCATCCCGAAGACTATGGCGCCACGGACGACATCCAGATGACCGACTTGCTCCAAGGCGACCACGAGCTTACCAATGATGCCTATCAGTCAAAATTGCAAAAGGAATTGGGGTCCCGTGCACAGCTCTTAATGGGTGTTCTGGGGGTGGGCAGTCGCACCTCAATGCAGAGACAAGAGACGGACGACAGCACCGCTGATGGTGGTATACTGTCCCATTTACTGAAAAGGCCCAAATATCACCGTCGTCAGGTCAGCGATGGGGCAATTTCGACAATCTCTCCTGAGTCACGGTCTTCTTCGGGCAAAGGAAAGAAGCCGCGCAGGGAGAAATGGTACAACACCGAGGAAGGTCGGAAGGCTAGGAAACGCAATAGGCGTGCCCGGCTGAGACAAGCAATCGCCACCATCATAACGCGGGAACGGTATATCATAAAACTCTGTCGCGCTCTCATGAAATATGGCGCACCGACACATCGGCTGGAGGAGTACATGCATATGACAGCCAAAGAGTTGGATATCCAGGCCCATTTCCTGTATCTTCCCGGGTGTATGATAATGTCCTTTGACGACCCGATCACGTGCACCACCGACATCGAGATCGTCCGGGAAGAACAAGGCTTGGACCTGGGTCGTATGGCGGACACCCACAATGTGTACAAGCGCGTGGTACACGACAAGTTGGGGGCGGAAAAGGCCACAGAAGAGCTGGAAACGATGCTGCGGAGCCCGCCCCGCTACCATCAACTATGGCTGCGCTGCATCTTTGTGGGTCTCTTTAGTGTTACAGTTGCTCCGTGGGCGTTTAACGGGCGGCCAGTCGACATGCCCATCATCTTCGTGCTCGGCTGTCTGATGGGCGTCATGCAGTTTTGGCTGTCTCCCAGGAGCAAACTTTATGCAAACGTCTTTGAGGTGAGTGCTGCGGTACTGTTGACGTTCATTGCCCGCGGATTTGGCAGCATTCGGGTAGGAGGTCATCCGGTATTCTGCTTCTCGGCGATTGTTCAATCCTCCATCGCCCTGGTTTTGCCAGGTTATACCGTCTTATGCAGCAGTCTCGAGCTACAGTCACACCAGATCGTGGCCGGCTCCATACGACTGGTGTACACGTACATATACTCCCTGTTTCTCGGATACGGGGTCACGGTCGGCATCACAGTGTATGGCCTCATAGATAACAACGCCACGACCGAAGCCACCTGTTCCGCGGCGAGTTTGAAAATATATGGGAATGAATACATCCAACACTTTGCCTTTGTGCCCATCTACTGCGCATTCGCGGCCCTGACCCACCGTGCCAAGTGGAAGCAGATACCAACGACCAGCTTCTTGGGAACTTGCGGCTACGTTACCAATTACTTAGGTACGAAGTACTTGGACTCGCGACTGGGAAGCACCATCGGCGCGTTTACCATTGGACTACTGGCCAACATCTACAGCAGAGTGTGGCACGGACATGCCGCCGTGGTGATTGTCCCTGGAATCTTCACCCAAGTCTCGTCGGGTCTTGCTGCGAGCGGGTCGATCGTGTCGGGACTGGCCTATGCGAAGGCCGTCAAGCACAATGCCGCTGGGATAGATGTGATATCGCAGGCATCGTTGCAGAAAACCCTTTCGGCTCTTGGGTACAGCATGGTCCAGACGGCATTAAGTATCACCGTGGGACTGTTCCTATCAGCCCTGGTTGTCTATCCGCGAGGAAAGAAGCGCAGCGGGCTGTTTAGTCTCTGATAGGGTTTGTTGGGAGGATATGCCTGGTCGCTTGAATCCTATTGCTACGGGGGCGCCGGGGGTTTGAATTGAGGACGACGTGGGATTTTGAGTCATGGCACGGCCGATGTTCTGTCTTCCAATTCATGGACCACGATCAACCATATGAAATATGTTACAAGTTTTCCCTGTCTCTTTTACAGTCACGGCCTCATCACTCCGAGTCTGTTTCCCGGGCGACTTTTTGATCACGGAACGAGACCCCGATTTCTTTGACGACCAACCACGCTGGTAGTAGTGCGATGGCCCAGAGACCGAAGTTCAAGTATATGCTACCGACGGACGCCATGATGGGTACACTCGAAAGACCATACTAGTCCAGTTAGTACGATACCGGATGCGAAGGTCACCACAGAACTTACGGAGACGGCTTGTACAGCGGATTCCGTCCCCCGCAGCAGACCAGCTAGACGGACGACTTCTTCATGGTCGCGAGCGAGGTTCCCGATGACGAAATACCTATCTCATTAGTTGTGTCCATCGGGGGGCGTGAACGCAGGAGAGCGTACAGGAACATGTAATTCAACTGGAACCCAGCGACCCAAAACAAATACAAGGGAAACCCCCGACCAAAGCCCGGGTCCGCCCAATCGTAAGTTGGCTCATTCCGGTGATATTCAGTAACAATCACCGTAGCCCAGACCCACCAGCCCCCTTGCAACGTCATGATCGTGGCAAAGGCGCCTCGACTGCGCGACTTCAACGCTATCCTGGTCCGGTCCAAATAGGCACCGAGAATGTTCCCGGCGATGAGGGCCACGACCCCAGCCAGAAAGGACCCGAGCGCACGGGCACGCACGGAGAACCACAGGGACAGGTACGTGAACATGACCGCCTCAGTATAGACCGCTTGGGCGATGAGCGGAACAATAAGAAGGAATTCCCGTCGAATGAACAACTTCGCCATGGCTTTTATCTCGAAGGATGGGCTGCTCGCGATGTGCAAGCGCACTGGGCGACCATCTGTCCGCTGGACCTTGTCTGGGGGCGTCAGCAGCAAGCCGGCAAACGGACCGAGTGCCTGCAAGGCAATGAACACAAGGTACACGGCGTAGGAGACACTTCCCGCCTCAGAGCGGTCGGCATTCAGGCCCAGGTTGATGGCACCGCCTAAGATCTGGCCTCCGACGCGGAAGCTGAGCCAGAAGCCGAGGAAGCGGCCCTGAGTATACGGTTCTGGATAGGACAAAGCAATGGCGGTTTCGGCCATCCAGAAAAGGCCGGCGGAGAGGCCGCACAGCGCGGCGCCAAATATGGTCAGCCATTCCTTGTCGAAGCGGTTGTTAACGTACAGCCCTGCGGCATACGGAGCATATCCCAACGTGCCAACGATCAAGGTCCACTGGATGCCGATGTAGCGGACGACGACGCTGCCAAAGAAGCACGACACGACCATTAGACAGAAAGTTAGCGCGTTGGCTGCGTTGACTAGGTAGGGCTCCTGTTGCCCACCGCCCCCTAGGCTGGACATGGCGCCCCAGATACCAGGTGCAAGGAAGTTGCATATCCCAAGGATGAGGGCGTTATAGTATGTCGATCGGTACCATTTGACAGGGTGCTGGCCGGGTCTGGGCCCGGGGACCTCTTCATCCGTCGACTGGATGCTGTTCTTGTCGAGTGTCATGGTGTCGATGTATCACCTCCACGCCACACATATCCATAGTGCTGATAACGCTGCTATGTATGAGTATATATAGGCCAAGCTAATGCGCTCGGAGGCGGCAATGCCCCCTGTCGGACAGGTACCGCGAGCCAGTCGTGGGATCCCTGTCGCACGCGATGTTGCGATTCGCGGGGAGATTACGTGCTCGCACGGCATTTTAGCAACGTTGGAGAAGAAGGATTTACGATTCCAGCATTGATTATCATTGATGTAGGGATTATTGAAAATTACTAGTTTCCTACATGATTAGCTTGTCTACGGTAATTGATGCCCAATAATGCTCATCAAAAACAGGAAAAATTCGTCAAATTCGTACGATAACAAAGACCATCAGAAACATTCGTCATGCGTTCCATCACCACACAGGATGGCTAATCCTGATCCTCCGGATGGAATACAAGCGCTCTCACCTCGATACTCTCACGTGTGTCCTCGCCCTCTGTCTCGGGATTGACAAAGGCCGAATGGGGTGCCCGGCGTGAGCGCCCGTCCGTCTTCGAATCGAAGCACTTGATTAACGTGACAAGATCGGGGGTCTGCCCATAGCGATAATACCACTTAGCGGTGGGACTCTGCTTCACCGAGTATGTTTCGCCCACCCGCTCCGGATAGATCAGCTTAATCGCGATGAGGTCAGTATCCGGCACGGAGAGCGCATCCGCCACCGCGAGGGGGTCCTTCTTGATGGTTTTGACCGGTCGCCAGACGTTAATAATCTGGTACCGGCCCTTCAGCAGCTCCGGGGCGTCCTCCGGGATATGGTACTCGACGCGATCTTTGGCAGCCGCGGGGGTCTGATCGACGTGGACTCCCTGGACCGGGGCTCTGTTGCCATCTTTATTACGGGTCATGATCGACGAACGACGGACGGTGTGGTCAAAGATGAAGACGCGGGAGGCACCGGTTCTATTTTCGTGTTAGCGGACTTCACAGGGCGGGGTCGGCCACCACTCACACATCCTTCAAGAGCTGCTCTGTCTCGGCGTAGTAATCGCTTTTGATGCGATCCTCATCGAGGAAGGTCTTCTCGTTGCTGACGTGGTAATGAAATTGGAAGCCGTGGGTGTCCAGGGCGTAGTCCAGCTCGTGGCCGCTGACGTCGTGGACTGTAACGGGGACGGCCTCAATGGGACGTTCGTGGTAGGACTTGAGGTCTCCGATGTTGTTGGGGACAAGGTGGGACCCGTCTTCCATTTCCCGGATAAAGTTCAGCGTCGTGTGCACATGGTGCGGTTTCTGGGCGGAGGGGGCCCGGCGGTTGGGACTGATGTTGAGATAGCAGAGGAAGGTTGGTGGACTTGAGCGGAAGCCATGGTATCACGGTATGATGGTTTACAGTGAGATGACTGCAAGATGACTGCGACGATGATTCTAAGGCCTATCTGTATCTACAGAGCTCGCCCATTTTATAGCCTCCGGGAGTTGAGGTACATTCAGGTACATAGACATGCATTTGTCAGAGCACGCCATCCGCGTAAGCAGGCTGATCAATCAACTGACGATTATACAATCAGAGAGGATATGAAGGACTAGCTCAAGTGAGACGCGGAGGAGATTGATTTGGCAGCGAATACTTTCATCATTTATCACCATCTGTAAGCACTATTATTCGATCTGTCTTCCGGGAGCTTCGGAGGCAAGCCAGTGGGCAGTAGTGGCGGGTGACCAGAGGTCAAGAGGTTATCTCCTCGGTGCAAATCCGGGGTGATCATGCTGAGTATCTTCGGGGGCTATACTCAGACGTGTGTCTCAAATGCCTCTCGATTTGTATTAGCCTGGTCCGTGCTTGATGAATGAATAGTTCACCTGATACTATTATCGTATGACAAGAAGACTAGACCCACTAGGTTGATGTTGTCAAGATACTAGAGCACCTCGTACTGGACTATATGAGTCTAGCTACTTAAAAAGTGGCTGCGCTGACTATTATATTTTAGTAGCTATACAAGAACCGTGTATTGCCAATATACCTCCCAGCAAATTGATCATCTCGCATGAAACATATATGATCATCACCTCTAACCGTTGACTCATACGCAAATCACGTCATACTCGCACTAACTTCGTAATCTTCGTCCCATCATCCAGCACCTCCCCTGCCTCCTGGAGACGGTACCCCCCACGGCGCGGGAGCAGCACCGTCCAAATATACCAGTAAACAACACCGAACAGCAACACTCCGCTCCCGACGATCGCATACGTGGCGTAGAAGAACTGCACGTCCCCCTTCCGATCCGGTGGCGGGATCAGCGGCGCGACAAGCAGAGCAATACACACAAGGATCCGCAGCCACACGGCAGGCAACCAAGCCTTGAAGGGGCGAAGGCGCGCGGGCTCCCGTAGACGCAGCAAGAGCAGACCGACTGTGACAGCCAGGGCGAGGATTTGAGCGGGGTAGCCTTCCACGTCGAGAATAAAATTGTAGATATCTCCTTGGGGAGGGAGAGCGATGACTAGGATGGAGGGAACGTAGTGCACGATGAGGCCGCCGAGGGGAGATCCGAAGGGTTTGGACGAGGAGAAGCGGCGCGAGTAGGGTAGGAAGCCTTGTTTTGCAATTTCTTGATTGAGACGTGACTGATACGTCAGAATAGGCGTCAAGCGGATGGACAGATAATGCATACCAAAGCATAGACGACGACCATGACGTTCCCCCCTGCGGAGAGGGCGATCGCCAGCGGGAAGGCGATGCGGCCGATGTGGGGACCAAAGAGACGGTCGAAAAGAAGCGCACCGACGAGCTCCCCGCCCTGTTTGATGTCTTCTGGGGGGATGACGAGGAAGTAGCTCGCGTTGGCGAGCAGGTATAGCGCAGCGGCAGTGATCAGCGCCGCGGGACAGACGATGCGGAGTGTTTCGATTGGGCGATGGACTTCTGCCAGGACATTGTTGACGTTGTTCAGACCCGCGTAGGAGTAGATGACCTTGAAGAGGGACGTAGACATCAGGTTCCAACTCCAATTTGAGCCCTCCCAGAGGGAGTGCCACGCGATGGGAGTCTGGCGGGGAGCCGCAGGCCGCCATAGGATGACCCACAGTCCGGTCAGGGACATAGCTGCGATCAACACGATCTTGACCCAGCCTAACACGTTTTGTACGGCAATACCGACACGTGGGAAACAGCCATGGCAGAGCGTAATGGCCGTGAGGAGCCCTATGGCGAGGGTTTTCACCCCCGCGTCGGATGAGTGGGCCGCGCCCAGGGCAAACAGGGTATACCTTGCAAATACGATGCAATTGCTGGCTGTAAACCCCAGCAGAACGGCCTGGACAGCGATGAGAGTTGACGCGAGGAATCGCGGTCGGGGAAACGCATACTCGACGTACACCTGGACGGCGACAGAGTCAGTGTCTGCGTTGTAGTTGAAATCCAACTCCAAGTCCTATTCTGCCTAGTCCGTCACTCGCCTTGTCACCTCCCGAGTGAGGAAACATGGTCCCCCATTCCATGGAGACGCCCATGCCGCACGCGGCGAGGACCGTACCGACGACCCATATCAGAAGGGACAGTCCGATGCTACCAGAGGAGCGGAAGATGGACCCGGGGGTGGCGAAGATGCCGCTGCCGATGACACGGGAGATGACGAGAATGTATGCGCTCGCGGGGGTCAGGGTGGCTTTTGGTACATGCTGGATGGTGTTTAATAGCGGCTGTCGTTCTATTTGGTCCATGGATGTGGTGTTTCTCTGTCAAGTTGGGGGTGGGTTGGAATCCGACCAGCACGGCGCGGTGGGTTGTCGCATATCGACGGTGTTGGTATGTGAGAAAGAATGCAGGCACGTCATTATGGGCGCAAAGTGTCTGATCTATTTGATCAAGACTGTGATACTGATAACTACCAGGAAACCAATCAATGCGGCCAGCAATAGTTTTCTAGTAGAAGTGAGATGGTTGCTCCATTTACCCGTAACCCTAATGATCGACACTGTCAGATCATCCCGACCCTCAATCACATCATCGCCTCCATTTCTTGCCCACCGGGTCAACCCAACTCGATCGCATCGTAATTTACCCCTAGTATTTTGCTATCCACTGACGAACCATTCGGGCCCGATTATGCCATGATCCTCTATGGTCTCGTTCTATCACGCCATCCCACCCCGCTATGCGCAATGCTCAGCAACGCCCTTTCGCCGCGAATAGCGTCACCAACTCCTGCACGGCCCTGCCAATTACGCAGGCCCTGGGAAACCCCTCTCTCCGCGAATCACATCCGTCGGGGTTGTTTTTATTTTAGGGCGTGGAGTAGGACGTGCTGAGCCTGGGCCACCTGTCGTTATTCGGCCGAATAACTTCCCAGATATATCGCCCACCGCGCATGAAAAGCCACAATGGTCTTTACTGCAATATTCCATGGCGTGCTAAACGAGTTGATTCACTGTCTTAATATACATCATGACCACCGCAACGTATACGCTTTCCTCATTCGAGAAGCCCTCGGTCGTCCACGAGGAGATCTATGAACCACACGATCGGTACATCGTGCCCGATCCTACTCGACGATCTTCGTCCACCCAGCGTGCACTGTTGCTGCAGGCAGCGCGCGAGCAGTACACCCTGGTGCACGATCATGCCATTCCAGACCCAGCCCGGGGGGAGGTTCTCGTCAAGGTATGTGATCTGATCTATCCCTTCTATAATCCTACCAATCATTGCTGTTTTCCCCGGCCATAGGCTAATATCCATTAGATTGTGGCGATCGGATTGAACCCCGTCGATTGGAAGGGCCCGTATGTCCTGTCCCCAATACGTTGCGTCGTCGACACATACTAATCAATTCAGGGCTTTCAACTTTGGCATCCCCCGTCTCCCTTGGATCAACGGGCGCGATCTCGCCGGTGTCGTTGTCTCCCCCACAGACGAGTCATCTCGCGTACAGCGAGGCGACCTGGTGCTAGTCCCCTCCACCGACTACCGAGACATTCGGAAGGCAGCCTTCCAAGAATACGCCATTGCGACAGCCTACAATGCCGCCCGCATCCCCTCCTCGCAGTGCGTCTACGCGTCGGCCTCCCTAGGCGTGGCCTTTGTGGCCTCCGTCCTCGCTCTCGGTGTCTCTTTCGGCATCGATTTCTCGAAGAACTTCACCGGCCAGGGCCCCGACCTGGTCCGCACCATCCGCGGTCTAAACCGCGACAACATCCCCGCTGACATCCTCGACGAAACCTTCTCCTGTACTTTGCCCAGTGCGGACCGCGCCCAACCTGGTGACTGGCTCGCCATCTGGGGTGGTATGTCCTCTCCCTCCCTCTTCATCCGTCCTTTCGAACGAAACTAACCGAAACAGCATCCACCACCACCGGCTACATCACCCTCCAACTAGCCAAGCTCGCGGGCCTACACGTCATCTGCGTAGCCGATGTCGCCGCCCACGGGCGCAAACTCCACGGCGCAGGCGCCGACATTCTCATCGACCGACGGGACCCAGAGCGGGCCGTCGAAATCATCCGGGGCGTGACAGGCGGGCGGCTACGGTACGCGATCGACTTCGTCGGGCGCGAGACCGCCACGCTGCTCGAGCGGACACTGGACGGGACGAACGGGGACGCGAAAGCGCACCTACTTGGCCTGACGGGACTACCTAAGGAGCGGCAGCCGGGGATTGCCTACCATACTGTGCCCATCAAACTGTTCCATCTGTCTCCCGAGGTTGGGGAGAGTATGGTCGTGTGGCTGGAGAGTCTGCTGCGGGATGGGACGTTGCGGTTGCCGGAGATTGTGCGGTCGCCTGGGGGGTTAGGCAGTGTAAATACTTCCTTGGAGATGTTGAAGGATGGGACGGCGTCCGGGAAGAGGGTGGTTGTTGATTTGCAGTGATCCTTTTTTTTCCTTTTCCATTTTCTCTTTTGCTTTCTTGACGATCTTTATGGTGTATATGGTGTTGTGATATCCCGGTTATGATAGATGAGTATTATGAATGAATCATACTATTTATTACATACTATCGTGAGGATTAATATTTTGCATTATGGGTTTTGATGGTAACGAAAGAAAATAGGGCTTCGCAGGTCACGCCCAGCAGCCTCAGGCAGTAAACCATGAACAACAATCAATACAATCAAAATCAGAATAAATGACAAGGATCATCTCCAACTCCTCCAATTACTTATGCTCCAACTTTTGTTCCAGCGTATGTTCTACTGTTTGAGGATAGGTACAGATGGAAGGATAGGACAGTACCCCGCCATTCATCATCCTGGCCAAACTGGCGCAATCGCGCATGTCTCGCACGTCTTCGGCAGGAGATGCAGCCAACCAAGGCTTGTCTACTATCAGTCGGACAAGAGACCGATGTCGACATTGTAGTGGGGTGTCTGAAGTTATTGGAGAGTTAACGTGTAGAATTTCTGTTTTAATACTCCAGATCATTGAAATGCTATATATATAAACTTGCCTCCCCAGTACCACATGCCTTGCTCTAATCCGCACATCAATTCTTTAATTCCAACCACTACGAATATCAAGAACAAAAGAAATATAGAAAGAAAGAGAAAGCACAATGGGCTCCACACCCAAAAAACAACTCATCCTCAATGCCTTCACGATGCAATCCCCCTCGCACCTGAACCCCGGCCTCCACCGGCACCCCAACGACAAAGGCCGGGAGTACAAAAACATCCAAAACTGGATCAGCCTGGCGCAAAAGCTCGAAGCCGCCAAATTCCATGCCATATTCTTCGCCGACGTCCTAGGCGGCTACGACGTCTACCGTGGCCCAGGCAACCTGCACCCGACGATCCCAGCCGGCGCACAATTCCCCATCAACGACCCACTGTACTCAGTCCCGGCCATGGCAGCCGCTACCGAGACAATCAGCTTTGGAGTGACTGCGTCGACGACATACGAAGCGCCGTACGCGCTGGCCCGACGCTTCTCGACCGTCGACCACCTAACGAACGGTCGCATCGGATGGAACATCGTGACGAGCTACCTCGAGAGCGCGGCACGCAACTTCGGGTTAGACACGCAGATCGAACACGACGAGCGGTATCGCATCGCAGATGAGTATCTGGACGTGACATACAAGCTGTGGGAGGGGTCGTGGCGGGACGATGCCGTGCAGCCTAAGGATGGCAAATCGGGGTATGCGGATCCCGACGGGGTGAGGCAGATCAACCATGCTGGGAAGTACTTTAATGTTCCCGGGCCGCATCTGTGCGAGCCGAGTGTGCAGCGCACGCCGTTTTTGCTGCAGGCCGGGACGTCGAGTGCCGGGAAGGCGTTTGCGGCGAAGCATGCGGAGGCGATCTTCTTGCATGCGCAGCAGCCGGAGCTGGTGAGACCCAGTGTGGACAGTGTGCGGGAGCAGGCGCGTCAGGCTGGGCGCGACGGAGCAGCAATTAAGGTGATTGCTGGGGTGTTAGTGATTGTTGCTGAGACGGACGAGGCGGCGCATGCAAAGTTCGACGCGCTGGCGCAATATGGGGATCGCGAAGGCGCGCTGGCGTTGTTTGGGGGGTGGACTGGGTACGATCTGTCGAAGTGGGGAGATGATGAGGATTTCCGGTTCGTGGAGCAGCCGGCTGTGCGAAGCATGGTGAATCACTGGGCGAGTACAGTGCCGGGTACGCAGAAGAAGTGGGATAAGAAGACCATCGCGGAGTATTTGGTGCTTGGGGGAAATGGTTGCAAGATTATTGGGAGTGTGCAGACAGTGGCAGATGAGTTGGAGAGGTGGGTGTCCGTGGGCGATGTGGATGGCTTCAATTTGAGCTATGCCAGTGTGCCGGATACGTTTGACGATGTCATCACGTATTTGATTCCGGAATTGCAGCGGAGAGGGGTGTTCCATACGGACTATGAGGTGCCCGGGGGGAGTATGCGTGAGAATATGTATGGGGTGCAGGGAAAGACGCGGTTGCCGGAGACCCATCCGGGGGCGACGTATTTCTGGAAGGGTGGTGAAGCTGTTCCGAAGTATGCTGCCTAAGGATAATGTTATATAGTGACGGTAATATAAGATACACTTATTATGATATCGCTATATTCGTGCTCAAGTTTGCCTAAGTTGGAGGAACCCACATACATAGTTTCGAAGAACCATGAATACTCTAGGTATGGTCGAATGGCGACGGTGTCTATTTATGCTGCTCGAATATAAATCCCGTAGAAAATATTAGTTGCTACGAAGATAGAGTCTAAACATCCCACCACCCCTCCAGATAGGTCCGCAAATCTACATCTCCCGGCTTCATCAAATGAGGCGTGAGATCGACCTCCTCGCCCTGCATCTCCCGCTCCGTCCAACCATTCCCCATAAACGCAAACCGATTCCCACTCGGGTTGACATACTCATACTCCCAGTCCTCCCAGCGAGGATCCCTGCGAAGAGCATTCAAATGCGCTGCACTGCCAGGAAACAGACCATGGACGCGCCCTCCGGGTTTTCCACCATTATACCACGAACGACAGTTCCGTTTCCCGGGCGCGGAATCATCGTTGGCGGTCCAGACGGTTTTGGGGTAGAACGCGTCCGCATACTGCACAAAGTCATCTGTCGCCTGCCGCGACGGCGCCATAGACTTAATGCCGTGGCCGCGGAGCTTGCGCACCACCTTGGCGATGTAGGTGATTTGGTTTTCCAAACTGTTGGGGACGCTGCCACCGTGACCAGTGGACTGGGGGCCGCCGATCCAGAGAAGGTTGGGGAAGCCCGGGACAGCGACGCCGAGATAGTTGTATGGGTAGCCAAACAGGCCGTTTGATGTCCAGGCAGATTTGAGGTCGATATTATTGGCGATAATGCTGAACGGGGGCGCGTGATCGACGTTGGCGCCGGTTGCGCAGATCACGATGTCGGCGGGGCGGTGGGTGCCGTCCGCGGCGACGATGCCGGTGGGTGTGAAGGTGGTGATGGGATCGGTGATGTAGTCGACGTTGGGCTTGGTCAAAGCCTCGAGGTAGCCTGGGCCTGGGGTGGCTCGACGGCAGGCGGGGTAGAAATCGGGGATGAGTTTGTCGGCGAGCGAGGGTTTGTCGGCAACACGTTGGACCATCAGACGGCTCCAATTTTCACGCAGGGATTCATTCTCAGGGGAGTCCTTAAAGATGGCACCGAAGCGCGAGAAGTAGCCCTGTTCGATGGACTTGCGATAGCGGAGGTATGTGTCGGGGTCGCGGAAGGCCTCGAGCTGGTCCTGGGAGATGAGGTTGGGCTCGAGACGGCGTACTCCCGTAGCGGCGTTGCCGAAGGAATCGGCGATCCAGGTGCGGTTGCGGGCGTAGTGGTCGACGTGGGTAGCGATGGGTTGGATGGAGGGTAGGACTTGGAGACCAGACGCGCCATTGCCGATGAGGGCGATGCGCTTGTCGGTTAGGTTGACGGCGTGGTCCCAGTTGGAGGAGTGGAAAAGTGCACCTTGGAAAGTGTCCATGCCGGGATAGTCGGGGAGTTTCCAGGCGTTGAAGTGGCCGATAGCGGGGATGAGGATATCCAGGTCTTCGTCGTATTGCTGAAGGATTAGTAGATAACTTGTCTATGTGGATAGCTTGAGACATACTCTGTTATTGTCTGTCAGATCCTGCAAGGTGACTCTCCACTTGCCCTCCTCAGGGATCCAAACCGTCCCCGCGACTTTCTGCTCCAGTCGCAAATACTGATCTACCTGGAACTTCTTCACAAGTCCCTGCCAGTACTCGCGGATCTCCTTTCCCTGAGCAAACTCCTCCGTCCATTGTGTATTCGGCGCAAACCCGGATTGGTAGACGTGGGCGGGAATATCACATCGCACGCCGGGGTAGGTATTCTCATACCATGTTCCGCCCTACTTTATTAGCGAATTGTATGAGCGAGTCTGTAAAAACATACCACTTCTGGGTTCTTGTCATAAATCCGAAGATCCAGACCGGGTAATTTGGCGGGAAGGAGGATGCCTGCAGTGATGCCTGCAATGCCGGCGCCAATGATGCCGACTTTGATCGGGCGGACACGGTCGATGGGATGGTTTTCTAGTTCAAACGTGGGCTTTTGGACATGATTGCGTGAAGCGCCGTTCGTAGCTGCAGCCGGCAGACCAGCGGAATCTGATTGAGTTGGATTGAGGGGAGAAGCGCCCTTGGTATTTAGAGACAGCGGCTTTTCAACCGCAAGTGTTTCAATGGAACCCATAGTTAACCTTGAAAGTTGAGCACAACCAAAGTAGTCGCGCGACAGCTGGACTTTTACCATCCAGCCTTATAATGATGTCGGTTGCCGCGGGGAAAGTCCGAGGTGCTGCCAGGCCATGCGGGGCCACGTCGTCTGATTGTGTCCCCAATTAACAGCCCCTCTGCACGCCATCAGACAGCTATCTGAGCTCTTCGCGTAGCGTACATCCAATGTTGCAATGTTTCATACCTCCGGTGTTGGGGTAATCGATAAGGGCGGATGGCGGGTTAGGCTAGTGCGCACACAATTGGGGTGCGTGATGGTGTCACGATGGTTGGCGTTTTGCAAATGTCGTTCTTGACAGGGATTGATTACGTGTATTTACCTAGGCTTTTCACTGACAAAATGATTGCAATTGCATTCGAGAGTTTGATCAATGTATTGGGATGGATTATGTAGTTGACATTCACCATGTGTGGTTCTTACTGTTGGTCGCACGGACCCCGTGACACAACGTAGCCCTACAAGGTCCGCCGACTATCAATTCTACCACACCTCCGATAGACAGTGGACTTCATTAATGCAAGAAAATCAACACTTCATTCCATGTTCAACATAACGCCTACTCCAAACCTCTTCACCAAGACCGTACCTGGATACCCAAACGACACCACCATGTCTACAAGGAAATGAACCTACCATTAGTAACTTATCGATACCGTACTTCCAATCATGCCTTCGGAAGCGACCAGAACTCTGAGCTCCGAAAGAGCTTTCTTACATCCTTCGATAGGGCCGCGGTCCCCGGGAGCGACATAGAACTCAAGCAAGACGCCTGGTTCTATGCCAACAAAATACTCGGCGCTGTCCTTGATCAAGAGACTGTCTTGAAGAAACATTGAATCCAAGTCATCAACAAGGTCGCCGAGACCGTTAAACAGACCCTCGATGGGGAAATACGCAAAATATTTTGTCAGATCATCGCTCTCCTTAGGCGCCTCGAGACGCACTTTGACTACTTCAGTTGGGTGAATGACAAAGGACTGGTTCGGATCATAGAAGTCGTATCGTAGACCCATAATGACTGGATGCTGCGTTCTGTCAGAAACTGGGTGGGGTTTACTTACCTAGTTCTTGGGGTGTGGTGGAGAAAATTGGGTGAGCGATGGAAGTAATGAATATTGATTATCATGAGGGGACCAACTGTGGTATTTATAGTATGGCAGGGGGTGAGCGCATTATGAAGCGACGTATAATTGGCATAGATAATAAAGAGACGTGAATAATTGCATTGTTGAACAATGATGGGTTGAGCCGTCTTTGTCTCGGGAGACAAAACAACAAAGACTGCCATCGAGGTCGTGTGTTTGAGTTCATTGTCTGGCATAACAATGTCCAAAGAATTAGATCTCTACAATGAGACAAGAGATGTGTTCGTTGTCTCTCGCGGGTTTGAAGAACAAAAGAACAAATCTGTTAGTGCAGACAGTTGAGATAGATGGACTTCCACCTTTAAAGCGCATCATACCTCGAGCAAATAAAGAAGTCAATGGAAGTTAGGTTCGAGAAAGGAGCCGAGAATAATTACATTCCATCCCGGCCCCAAATACAGCTGTGTAGGGTGGGAGGGGAATGAGGCCTGTATGGGCATGCAACATCAGTTAAGCGCAATGATGAAGCAATGATGTGGGTGATTAACTGGTACCAGGATCGGAGACGCGCGTCTTACAACTGTTGAGTTTTACATTTCAGTTCTATATATTTGGGGCTGTTTACGATTTGCCTAGTGCTAGTAGTGAGACTACTTGCGGTTGTATATAACTCGAGAAAAGGCTGGGTGGTGACGTTGTATACTACCCGAGACCCTACTGTAATTGCTACTTCAGTTGGTATGTTGATTGGATCCCAAATTAAACCCTCATTTTGTTGATTGTTGATACTGTATCACTAATTTGATAACACATTAAATCCAACGACAATTTTGTATCCCCAAGGTCCATCCCTCCATGTCTTATCATAAAACAGAACATTGACATTTCAAACTCCCCATTCCACCCATCAGTTTTCAAAGTCCCTATCCCATTCGACACCCTCTCTCTCTCTCAAAAAATCCCCAAGACAATTTCGTAATCCGCAACCTAATGACATCAGTTGTCAAGTCAAGTAAAGACTGTTGGAATTCCGAACTCACCGATTTCAACAACTGTTGTTCAAATCCCCATTCTCCTCCACTATGCCATCCATCAGGGGCAATATCAAGACATAACCCGCATTCAAACAACACGGACGCCAGTGTACCGTTGATAGTGGATACCAAGTTCCCGAATAGTACGGCTGATCAAACCCTCGTAACTCATGTTGTCTCCGGCGACGAACTCAAGCAAGACGCCGCCAACCATTCCGTTTTCAAGATGGTGAGTAAAATGGGCTCCTCCTTCTCTGACAATCTCCATACACGCTTCAAGAAGATGAGCCTTGTCGTCAAACAGGCCGACAATTGGAATGAACACAAACATCCGATGGGTGTGCATAGTGAGACGATTGCCGAAGCCGAATCTGACAACGGCATACGGGCCAAGACTGACAGTCTCTTCCAAGTCAAAGGCACGGTTCAGCATGCGACGGAACATTGTGATGGTTGTTTGTATTGATGTGGATAAAGATGGTAAGACCGAAATGGATTAATTGTAGTAGATGGTTGAGTGTGGACGATTTTGGTAAGACTGAAGTGGACTGATTGTAGTGGATAGACGAACGTAGACTGACTGAAGCAAACTGTAGTAGATTGAAGCAGGATGAAGCAGGTAGAAGTGGATGAAGTGGAATGGATGGAGAAGAAAGTCATATCGAAGGAAAGATGGGGGTATTTATATTCGTAGGAAGGCCAGATAATGTGACGAAGCTATACAGAACGTATGCTGATGGATATCACTCAGGAATAAGCTATGGATAGTTATATATACCAGTGATAGAATAAATGAATGATGATAGTGCATACTATGAGGTCATGTCTATGTCAAAAAGCGCTTTTTCTTTGTTAGATCAAAGCCCAGGGGATCATATGTTTGCTATATAAAGCTTGATCTTATCAATCACCAAGTGATTGTTTTAACTACTCATCACTGATCATGTATTTATGAGTGATGGCCTGTCTCAAGTGATTTAGGTGTCATCATCGTTGAATCATGGATATAAAAGAGACAACAGCACCAGTTATACTTGAGGAAGATGGATAATAATAAGCTATAGGAATGATTTTAGGACCCTGTTATAGCACTAGAATCCATCAAACCAAGCTGGTATAATGAATATAGCGAGTATCATCCCTCAGTAACTCCAAGTATATGATATGGAATCAAGAATAAAGACACGCTGGGAAGTTGATATGCATCATAATCATGCCTACTATCAATGTTTGGTGGCATATATTCTAGGTTAAATTATCAAGATAAGGCTCTCAAGCCAAGCTGAGTGCCAGAGCCCCAAGATCTGTTCTACTGACCTCCTAAATACTAAATCAATTCGATGATAGTATGTGTTGGGATATCATTTGAATTAACCGCTATACCAACTGTTGGTCAATGTTTTGGTGGAGCGGTCTTGAGAGTATGTCTGTGGTAGCTGTAGGAACCACACACACTAGTTCGTGTGGTACTCTTTTTACATGACTTGCTCCTGAACCCATGACTCTACAGGTGTCTTTTAGATTCTGCTTTACTACTGCGAGAATAGAGTGTATTTTATACCATAACCAATCTATTTATTCTCGAAGGTAACATGAAAGATGGTATAACTAGCGCTGCAAAGTCCATCCATAATCCGCCATCACTGAAATCCGCTATGTTGTGCATACTGTTAGCCAAACATGGGACAATTTTGCGTAGACTACTACTCGGCATAGATGTTAACAAATTTGATAGCATCATCAACAGCACTAGGTTTGATGGGATGGTAAAAGAACTGAAGCCAGACCCCACCAACATACTCCTTCTCAACGCTGTCTTTCCAGGCGGCGTTGCCTTTGTTGATTTGTTCAATCAAATTGTCGGCAAGGTGACGCCGATCGTTGTAAAAACCAAGGATGGGGACAAACACAAACCCTTTTTTCAGCACAGGAGAATGTAATTCATGATGAATATTAAGTTCGATTATGGTAAGAGGATTGATGCTGAAGGCCGAGTTAGGCTCGGACGGGCGGTTCAGTACCAAAGCCATTGTGGTTGGTTATTTGTGGTTGATATTTTTGATTGGGCTAGGAGTTAGTTTGGTATGTATGAACAGCCTGGTGTTTTGGAATCTCGCGAGGTTGTATCGATGAAATGGCTTAGGCAGGTACTTGAAGCAATGCAAGGTGTTGATATTGTTAAGACAATTGGGAATGAGGGTATTTATAGTTTCACGGGGTAGGTACATCATGATGTATCAATGCTCTTTGTTATTCCAACTTGTCGAAGATGATTCTCTATAATGACAATAGGATGGATTGATGGCCTTGATACAGGTGACGGGGTATACAAAGGAAGCTGTCGAGTCCACTGTTGGCATTGGTAACGGCATAATGATCAAAGCCTTGGATTACAGGATCAAAGGATATGTATGAAAGAGGACAATGACGTTGTGAGAGCGCCCCCAAACTCGAGCGAAATCGACCAAACCGATCAGTGTTTTGATTATGTAGATAATACATACAAGCTCTTTAAGATCGCGACTATCGAGGTTCACCATGTAGAGATCATATGTTTGGATAGCTTCATGACTACTGATTGGAGGTACGGAATCAGCAATTCTAATAGGCCAATTCGTCATAAAAAACGAAATAGGTTGTCATTGGTGCATAGCGTGTTGGATCCTATCCCAAATACTTCAGTTCGTCTTATCTGATCGATTGGCTGGGTATAATCTTTCTGCCGTCTGTCCTGTTGCTATTTGCGAAGAGTGGTAACTCACAAGGGAATGGAACTCTATAGGACACACGGAAGGAAAGGTTTTACTGCGTCAGTCTGGTTGATGGGTTGAGCTCATTACTACCACTGGTTTTCCAGTGCTGTAAAAACGGTCTTTGAGCATGGATTATCCCACTTCAATTTGACATAGCGATCTACTATCTATAACGTTTTCATAGCGTTTAAAAGATCCTCAACAATATTCCAATTTTCAATTAAAAATGACGAAAAACTCCAACCACACCCTATTCCGAAGATTTCCTGGTACTGTCACACAACACCTTAACACCAAACCCTAGAAAGCCCGATGTCTATAGTTTCTTAGCTACTATAACTACTAGTGAAGGGTGAAAGTATAACTGACTTCAAGTTCCACTGCTCGCAGCACACGTCAAGATACTCGCGCAGATACTCGACAGCACAAGCCTTGGGCTCCGGATACTTATCATTATCAAAATACTCAAACCAAATGCCACCGTGACGCTCGTTATCAATTTGGTTTGTGAGAGTCGCTTTGCCTGCTTCAACTTCGTTGATCATGTGATGAAGGAGCAGGTACTGAGAGTAGGTACCGACCAGCGGGACGAATGCGAAGCGTCGTTCAAAGCCAGGATACTTGATTCGCTCAATGACATTAAGATTGACGATCTCTTCTTTTTCAATGGTCATGTCTCCCAGCAAGCCGGGTGCAAGACACAGGGGCAGCTCGTTCATTGTAAGTAGTTGTTTGTGGGGTCTGCTGGATTGGATTCTGATATTGATGTTTTAGCTATCAGCTAGTGATGTCTAAGATTTTGGTAATAGGCATAGGAGTGAAATGAGTTACTAATAAAGCAGTGACTGGTGGGAGTGATGATATTTATACTATCACTCAGCGAGGGCATGTATAGAAGAATACATAATCTCTTTCAAACACTAGATAAAGGATTGGATAATAAAGAATTATTAGAGCTGTCATTATTCATCACAGTGATACTATTACAGGATAGGATGACATCCTTTGTAGAGTATTCATTAATTTATCAAACATAAAAGTGACTAATTAATAAAACAAAGAGATTATCTTTTGTCAGTTCTTTGTTGGATGAAAGAGCTACCTGGTAACAGGGGCATCCAGACAAACAAAATTTAAACAAGTCTGCACATGATATCCCACAAGGAGTGAAATTAAGAATACATCAAGTTCAGGGTGGGTAATGACTTCATGCTATAGACCATAACTAGAATAAGTACAGTTTTCATCACCTAGGTTATCGTGATAGACCCTTGGTCAATTCACTTGAAAGGTATCTTGTACACCACAACAGGTCACTACCTGGCTAGTTGATAAAACAGGTAGCTTGTCGTGTATTAATTCAAGTAATCAATCATATGAGCTGCTACATGTCTGTTTAGACATATTTCCCGGGAAGTGAAATGGTTACTGGAACATATAAATCAGATATCTAATGTGCAAGGCTAGAGTATTAGCGACAGAGCACCTGGACAGGGGGGTAGACAATCTATATTATACCTACTTATTTAATACCTTGTATATCAAGGAGTTCAAGACTACGTGCCTTACTAGGTGGGCTAAAAGGGGTTAAGTATTCGGCATCATGTGGTATCTTATGTCTTTGATTATACTGGTGGTTGTCTGCATTGTATTTGGAGCAAGCATAGGGTTCTTGATGTTGGAATATTCTCAGATTAAACATGAACTGCAATCATTCTAGTCTATGATATAATCCGACACATCATCATCCAAATTTCTGTAGCACTATCAGTATAGCGAAGAGATAACCCACTCTTCTCACAGAAAACGCGGCCCGGCAAAATCGTCCGACGTTCAGACATTGTCATTCTTAGCATTTCTATGAAACTCTTGTAGGCCGCCAATGGCATACGAGGACAACTTCACAATGTCTTCTCCCCCGATGTACTTGAACCAGACCCCGCCAAGAAGATTCTCATCGAGCACATTGGTGTGGGTGGCGCGGTTGAACTGGATATATACAGTCATCTCCCTGACAAGATGGGTCAGGTCATTGAAACTGCCGGTAATCGGCACAAACACCAGACACCGCTGGTTCCCGGGGTCATGGGGGACCTTTAGACCGATATTTAGCCTTAGGGTGGTATGAGCCTCGATGATTAGGGCTTTTTCTGGGTCCCATACATGGTGTTGTGGAAGGGAGATAAACATACTGAATACTCGCTTGCGATCTGCTAGAATGGATGAAGGGATGGTTCACAGGACAATTGGAATTGGGTTGAGGTGGTAGATGGATACTTTTCATACTTTCCAGGCGCGAGTATTGGGGTATTTATACTTGTAGCATAGAGATGGAATGGCATTGCATATCGATGATTGTTCTTTACTTACATCTGGAACAAAGGGACTCGAAAGACTAAGGACTATTCCTTTGTGTTGACAATGGCATGGCTCAGATACTCGTAGCTTTCATGTCCAGGACAAAGCTCCGATCCAGCTGATTTTCTTTACTGGAGGCGATTTGAGTACTCAAACAATATCGTCCGGGGATAGACGTTGTATAGAATCATACTAGAATTGTATTATATGGTGGAGATAACCGGGACCAATAGTAACATGCTAACCAGTTGCCAGCGGCGACCCGATTGGGACAAGCTCGGTCTTTTGAACCCTGCAGCACCCCGCAGATCGAATATCGATCAGCGAAAAAACTCATCCCAGATCCTATCCACCACCCAACATACCAAACTTTAACAAACAAAATGTCTCGTCTCACCGACTACCGCCTCCTCACCTTCGACGTGTACGGCACGCTCGTAGACTGGGAAACGGGGATCCTCACCGCACTATCCCCGCTCCTCTCCCGCAGCACCTTGAACTTCACCCGGGAACAAACCCTATCCATCTACCAAGAGCACGAAAGCAAACAGCAAGCACTCACCCCAGACATGGCCTACTCCACCCTCCTAACGACGATTCACCCCGGTCTGGCCAAGTCATTCTCCGCACCGCCCCCAACAGCAGCCGACAGCGCCACGTTCGGGGCCTCCATCGGCACGTGGCCTGCCTTCCCCGACACGGTGGATGCCCTGGGTCGTCTCTCCAAGCGGTACAAGCTAGTTGTGCTGTCTAATGTGGACCGAGCATCGTTCGCGAAGACCAACGCGGGCAGTCTGCAGGGGTTCCCATTCGACCTAATCATCACCGCGGAAGACATCGGGTCCTATAAGCCAGATGTGCGCAACTTCGAGTACATGCTGCGCGCGGTTGAAGAGAAGTTCGGAGTGGCCAAGGGGGAGGTGTTGCAGACGGCGCAGAGCCAGTACCATGATCATCATCCGGCACGGAAGGTAGGAATCAAGTCGCTGTGGATTGAGAGGGAGGGGGCGACGATGGGGAATATGGAAGAGAAGATGTTCGATTGGCGGTTTGGGACGTTACGGGAGATGGCGGATGCGGTGGATGCAGTATAGAGGGCATGTTGCTGTACGCGTTCCGATGTTTCCCTGATGGTCGGCAGGAATAGGGTGATTGTTTTTGGATGTGGATATATCAGTTCTTAAGCCATGGAGAGGAATAGGGTTTGGCTGTATGGTAAAGCATGCATAGCAGGTCTCTTGAGCTTCATTGCGCCCCTCGTCCAATTGTTCCCACTGTACCAATTTACCAGAATGTCGACCAAACGGTAAAGACTGAAGATGTGCGGGACAATACCATGGCAATCTACCAAAGACACACCCACCATGCCCAATATAGCCAATGCCATACCAGGCCCACGATAACCGACAAGTATATCAGCCTCGGGCCGACAAGCGGGGAAATCCGCACCAAACCCCGTATATAGGAGCTCCACTTCCCCACACCCCACCTCCACATCCTCCACTTCAACCAGCAAGGACAAAAGACAAAACGAAACAAAGCCAAGGCCCCAAAACACTATGACAGCAGACGCAAGCACAGCGGAGCCTCCTCCCGCCCGCCCTCAGCGCACTCTAGCCGGCCGCGTCGCAATCGTCACAGGCGCCGGCGCAGTGAGAGACGGGATCGGTAACGGCCGCGCAGCGGCAATCCTCCTCGCAGAAGACCACAGCGCGGTAGTCTGCGTTGACCGCGACCTCGCCCTCGCACAGCGCACCGTCGACATGATCCTGGAGGACAACGCGTCCGCCCAGGCAATGGCCATCCAAGCAGATGTGACAGTGCCTGCAGACTGCGAGAAGGTGGTAGAGACAGCAGTGTCCACCTACGGACGGGTCGATATCCTATTCAACTGCGTAGGGGTGGGCGGCCCAAAGGGCACAGCCGTGGAAGTGGACATTGCTGCGTGGACGGCAGGACTAAACACCAACGTGACGAGCATGGTGCTGATGGCTAAATATGCCATTCCGGTAATGGCGCGCAACGACAACGCGCGGGGGTACCGCGGCAGTATTGTGAACATGGGGTCTGTGGCGGGACTGCAGGGGGGCACGCCGCACTTGCTGTATCCGACGAGTAAGGGGGCGATTGTGAATATGACGCGCGCGCAGGCGGCACAGCATGCGCGAGATGGGGTACGTGTCAACTGTGTTTGTCCCGGGATGGTGTATACGCCGATGATGTATGCGGGGGGTATGAGTGAGGAGGCGAGGCAGGCGAGGCGGAATCGCAGCTTGTTGAAGACGGAAGGGACGGCTTGGGATGTGGGTTGTGCGGTGCGCTTTTTGGCGGGCGATGAGGCGCGCTGGATGACCGGGGTGGTCTTGCCTGTTGATGGGGGGACGACAGCTGCGACGGCGGAGTTACCGAAGGGGTCTAGTGTCAGTGAATAGGCTGGTGGGTTCAAACAGTATAGATGAATGGTTTTCGATCAATATAAATAGTGACATGTCTATCATATGTATGTACAGACTCGTATGTACTCTATCAGATAAAAAGCATCAAGATACGACCAAAACGGCAACGCCCCACGCGGCCATCTTGACTTCATAGATTCCATCCGGATTATCTACTTCCTGCTTCTGCGGAAGAATCTGCACATCGTGCGGCAGGTTGGCCGTCTCCTTGGGGCCCTCAAGTTTATGCAACCTCCCGGACGTCGTTTCTGGCACATTGATCGCGATCGTCTGCTCCTCGTCCCCGTAGTTGGCAAGCTTGACTATGTATGATTCGTCGTTCTTGGACGCACCCCAGTACAGGGGTCCAAAAGGGCTCGTTGTATTGACCGGGAGGATGGTGGAGCCACGGTTAGTCGAGAACATCTGTTGCACGTAGTAGGACGTGGAAAGGGTGAGGGAGCCAGGGCTCGAGTCCAACCCGATCATCGTAGGCTAGTCTGTTAGAACGATATACAATAGCGTCACCAACCCCCGACATAGATGTACTTACCGACCACTGCGTGAAGCCATAGTGCTGCAGCAACGGGGCGTAGGCGGCCATCTTGATGATGTCGCTATTCCGCTCAATACCAATCATATGCGCCGCCTCACTACACGCCATCTGCATGAACGTCCAGAACACGCCATCGGGGTCGGTGAAATTGCGGGCCCCAAACTCGCCGACAATCACAGGCTGGTCCCGAGGCTGGTTGTCCCAGTAGTCAAACATACCCACCAGCTCATCCGGTTTGCGGTAGTAGTGTTGGTCTAGGATGAGAGGCTTCGGGAGTTCCTCGGGTAGACACTCTGGCTTCATCGTGCTGCTGATCAAGACAAGATCGGGGTACTTCTCCCGCAGGATATTGTAAAATCGGGTAAAGCGTTCGGGATTAGTTTCGCATCCACCTGTGTAGTCATCCTCGTTACCGATGCCAACGTACGTCAGTTTCCAAGGCTCTTCGCGGCCGTTCTGAACGCGGAGCTTGCCGTATATGCTATCCGGGGGTCCGGTTAGATACTCGAGTTCGTTCAGTGCGTCTTCAATGTATGGGTCGAGGTCGGGGCCCGAGAGGATCTCATCGTATGATTTCCCGTTCCAGAGGATGAGAAATGGCTCCATACCCATGTCTTCGCACCAGTACATGTACTCGTCGAGGCCTATGGAGTCAGAACCAGGTTCCTGATAGCGAGGAGCAATGCTTACCCAGAGCATCTGTATTGGGGACATGCCACGGGCCTGTCGAGGTTAGCTATTGACGGCGCATCTCATGATAGACAACTTACTTTGCCGTCCAGGACGATCCACCACAGGCCCTATCGTCTCATTCCATTTCCACCGGTTGTTCACTTCCAGACCTTCACTGCGAACTGTCAGCGACTGACCGCGAGGAAAAGTTTGGTTGGGACTTACATATTGTTGCCGCCTGGAAAGCGCAAGAACGATGGACGGAGGTCCTCCACGACTTTGGCGACGTCATCCCGCAAGCCATTTTTGCTATTCTTTATCAGCATCAAGGCAGAGGGGCGCAAAATCAAGGGAGCAAAGAATGAAGCATACCGTGAGTGAAACGTGGGGGGAAACAGCTGAACGAGTCCAAAATTCATTGATCGTCCTGCCACCTTGTACCCATCCACAAGCAACCGCCATTCATTTTCACCATCTGGCGACGCAGTCGAGTTGAAAGTCGTCTCCCACTGCGTAAATTTGTCCGCAGTACTATGAACCGTCAGGTTATGGTTGGCATATACCTCCCCACTCGTAGATCCAACCAGTTGCAACGTGATGTTGCCGTCATAGTCGCCTTTCATCCAGAACTCGCTGGTATAGGTCTCGTTCATCACAGGCACCCCATTATAGCCTTGGTTCGCGAACCCCACAAAGGCAGTTTCCCCCTCAAGCACGGAGAGTCTCAACGATGAGGTGATTGCGTCGCTGACAGGATTGTCCGAGTCTTGGTCGATATCCACATCGCCAATGGGCGCATACGCCAGAAGACCCGGCTCGTCGCCCTGAAAGCCATTGTTTCGGAGCAGTTGGCCGTGGATACCCCCATCGCCTGTTTGATTAGCTCAATGCGACATGTTCACGGTTGATTCACGCATACCCGATTGATCCATTTCCTAAAAATGTCAGCGCCCGAAGTTTTCCTGCAAAAAATACGACAACTCACCTCGAACATGATTCCATACAACAGCGAACTGGACTCGTTTCCGCCACGGTCCCAGACAGTGAGTTCCACGGGGGGCTGGGGAGTATCGCGCGCGTGCAAGTTGGCCCTCCCATTCAAACTAACGCGATGCGACCAAGCCGGGGCACCCGACATGGCCGCGACCATACACAGAAGGTTGAACGCCTTCATATTGGGGGTTTGAACACAGCTATTGATGCCGGCATGTCTACTCACTGGCGAGCTATGTTATACCCTTTATCGGCACACTAGATCAGACATGAGGCTGACAAGGGGTAGGTAACTGAGGACCTACTTCGTCCGTGCACGTTTCGATCGACCACTAGAAGGGGCAGTGGTGGACGAGAACCCACAGTCGCGGTTCTGGATGCGCGTCTATCCCTGACATCATCACCCGCGATCGGATCGGTAGGGGGACCCGACGGCCTCCGTGTTGTATTATCCGCTGGGAATGGATTATTTTTGGACTGATCGTGACTCAAGTTGATGACGAAGGCATGGCGATGTCCCTGAAACCAGATCCTTTTTGGGAGATCGTAATTTGAAAGCTCCACTGGCTCAGACGGTGCTTATAGTAGTGACCCACCGATTCATTCGCCGATAAAGCTTGCTAGGCTGTGTTATGATCGGCATGAGAGTTCGCTCTAAGCACCAAATCTGCGAATAGACGGCACGCGGGATCCGGCAGAGCCTCTGATCACAACAACTGGTCCATTTGATAGAGCTCGGGGAGTTGTTTCCGACGGAGATATGGATGGGTTGATTGCCTACCCTCTACATACAAGTGTCAGTCACGTGATTGTGGTGGTCGTTGATTACGGTCGATCAGTATGAGGCTATGGGCTCCACGTATAGAAGAAAATCATCCTGATCATATTATTTCGAAACCAAAGTTTGTTGTGGTTTCCACAAAATGCCAGTCCCTGAATCGATTGAGTTCATACAGGATATAGACACTTGGTTGGTTGAAAAATATATATTCCTAGGACTCGATAGTATCCAACGTCATCCCGTCCATATGCGCAACAGTTCAGGAAAAGAATAGCATCAGGTATGTTTATCGAAGGACGTAAATTCAACGAGAGCACAGCGACCACAGTGTGAACCAACTAGTAATACCACAAAGTGTGTCAAGTCGCTCAAGCATGTTTCCCCTTCCACTCCTGTCTGAGCTGAGCAACAAGCTTTCCATAAGCCATGTCACTGGTAGGGGTAAATGGTTTCTTGTTGTTGTGCGGATCGAGGTAGTCAAAGTACTCGTAGTGGACCTTATCACTTTGCTCAAACTGGTAACACTGAAGCGTGATACACACGGTCTTTCCAGGGTTCTCCAACTTGTGGATCTGGTACTGCTTCTGGCCCAGCCACGTCACATCGCCCTTTTTCAGTATGACCGAGTTTCCCACTTGTATCGGCTTCCGGTGATCCTGAACGGCATCATACCATGAGCATTGGATACTGCCGTACAGGACCTTGATGACGGCGGACGCCTTGCCGTGGTCGTGAATGGGCGAGGAGTGGCCCGGGGGCCAGATCTCCATGACGTACGGAATACCGGGGGAATTGCCCTGGTCGGGAACGGGTTAGAACTGAAAACGGGGAAGTTGGAAACGCTGTATTAGACTCACTAGGTTGTTGCCGATGGTAATGCGCAAGTACGTCTCATCCTTATCACCAAATTCGTTGTCGTCGGCTTTCTTCTGAAGCATGTCTCCGCAGACCAGCTCCTGATTTTTACAGCTGGCGTCGATCGCATCACCAAGGTCGGGGAAGTCGGGAGACTCGAGCGTGATGTTGTGGCCGGCGACGTTGTGGTAGAGAGTCTGGCAACCAGGGGGGAGGTTGGCAAAAGTTGTGCGAGTATATTTCTCCAGGTCTTCCAGGGAGATCTCCTGGTCTGTCACGACGAGAGGAGGCTTGTCCATAGTGACGGGGAGCGGGTCGTATGCGAGGTCGCCGGTAGGGACACTCTATCCGGGCTGTTACTTACAATTCAATAATTAGATTAAGGGAGAACATGACTTACGTCGCCATCTTGAAACACGTCCGTCGAGGTTAGTGTGTCCATCCAGTTCGGAAACGGCTTGTCGCCATCGAGACCCACATCCAGATACGTCAACGAGAAATTGGTGAGATGTTGTCCGTACCGGAAGCGCTTGTTGCTTCGGTCGACGGAGATCCAATACACGGTGGGATCCTTCTTGGATAGGGTGTTGAGATGAGCGGCGGGTGGCTGCTTAGGGTACACAACACCGGGGACATTTTTGAAACTTTCCGAGTATTTGTTCCTCATCTGCAAGATACAGCTTGATGGGGTAATGGTGAGCTTCAAGGTTGGCTGAGTACCGGGGGACTCGGGATTGACAACAAATTCCAGTAGTGTCATTGTTTTCGACTTGGCTGAGATGGTTCCCAGACCTCCGATATCCATTTCAATGCGGTAAATTGGCTGTTTGGAAGAATACTGTTTCCGTGTTTCCCCCTGGGGCCCTTCCTGTGGCGCCTCCTGCCGAGCAGGAGTCCAGAATGGATTACTGAAATCTTCGGGGGCCGCCATGATGAATGGTTTGGTGTGAGCCTAGATGATTTTGAAGGATACTGGAGAGATAAGGCCTTGTCGAATGTTTTCTTCATCCACGGTACTTCCTCCTCACTTAAATAGATTTGAAGCAGTGGATTCACAGGCCGAGCCTGGCTTGCCCCGCATCAGCTGAAAAAGTCACCGCGTTCATACCGTGCAGCTGAACACTTATGCCTAGTATGACAGTGGCCATTGAAGTCCCGAGTTTGAGTCCTGGAGCGGAAGTACCGTGCACGGCAGGCAGAGCTGAACATGCAAGCCACACCCAACTGCACATCACGGTCCGACCATGGTCGACATCATGGGAGAACACTTCATCATTGCAGAAACCTTGGCACATGTTGCAGAAATGCTCGATGGGGGCCACCTCGCTATTTGTAGCTGGAGGTAGAGGGGCTGGCTGAAATCCGAGTCGAGTGGGGTAGAATACAATGTACCGGTGACATGGTGCCTGTTTATTTGTTCACCCCATCGGTGGCGGATGCAGGCAGGGGTTGCGCGGATGTCCCTGTTCCTCATCCTGCATGTATACTGCAAGCTGCGGGTACTCTGCACCACATCAAAGGATAGCAAATACATGAAATCGTCACGCCCTTACCCATTATGCAAATGGCGGGCAGGATGAAAAAGTCGCGCAATATCATATGATCCGAACAGCCCAAAGATGTATGTGTCATGGATATGACGCTTTGCCAAACGCCATCCGTTGATAGGCAGAATCTGGCTTTAGGCGGATGATGGAAAGACAGTTCCATCACAACCGCCCAGACAATAAGCTCCAAAGGCTGACGCCGTTCCATCCAGACATTGATTCCTGGCTAGTGGAAGTCATCCGAAGCCACTGTCGAAACTTTGTCCTTTGGGGCCAAAAACACCACCGCATTTTGTACCTCCGATTCGAGCCCGGGATAGTCCCCTCGAGCGCCACGATCATAGGTGTCATTGATTGATTGAATCCTACCATATGTTAGCGGGGGACCTTGGGCTCAACTCCCATGAGAATGGTCGAAATCGTACGGATTCTTCATTTCTATATTAATCGCAGATACTAACCACCCAACAGCACGAGAAAGGTACGAGTACCAATAAACAGTCAGGTGGTAGTATTCGTGTCTGATCTCACCGGGCGTAAAGGATTCCGAAACTATCACTAGCTCGTGGCCCGAGCATGTATCAGAATACTAGTACGAGAATGTCAGCCCATGGGACGAACGTTCTTTCAACTCCCGTCTTTACCTTGACAACTCGTGCCACGACTTGACCAGTATCTGCAGCTGCCTGGAAAGTTGACAGTCAGAAAGCCGATCCATCTCCGAGGGAAACAATCGATCCTCACCACTAATCTAAGTCTCGTCTCGGGTTTCAACCCAGACTGCAGCAACCTCACTGCCAGCGACCCCAACACCCCTGTAAAATTCTACTTGAAGAACCCCGGTCGGACAATACTGAGTATACCAAGCGAACTGTTAGCATCGCAGGCTGCATACGCGACACGAAAAGGCGGCTTATCCCCAAGGCAGATCACAGTCCCCCGCGGCGTGGGCGTATCGCGTTACGCGGCCTTTTGCTCCCCCCGAAAGCCTTAGCTGATCATCGTATTTAGTTCCAGACGGAAGGGCCGATGAATATACAAACGCATTGACGCCGTATTTGCAGGCGACATCTAACCATCTACCAGCGTCAAAGTCCGCGATAGAGCTTAGCCTTTAGCATGATGACGTTACCTTGCCCTGTGCTTCGTCCTCGTCTGCATCCTGTCTCAGTCCTGAAAAAGCGAGGACCATAAACACGCTCTAGGTTCCGTTATCCTGACCGTCGGGAGTATCGTGGCGCGCCTGGCGAAAAACCCGCACAATGGAGGACAGATCGTCAAGATCCCCTTCAGCTAAAATGACATGTCTCCCTGCAGCAAGGCGCTGTGACGACGAGCTAGAAGTGGTTCGTGTCAGGGCGAGGGCGTGATATTGGTCGAGTACGTGGACCTGGGAACCCAGGTAAAATACACCAGCACAAACCTGAGATATTAGACCACTATTCTCTCGACCTCCTAACACGTTTACAGGATACAATAAGCGATAGACTTCCACGATCAACGCTCCCCAGGAGGTGGAATGTACACGTTTCGGGGCAAGTTGATCCGCCCGAGAGGGGACCACCCCAAGGCGGTGGTAGCATCGGTCAATGAAGTCACGTTTTAGCGCCCGTGCCCATGACTTGGAGCCTTAGGCTTGACGCCGTGACTGACGGTAACCTTAATTGGAAAAGTTCGAGGTGGAGAAGATGGCGCGATCCCCTCTTTACGGTTTACAGCCCAGCATGTTCATGATCTGTTGAGCGGCGCGTCTACGGAGTGGGTCGAACGGACAACAGCGAGATAAGGTTCAATCCAAAGACCGGCCATCACATCAACCCATTTTTGCTCAGCATCCACCGTATTTACTGTGATGACTATTACAACCGATAAGACTAGTGTAAGTACCGTCAAATTCACCAAGGCTCTGGGTCGTTCAGCCAGGCTATTGGGTTGGGGACAGGGCTAAACTCCAATGAGAGAATGACGTGGCACGGCCTGGTCTTGTCCAGAGAGCGGCTTTGCTAGGCTACCGATAAGGACTCGAGCCTTGGATAGTGTTCTCCACATTGTCCTTCATGCAAGCCCCATGGCAGGGTGGACTAGACTGTTTTTCCAAATCTCGCAGTCAATCCCCCCCTGCTTTGTTGTTCCTGTGTCCCTAAACACGCTCCCCAGGCCATTTCTCATTCTCAGAGTCGGCGTCAGATCGATTATCTACCTGACTCACAGCATGGCACTTTCGGCTTGCCAAAGAGCACGTGAAGAGATTTCCCAATGCTCAGCCCATGCAAAATCGGCATTCTTTCCAGAGGGGACACCAGTGCGGTACTTCCCCCTGAGTAAGATCCGCAGAGTATTTGGGATAGATGAGTGCCTAAAGAAAGTGTTCCTGTGCCAGTGTAAAGATTGTACCCGAGATTCCGCCCGCACCTTGGGAGAGAGGGAGGTTCTCTTCGACGCCGCCGATCTGGAGCCCTACATGAGAATCTATGCATTGCTCATCTGGCACCGTCGGTCGGGGTTGATTCAGTTGTTCCGAAGTGAGCGAGTCAACCTCAACGGCAAAACGTTCCTTAACGACCAGAACCTGCTCTTTTTGCGAGACTTTGGCGTTGCGGCGCATGAATGCATCCGAGACGGGATCCTACGAGATCAGTATAGCTTTCAAGTGAGGGCCGTGCAAAAATGCCGCCAATTGACGACCATCTCTCCCTTGGAGGTCTTGCCAATAGTTGAGGATGAGAAACATAGGGGAGAAGGGGCATTTGGCGAGGTGTTCGCATTTTGCATACCCTACGATGAATACCGTGGAAAATCATTGCGTGATTATAATGTTCGTATACTACTCTGCCCCGTGTCCGTGAGCCGCGACACCTTTACTAACCCAAATGTATCTAGATCGTGAGATTTGCGCGGAAGATCTTTCGCACCAGAGATGACACCGATGGACTCATAGAATTCTTCAACCTGCTACACGTCGATCGAATACGTCACGAGCACCTGATGCCCGCCCTCGGGGCATTCACACACGGAAACTACTTCTTCATCCTCTTCGAAGAAGCCACAGAAACACTGGGAGAATACTTGCAAAGCGATGGTCAGAGGTTCACCCCAAGGGAGTTATGGAAACAAGTCCACGGCGTATCAGAGGGGCTAGCACACTTGCATGGCATAGGAAACAATCAATTCGCATATCATCGGGATCTGAAACCCGAAAATATCTTGATTGTTCGTGATGTGATGAAGATCGCAGATTTCGGTCTGGCCCAGTTCCAAGACCGATCGGCACACACACTATCCGACTATCCCGGTCGGGATCCGGGTCACAGTGAGATCTATAAGGCTCCGGAAAATAGCGACAGAACCTATACGCGTGCGATGGATGTGTGGTCCCTTGGCGCAATCATCTCCGAAATTGCTACCTTCGATTTGCAAAAGAAGGAAGGCATTGACCGATATCGCAGTGAGCGGTTACAGGATATAGAAGAGGGAGGATGGTGTTGGTTATCTTCCAAACGATTTCACAATAATGGCCGGATGAAAGAGTCGGTGCGACAGAAACACCGAGAGTTGAGAGACAGGGTCGACCAGAGTAGACAAAGCCAAAACCGGGCTGAGCTTCACCCCTTTCAGCAACATTTCTTCACGGATTCATTTTTTGGGTTGATGGAAGAGATGCTTTGGGATGGGAACGAACCATGCCCCTCCGAAACCATCGCTTCACGTTTATATGAGCTTTATTGTCAGGCGGCCAACGAGGCGGAAGACAGTACCAAGCCTTTGGTGATGGACATGGCAATGGCCATGCCAGCGGCGTTGCGGCCCTATGGCAGAGTATATCCCAATTGCAGACTGTAAGTGGTACCCCCCGCGCCAGCACCAAGCCAATTTTAAACTCTGTCTAGGCAAGGATACTATGGGGACCAAGAAGTTGAATGTGGGCTGCTTTTGAGGGCGCCGGATCGCAACCAATCCACCGACTCCCTCCTGATCCATCGCTGGACGTATGACCCTGTGAGGAGGGGGATAGATGACGTTCGAGAATCTTGTAGGTTGCCCTTCGGACATGGCATCATTCTGTCGGAATTTTTCTAACAACCAAATCTAGTCATGCGAATTGGCCAGGACATTCCAAGCGTGAGGCCCGACTATGCGGTAAACATGCCCCAGGAACGGAGCATTCAGGTCACATTAATCCAAGCAGACCGTCGCTCGGACAGCTACAGATTTCCTAATCCTCGAGGTCGGTTATATCGCATGTGAATGTGGCGGATTGTTTGCTGACACTTATCCAGATGCCTTGAATCTACAGGCTGCAATGACGGATCAACACACATATCAATCGTAGGTCCAAAGTGCACCGCCGATAGTGGACCGTACTGGCTAACCCGTGGCGTAGCCACCTCTACCACCTGCATCATTTTGAACTAGTCAGGAGTCGCCTCGAGCGCCTGTTCTCGAAGCCTGGAGTAGAGGTCAACAATGCCGTGGCTCAGCTATGGTCGGAGGGGCCTCTGCCAGACCAACGGGCACATTGGCCTCGTTTAAATTGGCCGCTTACGCCGCGGATGCATGTGGCGATCCTACACATGGACACGCAGATGCTATTCCTTATTAAAGGTCAGGACCTCCCTTACATTTGCGCTACCAGTGTCTTTGGTGTCAATATACGGCATACGGTGGTTCGTTCGCTTGCAATACCAGCAATCGCAAGGCTTACCTCTTACGCGCAGTGAAATCCGAGCCAGCTATCTCTCGCGACACGACCGAGCCAGGTGGAAACAAAATATTGTTGGAAAAGGTGGAGGTCGGTGAGATCGTCCTCAACCCCGGCATACCGATGGATATATTTTCCCCACCCGTCCGTTATTATACATACAAAGAGGCAAGATTAACGCTGGGGGAGACTCGCGGTGCACCGTTGCAACCGACACCAGGAAGAACGGGTATCGATTCAAGTCAAACAGCAGAGGAAAACGCCAACAAGTTCCAGAAGGACTTCACCTCGTTCCAGGAAGTATGGCAGGACCTATACGAGCAAGAATGCCGCGTAGAAAGTACAATAGTTCAGTAAACAGACTTCATATCTTGACCATATCGGATGCAAGAGTAGGCGGGTACGACGGTGCGTTTGACTTGATACGTCGCTGCCAACAGTACCACGCCGCAACAGTAACTCCTGAACTACAAGCCACCATGAGGATATATATCCAAAAGTTGGTGGCGATTATAATCCTCCCTCCCGCGAAGGCGAAGAAGTTCATCCCAAACATTGTCTAAATCATATTAGCGATCACCACGCGAAGCTAGTCAGTAGGGTTCCTACCGCTAAGAATGTTGCGGGGAGGAATATCGCAGATATGAAGCTGATCGAGGACATGACCCTTGTGTCTCTCGTAGCCTGGTACGTCAGTCCCGCTATGAGCCTGTTTTCGTCGGCGCTGATCTCGGCCAGTCGTGCCATCCGATTATTCAACATCTTGCTGCTTTCATTGGTCCTAGATTCGAGCATGCTTTGAATCTGTTTGCTTCATGTTAATACATGTAGAATATCTTGGTACACTGGACTGGCAATTGTGGGATTTGAAAGACTTACCAACCCCTGGATTCCGCGACCACGGTCCATCATGGAATTCAGGCGGCTGCTGTGTGTGTTACTGCACAAGATGAATGTTTGTATCGTCGAACCGAGGTCATCAAATGCGTCCGACAGCCTGCGTGGCGAATGAGACTTTACACGCAGCGTCCAGGCTTTCATTCGTTCGGCCACCGCTACATTCAGACTGATGATCTGGAGAAGCCTTCGCATCTTAGCGGTCAACGCCCGGAGGCTCCGTATGTCAGAGAAGTCAACATCCAGGTCATCCTCGCCCCGCGGCCCACTGACTCTCGTGTGAAAGCCTTGATCGGACTAACTGCTCGTCAGTCTCATGCTCACTGTTCTCGAGTCACCTCTGCTTGAGTCGTGGGGGATAAACTGACCAGTCTGGAGAATGTATCTTCCAGGTAGACCAGGTAATCACGCCACCCGTCCAATGCGGTCTGGAGGATGACGCCGTGTATCTTGAATTGCAACGTATCATGTGTATCTAAGGGATGTGAGAAACATCTTTTCAGACGGTTTTCTAGAGGGGCTGACGATTGTATAAAGACCCACTTGGCCTTCTGTGCCCGGGCGTCGAATGCGTGATAGACTCCGGTCTCACGTAGCGAATAGGGATCCTTTGGGAATGTTCTCATGTGAGGAGCCGCGTATTTGATATTATAACCGATATCTTTTACCCTCGTGGGGTCGTCAGAGGGACACGAATATCACCGGTTTCATCAGGGGAGCTGCATACCATAAGAACACATGGGACCCATAGGGCCAGGGGAAGGTAGACTTGTTACGACGGGCCGACAGTGGGAGCAAAAAGAACTGAACGACTCCTCGATCGGCCCAATCTTTTCGCCAAAAAGGAACAGGATCTCGAGGAATTCCGGATGGACTTGCAGGCCCGTGAATAGTTCCCGTAGAATCGTCTCCGATACCTGCAAGCGACCCCAAGAATAACTCTGATGGAGCAAGCTCGTCAATGTCAGGATGTTGTCTTTATGTCAACGGAACGCGCTCAATACAAGATACAGTCCGGGTATTCCCGTTCAAAGGACGCTCGGAGTTGTGCACTCGAGCCGATGATCCCATTTTCGACGTCCCTGAGTCCGTCTATATTTACTTTGTGTTAACCATCATCCCAGCCTCCCAAGTATTGTATGTTCTATCATTGGAAACTGACCTCGCCGAACAGACCCCAGCTCGATAGTCCGCACTTCACTTTCATGAGGTTCAACAAACAGCCTCTTTCCTACCAGCGACAGCCGTTCATCATAGCTTTTTGTACACACTTCCACCGGGGACAGTGGTAGATTCTGTGGGTAGGACTCCCAGCCATCAAAGGAATTATCTTGCTTTGCCATAGTCAATAAAATTGGCGTTGCTATCTACACCAAAGAATATCACCAAAGAACGGGCTATGATATATGTACCATGTAGGATGGAATCTGTCCTCAGTGAGATCAACAACAAGGCTGTGTCTCCCTGGGAAGTGGCCCCGCTCAGGCTCTGACACGTTTGAAAATTTCTTATCTCCATGTCGCCTCACTCTGTATTTTTTTAACCACAATTGGTAGAGATCAGCGCGCGAATCCTATCGAGTTGTAGGCTTGTAGGCTAGTTGATTGGCAGGCTTGGACAAGGGAGGGAGTGCGCAGCCCTTCCCCATTCAGCGCTTGTTAAACATATTCTGAAGTTCCTTTTTCTCCTCCTAAAACCATCACAAGGTTAGTATTCGTCATGACTCGTGATCACAATATTTCCAACGCGATACGGACCTCGCTCAATCGCCGGGGGATTTCGACCTTCCAGCTCTGTTGAATCTCGTCGGGTGCCTAATTTGGACCACATGAATGAGTATATACGTGTCTTGGGGGCTCTTTACCTTCACCGCTACAGGAATCAATCACCTACAGTGACGTGAAATTTGTCGGCGCCAAATTTGCGTTTCAAATATTCGCCAAGGGTTCCCACCTCGATGTAGCGCCCCGGGATGATCTCGACCGTCATGGTGGCGAGAGTGTCGTTGGGAGGAGTGGCAATGTAGTAGGATGAGGCTTTGACTTGAGTCCACCTGGGGTCATGGAAGGGGTACGATGTCTATGCCCCCACAGCCCATCCGATGGTGTTGGATATTTATCCCCAGCATAGCCCCACACATATGCGCCAAAGAGCCTCCTCCCCCTCCAGCCTCGTTGAAGCCATCCTTGTTGAACGCTTCTGGGCACCTAGGACATTGGGCACACACTTGCGCCTAATACCTTCGTCGACCCGCGTGCCTTGTTGATCCTCGTGGCTTGTCCACAGTCTCCACTCAGCCGTGTCGGCTCTGGCAAAGATCACCGGAGGAGAGAGGCTAATCACAGTAGGGTGAGGCACACTGTTCCTCGCTACTAACACACCCGTTCCGAGAGGATCGTCGTGTCATTTGTGGTTCTTATCTTGTCCGGGTCTTCTCTGCAACCCTTCCCTTTTTCTCGGGTTCTATCAAAACAGGCCTGGTCCAGACGACGTACACGGCTATAGTTCATCTGTGAATTTAATCCAAATCTACTTAAATCGTGAAACGGTCGTTCTTGATAATTGATCCATGTTGGTATCTAGCTACTAACCGCAACAAATGAGTGCGGACACTATCGAGATGGCCCCGTTGCCAACACAACATGACCAGCCCAATGCGAATACTCGACCTGCCAGGAAATGGAAACAGCAACGAGAGCTAAACACCATCGACGTGGCCTGTCTTATCATTAATAAAATGATTGGAGGCGGCATCTTCGTGTCATCCAGTCACGTCGTGTTATTAACAGGCAATAAGCTTGTCGCGCTTTGTCTATGGGTCTTCGGCGGCATCTATTCCTTCTGCAGGTAATCTTGCATGTTTGATAGTTCCCCACAACTAGCAACGCGCCAACCAACTCATCCCACAATAGCATGTACGTATATCTGGAATACGGCCTGGCCTGGCCGTACAATGGCGGTGAATTTCTCTACGTAAGTCCCCCAACCGACGAATATCTCCGCGGATCGGTCGCCGGCCTCACGGCTCACGCACCTAAACGCGTTGTCCAGTTAGCCAAGATCTTCCCCGTCCCTCCGATGGTCTTTGCCAGCGCGTTTGCCTGGTTTTTCGTCCTCTTCGCGACCACGACCAACAATTCCATCACCTTCGCAAAGTACATCAACCCCAACGACATCGAGCATCCCGACGAATGGATGGTCAAATTCATCGCGTGCGTGGCAGTTCTGGCCGTGGCCTGTCTCCACTATCGGATGGTCAATATTGGAATCCAGGCAAATAACTTCCTTGCCGCGTACAAGGTGATCTTCTTGGGAGTGCTAGGGGTGGCCGGCTTGATTGCGACATGCCGCAATGGAGCGCGGGGCGAATTAGCCGGGCTGAATGATTATGTGTCCACCCATTCCGCGGGGCGGCTGTCAAAAGGGAATGTGACGCTGGCGATCTTGCAGGTGCTGTACAGCTACCATGGTTGGGAAAATGCGAGTTCGTAGTCCTCCTCGCCACCATGCCGGCGGAACGACTAATCGAATGTACAGACTATGTCACGTCGGAGATCAAAGGAAATGACAAGGCAAGGCTGAAGCGAGGGGCGCTGATTGCTGTTGGCGTGGTCAACTGCCTTTATATATTGTTCAACCTATCGGCGGTATGTTCTGTTCGCCCCGATCTTCGCTGGCCAACCTTCGCTCATCGGATTTAGTATTTCCTCCTAGATTGGAATGTGATTATAGATTCACCGGATCTCTTCCCAGTCAAGTTTGCGGAATTGGTATATTCGCAACCCCGTCAACGGTGGTACGCTTCTCTAACCGATCCAGGCCTTTGGTAGCAAGCAATGGTCAGCGACGAAGCAGGCGATCTGCATCTGCATTGCTCTCTCGGCTCTGGGTAATCTCACTGGTGTCATCTTCACAAACGCGCGCGGTACATAGAGCCCCCTGGCCCCGAGCAGACGCAGCAGAGCGTTCCCCGAGTGAAAGTACACCGGCTAACAAAAAGATTCAGTGGCCCGAGATATCGCACGCTACCGCCTCATTCCGTTCTACAAGTTCTTTGGCACCAGCTCCCGCTGGGGCCGAAGGGAGGGCGACGGCCTCGGAACACCCTCTGGGGGGCTTGCCCTCCATGCTCTGGTTACATGTCTCTACGTCGCATCCATCCCAGGAATCGCCACACATGGCGAAGGCCAGCGCTTTGTTTTGACATTATACACGTACGGCCACTCTGTCGTCACCTGTAAGCAGCCGTCTTTGGATCGTCTCTCCCACTCGAGCCGCCATGCTGACGATTCCAGTCGTTCTCGGGATTGGACTCCCTTTTCTTCCGCTACGCATGAACCAGTATAACACCCAAGTCGCCGACCCAAGGGGCGTCCAACAGAAAGGGAACTGGACCTACCAAGTTCTCAGAAATTGCGCTGCGCGGTACGGCGTCATCGCGTTCTTCACAGTCGTCAACGGCTTCCTCATTGGCATGCCGCTCGGACAAGGGCGGACCAAGAAACGAAGCGACCGCGAAATCTCATCATGGGTGAGCGGCGTAACTGTGCTTTCAGTCTTTGGCTTCGGACAACTGGTCGCGCTGTATATCATCTGCTTTGTCCGGGTGCTCTACTTCCGGCAATGCGCCACGTTACAACGATCGGAACGGGGCAGGGTATTGTACGTGCCCCATAGTAATCGCATGTGGGTGGTAGAATATCCCAATCTCACTCGACGGGGCGCTTGGAAGGAGGCTTTCACACCTTTATCGTGGACTGAAATTAAGGCCCGGTTGGTTGACAACGCGGAGGCTACCTCGGCTGCCAATTGTAGAGAAACATATATTGCGAGGGTGAACAGCAATGAATCAATCGATCACTCGTCATAATGCAAGGTACCGCACCGACCGTCTCTATCATGTAATATTATAAATAGTATTGTTGTTGGGCTCACGTGTCGCTAGGGCTAGGGACGGTTAGGGGGTTGGCTATTTTGATACTCCTGTATACACCAAGTACCATTATCCATTAACACGAACTCAGCCACACAAATCCCCATGATACCATATTTCCCCCCGGTCTATTCTCAAGCTCCAGTGAAAACAGTCCACCAGGAGCGCCCCATGCAGTGTCCAGCAGAATTTGGTTCGTGAGATCGGTTTGAGACCCTTGGTGTGTGTCACAGGTGTCGTGACCTAAATTCGGACCTCAAGAGGATGGACAATTTCGGGCAGATCTATGATGCCGCTTACTACTTTCACTACGGGGGAGAAAACGTACATTACAAGAAAGAAGCCACTGCCGTATGCCTTGCCTTCGGGCCACTTCCTTATGAATCTTAATGTGAACACTTTCCAAGAAGGGGAGTGGGACGCCTCTATCCCAGAAGGTGAGACCCTAATCTCGAAGGCCGCAAACACGAGTTTCCACTCACCAACCCTAGTTTCCCTTCTTCAGGCGTAGCTGTACCCCGCAGCAGAGATGATACAGCATCGACAACATCGGGGCTGCGATACCCAATGCTTCGGCCTCCCGGACAACCTCGCCTAATATATTCTCATGCTCAATCAAATTCCCCTAGACTCAATTAGCAACGCAGTAACTTAAATATACCAAATAGATAAATAGAGAGAGGGAGAACTAACCTTCCGTACATCCACCAGCATACTCGGCGAAATCTTCTTGTCCACCGGATTACTAGCGATCGTTCTAGGTATAATGTGCTCCGGCAGAAGATATCCCTTAGCCGCAGCAACAGCGACCACCTCTTTCATAGCCGGAACAACGAGCGCATCCAAGCTTCGCCCATCCGTCTGTAGAGACCCAGTGTCAAGCCCCGTTAGCGCGCAGATCGGGTTCAACGTAGCGTTATAGACAAGCTTGGTCCACCGATCCAACCCCACATTTGGCTCGTGGCGACAAACGGTCTTGCCCCCAGCGGAATAGATCCGGACGAAGTGCTCCGCTGCGGCAGTGAGCTCGGTGGGGTCAATCGTTGGGTGGTTGAAGGCGCCGATGTTGAGATTGTCAGACTGCTTGTGCTGGATGACGCCCTTGGCGATCTCGTGGGCGTCGGTGCGACTGACGCCGGAGAGGACGATATTGCTGGGGAACCTGGCCTGCACTGGGCGTTCGATGTTGAGTCCGTTTTGAATGAGGACGATCACTGTGTGTCCGGGCGTAACGGCTGGGCCCATGATGTCCGACAGTTGGGGTGTGCTGTCGGCGATGTTCTTGGTGCAACACACGATGTAGTCGAAGCGCGTGGCAGGGTCAGCGCTTGTATCCGGTACGGAATTCAGAACTACAGGTCGACATCAGACTTTATTGATATTCAACGGGTACGTCGCTGGAGTATACCAGCAGCCGGCCTCCAGTTCTCGAGGACGCCATGATCACACGAATCGATGCGAAACCCAGCAGCCTGGACCGCCGCGTAGTTGCTCCGCAAAACAACCGACACGTCTGCCTGTTGACCGGTTTGCAGATTGAGGGCTGCGACTGTCCCGATTCCGCCGCAGCCGATTAATAGCACGCGAGATTTTGCCATTGTTTTATTACCGGGAAAATCTTCACCGCGGGGTCCATGTGGGGAGGTGCCATTTATAGCGCGGACGAAGTGATGATCGGGCTCGGGATGCCTTCCGAGATTATCGGCGGGAAGAGCCAATGAGCGTGTTGCGAGCAATGTCTATAAGGTTGGTTTCTCTTCGACTACAAGATTCTTGCATTAGACGTGAATTTACCATGGACTTTTGCGCGATTGACCGGTCCCTTCCTGAAATTAATAAAGCTGTAATGGGCCCGGGGGCTTCTTGAAATAACGTCGACTGCTAGATGCTTTCGGTAATATATAAACCTTGTACCTGTGAGAATTATTTTCTAAATATCATCACCAAAGCTTCGGTCAAGGTTGGGAAGCGATCTTACCATACCAGGACTATACTAACTGTAATCGTCTATTCATTTTATTCATAATTCATCACCTGTTTCTTGTCTATCGAACACTTTCAGTATTCAGTTATGCTACTGAATTATAGTGGATCTCATCATGTTTTTACAACATTACTTAAGAATTGCTCAGAATTTTATTGTCCTGTCACCTTTCTCCGTTTATGGTACAGGCTATAAGCATTGCTTTTCGTAATTGTGGCAGCGCGCCAAACACCCTTGAACATGGAGCGAGCTGTGTCCATTGAACCCAGTAAAGTAGCTCATAGCTTTAAGCCAAAATACTGGGTAACATGGCTAAAAATTGTAGCCCATGTTAGCCACCTGCACACATTTTCACATTGGGATCCTGATCTGGGCTAGGACGGTGCCAGCGGGGATACCAGTCATATCAAGCCTAATCAATTGCCCATTGAGTATTTTGATGCAGTGGCCAAGACAGAACAAGTTAACAAGGCACATGTTGTACTGCATAATACAATCAGACGCTCTATTCTGAAGAGGGTGCCCCGGCCAAACTCATCGCACGCCGCATGATTCCACATAGGTTGGCCAAGATACTCTCCCTCCCACTTCTTTGGCTTATGTCGAACCAGGGCGTAGAGCTGACATATAGCATATGTCTCGGTGTCGTCACCTCAAAGTCAAGTAGGTAATCGTCACTTATGTCCATCTGGAGAAAGCACATGTAGTGCTGGGTGGCATTAATAACAATGACGCTGCTTCAATAGTCAGCTGGTAATTCAAGGAAGGCAGGCCCCTGAGGGATTTATCCAAAGTCTCAAGTATTTGCGATACATGGATATGGTCCAACCTACTTGTGTAGTGACCGATCGGGTCTGTTGGATAGTCTGGTAGCTAAGGCCTCGCACACCATCTGTGCCAAATTCCTGTCTGAAATGATTGGTCTACCCTCCTCCAGGCATTGAAACTGCGTCTTCGCCTCCACGAGTGCTACGTGCTTCTTTGCAAGCACAACCCCCCCATATGGCTTTTTCTGTCTCAAACAAAGGCCACCGTCATCAATCGCGATGATCTGCTTTCGTTCAGCGGGTGTCGTAGCAGCGATTCTGCTCTTAGCATCCCGAAACTCGACAACAACTGGCAGGGATGGCGAGTCTTGCGGCGGGGCAAAATAGAGAATGTGTCGAATTACGCAAGACGCGAGTCGCAGTGTGTCATCTTCTACTGTCATGCTTGCGAAATGTGCATCGGAATCGATATAGCCAATAGACGAGACTTTTGACCCGTCAGGTGACCCGTTATAAAAGCCTTCCTGTGGTGGGCTGCTCGAACCAACTCGCATCCCGCTGGAGTCTTGAAAGTCTGGCTGGAAAGTATCGCGCTTCAGACGCTTTGACTGCCGTAGCTCATCCTCATTTACATTTCCAATTTCATTTCTTTCCGGTGTAGAGGGTATATCTGCGGTGTGTCGATCCGTGCTCCCTTTGAACATTGCCATTGCCGCCCATGTTTGCGCTAGAGTGATGCCACAGTCAGATTTACGCACCAAAGAGTGTTCTCTTTGGGCCATTTGTGTTGCGGTGGGACCCTCTAAAAACGCTCTGATCTCCATCGATTCTGGGTGCAGGTCAGAGGATTTTGCGTAGTCTGATAGTATCGGAAGCAAACGGCGCTGTGGTTCTCGCCGTATTACACGACATGCAAGTAGATGTAACCGTCCCCAATAACTAGCGGATGCGTTAGGTAGCTGGCAGAAGTTTACCCCATTTTCGGCTTGGAAACGAGCCTTAAAAGCGGACTCTGAGATGACACTGCTGAAATAGGGAGTGGGAGCCATAGTGATTGATGCAGTGTTGGTCACAGCAAGCCCGATCAAATTGCCGATCAAATATTATGACGCGGTAGCTAAGATATACCAAAGTAAAAAGATGGAAGATATCCAAACGACGCTGTGTATACAGACAAACAATATAGGGGATCTGCCATCGCTGCCCAACGGTTGCCCCACCACAAGGTGTGGAAAGGCCGATGAAATGGTTGGAAATAATGATGAACTTGATAAATCTGACAGTCATGAAAGAAATGCCAAATAGATTAACATTGCAGAGACAAGGGAAAATATGAATCATGTGAGAAGGCCGTGTGAATTAGCTGATATGATCACTAATAAGTTATCATTCACTCTCTTCCACACAAGGGAAGTTCAAGCTACATGATCAAGCCTACAGACAAGCTGGTTCATGGAACATATGAAATAGTCACTGCAAGTAAAACTGGACTAGCCTTCTTTTTAAGGTCACCACCTGCGTATATCATTGAGAAGAATATTAAAAGAATGGATTCTTCTTCCTGTCTTGTTCTAGACAAGCCAACCTAACTTGTCTCAGGCACTAGTGTCATTCCCTGAATAGCTGCATCTAGTGATGATCAATAGCTATTATATCTGCACATGCTGGTCAATACTCAAAAGTGTCTGATGATGAATTTGACATCATATGTAAACACGTAACCTGAAAACTTCAAAAGATTTATGCGAGGATTTTATAGCAAAATAGGAAAGTGCAACTAGAGATGTGACCACCTGACTAAGCGTGCATGAAACGTCACGTGGTAGACGAGGGCGGTCAGAGATTAATGCCTGGCTTATCGGTGAACACGCGCTCCTCTTCTCAGTCCTGAGAACATTTACGCCACGCATGCCATCGATGTTATAATGACGGCGGATTTTGCGCCGGGTTCGTTTTGCGATATCGTGCGCCAAAACAATGGTTTTCTTGTGAGCCCTCTTCAATGGACGTCGCGCCATCTCGAGCTAGTGGGGTGTCGATTCGAAGAGGTCGCAACGACTCCTTCGGACACTAAATCGGATCAACGCGACAACGGGGATGGCATTGGGCGGACGTCTCATCCCAAGGCCGCAGCTGATGCGGAGACACTCGCTATGGATATCTTCGCCATCATAAAGCGCGAGTGTCTTATCAGGATTTTAGTAGGGAGAGAAAAACCCTTTGCACGCCATAGGTAAGCACTCCTATGCATTGTATAGTCACTCCTGGTATAATTGACTAACAGCTCGGTGGCAGCAAAGGGCCGTCCTTCTACTTCCATGGTGGGCCTGTCCACCGACCTAGGTATATCGTCTTCCATAGCAATGCGAATGGCACTCCCCCACCAATACCAGTAGGATACGTACACTACACAGACGTCAACGGGGATCGCAGACGACAGTTCGAGCCCTGCCCCGGGCCAAATGGCACGCTGAACTGGATCGGCGGCGCGATTTGTAACAAACGTCTGGCCCAGACCAGCCCACAGGACTGGACCGAAGATCCCTATTTCGTGTGTCACTTGTTGGCACTTGCCCAGCACCAGGATCGTACGCTGAATCTGACCAAGCCAACCACTTACACTGTATGTCTCGTCAATCGCGTTAGCTACTATCTCCATTCAAATCGCTAATCTGTCTCTAGTCACGTCTTCTCGTTACTAACGTTTTAAATCGGGAATACATCGTGTTCTATGAGGCTGGAATTACCACCGAGCTATTGGATGTGCTGAGAGATCCGACGCATGCCAATACTTCCGTGGAATGGCCCACTGTCAGGAGGATAAAACTCCCATACAAGCCTTATGACACCTTCGCTGCGCGGCTCACCTCCATACTAGTGGCGTCTAGTCCCGCCAGCCTGAACAATTCCTTCGACCTCGATGGTGGGGATTGTTTCGCCAGGAACTGTAGGAAACGAGCACACGTGCCGGAAGACAACCAACCAGCCACGGTCAGACACATTTCAAAACGGCGAGCAACGAGGCGATAAACAGACTAGGGCACGCCAATCACCGCCATATATCACAGGTGGGGTATTGTGATGGAAGAGTTGCCACAGCACTTTACGACTAGATGAATGTTTTGTATCTGTATGACACGAGTAATGACTAGATTGAATTAATGAGATACCTTGTTCGTGACCCCGAATGTAGCACCCGTTCACCCAACCAATATACCACCATCGACTAACACATTCCGACAGCAAATCAAGCACAGCCTAAATCCCAACGATTACTTCAATAAGCCTTAGCTACCTTGGCCAGGATCTTCATGTCTCCGTTTCTCGTATAGCCGATCGCAAAATCTTTGATAACGCGCACGTCTTCATACGTGGTGTCATACATCTCGAAGTCGAAGCGGCGGACTAACTCGGCAAAGGTCATGTACAATTCCATATACGCGAGACTGGAAGGGTTAGAACGCGGACACGGGGCAATCTATGAGGGAACAAGACTTACTTCATTCCAATACAAGCTCTGCTGCCCCGAGTGAACGTAGCGAGATACTTGGTCAGATTGAAGTTCCGCTCCGAGGCCTCGATCCACCGTTGAGGGTAAAATCGATCTGGATCGGGGAAAAGAGTTGGGTCGCGATGGATGATGTAGGTGGAGCTTGACATGGACGTCTACTCTAACCGTTAGCAGATTATTCTTCGTCGTTGACAAGCGCGACATGACTACTTACCCCCGGCGCAATCGCAATGTCCTTGTACATGAGGGTTTCAGTAGGCGCCGACCTCGGTAAGCGAGCCGTCAGACCGATACTAACTCGGAGCGCTTCGTTGATGAACGCAGTCTGGTACACTTAGTAGAGGGCCGCACGGTAGGTTAGGAGGCAGACTCACCAGAAGGGGCAGCTTTTCCAGTTCCGTCCAGCTCTTCGCGCCAGATTGTCTCAACTCCTCCCGCAATTTCTCCCTAAACTCCTTATCCTGCGATAGATGGAAGGTGCCCACGCTGAGCACACGCCCCGTTGTCTCTGTCCCGGCCATGAGAACGACAAGCCCCTCCTGCTGCAGCCGCGCCAGCGATCTCTCCGCAGCCGGCAAGGACGGATCCGCCAGCTTGCTGAAGATGTTTCGACCGACGCCCTTGCCGAGGCCCGGGCGCATGCTGTCAGCCGAGTGCTCGAAGATAGACTTCTGGAAGTCGAAGAGGATGGCCTTGCCCGGCATGACCCAGCACATAACGGAGGGCGGTAACGACAATATAGCGCTCATGACCCAGCCGAAGAAGCGCGAAAAATGCCACATGGTTGTGAGCTCGCCCACCGTGACTCGAATGTCGGAGCGGAAGGTCTTGTCGTCAAGGAAGCCCCAGTTTTTGCCGTAGGAGTAGTAGGTGATGACGTCGGCTGTGAGGGCCGCGAAGGCGTCGTCGAGTTGGACGACCTTGTCTTCGCGGCGGAACTCCTCAAATCGTTCCATCAAGTGATTGATCTTGGTCTCGACGAGCGACTCTAGCTCGAGAACACGCTTCTTCGAGAAAAAGCTGTTCAGGATGTTCCGGCGGAAGCGGTGATGGTCGTGGCCCACCGTGCTCACCATCGAGTGGGGGGCCGCGAACCCGTTGACGACCCAGGGATCCTTATCTCGACGGTGCGAGCTATGGGCATAGATCTGATCGTAAAAATGAGGGTCACTGACGTGAATCTCGTGGGGGTTGATGCGGATAATGGGGCCTAGTCATCAGAACCGGTTAGTTCTATCCAGGGACGGTCCATGGACACACCTACCATATGTCTGATGCAACTTCTCGATCTGAAAGATGTAGCGTCCTCCGAGAACAACATCGTAGTAGAATTCGTAGAGATAGGAAGCAGCCGCAAGGGTAGGGCCTGGGACCTTGCGGAGGGGATGAAAGAAGACTCGATAAACCGCCCTTGCGAACAAGAACGTGCCGAGGCCGATGGCCGCGATCCACACGCGCGGGATGTCCATTATCAGTGGCTTTTTTTCTCGATGTGATGTCCCTTGTCTCGGAAACGCACATGGCAGAATAACGTGGTATATATATACCACCTCATCGAGGCTCTCAATGAGGGGAAACATGCCCCGCTCCTCCTAGCAGTTCCCCGACAAAGAGCAGCGCTATCGCGTGTACCCCGTCCAAGCCAATGGCGAAGACCAGCCCATCTCCATCGCTTAGTTCATGGGACCTCTCTTGTACTAGCGACGACTCCGTATCCATCTATACGATGGAATTGTTCTAGGACAGAAATGGTATATCACATCTGCATACCCCTCAGGCCCAGACCGGTTTGACAGGTGCGGATGCGGGTCCGGGCCGCTGTGGGGAATAACGGGGCGGACGGGGTGTTTACCCTTTGCGGATGTAGTATCCCTCGGCATGCAGAAATAGAAGTATGAGAGGTTCTGGTTCGTCAAGAATCGGCAGTCCAGGTTTTTTTAGCTTGTTCTACTTGCTTCGCATGGCTGGTGGAGGGAGCCCTGTTAAAATTGCGGATTCGTCACTGATTTGCTGTTACTTCCAATCAGGGGCATTCTATCGATGTTTGTTTTTATTACTATGGCTGCGTGTGATGCGTGGAGACTGATAGACAATATAAGTGGACAAGCCGGGCACAGGATTAAACTAACGTAGTTGGCAAAGATTTACCCCAGAAGTCCATCTTCATCCAGAGGGAAATTAGGGCTTGGCTGGTATCGTGACCGTAGTAGTTTGGTTCGATTTGACTACTCGGGCTGAAAGACTTACTTTTGTCACCTTGTCCGTATGTCTTGTCTCCTTTGCTCTTTTTCCCCCGAGTAGGATGATCTGAATTTCGTCAGCAGCCCTTAACTCTGCCAGACGCTAATCACATATGAATGCAGCTAGTCGGAGCCAAGCATGGCCGTTGACAGCAGACGATGAGCTCTGATCTGCAGAATTAGATTTCCCCTCACCTCTCTAACGAATCACATTCCATGTGAATAGTGACAGCCAGCCCTAACGCAGCAAAAACAACAAGGATGAAACAGGATTCTGCAGGCTGTCATATGCTCCTACCATATACAGTAAAATAAACAGCCAGTATCTTGCCTTATCACACATTCCACCTTTCATCGGTCAATACGAAGGGCACCATCCCATTCCACTTTTCCGAAAATATGCAGGCTTTTCGAACCAATGCACATACCCTGCCTGCAGCGCAGGTGTGGGTTCCTACAGAGTCCAATACACGCGGTGGTCGACCGCAACAGGCAGCAAGCTTGGCCAAGGGTTCAGGCGCACAGCATTCACTTTCCTGGTCATGGAGATGGAACTAATTATCTAGAGTAAATATTGCGCATCAACAGTCCAGAACAACCACAGAAAGCATTGCCACTAGTATATCATGTATGCTCCACACACCTCCTCACAAAGTGGACCTACTCCATCAATTCAAGATAGCTCCATGCTATCGGACTCCAACTGAGGCCGAAATCCATCACAATGATATGTGGTGACTGCACATATGCAAATACCCCATAGACGATCTCCGGCAGCTCCGTAACTGAACTCCACCACTGGAAGAGCCTCCGAACAAAGCCGTGAGAGGGGTAGAGATGGTGCCTCGTGGTGGGTCATGCGCGACCAGGTTCTGCAGATAGCGATGAAGCATCCCATATCACCGTAGAAAAACGAGGTGGCTGTTTTCAGGCTGGTAGGATTGAGCGATTTATTTACTGTCTTGCTGGGAAAGAAGTTGGAACATAAAGGTTCGTCTCGTCATGTGAGCAGGGGCGTTACGGGGATGGATGCCCGTCTGTAGCGGCCATCGGAAAAGATTTGCGAGCTCAGCTAAATTGTATGGCATGTCATCGTGGATCCAATCGCGTTTGAAGGGCGTTGTTTCTGATGGTGGGGCAAAGAAAGTAGGACATACAGTAGGGTCAGTGTGTGAAGTGGTGTGGATATATATATTTGGTACATGACAGCCACTGCACCAAGATACCTTGACAATTGCCACAACAGTACATCTCTTCCTACCACATGATAGTACGTCTCGCACGTGTCGTAGGGTAGGGTTTAAGAACACAATATATTAAATGTCAGTGTCTATATTATTGAATTAATTAAACAGATACGTAAATCGTGGACAAAATCACATGTCCTCATGCATATGGGGTATAGGCAGAGAAACAAATCAAAGATAAAGGAAAATATGCTCTAAATGGAAGTGCCCTTAGACACCCCGCATGTCCCCGGGATACTGAGGAGGATGGGGCGGAGGAGGCACGCTGAACCGCGCACCATCGAGCTGATCCGACGACCACACGTAGACCGCGCTCAGCAACGCGCACGAGTAGAAGAAATATTGGAGAAACACCTGAGCCATGTACGATGCAACAGCCGATTCGGTCCAATAATAGCTCCGGGTGTAGTTGTTGGTGATGTTGGTTGCCAAGTTGATGGCGCCGACGCCGACGGCGGACACGACAAGAGCGACCAGGGAGATGAAGATGGGCTGAAATCAATCTGGTTAACAAAGTCTCTTCCACTGCGATGCTGGGAGCTGACGTACCTTGGCGCGCAGATGGGCGGCGCGAGACATCGCGGACAGGATTAGCCCTGCGGCAACGAGCATCGCGACCAGCTCGACCGCATTGTAAGCTGTACCAAGTCGTACACTATGGACGAGGAGTTCGATCTCCACGTCGTGGTCACCGGTCATCTCACCATGGAAGAGCCGGGTGTTGATGGACAGGTAGACGATCATAACGACACCCAGCAATGCCAGAAATATGATGCTGACAATCTTGACGGGGGGGGACCCGTTGTTCACTCGGTTGCATATGGGAGCGAGGATGAGCACGAAGAGAGAGTAAAACATCAACGAAATCATCCAAGTACTGGCTATCGAGCCGGCCATGTAGTTGATGGAGTCAATGCGGCGGCATTGCCTCAGGGCGATGAGGACAATTTGCAGGACCACGTGGCTACAGAGGTTAGTCCTTTGATCCAAGGGAAACTCGGTGGGGATGCATACACGAAAGCGAAGGTGAGAGACAGATATGTCAGAAATTGGGCCAGACCACTAGCCTTTGCCTTCCTTGCCCGACGCCCTGTCACAAAGAAAAACACCAAAAAAACCACGCAGTAGAGCGCAGGGAAAGCGATCGAGGCCTGGGAATACCAGGTCTCGAAACCACCAGGACAGCTGTCGCTGAGGGAACCGGAGGAATATCCTCCACCACCACCTCGTCGTGGAGCCATTTTGCGCAGGGAAGATAGGGTTGAAGACTCTGTGGGACAGGATCAGGCCAAGATGTGGAATTTTAGGGAAACATGGTCGCGTCCGGGGTGCAGGCCCGTAATATACCGTCCAGTGAGGCTCCACGGCCGCCGAACAGCCTCGCCTCTGAAATTGCGCCTCAACAGAGAATTCTGTAATGAGGCTCGCAACACAAACGCTTGACCAGGATCAGCAGCAAAACCGGAATGTGGTTGGCCCAGTCTAGGGGACTAGTCGCTAATACGAGGTTATTAATAGCGAGCCTGGGTCAAAACACCCGAGCCACAGGTTAGCGTGCCTCGGCCAAGGACTCAGCCTTGTTGGGCATTGGGAGACTTGAACTTTGCACGGTCGTATCCGGTATTTTAGTGTTCAATAGTCGGTAAAACCTCTGCTGGTTGGCGCTCGTATAATTTGGTGGCTTCGTGCAAACCCCCGAGATGAAGGGCTTGACAACTTGTTGCCTCGTGTGGTCAGGGTCATGGTGGTTAAAGGATATCAGTTGAAATAGTAGAGTTTCTGAACGGACTAATGGAATGCAGGGATCATAGAAGAAAGCGAAATATGGGTAAATATACGTAGATGACAACTAGAATTCAAATAGGTGAGTGTAGTATAGAAAGAGCCACTCTCCCTGGCAAAATGGTCGTTATAATCAATCCTCCAGGAAATTACGGTTATATGTCACCAGATCCAGTGGCTGCTTTTTTTCAACTACTGGCCAAAACACCAAGGAGTCCCACGAGACCATCACCACATGGACAGATCATGCAGGGCGCAGTACGCCTGACAGACTGAGCCCCGTACCCCGCATATGCAAGATCACTGAAGGATAAATAACCCATCCCATTCGCTATGACATGTCCCAAGCCACAATATCTCCGATTAAGCCCAATCTGTCCGAGCCCCAATCTCCTCCCCAGATGCCGGCACCAAGAACGGGCTGCTGGCGATCTTGCCATCCGCGTCTCGAGCCCCCTTCACCAGCTCGCTGTCTACTGTGACGAAACTGCTATTGCCCCAGTTTGCACTTCCATCCCAGGAGTTGCCCTGGGAAACCTGCCCGTCACTCAACGACGTCGGCTTCTCCCCATTGACGGCCGCGACGTTCCCAGTCAGTGTAGCTACAGCCGTCCCAAATTTGAACCCTACCTTAGCATTATTCCATGCGGTGTTGCGCGTCAGCTTGAAATCTCCGGGCTGTGAATTATCGGTGAATCCATCTTTGGCGTTGTTGAACGCATAGCAGTTCGTGATGACGTGGTTCGCCGGTCCGATGTCTGCGTCGTCGCCCCCGCCGAGCTTGAAGCCGTTGCCGTCGCCTTCGAAGGGGGTGAAATCCCATCTATGTACGTCAGTGTCTATGACTTTGAGATGACAGCAACTAGGAGGGGAATTTTTGGCATGATCATACCGGTTGAACCCATTCCCCCATGAGATGGTATCCTCAATCGTCACAGCCGACTTGAACTCCCTACATGCAATTAGCCCTGTCTCAACGGTCGACCAAACATGCGCAAGAAGGGTATAGAAAGAAAGAACAAACCAAAGATCCAACCCATCATCAACATTATGCCACAGCCTCGCCCCCTTCAACAAATTCCCCTCGCCCTCCCCCTCCTTACAAGCAAACCCGTCCGCGCTCTCCCCATTCTTGCGCGGATCGCGATTCCCGTACGAGTCGAGATACAGCACGGTGTTATTCGCGGACGCGCCCTGCATCTGGAACCCGGTCTCGTAATTATTCGCCGTGACGAGGCTCTCGTAGCGGTTGTTCGACGCATCGCGCGCATACACTCCGTACGGGCCATTCACGAGGACGAGATCGCTAATCACCCAGTATTCTGCGTCCTGGACGTGGATGATGCCGCGGTCTTCGTTTGGGAGAGAAGCGTCTAGGTCGGCGGGTGTGCTGTACCTTGAGTCAGTAGGGCAGTATTGTAGAAGGTAAAGGGTATTCACGCACCCAGGAAGATCCTCCCCGTCGATAGTCACCTTTTCGCTTTTGTAAGCACGAAGCGTGTATGGTGCTGACGCCGTGCCGCTCTTCGTGATTTGGATGTTAGACGATGGGGCGTATGTCCCCTTCCGAAGGTATATAGTGTCTCCCGGAGTCGCCTGGTCGACTGCAACTTGGATGGACTGGAGCGGCGCGTCGATTGTCCCGGCTGCGGTGTCTGCGCCGGTGGGCGAGACGTATATATCTGCCGCTTGGGCGAGGGGGAGTGCCACTGCTAGCGCCCTAAGAAAGTAATACATTGTTGTTTTGCTCGTCTGTGTAGAAGTTCTGTGATTGTGAAGTATCATGGTGATACTTATTCATATAAAATGCTCGGTTGACGCTGTTGATGCCCTTGATGCCATTGATGGAATATTAGCGGAGAAATATATTCCGGTCAAGTCGGATGTCATTTCCGCTCGTCTTAATTTTCCGACCGTGTTTGACAGTCCATTTTTGGTCTAGAACACCTTTAGATAATCTATATCTAGAGGCTTGTTGCAGTATTGTTGGTTATATACTGTTGACTACTTCTGCTGTTCTAACGCCCAGGCCAACAGCTCCGGATACCATCGTCTCCCTACATCCTGATGGCTAATCACCCGATGGACAAGCGTGCCCTCACCCGTCTTCCCATGGAACTTCTGATTAAACGTGCCCTCCGCATCCGACCGCACACGGTCATCTTTGACCAGATCTCGAATATGACTCGGAATATCCAGCGTGATGTCCCCAGCTGACAGCTCCAAGCTCATACCCTGAAAGACGGGGATAGAGAACCGCGGTCCTAGCTCCTTGCCACCGGCGACGAAATTCTCCGGTGCGAGACTGACGCGGTGTGTAGTGGCGGTGCACACGCCCCCCGTAATCGCGCTCAACGCACGACCGATATTCACGACTAGCGTGTTGTCCATGGGGGGAGCAGGAATCCATTCGCCGTTCTTGTTCTGGACCTCCAGGCCCGGGTGCGCTGTAGGCTGGTATAGAAAGGTCAGAAATTCCGAGTCCTTGTGTGGACCTACGCCTTGACTCTCATCGTCTGTGGTTGGGCGTGGATACTTGATGAGTTTCAGTTTGTGTTGGCGCGGGGTGTCAAAATACGGTTTTAACGCTATTGGGGACAGCCCCAGGGCCTCGGCGATGAGCTCCTCGAATGCATCGGACACGGGACGGAGCTCTGCAAGATAGCCCTCAATTGTTTGTCGGAAACCGGGAATAGCGGATTCATCGGGCCACTATGTTGTTTGTTCGCCGTCGGTCTTTAATATCCGCGATGGGGATACGGCAACGTACCTGGTTTGGGCCGCGAATATTCCTATACGCGGGTTCGTCTGGCCCTGGGACAGGGAGCTCCGTGGCAAACTGTGTATTCAATCAGTACAGACTCAGACCATCAAGTCAGTGTAAGGCTGGGCGTACGTCAAACTGCTCGCGATGGTCTAACTTCCGGGCCGTAACCTCCGCACCGAGGCGCGAATAGCCTAGAAAATGCTTACTGTTGATCATTTCAATTTCAAGTTTCTTCTCGGGCGAGAGATCGAATAGCTCCACTGTCTTCTTGACCAGTTCATCCCTGATGTGCGGAGATATAGGGGCGTTGGCTAGATAGAAGAAGCCCACGTGGACGAGGGCATTGCGGAGCTGGTCGACGAAGAGGGCACGCGTCGCCGGCTGCGTCGAGAGAGCGTAGTCTAGAACGGGAATTTCCGTAAACGACGGTGAGACAGAACCCATGGTAATCTTGTTCATGGAATAGGAGTATAGTGCGCGGGGGTGAAGGAGGATGATATTCGTGAGGGGAAGATGATGTGACAAGCGGGGAGAAAGAGACCATGGCTTATCTAATCTTATCTTATCGCGATGGTGCCTGACTGCCTCATTGCCTGATGCCTGTTCAGGCAATCTGTATCCAGTGACATCGAGACCAGCTGGACGTCACCCTCACTGCATCTTCAACTTCCTTCTCCATGACGTCTCCTCCTTAGACACCTCTCTCTTTACTTCTTGCATCACTTTATATACACCCCGGGTATCCAACGCATCCTCCATCCAGACTACACCCACCTTTCGCTTCCGACTCGAGTCCCGGCCTAATCCCCGACAATGAGCCTCCAGAAACTCGACCGCCTCATCGCCGCCTCGTCCACGGTATCCATCGAGATACCTACTTAAGGGGACCCGCCCCTGCATTGCTCGGAACCACCCCACGTTCACGAACACGAACACGACCCGCGGACCCTCCATCCGGGTGGTAGCCATATCTTCTATTGTGACCAGGGCCTCCTTGAACGGCAGATACGTCCCACCGACCGACCCGTCGGGATCATCGCTCCCATAACAACTCAAATCAATTACGTACAAATTAACATCGATCGCAGACAGATGCGGCCAGTTGCGGCCGCGAGACGGGTTGCATACATCGCGCATGCACACAGGCTGGAACGTCAAGCTGTTGATGGTCAGCCCGGGTAGCAGATCGAGGACCCTCGGACGGATGTGGGTGCGATGTGCAATGACGTCCTCATCCGTTGGGATGTACGCGGCTTCTGCGATGCGGGCGACGTGGGCGAGGAAGTAACATGTTTCGGGGAGAAATACAGAGCTTCGTGGCCCGTGTTAGACACCTTCCGGGACCACCTATGTCAACTGGTAAGGGGGGAAGGGCTTGGCATACCTGTCGTAGCTATCCATTCCTGGTACCCATGGCTCTCGTTTGCTCTTTAATGTCTCTCGCAACCCTTCGTCGCTCCATAGCGAGAGCGCTGCGGCGACCGTGTCGCGGGATGGCCGCCACCCTGGTTCAAGGTCGCTGGGATTGGGCAGCTGTGTGAGAATCTGTTCTGCGGTTTTCTTGGTAATGGTGGTAATTGGAGACTTGGTTTCATCGCGGGCGGCAGTAGCGGCACTGCACAGGGCCTGGAGTAGAGATCGTCGAATATTGTCTTTGTGGGAGAGGCGCTGGTCGCGAGGGAGGCCGTGTGAGATGAGGATTTGAAGCTGACGAGCGAAGCGAGGGCCGGAATCATGGAGACCGTCGATGGAGACGACGTACTGGGAGCGGCGCTTGCGGGCATCTTCCTTCAGGGAGCGGTCTATTTCCTTGGAGCGTCGTTTCGCATGAGCCATTTGTTTCCGTGACTCGTAGTATTCGAAGCGTTTATTCTTCTGGGGAGCGTCCCTGGTGAGGAGTTTCGGGTGCTGGCCCACGCCCGAGCCCGTTGAATGCTTTTCCATGGTTGTCCTTCCTCTGCAGGTATTGATGAGCGCCGTGTGTGGGAATGCAACGGCTTGTTGGGGGGCCAGGGACTGACTATGTATCCTAGAAGTGGAGCGACGGCACGACAGCGCGCCCGATCGGCATGGGCCCTTGCGGGCCGTGCCCAAACACCACCACTCATCGTCCAGAAGGCTCGGATCATCAGTGGAGCGCACAGGATTCGTGGCACAGAAAACTTCTAGAAACAGGCTGCCACGTGGTCGTCCTACTCCGCAGAGTGGCAGCCTCCTTGTGTGATTTGTTACTTGAACAGTGGGACTTTTCTGTTTCGCCCCGGTCATTACTTTGAATAGCGTCCTGCGAACACCGGGCGCTGGGCGAATCATTCATGTACATGTCACTTTGGCCTACGTACCTAGCAACCTTGGACCCGACCATGTCTCACCAACAAACGCACGACTATACATTCTCCAAAGCCAGCTACATAAAATCGCAAAACTAACCTCCCAAGATGCTCGTAGCAGCGCCCGCATACGCCGTCGCGCTGCTCACCAAGTCACTGCCCGTGCTCGCCGCACCTGCAGCTGCCCCTGAGCTAGTGCTAGCAGAGTTTCCGGAGCCCGCTGAGCCTAACTTCATCGAGGGCTGGTACGGCTTGGGCGGATGACTATCGACAGTTCCATTCCAGCAGTACCTCGCAAAGCAACGCTTGCAAATATCTGGCAGTGGTGTTCCCGTGCGTGCGGTGGAGCGTTGCAGGATAGCGCACCCGACGCAGCTCGGCCACTGGGCATCAAGAGACGAATTGCCCATGGTGGCCACATTCAGACCGTTGGTAATAATATTGTCTCGCTCCGAGTCTTTGTACGACAACTGGAAAGTGGACGTATTGGACTCTGCGGTATAGGGCGCGTTCGGGAGGTAGACCACCAGGGGAGTGGGGCCAGTGAAGTTGGAGCCGTTGCAGCCGAAGAAAGTCGGTCTGTTGTTCAAGCCGAGGTTGACGAATGTGTTCACGTCCGGAACGCTGGGGAAATCGGTCCCGTTGGCGATGCCGGTCTTGTTCAGGCTACGCTCATACGTTTGCACCAGGCTGGTGCCGTTGGGCCAGCTATTCTCGGTATCGGCAGAGGAGTCCACGGCGAAGATGACGTCGACATGGCGCTCTGGTTGAATCAGCGGGTGCAACGGGATGTTTTGGCCGTCTTCGCCGCCGTCGACGAGGTCTAGCTCATTTGTGGTGGCATAGGTGGCCGTCGAGTTGCGGTAGTTGTAGAAAGGGTTGGGTGCATAAGCAGCGATGTCCTCGTCGTCTCTGCTGAGATCTTTGAGGATGTCTTCCAAGGCTTTTTTCAAAATGTCTGGCATACTGGTACTGTTCAGGCGCGGTAGGAGCTGGTTAAATAGGGAGGACGAGGTGCCCATGACGAAGCCGGCATTGTCGAATCCTCGCACGCAGGTGTCGTTCAACATCCCGTTGTCGAACTTCGACCCGAGATATTCCAGCGGCGCGAAGCCAGCGATCGTGGGATCCCAGCTCCCGAACTCCCACGGGTTGAACTCATACACGGTCGAGTTGCTGCCTACCAGTAGTTCGCCAGGCCTGCGCCCATCCGCGACAAGGAGTGGCATGGGGATCTCGCCATCCTTAAAGTGGTCACCCAGGGCGATGGACGACCAGGTATAACTCGGGCCGCCATCGTCCTTCGACGAGTTGACCAGCTGGTAGGAGAGAGCGCGACCCCAGTAGTCGGTCAGGGTGACGTCGAAACCTGCGTTCTTCTTGCCCTTGACCGACTTATCAATGTTCTCCCAGTAATTAACCGACGACAGAAATTGGAAATGCTTGGAGTTTGGTCCTTCCAGGATCGACGTCTGTAAGTCCCACACGCGCTTATCTTTCTGCAAGTCGCTAATCGTGGTGAAGTTGTTGACAAAGATGGAGCCAACGAGCCAGCCACCACCACTCAGTCCAGCAACATAAGTCGACGACTGCAGCAGCCCGCCGAGCTGGCCCTTTGCAGTGGCATTTGCCGTGCGATTGTCGAAGGCTTTTATGACCCCTGCGCCGTTCAGCATAGCGCGATAACCGCCACCACTGGCTGCAAAGCCGATGTTAGGCAGATCGGTGACATTTTTAGCGGTCTTATCAATGTACGACACTGCGTCAAAAGGACCGAGGTCAAGCCGGCCAAGAAACTCCTTCATCGGGTCGACAGTCTCCTTTCGGCGTTTCTTGAGCCATTTCGTTTCATCGCGCGAGAGTCGACTCGCCGATCGAACTTTCGGTTTGACAGCCGGGCATGTCGTGTTGGCGGGTGTATAGCCGTCTGGGGCGTTGGGAAACGCACGAGGGAAGACGTCGACCGTCGCAGCGTGGGCGAGAGCCACGCTCGTGAGAATTACCAAAGAGATCTTCATGGTTGCTTGCGGGGAAAAGCACAGTGCCCGCTGCAATGGCCGCTCGAGGGTTCATATGTACGACGCCATGGCAGACACAACCAGCTGGGCCAACCGGAACACCGGGGATAGGTCGATGTGGTGGGTGGATCGAATGCTTTCATCGATATATCATCGCCACCTCGAGGGGTAGGTCTAGAGATGGCTATGAAAGGTACGTTCATGAACATTGGTCGATGACGGGCATCAGGCGACACCGCTGCAAAGGATGGGCTGCACCCACGGTTCTGGACATAAGGTTAGATAACAACTCAGTTTAAGTGCAGATCAAAGTCTATTGCCAACATGATTACTGGTTGCGACGCCACAGCCAGATGTTTCGGAAAGGAACCCAATCACAAGCTCTAGGACACGAGATACCGCCAACCCCGGGGGCCATCACAGCCACAGACGGTTTTCATGTACTAATTTCGAATAGACGACCTTGGTAATGAAATTGACAATAGTTTACATGCTGTCATAGCTGATGCGAAACGAACATATGGCAAGAATGTGGTCGAGCCAAATGTTAGGAAGATAATGCATGACATCACCACCCCTTGTCCACTATTCTATCCATCCACGGCCAAGGATCCACAAGGCTTGACCCTCAGCATCTCTCGACGTCCTGATTAAATCGATAGACTGCAGTGTTTCTCCACTTCCGTCATATATTCAGATATATGCCCCTTCCGCGATACAAGGATTGGCTCGGCGGCATCACACAAGGGTAGTGATATCAAAGCTTAACTAACCATGCCAGCCCGTCCACGGGTCACAAAGTTACTTCAAAACACGAGTAGCTCCATAGTACCATGGCTATATCCTACTTTCATGGACATTATAGTGGATATTAACATAAAATTGGCCAGAAAATGACAACTCAGTCGGTAATCGCTTCAAATCGCATCACGCAGAACATGCATGTCAACTCCATATCAATCAGAAGAAATCAAAGATAATTGACTACAGACGCTTCTGAAAGGCCGCCAACATGCTCTCAAACCCCCCAGCCCGGGGGGACCGCGCCGGGGTCAAATACCGAGTATTCATGCGGCACAGCTGCATGAAATTCGCCGCCTCGTCCGGCATGGGCGTGCCACTCGCCCGATGAGACGCCTCCAGTCGTTCGTAGTATCCCTGCGCTTCCACGTACTGCTGCTTTGCGAAATACAGACTAGCGAGCATTTTTAACAAGGCCTGCACCTCTGGGCTCCCCTGGCCCTTGCGGTGCTCCGCCCATCGCAGGTAGCGCTCAATCCAGGGAACGGCGAGTTTCAAGCCGGCGGCGCTTTTGTTGAACGAGAGTGGGTCGTTGTCCTGTGAGGCGTACATGATTCCTTGGTCTGTTAGTTAAACGCACATGGCTGTAGAGGACCAAATTTCATAATGGGACATACCCAGGTGTGCCACAATAGCCAGCGTCTCTGGGTGCTCCGTGCCCAGGACTTCTTCAGCCAAGGACAGCGCGCGGCGGAGAGTTTCGGACGCCTCGCCGCAGCTATGATCGACCATCTGTGCAGCACCCTCGATTCTCAAACTATAGATCGACAGCGGGTGGCGCGCACCTAGAAGCGCGACCACATCGCGTGCAATCTGACAGATTGATGCGCAGGACTGTTGCACGGTGGTGTTAAACCGCATCACCATCTGTGAACCCCCATGCTCGGCGCGATGGGCCTCAATCACCAGCTCTGCGCTATACAGCCCCGCTTTAATGACCCGAATATGGGTATCGCCCAGCAGAGCGACCAAACTCTGACGGTACTTCTCGCCCATCTGCACCGCCTCTTGTCGCCGCTCGAGATTGTCATATGCCATTGCCAGCCGACGGCGCGTCTCCAGAGTGTCAAGGTCCTGTTCGCCCACGCCAGGGGCCATCTGTTGGCGGGCCAGCACATTGGCTATGACCGACTCTCCCTCCTGGTACTTGCCCTGCGCGCAGAGAATCTCACCCATCAGACTCTCGGCCTTCATCGCGAGGGGGTGGCGACGCTCGAACACGCGAGCGCTATTGTTGGACACCCATTCCGCCCACTCCGCTCCTTTGGTTAGATAACCGGACTCGACATCAATTTCGGCCAGATTGTATCCCGCCTGTAGCGTGCTATGGTGGTCCGCACCCAGCGTGCGCAGATGCTCCTGAAAAAGAGCATACTCAACCTGTCGGGCCTCGTCCCACTTCCACTCACATTTCAACTGTGCCGCCTTAATCGACCGGGGGTCGCTGTCCGTGGGTGGGTATAACACGCCCGTGACGCGCGGCTGCACGGCGCCAGGCAGCGGCGTGCGAGCAGCTGGATACGACGTACTGCTGTTAGTTGCGTCTATGCGAGGCGGCAGCGGAGGTGGACTCTGCGGCGCGGCCGAACTCGGCTGGGTGATAAAACCCTGTTCGGTGACAAGCACCTGGTCGGCGATTTGCTTGATGTTGCCTTTGATAAGTCGGTACATGGCCCCGCGGGCGCTGACCTTGCACATCATCGAGTGGTCTGCGTCGAGTTTGAGGCGTGTTTCACGGTTTCCGGGGAGGCCGAGGACGGCCGACTCCTCGTCAACGACGAGCTACACAATTAGTACAGCCCGATACCTTGGAATGGGATATACATACATGGCTAATAGAAGCCGGTCCAGCCCCACCCAGCATAACCTCTTTCCCCTCGACAAATGAAATAACCTTATAATCCTCCAGCTGGTGGGAAAAGCGACTGCTCATCTGGCGGGTAAAGAGCGAGTTCTGCTCTAGACAGTCGAGGAGGTCATTGCTGGCATGGCCTTTGGAAACGAAGCGCGCGACCTTGGCTGCGATTTTCCCCAGCTCGACACCTTTTGTGCCGCGGTGGGGCGTGCCGAAGAATACCAGTCCGGCTGTGTCTCTGCGGATAGTGCCGTATTTGGGGTCTTCTTGTGCGTTCAGGAGGGCCTATTTCTTAGCACCTCTGTCTGTCGTGGGAGGCTCCGTAGAGGGGATGCAAGCATGGCTTACCTGTTTGATGACCAAGCCCCCTAGACTGTGTCCGATGAAGATGATTTTCGGCAGTCGTGTGTTCTATCAGTCTTCACGTTAGCCATACATTCACCTCTACCACGCCATCCTCTTTATCAACCACAGGAACGCATCCCTTAAAGAACCGCAAAGAGGAGGACCAACCATCTGCGGACTCCTCTCCATATCCAACAAATTCAGTAAGGTATTCGCATGGTCCTTAACACTCGCCGTGGACATTGACTGCGGATTCGTAATATTTGAGTTATATCCGTAAACGAAGACTCGAGCCTGGGGAACATCCAGCGGGAGGAAGTCGCGGGGCCAGAACGTCCCGTTGGGATGAGTCCATGTCTCGAAGGGGTGGTCATTTCGACCACGGGGGTTGAGACCGTGGACGAAGATGAAGCTGAATATTCTCAGGATGTGCGGATAGACAATGGGGATCAGGGGGAATACTCGATCTTTGAATTCTCTGGCGGAGTGAAGACTTCCTCAAGAAAGGGATACTCATATTCCACGTTTGGGTTCTATCTGGATATCAGTCTTGAGAAAGGACCTGGATTGCAAGGCTCATACCATCTTGACTCCGATCTACTGCGTTCTCACAACACTCCGGTTGACATCGCGAGTCCAAGGACATAGCACGAGGGAGCAGCAGAAAGAAAGGAGAATAAACAGACTCAGCCGCAACGAACCAGGTGATACACGCCGACCCGCGAGGAACGACACCCAATCGACTGAGATTCCCTCGGATTGCGGCATGCTCGCAGGAGATATACGAGATGGCGTTAATTCGGATGCAGTAAGTAGCGTGGCTCTTCTTATTGGTAGATGCAGTGCTTATTCTTAGCTTTCCCGGGGGGGTTAAGATAGGCGAGGTGCAGCTATCACTTTGACGATTGATCTGTCCGTCGGGCGGTTGTCACATGGACTGTGTTTTTTGGGCAGCTCTGAACACGCCGCTGTTTGCTATGGAAGGGGTCAGTACTGTATCAGCAGATGACTCTCTTGCTGTGTTGTACAGAGACCAGCTAGTGCTGACGGCGTACTCACTCGGAAGTACGCCACATGCTGCTGTTGGTTTTGATTTAAACAATCCGTCAATGCTGCATGACTTGTATGCTGTAGCTGATGTTAGTTGAGATGATTCTGTCTAGAACGATTGCCTAAACAACGCACATATGACACCGGTGTTGAAAGGTGGAAATTATATGACTCTGGACGAAACACCTTGTTGAATGTTTTACATCATCTTCTCCCGCTTCATTTTGGAAAAATTCTGTTTGTAACTTCTGTATTACAGTTTTACAAACAGGGTGTTATAGTAAGGAAAGCTGTGACTTATCTACTTTATGCGTGTTGGGGATATTCGTCATTTCAAGCGCTCCCAAATTGCTGGTCAGCATTTTGGTGCAGTGGCTGTTAATGGCCATCCATGTAGTGTATATTGACAGTCAATATCATATTCTAATGAAACCAAAGAGATACATACAGTCTACGTCACTGAGTGTCCTTTAAATTCTGCCAGATCAGACTAATATCTGTATCGCTCATCCCGTCCATATATGATTAAGTTGGATATTTCGGATGCCCCCATCTTGACAGGCCATCCAGCGCGCCACATAGCCCTCAGTATCTGTATCAAGAGGTTCCCACACAAGCTGGTGCATCTCATCCCACCGTCGATACTTCATGAACTGTCTCTCATGCTCGACAAGCTTGTTCTCATTCAAGGAAAACAGACACCGTCCGAGAAATCCCAGACCAGACCAGTTTTCGAAAATTCAATCAGGCACGCGCAGAGTCAAATCACATTGATATTAGACACTTCTCCACAGCAAATAAGCATTTCGCGGAAGGGACGGGACGGTCTTCAAGGAATGTTGACACGTTGTACACCTTTGCAAGTTTTGCATGGGTCTATTGTTAGCAATATGATGCTTGGGTTTCCTTGTCCAGGTCGACAAAGTTATCAGGTAGTTTGGGCTGCACGAGGGATTCCGTACATTCCTGTGGAGGTGCAGGGGTTTGTAATTCGGACGCTCTATCTTCCTATACATGGCATTTTCAGCAATGCTTACACGTTCCGATAGTCAGCCGCGAAATTCTGGACTACCCACAAATGTTCCCATACGATTATTGCCCCAAAAATCCACAGAGCTTTAACGCGGTGACGCGTGCCTTCCATCACCAGCTAAGGCGTGACATGGAAGTTACGCAAGGGCTTTAAACCGAATGGTGCATACAGCTGTCAGGCCCGGCAAGGTTTAGAGTGGTACCGCCATTATTGCGGTCGTCGGTCTCCCACAATATTATACAGGTTATTCTCTTCAAGCTGACCAGAGAAGCTGCGATTGACCAGATCTACTACTTTTGGCAAAATCCACGAAGTGGCAATGATTGTGAGTTGGACTATCAAGAGTGAATACAATCTGCAGAAGCTGCAGGGAAAAGGATATATCAACACTGATCAGGGAACCGTGCAAATGACCACTGACAATCGCCGCCTTCACTAAATCCACCCAGGCCTGGTCCAGTCTAGTCAGCTGAGTTTGTTATCAAAACCAACTAATAGATGTAAATCCCAAGTCTAAGTACAAATCGTGATATGCAAACAACAATCCCTCCAGCACGCGCCCACTAAAGGCAACCAGGAAGAACACTTTCATCTCCTAATCACCAGTCATTAACAGTAATGATTGTATGCAACGGAGTTTGTGCAGCCACGATCGCAGGTGAGCATCCAGGTTAATTTACTATGCTCGTCGCATTTGAAGAGACTGTTGTTCCGGGTCTTATCATCAACAGGCTGATTGGCTTTGTTCAAGGCCTCGTCAATGGCCGCGCCGTAATCACCTGTGCTCAATTAAAATGTGTTAATTGATCTTCTCCATTTATGATCATACGGGAAAGACATACCCATTCCCTGCAGTTTATCAGAGCAGTAGAATGCCTTGTCTGTGCAAGGGTCGGCTGCCACCAAGGAGAAGGTGGCCAAGGCAGCGAGGGTAAAAGCTTTGATGTTGATCATTGTGACAGTCGGATTGGATTTGTAAATCGAGATCGTCTAGAGAAATGCTGTTTTGGACCTGGATGAACTCAAAGCCTGATCTGAAACTGATAATGGAATTGAATCGAGCGAGGAGGATAGACTCTTTATACCTTTCTTCTCCATGGATCAGCAACTCAGACGCCAGAAATCAAGCCAACTCGCAGACTTTTCAGGCTGGCAGAATACAGATCAGCAGTGAAGACACACCAACTACGGCTCAGAGGAGGGCGAGAATGCACAGCCTACTCTACATATTATCTTGTACTCACCTCATGAAGACCAGCACAACCTGGAAGGATGGTTGAACAGTAATTCTACCATTTGGAGTCATTTTCACGACAGAGACATCTCAGCACCCCAGGAACAAAGTATGTGTGGCTATGTATTGGGGTACATGCTGGGATCATCAAGTCCATTTGCCTGTTGTATCCTAGCACATGTTGAGTAAAGTATAAATGTGAGAACTCCTGTCTAGTAAAGCAAAGATCAGCACCGGCTTATTACAAGGCTGCGATGGTGGATCTCGACACGCAACAGCACGACTGGATTACTATAAGAAAATGATCATCAACTCATCTATCAGGCTGTGCGAGCATACAAGTTACTAGATTAGGCATTTGCTGTCGATCCATCTTTGACCCTAGCTATTACTATGTACTCCGTACCAAGGTGTGTCCTACTAGTCTATTGATAAATCACTTTCTCATTAGCTAAGTAAAACCAGATGACAATTAGAAGGGCTAAAAGAAAAGAAATAACCACTTGTGTTGCTCTAAAATAGATTATGTTTTGACAAAGTAACACTATGCATATACAGCTACTCACTCCTCTGCTCAGCCACTCCTCGGTAATCTGCTTAAGTTCTCTGTGGGTAAAGAAACAACAATGGATGAACGCTAAACGGAATGGGGAAGTGTTGAAAATTGAGTATACAACTATACACTGTCTACTAAGTACATAAAAGCTTCGTTTCCAGCACAAACCAGAGGTAAAAAACAAAAAGAAGAAGCCTAGACCGTTCTAGAATTGGACAGCGGACATCACAGCCCATCTTCTAACCTTATTTCTATTGCCGATCTGCTAAACTCCATGCTACCATTGACCAGAAACCGCCCCGAGTAACTCCCCGCAGACACCACCTGCCCTGACTGCGCCATATTCAGCTTATGCAACTGCGCCGAGTCAGTTGACCACACGGCACTAATAATGCTGTAACTCAGGTGGATCAACGAGGCTGAACAGCTAGTCACGGCCTGGTCTTCCCCAGATCCTGCGCTGCTGCTGTCATTACTATTGTTGTGATTGTCAGAGGATAGAAAATACACTATCTTTCTCACGGCCACGCTTAAGATAAATGATCCAGGTATATACCCTGTATTTAAGATACTCTGGGATAGCCGCAAGTTAACTAAGGTACTATTTTCAATATTCATCAGGGCCGGTTAATAGGAACTATGTCTAGATATTAGTAGATGCTGATATTACTGCTCCCTATTATAAACAGTAATAGAGTATTAGTATATTCAAAGGCGCCCGGATATTTGACAAGATGAGGTAGAAGACTAACAGAGATGGACTGTTTTTTTGTCAAGTCAGACTCTGAATGTCATGAGAAGGGCCATCATACCAAGGGTGTGTCTCTATTATATATTGCCCCAGTTGATAGTACCTCGACATAGGCGGTTATGTTAGATACTTGGGGTCGAGAGACGGTCAGACAAAGATTGAGGAGTAAGGACATTTTATATTATTATGTAGTTTTCACTAGTAGTAGGCAGTATTTATAATAGTGTCATTAGGGCTAGTATTGATGCATGGATGCAAGATATAAAGATAGATAGATGCTTGCATAACATTTCTTATCAGACATCCCGTCCCTAATACACGTAACCGTAACTACCATCAGCTCATCTCAAACGATCCTTTACTTCTCGGATAGACAGGAAGAAAGAAGAGAATGAAACTACAGAACAGGCCATCCACTGGAAAAGTCCAAGGCATTCCACCCAAACAGCTTCTGTCCATCCGCATACCCAATATTCGTATCCACGTAGTGATAGTACATGATGGGGCCGAGGGTTGGATCATCATAGACGCCACTGTTCAGTTAGCTCAACAACAGAAATATGAATAGGGGATGCAAGGTAAGAACGTACAGTCCGCCTGGTCCATAGACTGTATCGTGACTTTCGAGGACGACTGTCCCGCCGCCTTCAGTGCAGGGGATGCCGTCGCTGTCGACCTATTCATTCAGTCATACCATTAGTATCAGTTCATCAACAGCAGCCACTCTGTTAGAGTTGACCAAGAAAAGGAAAGAAGAAAGAAAGAAAGAATAACATACAAACCCCCCATCCACCTTCTCCGACCTACAAACCTTAACCTTATACTCCTGCCCAGCCGGCGGCATAGTCCCATCATACCCACAACAAACGCCCCACATAAAAAACAAATAATTCCAGTCCCCAGACCTAAACAAGAACGGCCCTTCCAGGGGATGCGTTCCCTCGGGCTCAAACGCAACATTGTACGGCTCGCCTGCGGACAGTGTGGCATCCGCATTCATAGGAACCTGGAAGAGGTCTGTCCAGAAGGAGCCGAAGGTCATGTAGGGGGTTTGGCCGTCTATGTACAGGTTCGCGTCGATGGCATTGTAGGGTGATCCTTCGCTGGAGGAGACGCCTGTTGCGCCGTGGTCTGTCCATGACCCTGGGTCCATTGAGGGGGAGGTGGCTAGGCCGATTGCTGAGGCTTGCGTGCCGAATGAGCTGACTGTGTAGTAGAGGTGGTAGGCATCATTAACAAGCGCTATATCTGGGGCCTGTTTCTCCAGTTAGTACGATATTTACTGAGTAGGCAGATAGGGAAAGGGAAGAAGGAGGAAAAGACAAACCCATAAATCATCCCTCCCTTCTAAGTCAATAATCGACCCGTCAGGAAGAACACTCCCCAGCGCCGTCCACGGTCCTTCTACAGCAGGGGCACTCGCATACGAGATCTTGTTGCCCGTCGAGAAGCGGAAGTAAGTCCCATCTTCGCGGCGGATGAGGGCTGGGTCGTGAACATTGCAGGGGCCGCTGCAGGCACCGGGAGCGGGGTATGCATTTACCGGGAGGATGGAGGGGATGAGAAGACAAGAGAGTTGGAGGAGTGTGGGGATGAAGGAGAGCATTGTGATCAACTTGTGATCGACTCTGATGACGTTTGTAGGTACTAGTTAGGGCTGTAGATCTGGCGGCTAGGATATGGAGTATATATACACACATAGAAATGTGGAGATAATAGTTATATACCGTTACCGCGGTAGATAATTAGACTAGTGTCTGATTTAAACCGATGCAAGAAGATAATCCACCAACAGGAGAAGCCCTAACCTATATCTCTCATACCATATAAACATAGTTCCATAGTGAAACGACCAATGCCGGAAAGTCACCACGAAACAATATCAACCGAGAGTAGATTAACCCCACACGCGCCCCGTGAGCTATTACCTACAATTAATATACGCAAGATACCTACTCCATAATATGAAACACAATCCACCAATCGGATACACACCGTGCCAAATGCATATCGTTTATATTAAATTCAGCTACAGATGTGCCGGCTTGCAACAATTCCCTCCTCCACTCCCCCCCACCACCACCGACGATCCGTTCCGATCCGACGGGACGTCCAGTGCGGGATTCTCCGTGAAGAAGTCCGAAGGGCGGATGGAGAGCTGGAAGGTTTCGACGGGCCTGTTTCGTTAGTTTCATTCTAGAACAGCGGTATGGGAGGGAAAAGGGTAAAGGGAGACTTGTGGGAAGTAAAGAAAAAAACATACATGACCGGCCAATCTTCCACTCGTGGATTATGCGTAATGCCGAAACAACTCCACACTACAACATCCGCATCCTCGACGACATCACCGCGCTTGACAGCATCCGCCACGCCGTCAGCTTCCACCTGGCTCTGCAGTGTATACCGCCCACCAGCGTAGAACTCATGGTCGCGGTACCCCGTAACCCACACGTGGTGCTGAGCGAACTGGGCGCGCTGGGCCTGGATAGACCGCGGATCCGCGAGCAGCGTCTGCGTAGCCAGCGGGGTGAACTTGTAGGCGACAGGGTTCTGGGAGATAGGGTTGCGCTTGTGCGGATTAATCATCTTGACGACGCGGTTGAGGTGCGGCGCGGCGTCGAGGGCGGCGGCTCGGGGGACAGGTGTCGACTGCACGCGGTAGAGGTTGCCATGGGGGTTTGTGGCCTGGTCGAGGGGTACGGGGTGCGACTCTTCGATGTGGACGGAGTTGCGCGCGCCGTCGATGGCGGGATCCATGCGCACGCAGAAGAGATGTTGGTGGTTTTGCGCGAGCACGCCGCCTGACACTACCGTGCCGTAGTCGGAGGTTTTGTTGGCGTCGATGTTGACTACGTTGAGAATGCCTGTCGCGCGCGCCTCGACGGTGATACCACCCGCTTGGTCGAACTTGTACGCAAAGACGTACTCGTAATTAGCTAGCGTGATGATGAACTGCACGACGAGCTCGCGGTTGCGCGTGACGACCGCGCGGCCAGTCCGCCAGTTCGAGTGTTTCCACCCGATACCGCCATCCTGCTCGTGCAGGCAGATGGCGTTAGGGAGCTTCTGCGGGCGACCGTCAGGGCCGGTCGCCATGGCATCGAAGTACTTGATTACCCCGAGACAGTCGCACCCAATGGAGAGGTTGTTAGCCATGTTGCCGCCGCCACCATCGCCGAAGTCGAACGCCTGTTTGCGGTGGAAGGGAGGCCGGGGGTCCGCATAGGGGACGGTCATCTCGCTGATCGCGAGGCGGTACATGACGCTGCGGCCGTCGTACCATACGTCGTGGATGGTGGCGCCCTCGCGAGGATTGAAAGCGACGCGGAAGCGCCACTTCTGCCATTCGACGAGGGATTCGTCTGTGACGCGGAAGGATGGGCCATCGGGCTGGACTACGTTGAGCGGTTTGAGATCCTTGCGTGTTCTCTGGGGTAACAACTCCGGCACGTAGTCGGACGACTTGCAGTGGCCGATGATATCGCGGGAGAAAGTCTGCGCATCGAGCGCCTCGCCTTTCCCGCCTGTGGCCGGACGGTCGACGCGAATGATCTCGGAGGTCAACGCATCTATGACGGGGATGACGGGCAACGGGAAAGAGTAGAAGTTGGCATCGGGGTTGTTCTTGGTGGTGTCCCGGGCGAAGCACAGCCCTTGGAAAAAGCGGCGGTTCGGGTCAGTGTGGTCGCGGCCTCCGTAGGGCCAGGGTTCGATGACGACCTCGAAGCCGGGGGGGAGGTCAAAATCGGAGAGGGCTTGTTGAAAGAGGGGGGAGGCGAAACATTTTTCGACTAGGACGTCGAACTCATTTCTAAGGTCTTGGTCAGCGCTCACTGCATGGTCGTATACTTCGAACGACAGCACCAACATGCTGGGCAGCTTTTCGGCGGCTTGATCTGAATAATCACCCCAACACATAGGAATGATCAGATGAAAGGAAACCTACAGTGTCAGCGCAGCATGATGCTGCTTCCCTACAACCTCATGATGCGTACGCCGTCGCGACCCGACATCAACGACCGACTCCTCGTACGACGGGATGCGGTCACCCCCAATGACATCATACTGGCACAACGCTTGACGCGGTGGACGGGGCGTCGTCGGACTCAATCGACCTGCATGCTCGAGGGCCAGGAACTCCTGCAGCTGGTCTTTAGGCGGTTCCCAGAGATAGATCTCCCGGAAGTCAATGACTGTGCTTGGATGCGCGGCGAGGACGACCTCGCGTGCGATATTGGTCTCCTCTTCGGAGAGTATGGCGAGGGGGTGAGGCATTGTCTCTTGTTTGTTCGTACAAGTTGTAGATGTAAATATGATGTCGGATTGTGGGAATATGATCTAGGAATCCTCTATATATACAGATGCTTATCTACACGTGCGGGGTCGGAATGATTCCCCCGGTGCCTGAATCCTCTGGCGTAAGTTGGACGTTTTCGGCTGGACTTGCTCGATTGGGCCAGACGCGGAATGATTCCATCGTCACTATGATTGGTGCCTCAGGAGAGGAAAACATTATCCTTTTCATGGACGATACAGGGGAGATGGAATCAGTCAAGAAGAACCGACAGAATAAGGTCAGACAATCCATTGTCATGTTGTGTAACCAATCCAACCAAGACAATTGTTGTATCCCACGAATCAAGGCAATATATGCAAGAATATGTGCAACTCATGATGTAAATACAGGGTATGTATCCAACGCCCCAACATTATAAAGAAAAAATTAGAAAACAGACGTCATCCATATCCATCCACATCGTACCATATATCAAATAAATATTAGAAAATTCTCGTGATACTGGGCTTCACCCAGCGCGGTCGTTTACAATCCGCGTTCAGTTCCTCTTGTAACTGTTTCATCTTCCCCACATCCCACCCGGCCGATAGGCGGGCTGTCGTGCCGAGTAACTTCTTGGACGAGCCTAACCGCATTGTCCGGATGAAGATGCAGTGGCCGGTTGAGTCGTACGTGTAGCCTTTACACTCGGGATGGTCGTGGCAGGCGGTCCCACAAGCCTCGAAGGATGCGTGGCCCGGGGCCTCGGGCGGTTCCTGCCACCCGCCCCAGTCGCCGTTGTCCCAGTCGGTGCGGTGGTCGAATGTACCAAGTTTGGTGTATTCGTAGAGTTCGGAGTAGAGGAGGGGTTCCTACAGGATTAGCATGGTTTTAACAATATATAAACAGAAGGAAAGGAAGGAAGAGAACAGAACAAAAAGTAAAGAGAAAAGAAAAAAGAAGAAAAGAAAAAGAAAACATACCGATCGGTCTCGACTATTCTCCCACTGCATGAACCCGTACATGTCAGCCGGCAACGTCTTGTGCATGGTGATGACAGGCTGGCACCAATATGCGCCGTCGAAAGGAACACCATGAAGCGGGTGTGGCTGAAACATGGGCCACAACCCGGACAAGCGCACGCCCTTCTCAAACAGCACCCAGCCCAACACCGAGTCACCGCAACAGTCCTCCTTGATGATCTGCTCGAACTGCACACTCAGCGACGGCTGGATAAGATCCCCCATCGCGCCCGTAGTCCGCTCCACCGCCTTGTCGATGGCGCCCGCCGACAGGACGATGCCCGCACCGCCATACGCAAACCAGGTGACCTCGCCTTCGCCGGTAACGCGACCGGGCGACGGCGATCCGAAGTAAAGTGGGCGGTCCGGGTTGAACTGGTCGAGGAGGCGGAAGAGGTTGTCCCAGACGACGTAGGTGTCGGATTCGAGGAAGACAAACCACTGCGCGGTGGGGTTGACGTCGTAGGCGCGCTCGACCATGGGGAGGAACTTGAAGCGGTCGAGGTTCCATCCTTTTTGGGTATCAGCCATGGAGGCTGGGTCGCCGCGCTTGGCGGCCTCGTAGGTGTCGAAGTCGGTGGTGTTCACGCGGAAGGAGGGAGGTAGGGTGGCCAGGATGTCGTGCACGCGGTGACCGCGCAGTTCGCCCTCGCGGTCGGAGACGATCAGGAGGTTCTTGATGCAGCGGGTGACGGTCTCGATCTGCGGGTTGAGGCGGTCGGCGGGCTCGGAGGCGCCCATCTTCAGGACGACCTGGACGCGCGAGAGGACTTCGGTCGGGAAGGAGTCGCAAAGGTGGTCATCTGGGTTCTCGTTGCTGGCGCCGGCGCCTGGGGGAGTCCGTGGCGCGGGCGCAAACCGCGTGAATGTCTCCCATTCCCAATAGTCGGGAGGTGGAGGGCCGTCGTTTTCGGGGGTGACATGGTGGTAGAGGTCGGAGGGGATGAGGGAGGAGCCGCTGAGGCCCAGGTGGAGGAATGTGGTGGTGACGGTAAAGCCGCACAACAGGATGAGGGCCGTGATCCAACGTCGCGACAGCCGGATGGCCATATTGAGGGGAGGGATTCTCAATCCCAGCGTATACAAATACAAACAAGAATCGAAATCAATAAAGCCAATAAAATACAATAAAGTAAAATAAAGACCAGAATAGAATGAGGAGCCGGCAGGGGCGGAGAATCTGCGGTCACGGGGCCAGTACCGACGGTGGAGCAACTGGCGAGTTTATAACGTCATCCCAGCCGATATATCCAGCGCATTCAGTTGTCCTCGTGGAGATGTCTCTGCTGGAAGCTGGACAATAGAGATGATCTTCTGACACCTGCAACATGAGTTAAGGACAGTTTGGAATCAGGCTGGTTGTTATTCCCGACGATATTAGGGGCTCCAGCCTCGCAGGGAAACGGGGGCTTTGCCGTGTGGGTCCTGGCGCCGCATTCCAGTCCCTTCGGTTGACGGTCTCCACTACAGCAACAGTTATTTTCCGATACTTCATGGGGTATCAAGTACTTGCCATGGTCCATGAGAACTCTAAAAGGAACTCCCTGCTATGTCTATCTGATTTGTCACGAACAAGGCAAGAAAAAACACGGAGAAAGACAACGATAAAGAATGAAGAAGAAACAACAAGGAAGTGATCGACATCTGACAGCGCCACCACAATGAACCAGCCAGTCACGCTTCTGTGGGCCTGGAATCCAAGGAATCCTTTGAGGAGCTGCCTGAGGCAGCATCCATACACCCAACACCATGTCACCATTAACATTGTAGGAGTTGAATCTCGTCCGTTGAATAACTGCATATGTCACTACCAGATTCTGCACCAATCGCTATCATAACCACAACTTCGTCTGTGAGAAAGCAGCAAATTAACACATTTGATACCGGTTCAATTGCCGAACCATGCCAAGCCTGATTAGTATAAAGATGGTTAGTCGGCGCAATATGCAACATCTAGTGCTTAGCCACAGCCTCACCATCAGAATTAACATCCACCACCACCTTCCAGGAAGAGGTATATATCTTCTATGACCCAAGCAGCACTGACAATGGTGGTTCGCTAATATGTATGGGCTGTATCGATAGGTATATAATACACTATGCTAGAATTCTGCCGCCTTCTATTATATTACCTCAGCAGTGTCGATAATACATCGTATCAGAATCGAGCATAGAATATTTCGAGCTTGGTACAAATTCCTGATGTAGGAGGCGGTCTACCTCTCCTGGCTTACCGCCCGTTGAGGACGAGTTATTGTAATCTGCATACGTGTATGTACTGCCCAGATATGTAGCCCTCATGAGAAGAACCTCCATCTATCTATATATCTACCTGTAAACCAAAGTCGAGTAACACACGGTTCTATCCCTGGCAACAGCCTAGCTGAATGAATTATACATGATCGGAGTTATCATAGGGACTATCTTGTCCTAGCGGCTGCCCTCTTCGAAAGGCTCCATTACTTTCGCATCAGACAGCACGCCGGCTGGCCCCAACCGAAGCCTAGCCCCTTGTGGGGACATTTCCATACCATCAATGAGATATTGAAGCGAGGTGATCCACGACAACACTTTGGTGCACTAACCTCCCTGGGAGTAGACGCTTGATACCGTCCTACTGACGGGTGATAGATTCTGTTCTGGCGGACATCAGAAAAACTCTGGGCAGCCCACCCGCCTTCCTCCTCGATATCCGTCCATTTCACCCGCCGCTCGGGGTCATCTGTGACCATGAGCTTGCCGAGCAACTGACGGGGGGCTCCCAGAGACACCCGTACGGCCTCGGGAAGGCACCAACCATTTTCCAGTCGGCCCCCGTCTTGGGAAAGCGGTCCATGTTCATTGCCGAAGTATGACCTATGACGAACGCAATCGACGCGCGTGGGAAGAGCTGCGAAGATGGCAGTTGGTGTGTATTCCCTCCCTCGGGGGGAGCAATTGGATCGGGACCGCCTAGGAGGTTTCAAATGTCTGATCGTGCCAGGTCGGCTGTAGCCACCATGCTGGCAGCCGGCGACGCGCACATCCCTCCCTGTGGTGTGGTTTCCATTGTTTTCGCGCGTGCTTCCGCGCGCGTCACACGCTGCCCAGCAGGAGTCACCATGGGAGCGTTCGCCTGCGTCCCATTCATGATACCCCGTCAAGCGCGATGTCTGGGCCTTCGTCTTCCCGAGCGCCACTGGGCTAGACGTGCAGGTGTTCGGGTCAGACCGATTGATGTCCCAGGAACCGTGTACCCGTTTGGTCGGGCAGCTCGCAGGCCTGGTGCAGACTTCCTCGAGCCCTCCGACGTGCTGTTGTCGGGTGTCGAACGGTTACTCTCTAGGTGAATCCCTTGGTGTGGGGCCGCAGTTAGTATAGGTTGTTAGCATAATTTGAAGAATATATGTTGACTTCACATACGGCCGAGGCCGTCAGTTCTGGTTGGTGCATTGTTTTTATGGCACGGTGGTGTGGATTACATTGTAGCCAGTACGTATGTGTAGACGGCTTTTTACCATGTTTTTCTAACGCATAGATGTAGAATACCGCCCAGCCATCATGGGCTTGTTGCAAGTCCGTAGAGAGGTCATGGCGGGACCCCAATTCATGGTGGTCAAAGCCTCCTGTCTCAGAGTCATGGCCTGATACTCATCCATGGGATTGTTTTCCATACAAGTGGCCAAGTGCGCAAAATATGACCGATTCTGGAATATCCCCGCCCCTTCAACGACGTCGTTGGCAGCCCACATTACCGCCTGTCGATTGGCATCATTCAAAAACCTCTAGACCTCTCGTGTCGGCCATGGTTTCTCAGGAGGTGGTTTCATGCTCCCATACCCGACCTAAAAGAAGCATGACCATGGCATCGCTATCAGATGAAAAAAGACATGATCAAAATAGAATCATCTTCACTAGAAACAATAGTTCTCATAATAGAAGAGAATGAGAAGAGAAAAGGATATGGAGGCAGGGGGGTTCACAGAACAACAGATACAGTCAGGTGACTCTTTCTACGAGAAGTGACTGTCGCAACTTCCCCTGATCAAGCAATCCGTGGATATTGATAGATAGTAAGAGTTGCCTTAGCATTTAGCAAATGCCACCTACAAAACCAACAGTCATAACACGGAATGTGGTGGTCATCCAAAATAGAAAAGAGGGTTTTACTAGTACGTATGCCAGCCATAGAACGAGATGCACTATCCAATCATTCACAGAGCTCCTGGGTATAGTGTGGGGATACAAGTGACGGTCAGTGTGTATACCATATGGTTTGTAAATCATTCTATATAACCAACTTGAAACTAGCAGAGAGTAAATAAAAAAAGTAACAGAACTGCAACATCTCAGCAGTGGAACAAACAAATAACCATCAAAAATAGATAATCCCCCAACCCAGTCCCAAACTAATCCCCACAGCAATAGCAATACGCGCCATCAGTGCAACATTGCGGAAAAGCCCCATGGCAGCACACAGCACCCGAACAAGGCGAGGAGCACACATAGCAGCCTGAACATGTCAGATCAATTATAAACAGTCTTCGAACCCTCGTTTGGAGAAAACGTGGATCAGATAAGGATAGGAAAGGAAACTCACGACTGTCGTCCACGTCCAACGGACTGAAAACCGACTGATCGGTACTCAGGGGCTCGATCCTGGCGCTATCCGATGTCTTTTTCAGCGCTGGTAAAGCTCTGTTAGTTGTTCCATTCAGCCTAATGTGGTTTGGATGGAGACAAAACCTACATGTAGCCTGGTGGTGCACTGCCGATGCACCGAGGATGAGCGTCGCAAGGCTGATAGTTTTCATAGTATAGGGTGGATGTAACAACTGGGATAGGTGCAAAAAATATTGAGGAATATTAAGTTGGTACTGGAGGACACATATTTATTTATCCTCGTTGGGGAGTCAGCCATGGTTGTCATCTGGGCTGCTATGTAGATACGGTCATCTGGATGGTGGAGGTCAGATGATAGCAGTGCGCGGAGGGTCGCGCATAATCCCATTCAACACATGAGTAGGTCTGGTATTTATATAACTTTATTAAATCACAAGTACTCTTTCACTTGTAAAGAGGGTGTTTACATTCTATACTAACTTGGTGATGTTTGTGTCCAGTGACTGGGTCAAGTAGAGTGGGTTGGGGCTATCTGCGCACGTGCGGAGACTTGGTATCGACAGTGAGCGACAGACAGTTTCGCTGACTGCACAGCTAGTACGTAACATTTTATAGAATAATAGGTATATCACTAAAATAGCCATGATCTATACTACCTTAGAATAGATTAGTATAATCATAGGCTTCCGAACAGACTAACAGACTTTTAAGTGCTTATATGGATAACCACGACCACTATATATATCGACACCTGCTTTCCACTACGCAGGCAATGATATTTCCCTTGCCTTGAAGTTAAAGTCTCTCTCACTTGAAATGATGTTAATTTTGCTGATAATTACATTTAGCTCTATCTAAACTCTGGTCTAACTGTAAGAGCTGTTTCGCAGTTCGCCCATAATATCGACCTTTTAGCCCTAGCCCTATATCTTAAAGGAGAACTCACAACACAACATTCACCCACTATATAAACTCGCTATTAGTAGCTGGATCTGAGAAAATGCTGGAGATAAAAGCTAGAGCAGGTACTAAAGCGCAAATATTCATCAAAGATTGTCGCAATATAAGATTGGCTATATAAGGGTACCCATAGAGCTCAGAAGTGTCTAGATATCTTTTGTAGCTGAGCGGTATTCTTTGCCACAAAGGTTTTGATGCGCTGTAACCCCGAAGATTTTCCTTAGCAGAACGACGCCCGTACCTCACCCTGGCAAATTCCTCGGCGTCTGACCGAATCAAGAGAGTGAATCAACGGTAATATCGAAACAGAATACCTATTTCGACCCCACATTGATTCACAGTCCCACTACTTCAATAAATCAAACCGCGGAGATGCCATCAACTATAGAGTTTAATATTGATTTGTTCATAGCGGTGCAGAACCAATGTGGAAGAGCTATCAGACCCTAGATTACAATATCCTGTGCCCTATCGCCCTGGACCGAAGATAGCCCCACCGACACGAACCAAGTGGGCTCAGGGCTATAATGGAGACGCTCATGATAGCGAGAGATCTCCGCCATATTTCCGACACATCACAGCGCAGCGCAAGAAGTACATTGATAAGACCGTCTTCTCGACCTCAGCAAACTACAGTTTGCAAACCAGTTCAGAATCCTAGAATATCCGATGATCAGCAGTAGTATTCGATCATCCCAACGACACAGAACCCGATGATAGAGCGACCACGGTGGCATGACACGCGTCATATCAGCGTGGTCAATGACACAATACCCTTGTGTTCGACGTCCGAAAGATCGAGACCAGTCTACAGCTGATATTCAGCATGACGAAAACATAAAAAGGCGACCACAACAGCCTGCACGGCGGAATACGGAAGACAAGTGAACTAGAACGATCGATGGAATCCGATCGACCAGAGCGATCAAATGATGGGCTCACGATAGACGCGAGTTAGAATCGTGATTCGTGGCGATCCATCGTCAGGCAGTTGCTTGGTACAGCTTGAAAAGACCATGCGTTATCATCACGGACAGTTGATACACTAGACAGGGAAGGATCTGACGGAGTGGCTACTCTGCATGCATCCTTGCCATCTTACCCAAGAGGTAGGGCTTGCGAGTGCATGCAGCATAAATCATATTTATGTCACGGTGACTCATCTGCCGGGCATCGGGTGACGTTATGCATGATCCACGAGTTCAAATTAGTGTCTCTTGACATGTGCCGAGATATAAGATACTTTGGGGTCTGTGTCCTATAGATAGTAATAGACTGTCACCAAACGGGAAATAGAAGGATAAACAAAAATCAGAAAATCAAAAGAATGATATCCCTGAAAGAGATTATTGAATGGTAAATGTCGCAAAGGAGCCCGGAGCGGCTCGGTCTACCTCGGCAATTACTCGATCGGGCCAACAGTAATATCGATAGGGAGAATTGACAGGGGTCGGAGACAGGGGAGAGAGGGCCCGATAAGGCCAGCGATAAACGGACGGCTTTCCGAACCGGAGAGGCCGAGGGAGAGATTGAATGAACCGACTCGGCCAGGGTCTCAGGGTCAATCCTTGGTGCCCCATCCCGAGTGGCGCAATCTCAAGATTAGTGCGAGCCCGGTACATCAGGCGGAAAACTCTAGCCGCTAAACTATATCCATGGTCTCCTGTAGTTGATCTGCTAGCTAGCTGGCTGGCAATAATTGTCGATATTCGCAGACCCTACTCCTTCCGGTAGAGGATCGGCGGCATGTGAAAGGATCACAGGCCGGGTCTGTGTATCTGCAGACCAGCTCATACAACAGCTATCATTTTTTATATAAAGCTTTGGACCCATTCTGGAGACTCAATGGCTTGGTAGATGAATATTATCATAACGACTTTTCTTTGTTAACTTGTTTTACGTCCCAAACTTACGCATCTATCCCGCAAGCTCGATCCTATCATCAATAATCACCCCGTTCACAACCTTTACAATGGCGTCCAACATCCCCGGGAGAAGCATCTTGCGCATCACGCAGGTGCTATTTGCGTTGGTGGTCTTCGGCCTGACTGCTTACCGTACGTCACTCTATCCTCTGACGTGGTTAGAGAGAGACCCCACTAACTCACCCAGTCTTCGTTGCATACCAATTCGACGACATCGCGATCTACATGTTCGCCGTCAGTATCTGGTCCGCCTTCTTCGCGACGCCCTACCTGTCTCTGGCCCCCGTGCGATTCGACCACGCCGCGAAGCACATCGTGATCCCCGCCGTCGAAACCCTGACCACGCTGCTCTGGCTGGCGGCCTTTATCGCGCTCGCGACCAAGCTTCTTCCTGCCGACCAGTGCAACTTTGCCGGCTGCCATGCCTCTCAGGTTGCTGTCTTGTTTGGGGCGTTCGAATTGTATGCACCCACCCCACTCTCCATACCATATTTCTGTCCCTATAGAAATCCAAAGACACAAGAAACACAGCTAACAATGGATGTAGTGCTCTCTTCACAGTGACAACCATCCAATCATTCCTTGCTCTGCGCAGTGAGCGCCCGTCTACTGCACCAACAAAGGAAATCCAGGAAGTTTAAAGCCACCAGGAGGTATAAAGATGGGCTGGATCCAGTGATCATGAACGAAAGTATAGAGGCTGTCTTGATGGCAGCGTGCTTGACGCGGGTATGATGTTTAGAGTTTTGTAACGACCTATTTCCTAATTATGTGATTAATGTAATGATGAACCCATTTCCCTGAACTGCATTCTTCTGATTCTTATTTTCTTATTTTTCAGACTCTTGAAGTTGTGTTGTTGTGTTGAATATCAAGAAAATCGTCATTGATTTGCATGTGATCGCAAGTATATCCCTGGTGGTAACAAATAATGGACCAATTATATATTATGATCGGCGTCCGCAGATATCCGCTAGACTTGAATAGGACTAGTGGATGTGCAGTGTCATGTGTCAGTACAGCTGACACATCAAAGCAGTTCATAAATAATGATCTGGGCTGATGATCGCCTTGTCTGACTTTCCGATCAACTCACACCACTCTTCCTTCATTCTGGAGGTCCTGGTGATACTATCGCAGAGAAGATGTGATGCGTTAGCAGCATGGGGTTATTACTGTAAGCTGCAATACTTTCACTCACAGAGAAGCGGTCTTGTTGTCATACAAGGTTTCGGGTCCCACGGAGCCCGAGATCGGCAGCTTGGAGAGCTCTGTGGGCATTTGATGGAGCCTATACTGCTGTAAGATGGATCATAATATGATATTAGTCATGTTCCGCCGAACGATCCCTGTATGGCCATTTACGAATACAGCGATCGGATGAATTTCCCCTGAGTAATTACTTTTCACGTCGATAAGTGCAGTTCATGTAATACTGGAGATGATCCAGTATGAAGCACTAGGTATAGCTCGACTAGCGAATTGAGAATCGGGATTAAGGCTGCTGTAGCACACAATATTCACCGGACAATATGCAGGGCTATATCAGCATCGACAGATCAGATAATCCACCCAAGGCAATCGCCCTTGCAGATGATCTCGGGACCCGAGGACTCCGGAATCCGAGGCATCACATACTCTTCTAAACACCCACTCACTCGAGGTCACTTGTCTTCAACCTCCTTTCCTCCTGAACGGACGCCATACTCGGCTGAATCCGTCTGGCATATCTCACGACAATGTCGAACCTCGATCCCGACAAGTTCGAGTTCATCCAAACTCCGCCTGCGGCATGTACCACCCCGGCGGAGGACTGCGGTGTGCGGACGACCAATGTATATCTCCTTGGACATCAAGCTTGCACAAACCAAAACCACTGACATTGGTAGTACCCTACGATCAAAAATGGCCCTGTACCAGCCGACTCCGGCGGCAACGACAGCTTCCCGCTGGCCCCCATGATTTTTGCCCTCGTCGCCGTCCCAGGCTACTTCTCATACTCCCTGGGAGGCGGTATCTGGACGATGCTCTTCCTCGCCGTCTTTACAACAATTCCCATCCTGATGGGCTTCTGGACCGTCGCCTCCGCCATGGCACCGCGTAAAAACACCAAAGCGAGATACGCAGGCCGCCCAGTAGAGCACTACCTACGCTTCCACAGCGAAGTCGACAGGGCCCGGTACCACGGCCGCAACCGCATTCCCATGGAAACCTTTTACGAGAAGTACTTCGACGGCGAGGTCGACTTCATCGGAGACGCGCTCGAGTGTCTCGAGTTTAGACACGACTGGGCTAATTTCCGCTTCACGATGGGGCTGTACAAGCAATTTCTGTTTCGGTTCCTGCCTGCACTTATCTTCCACACGCGTGCCCAAGGTGTGTTTTTCCATATCCTTCTAAGAAGACCACAGCTCAATAACTGACATCTCCAAGATAAAAGCCAAACGCGAGACAACTACGACCGCGGCAACGATTTCTACGGCTGGTTCCTCGGCCCGAGCATGATCTACACATCAGGAATCATCAGCGACCCAAACCGCGAAGAGACCCTCGAAGAGCTCCAAAGCAACAAGCTTGCCGTCGTCTGCGAGAAGATCGGCCTCCAACCAGGCGACACACTCCTTGACATCGGCTGCGGGTGGGGCTCACTCGCCAAGTACGCATCGCAGCACTACGGCGCACACGTCACTGGCGTGACTCTCGCGCAGAACCAAACCGCCTGGGGCAACACAGCACTGGAGCGCGTCGGCGCATCACAGAGCAAAATCCTGTGTCTCGACTACCGCGATGCACCGAAGGTGACCGGCGGGTACAAGAAGATCACGTGCCTCGAAATGTCAGAGCATGTCGGGGTGCGGCAGTTCCGCGCCTGGTTGCGGTATGTGTATGATATGCTGGATGACGACGGGGTATTCTATATGCAGTATTCAGGTCTGCGGAGGTGCTGGCAGTATGAGGATCTCGTGTGGGGTCTCTTCATGAATAAGTATGTCTTTCCGGGCGCGGATGCCAGCACGCCGCTAGCGTGGGCTGTTGATCAGTTGGAGGCTGCTGGGTTTGAGGTCAAGGCTGTGGATACTGTTGGTGTGCACTATTCGGCTACGATTTGGAGGTGGTATCGGAATTGGCTAGGGAATCGGGATAAGGTGGAGGCTGCTTATGGAAAGCGGTGGTTCAGAGTGAGTTTTTCCCTTTCTTCCTTCTTTCCTTACTTCCCTCCCTCGTCCCTCTTCTTTCCTTCTTTTTCTGTCTTATATCTTGGGTTGTGGCTAACAAACTAGATCTGGGAATATTTCCTCGCCTCCTCAACCATCACATCACGACAGGGCGGCGCCACATGTTTCCAAATCACTCTCGTGAAGAACATCAACTCGACGCATCGCGTGGAGGGCATCGAGACGCAGTTCGGGGTTCAAGGGGCTCTGCGATCAGCGCGCAACCGAACCGCTGGAGGGGAGGTACCCTCTGTTTTGGCTTCAAAGGCCTGAACGCTGCTTTTCCATATGCGGATAATTCCGTGTTGGTCGGTCTGATACTGGGCTAAAATTTCGAATAGAAGGCGTGTGTGGACTAGAATTTTCAAAAGAGAATGAAGCTGATTTGGTCGATATGAGAAGATATCATGGCCATGGACAGGAGATTCTCTTGATCAGCTTACAGATAGAACGATAGTGCATGCTAATTGGGGGAGGTAGAAATGAAAACCGCTGATAGACTCATCGAAGAGCCTATGTTCAACTATATCACCAGCCTATACTTTGTCCATGTGACAGGACCTTTCGTCTCAGAGACATCTGGGGAATATACATTGTAGAGTCCAAAGGTAGACACCAGTGAGCGCAATTGGAAGAGCACATATCATCTGACTACTATTTTACGTATCCGATATGATGCAGAAACCTTCAGCCTCCACTCCCAGAGATTTCATCAATTTCACTAACAATATATCCATTTGGTTCAATGTCTACAGCATCTTTGACCATGGGACAATTGAAGCCACCAAGATACACTCATCACGTGCTCAACTCGCAAACCCCATTATCGTGCATTCCACATTCTATCCTCCACCCTTCTTCGAACTTCCGTGCGGGATAGTCAGACTCTTTTGGTTTGCAATTGTTCGTCGCAAGAAACCCCGCCCAATCGTAGGACTGGACGGCTCCTGGACCATCTCCCGGCTCGCAGCCACCCACTGGTCGTGAGAGTTTCTCAACTGGTAGATAGGGGTGTATGCGATACTAATCTCGTTCTCTATGACTGACAGACGGGGGAACACAGAAATCGAATGGCAGTTTGCGGTTTTCTTGCTGGCACCATTCTCCGCAGTTGTTTTATCAGACCCGGGAAATACAAACGGCGACCACTCGTCGTCAGCTAGAGGCGGCTCGAAATCTGGCTCATACCGGCGGCGGCTGCATTGGATGGGTTTCCAAATTTCAGACGCCTTCTGCACGACGTTGTTGAGGCTTTTATGGAATGTGTAGCGTTGGTCTTCGGAGAGGAGTGCATCGACGTATGCGAGCACATTTCGCACCACGATCTGGACGTTCTCCAAACATGCCCTTGTCTGGGTATCTCTATCCATCGATAAGAGAACTGATCGACAAAATGATTCTTTTTCGCTGTTGCTCGCAGCCTGGTTGTTGAGGGCTTTTCGGAGTCCGTTGTCTTCGTTCGCTGCTGCGATGAATGTTGGCTGGAAGATGTACTTGTCAATCTCTCGGGCCAGTACGGCGAGGATGAAACCAAGCCGCATTTGCTTTGCCGCTGGCGTGTTGGAGCATGGGAGGGGAATTTGGCTCTCACGAGCCAGTTCAGTCTGCCGAAGTTTATCCCATGCTGTGAGGTTCTGCCATTCGATTGGTTTGTCAATCCCCATTTCGTTCCTCTATTATGGAACAGTGCGAGTACTTACGCGTAGAGCATCGTTAGGAAGGTCCGCTTTCAGCTGCGAATACAGTTCAGTCTTCGCATATTCCCAGAGCCCCAGGAAGTTTGAAATCCTAACGAGATTAGTGTGTCGCATTGGAAGTCCAACCAATCGTATGCACTTACAACGTATCCTCGTTGGTTTCCATGTGTCCAGCGGCGAACCCTTCAATTTTCGCCAGGTGTGCCTTGGTTTCTGCCAGCGTCTTCTGCAGCTTGCGTGACTCGTCTTCCATCTCTTTGACCTTCTTCTTCGAGGCGGATAATCTCCCTTCCAAGCCTGCGCCTGTCGCCTTCATCGTGTCAATGGTGGCATCTCTCTCCTTGAGTTGCTGCTGCAAGATATTGTAGTCCTTTTGAGCCTTTGACAGCTGTCCTCTCTGGTTGGCATTGTCCAATTTGAGATTGTCCACTTGCTCCTTGAGCTCATCTGCGTTTCGATTCTGCTGGGAAATGAGCGTCTCCCTTTCCTTGATGGTGTGTTCAAGAGAGTGCACACGGTCCTGAGTTTGTTTGTGGCTGGTCTTCTCTTTCTCATTATGCTCAAACATCACGTTGAGCGCTATTCCATTCGTTTTATCTCGTTCGTTCATCTTCTCCTTGTTGGTCTCAGCCAACTCTCTTAACTCTTTGGTCTTCTGCCTTTCCAGCGCAGCAATCTCGCTCTGCAGTCGTCCAATCTCCTGGTCTTTGGTTGATACCTGGTCGCGCAATTTGTTGTTTTCATTATGAATGGATACAACGGCATCAAATCCCACAGCAGAAGCCAACACCTTCAGCTGAGTAAAAAAGTCTTTCACAGCTTGCGCGTCAACGGTCCCCGACTTCTTTGGCTTTGGCGATAGGGTGGGGCTTTGAGGAGACATGTTGAACTATTGACTTGAGGTTGTTACCAGATGAACGAAAGTCCGGGTACGGCTCAGCTCCGGCGATGTTATCGCAACGTCGATATCCTTCATTCAACAATTCAATTCTCCCCAGGACGTCTTTATCTGATATTTATCCCCCACTTCGACTGAGCCCACTGTTTACAGGACACGCAGATCTTATCAGGTCATCAGTCATACCAAGCCTAACCAAAATGTGGTTTCGACATTTTTGTGCAATGGGTAAAATATTTCGACGTGGCAGTGCCTCTAGGGCGTCAAACAAACGCATACAATATTGATTGATTGCATAATAGCTTTCACGCTCGTTGGACTGACCGCTAAACCCAACAAGTTCGACACTAATGTTGCTGGGGTTCTCCGACATCCAAACATATTAGCACAACATGCACCGCGAGAGTGCACAGAACTCCAATACAAGCAGGAGGCATCCCAATCTACAGTCCACCAATCAGTCGCAAAGCGAAAGCAAAGCTACGTGTTATCCAACACCTCGTCTACAAGATTCGCTAGACCACATCTATGGCATCATCATCACCGCCGCGCGCACATTCCAGGGGCGAGTGCTGAATCCGGCAACAGTCAAAGCCAGCGGGGTGCCTATTCGAGCGGTGCACACATTGAACCCAATCCCGCCTGCCCATGGTTGATTCCGTACATAGGGCAGATAGGCAGATAATGATGCTGCATGTACATCAACCCAGCTGCCGCAGCATTAAGGTTTGGGGATGGGGCTTCTAGGTCGGTCTGTGAGGCTGGGGTTGGGCGATCTTGACCCCACCTGTTGCTTTGGGCGTCTACGGGCGAGTAAATAAGCATGTGCTTAGTGGACGAACTGGTAGTCTGGATTGTATCACTGTTCATTGGTTTAAACAAGTAGCGCCTCTTGATCACCAAAGCTGGAAATTCTATATTCGCGGAGTTTGACGAGGCTAAACTTTTATCAGTCTAATCTACGGGACTGTTGTTAGCAGTATTCAGCAAGATCCCACAGCTTGACTATGGCGGCGCCTAAATGACGTGCGCGATTGAATGAGAAGCTTTGGCCCACCTTCTCCTTAGTCTTATTAGGTCGATATATCTTCGTATATACATTAATTGCGTCAGCCCATGCGTGATAGCTTTCCATCCCCTCTCAGCTCCCATGGTGGCATGTTGTAAACATCCACGGCCAGTTGGTCTTGGTCCATACAACGCACATCCAACTAGTCGCTGGTTCAGTTTTCGACCTCCCATGGGTCCTCGCCATTGTTGACCATTTCCTTGAAGTCGGCCCAAGTAGTACCATTGTTGGGCGGATCATTGTACTCCTGCAGGTCCGTGGCCCAATCACTGCTCCCGCCCATGTTCAAGTTCTTATAGAGAGTCTTCCGCGCGGCCTTGATCGCAGGACTCATGTAGGCAGCCCATTGGTCATTATCGTAGACCAGGATACTGCTATGGCTGGTTGAATCGGTATACTGCTGATTGACTCGGCTGGAGTTACTGATAATCTCGTTTATCTCCGCATCGGCGATGTAGCCTCCTGTGGCTGTGCATACGCCTTTTGTTGCGGGTGAGTCGGTAGGGGCTCCGGTGAAGAAGCACTCTGGGCCGTAGCATTCGGGGTCGGCCATGGCGAACGATCGAGCATAGCTTGTCATCCCGATGACCACTTTGTTCGAGGGAACGCCTGCTTTGGTGATCTAAACGAGTGCGGAGTCCTTGTCAGCTTTTTGTACAATCTGTGATGATATATCACGCTAGAGGATGCTTACCATGACCATTGAACTCATAGTTTCAGTCAGGTTGACATGGCTGCGGAGGCACATGCCTGAAGGGCAACTAATTTGTGAATACTTGCTTCCTGCGTCCCACTTCGCACGATAATCAGCAATTGGAATCCTAAAGCGGCCAGTAAAGTACGCTTACTTGTCCATGAAAGTCGTAAGTCATATAGACGATATAGTCGACGATTTTGCCAATGGTTTCAATTGGGAAGCTTTTCAAGTAGTAATACGAAGACGGCGCTGCGATTGAAACCGACTTCCCCCGGAGCAGATTTTTGAGGACAACGAGAAAGGCGAGATAGTTCTCGCCGTCGTCTTGGTCGGCAGGGGGATACCGGGCATGTCAGGGGCCTGTATTAAATATATTAGCAAACATGTGTGTATCTTGCTGCCTGGACAACTCACTCCTGGATATTCCCAATCGATGTCAACGCCATCAACGCCGCGATCCTCGATGAAATTGGCGACGTTAGTGGCAAACTTCAGTCTATTAGCTGGTTTGACGCCCTGACGGAAAATGTGATAAGTGTCGGGATTAGTAGAAAAGCCCCAGCCGCCAAAGGAGAGGATCTTCTTAGGGCCTGCGATTTTAAGGAAGTTCGAGAACTCATATTCCATAATTTTATCTTCGAACACGACCTCGTAGTCATCGGTGAGTGTGGCGAACGCGAAGTGCAGATGCGTGTACTTCGAACCATCAATCTGTAGGGCATCCTGGTACAGACATTGCCGACCATTGAAACTGTAACCCTGATAATATGCAATACTCCGGAAGACCTCGGGGGCATCACTGCGGACAAGCTGGGTGCCGCAGTTGGAGATGCAACCAGCTGTGCCTTGTTCAGACGACCCAGGTGCACCAGTACTCGTGTCGATGCAGAATTCATCTGTAATACCACACTGGCCCCAAACATTACAGCAGGCATTCAGCGGGCATGGATTGAGGTGGGTGAGATTGGTCGTATCTGACGGGATGGGAGTGCCGGGCATTTGAGGGCCACAGACCGCGTTCTCCAAGGGGGCTGGCATGGGCGGCGTTCCCGTGCTGAGACACATAACGGTGCCTTTCCAAACGTTCGAACATCCGTTCCAGCCCCAGGTGTTTTTGTTGAACTCTTCCAGCTCGGCGATAGTCAAGCTGTACGCAGCAGCTAGGTTGGAACAGTTGTCATCCGGTTGAACTGTATACGTGGCACACGATCCATCCGCACCAGGCTTGGGCGCAAGGTCCGGCAGTGTTGCCGACTGTTTCGCACCGAGGGATGATATTGAGCTGGAAACAAGCTTTGACTTGGTTGCTTTGGTTGAGCTGAACAGCGGCGTAGTCAGGGCCGCCGTGCCAGTGATGTTCTTGCTATCATGGAATGAGAGACAACCTCCTTTGGCCCAAGTCTTCATGGCATCTTGCACGGAGGCAAAGGTGCCATTGCTCGAGGCAATCAACCCAAAGGTAAACCCACTGTCCTTATTCTGGTCACATAGCTGCATAGCCACGGTTCCAGTGTTGACAGGAAGCTTGGCGATATTATGTTCCGCAGTCCTGAGGGCGAAAGAGCTGACACTTTCCTTCTGCAGCCCCTTGCCAATGTAAACGCCAACCGAAGCCGAGCCTAAGCGGGCAAACAAGAATGTGCTGTTCTTGCTTGCTGCATGATCGACTTTTAGGTAGCGGCGCATCTGCTCCAAAACCGCACTGATGCCGGTTGCAGATAATGCCCCGTCGGCCCACCACCCGATCTGGTAGGTAGAGTCTACAGACTCGACAGTGGTCTTCACCTTCTTTTGTGATTGTGGCAGATTGTACCAATCCTCGCCATTTGATGCGCAGGCGTAAATACGGTGAAGGGTCTCCGGGTCATCCACTTTATCATACAGGGAGAATTCGTAAAACAAGGACTGCTTGCAGGACTGCAACTGCTCAAAGTTATGGTATGCGGACCAATTGGATGGATTGGGACCTGTGATGCGGCAAGATGTGGGACAGGGGTCTGAACCACGATATCCAGGGCTGGCAGGCTTTCTGAGGTCGGGAGTTCCTATCGCCGAGCCACCCTCGACATATAGTAAGAGCCCTAGGGCCCAGGCGGCTGTACTGAGCCAGGCCGGAGTCATTGTGTCTAGGCGACACCCTCGCCGTTGATAGATGGGTATTGAAAGAATGTGGTAAAAGATGAATGCAACGGAAAGAGGAACAACCAAAGAATGGAATTGTCCGGCTGGACAGAAAATAGTGAAAGCGATGCGGGCGACGGGCCTGGTCTCTCATCACCTTCGATGTGGTTTCTTCGCGGCTTTTGTATGATTTTGTTCTCCAGCTAGTCGAAGGATATTTTCGCATCAATCCATCTAGCGTTCTGACTGTACTCTCTTCGTTGATATCGGCCCTAGGGTCCGCTGCAAGAATTTGCCGGCTATATTTCAACCAATCGTCATCTGGACAGGATTGTGCATATTGGAGTCTCAAGGAGGTAATCATACATCGCTTAACCTCATGAGCGCCACCCATCGCCGTTTTGCCGGATATAGCTGATCAAGCCTGCTGTAAGAGCCTCATGCTCTATAGCAAATTATTGCAGTCAAAGCACTGACACTAGTTTCATGGGGCACGGTTTAGCTTCAAGGCAGGACTTCATCCAGGCCCGGAAGGGTATGCCGCCAGGACTTGGCATCAACGATACTTGAATCAAGCGGAGATGAGGAGTTACATCGTGGACGCATGTCAGCACGCCCACCGCCATGGTAACATCCACCTCATTTCACATGATTCTAGTTCGTTTCTGTCGACCAATTGACTGGTCCGTTTGACTAAGAATAATAGAACAGTTAGTAGATTGACAATGCTATTGTGATAGATGATATACCATCGTGACTTTGACTGTAGTAATCTTCCCCCGACAGGGTTGTCATTCTAGAAACCCCCCATGGCGTCTCTGGTGGCGCAGTGGCAATTTATCCCTACAAGTCGGGGAATAGGGCCTCTGAACTGTATTTTGGAGAATTATATGACCGCTCGAAATGATAGCATTCACACGGGTCCAAAGGTAAGGCGTGAGGTAATGGTGTGTGTATTCGAGATCACTTGAGTCAGGTAGTCGCTCCGACAGTTTGGCTCGGCACTACCATCAAGGTCAGTGTGCCAATGAGCAAGAGGGTCGAAAAACGTTCAGGAGGATTCCACCGAGATTAGTCGATCCAAGACCGTTCAATCAAGACGAGAGAGTTGTGATGCTGTCGGGTAAAATGAAGGCGAACGGGACCATCTCGTGATCATGCAGATGGTTCGGAACGGTTCCACACTTCGGCGGGTCATTCCGTCCGCCCCTCAGGCACCGAAGCCTAAGTTGGTCACGGGGTCTTCGGGTGGCTTCCCCGTTGAGAGGAAATGCCAGGCAACTTTCCTCTTCCTATACTAACTAATGCACTATGTCCCTTTGGATCTAGCTCTGACTAGCAGGCAGTCAATGCCAAGTGAGTCCGGTATATTTCCATCCGTTTTAGCTAGTAACTCACACTTCCATGATACAGATGACAGGGTTGCGCTGCTAGTCTGAGATGGTAGGGAGGGGAAATTGGACCATGATATGGTTGAATCTCATGACAATTGATGATCCATTAACTCCAGTACGTCAGGACGTCCATTATGTACGTTGGGCCACGATCCCACAGAAGAGTATGTCAAGCTGGAGCATGTATATCTCGATATGCGCCCGCTGGGAATATGTCCCTCCTAGTAGGGCTGGCCCGTATTACGGATCCCCCCGGATCAACATTCAACGCCGATCTGTATCTGTCGATTCAGATCATGATCGGGTGGAGCACTACTATCCCAACAACAATATCAGGACTTGTGGCTCACAGGCTGGTTCCAGTTAGTATTTCCTTGGAAGTAGAGCATGGATTCAATGCTTACCTAGCACAGTCCACTCGTTCCGCCCACTGGTGAACGTCTTTTGATTACAGCTAGTCACCTGGATATCTACCTAGCCTGGCGTACTCAAAATTTCACCGGTCACTTGGCCCGGGAAAATTAAATTCTTACAAAAAAACCCGAAGCCCACCAGAAAGTCAATGGATAATACTACTGCATAAAGGCAAGTGAGACAAGTCAAAGCCAAAAGCATCAAATCATGCAAGAATATACAAGCCATCCAATCAGCACCGACAACCACACCCCTCCGACTGGGAATTATGCTCCAGTGGCCGCATCGTTGGCGGCCGGACCGCTCACTTCGGGCGACGCAGCAAGACAAGCCGTTGCCGTCAGAGCCGCGGACACACTCCATGCAGCGGTGGAGTTGATTTTGACCTTGCAGGTATTGGCAGTGGAAGTTAGGGGCGAAATTACTACACACGAGGCGTGCTTGTAGATTCTGTCCTGGGCGTCAAAAAACCCGAGACGTTCTATTCAAGGCTGTTACTTGCGGCAAATGCCGTCGTCCGTTGCGGTGACGAAGTCCGGCTGCGGGAAGCCGTTTTTGGTGGTGGAGTAGCAACCGTCGCGCATCTAGTGTCTAGTTGTGTTCGTGATGCCCTCCTTCCCAAGAGTCTGAGGGCAATCCTTCTATGAGATGTCCCAGGCGAAGAACCAGGTTGTCTATATGACAATAGACCTGGTACTTGTATAGTCAAGGTACGGGTTGACAATAGATGCATCGATTGAGGATGGGTTGATATTGCTCCTGACATAGACGCGATCATTCTACTGGGTGCTGTGGTCGACCAACTCCAGATCATACGAGATCCTCGGGCTGAGACACCCCACGAGAGGCGAGTTCTGCACGGCAAAGACAATGGGTGTCGGTGCCGAGGGAGCAAATGTACCAATCCGCGGAAATACGACATCCTCCTCGACAATGCCCGAAGTGGTGTAATCTTGTGCCTCGGCTGCCGAAGGGAAGGCCTGCGATAGAGTCAGAAGCAGCCAGCTCGAATGCAATCCCATGCTGGTCGAGCGTGCGATAACAATTACACGATAGAGAAAACAGCTCGATCTAAGGTATAGTGAGGCTCTGATTTGATATGGTAACAATTGGGGCCTAGCTAGGCTGGAGTGGCTGCACTATTGGCATGGTTTTATTACCCCGTCTGGTTGGATCACGGTTAACGGCCCGCCACCCACCACCAAATGACACCCAAGTGAGACATCCCCCAAAGTCACTCTGCAAGATGAACCATAAGGCAATAACAGCCGATAAGTCAACTGGTCGCATATTGGGTGAGTCAAATACACCTCCCTAATTGATAGAAGTTGAAGAACCGCCTACTACGTCAAGAAATGGATATAAAAGCAGGCAAAGGACCGTACGAATGCAAACCATCATCCACTCAACCTTTCTCTCTCTTTTCGCTAGAAAGTAGTATAAAATCTTCAACATGGGTTACAAAGCCGCTCTCATCCTGGGATTACTCCCGCAGCTACTTTCCGCTAGCATTGTCTGCGACATGTCCGCGGCAGCTTCCAAGGGCGATACCTGCGAGTCCTTCGTCAAAGCCTGGGGCACGACCGTTGAAGAGTTCCAGGCATTGAACCCCAGTGTCTCCTGCCCCGACCTCACAGAGGGTCGGAAGTATTGCGTGATTGGCACCGTAACCGGAGGTCCTGCTCCTACGTCTACCACCACGACTACACTGAAGACCACAACAAAGGCCACCACCACCACTTCCTCGTCCAAGTACGAGCCCACCCAGCCGGGCGTCCCCGCCAACTGCGACAAATTCCACCTCGTCGCATCAGGCGACCAGTGCGACACCATCGAGGCCAAATACGGCATCACCGACGCGCAGTTCAAGGCGTGGAACCCCGACGTTGACGAAGGTATGTATTTTCTTCCCTACTACCCCAGCTCCAGATTCGCAACTAACCAAATACCAACACAGGATGCACCAACCTCTGGCTGAACTACTATGTCTGCGTGCACATCCCGGAGGCCACGACCACTCCCTCGGTGCCCGACCCTACGCCCACTCCCCCTGCCCCGCAACCACAGATGCCGGGCGTTGTGAGCAACTGCAAGAAGTTCCACAAGGTCAAGGCGGGTGACAACTGTTACTCGATCGACACTGCGGCGGGTATCACCCTCGACCAGTTCCGCTCTTGGAACACCCAGATTGACGCGGGCTGCACCAACTTGTGGGTGAATTACTATGTCTGCATCGGTGTTTAACTTTGATTGGATGCATGGTTATCCATTATCTTAATAATTTTTTTATCTTAAATGAAGGAAATGATGGGGGGACGAGCGGATGACTCCTTGGCTAATTTGATGGAATCATTGGCGGTCTGGGCTCCTGTCCAATCCTTGGGCCACAGTACAATCTTTATGATATTCCGACGCTCTATATAATTGATCTATAATTATGCTCGCGGGTTCAAGTTTTCTTTCAGCGCTTCCTTTTCAAATCCAGGAACTGCCTGTCTAATATAATATGCTACTGTTGCCTGATGTAGTAGGTATATAATCGGTGTAGCCCCATATTGCCAACACCTTCGTCAGCCTCTTGGCTATATTCAAAGTACGATCAGTCCTCCGAAGGGTTATATATGTATTGACTCTTGAAGTTTAGTATGATCAATAGTGATTCAGTCCGTAAGTATTACATGTCATGGTTGAGAGTTTGGAAATCGATGAGTTTGTCCATACTTCAAATGCCTTAGGATGCTTACTACAATTACAGGCATGAGTTCGTCTTTTTTACACCTGTTGCTCGCTATAGAGTCTACCTAACGATTGAGGAATGCATCATGCTATGGCAACGGTGCGTATGAATCGTGCAGTAGAGAAAACTAGGAGGACTCAAAGTCGCCGTCCATCAGTCCGTAGTCGTCTTATCTCGAGGGAAATCCGTCCGTCCCAACAATTATATAAACACAGTAAACAACACCCTTGATCATTTATCCAACCGGTCAAGCAGAAGATAGACGATCCACCCAATTAAGCGACGAAAGTCTCAGCGCGAACACCGGAGCGTACAGACTTAGTATCAGAAACCTTAGCCTTAGACAACCAAACCTCCCAAAAGCCATCTCCGCCGCCTAGACACAGTCAGTCTCTCCTATATATCGAAACATGTATGTACGAAACTTACAAGTAGACTCGGGCCAGCCATCGCATTTGGTATTGCACTTCTCCTTATCAACCTTTGAATCCTCCGAGGGCACCTCGTCGCCGCACCAGCATTCGTTGCCGCCTGAGACAGCCGCGACGGGGGCTCCACGGTCGCGGCACGCTACGCCGCAGAGTTCAGTGCTCTCGTATTTAGAGAGTCCGAGACTCTTCAGGTCGCCTGAATCGCTGTAGCAAGTAGTGGTGAAGGCGGAGGCGGAGATGGTGAGGGCCAGGACGGAGGCCAGGGAGAGAGTTTTGGAGAACATTTTGTTGTTGATAGTGAGTTAAGAGTTGGGTATAGAATGGGGATTGGTTATTGAATGGAGATCGTATGGTTGTTGGATGCTGTATTGCTTGGAGCACGGAATCAATAGCATATTTATATCCCTTCTTCGTGCGACGTGCATCTCGAGTATCTCTATTTATGAGTTCGATGTGTTCTATTCTTGGTCGTCGATAGTCGGTAATGAGGCGATGCAATAGACACTAAAACTGCGGCCCGAGACAACCAGCAAGGTAAATGGCTGCTCAGGACCCAGTGATCGCCGCCTGTTTCAGTGTTAATGCTTATGGTCCGTACCTTGATGCCCCCCAGCGTCATATCTGGTCGTAGATGTCTCAAAAAAGTGAAGTGGCATTTGCCCCATGGAGTTTGGGTCTGTCAATGATGTTGGCGATATATTGTCTGACCGGCACTCTAAGCCCTAAAAGAGGATAAATCCCGACCTGTGGGGATATCCGGGACATCTTACTCGTGATACATGTCTGTCTGGAAGTGGATTCCAGTAAATATCGGAAGGATAAAGTGATCTGCAATATATGTCTACTGTTACTAATAATAATACAAATACCTCGAATACTAAAATCTCACTTCCATCGAGAGATGGATTCGATTGGTCCGCAAGCTGAATCCTATGTTGAGGTACTAGGTACTGTAGAGAGCTTTCATGCTCCATCGTTGACCACTTTCACTACTCTTGTCTTAGTTTACTTGGAGGCTCTAATAAAGGAAACTATTGGGGTGTTGAAAGAGTCATGGAGTTGGTAAATCCAGTATCAGTCTATCTCTTCAGCGGGAACTTACCCGAGAATGAAAATAAGCATCCGTTGACCTAAGAATCTCACGACTCAAGCAACTGCGGGTGGCGCTGCAAGGAGTACTTTAATCATCTACTTTCATCATCTGTGATTCGTCCAGTGTCAGACTTTATCACACTCACATGGTCCAGGATCAATGCAACTGCAGGATGATGGTAGTATGGCTTGTTATGCCCCAGCAAGGGACCTCCGATTACAGCAGTTGCAACCATCATGCGGTTCATTTAACATTGTGTAAAATCCTACATGATGACAGTTGTTCAAGCGGTAAATCCCCCTTATAGAATTCGATTCTCCGCAATGAATCGTGGCAAATCAGCATGTCCACTTTGATCCATATACCGCTGACCTCGGGTTCCTGGCCCACACGTCCACTCAGTATGATACTTGATCTGATCTATAACTTCTCCAATTCGCTTGATCTTACCCACCCAAATATAACCCCATTCATTCGCGTGTTTCCAATTTATAGATCAATATCTATTCAAGTAGTTCGATGAAAGAAATAATCACTCAAAATCCTTCCAAGCTTTCCCGATATTGTGACAATTCTAGGAATTTGACACGGTCAAACGACCCACAGCAGCATCCGTGTATCAACAATGAAGTCTGAAAGGGAATGGATTCTGCTTCACCCATATTCTGACCCGTTGTCTTCTTTTTAGGCTCATTATCTAGGCTACTAGCGGGTGTACCTCCTCTATTGATTCTAAATCGGCATATACCACCAGACACAACCATCACAACACACGCTTTGGACTGTTTCCAGACTTACATTGCAAGGTCCCGCTGTGATATGAAGTTGCACACTTACCAACTATATCAACAGGTCTCTATCAGGTACTCAAGTGTAGACCAGGCAGGTATAGCGAGATACGGAAACCAAATGCCGGCCATGCTAGAATTACCCCGCAGTGATTGGTTGGATACCCCGGACCCCGGACTGTCTAGCTCGGCAATGAACAGCTTGATCATGATTAGAAATCGACTGCGCTGTCATTCTTCCACTGAGATCCTCCAAGTTTCTAGCTCAATTCTCCCACTTCTGTGGTTCTGTTCACTTGTTGAATCCAATGGATACAGCCATCCAACATCAAATATTCTATATCCATCACAATGACAGCAACGACCCATGAGAGAGCACCGTCACCCTCCGAGGACACACCTCTCATCCGACGTGCCTCGGAGGAATTGCAAGACGACCATGTTCCAATGACGTTTGCGAGAGGCTTCGTCATAACCTTGACAATGGGGCTCTTTCTTTTCATTCAAGGTACCAGTGGGTCTCCGGCGTGTGGAAGGCGCATTGACAGAATTCAGGCACCAATGTGTCGATGATGACCACGGCGCAATCGGCTATTTCCGAAGACCTCGACGCCTTCTCCGCCACTACCTGGTTTAATTCGGCTTACTTGGTATCTCTACCTTCTTTTATACACGCCAACAGTTTCTAAAAATTATGGTACTGATCAATGAAGATCGGAATGTCCAGTGTCACTCCTCTCGCAGGCCGCCTCTGTCAAATATTTACCCCCCGCATCTATGTGTTATTCTCCTCGATTGTCTTGTCTGTAGGCTTGTTCGTCACGGCGGCCGCTCCTAGACTCAGTGTCTTTCTTTTGGGAAGAGCTCTATCCGGATGCGCCGGAGGCGGCTTGTTGATAACAGCAATCATCCTCTCCCTTGATCTGCCCAGCAAAAAGCGAAGGGGCATCTTCATCGGGCTTATCAACGTAGGGGCGACCACCGGAATTGCGTCTGGTGCAGTCTTAGCAGGAATATTCACTCCTCTATACGGCTGGGTATGTTTCTCCGTCATCGACGAGTCAGGCTAACGTGCTTCAGCGCTTCATCTTTTGGATCCAAGCCCCTCTCTCGCTTATATTAGGGCCCATTCTATATTTTTCTCTCCCCCCGCCGGACAGAGATGAAGGACTATTCTCCCATTCCCCGGTGGCAAAGTTAGCCAAAGTTGACTACGCGGGTGCCCTCACATTGGTATGGTCATCAACCAGAGACGTCGACCTCATCTGACCAGTTCCAGGCGCTCTCCGTGTTCCTACTCCTGTTCGGCCTCTCGTCGACAGATATCACAATCACGCCTATCATTCTCTGCCCAGTCGTCTTTGCTATCTTCCTTCTCATTGAATCCAAATACGCCACGGACCCCATCATCCCAATCCAGGTTCTCAAACTGCGAAGCGTCGTGTTAACCTGCCTCGCAGGCCTCATCTCCATGATGTCCCGCTGGGCTATCCTATTTTTCACACCCGTATATGCCAGCGCCGTTCGCACCTGGCCATCGTCAACAGCCGGCCTGATCCTAGTACCAACAAACGCCGGCTTCGGTCTCGGAGGGGTTCTAGTAGGCTGGCTTCATATCCGCAGCACCAGCAGTTACTACATGTACACCACTCCCCGGCCGAAAGCAGCCAAAACCGAAGTAACTAACTTCTACAGATCCAACCTCGTCGTCTACCTCCTCTTCGCCCTAACCAGTCTCGCCCTATCCATCCTCTCGACCCCCACCTCCCCAACAGCAGCCTACCTAATCACAACCTTCCTCAACGGCCTCTCCGCCGGCGCCCTCATGAACTACAGCCTGACGCACGTCCTGCACCTAACAGACCCCCAATCGCACTACATAGTCAGCTCCCTCCTCGGCATGTCTCGGAGTTTTGCAGGAAGTTTTGGCTCCGCCATCGGCGGCGGCTTCTTCCAACGCCAGCTGAAGAGCAGCCTGGAGGATGGGTTCGCGCGGTACGGCCTGTCCGGTCGCGAGGCGCTTCTTCGGATGCTGTTGGGCAGTCCTGCGCTTGTGGGGAGCTTGACGGGAGTGGAGAGGACGGTCGCTATTGAGGGGTACGAGAGTGCTGTTAGGACGTTGCTACTTGGGGGTTGTGTGTTGACGCTTGTGGCTGGTGTTGCTCATGCTGGGACAGGTTGGAGGCCTTACTCTTATGAAGATGGCAAGAGAGGAGATGAGGATGGGGAAAGTGGTATTGTGGAGTAAGCTTTCTTTATCTTGATATACGTATTAACTATAACTATGGTAATTCAAGCCTTAGAGGTAGTATAGAAGCGAAAAGCTAAAGCTCACTGCTCACTTACTGCACCTGTTGGAATATGTTTGGGGAAACTACCAAATTTTGGTAGCGTTAAGTTATCTATGCTGGCTCTTATAATACGATACTGGCTACCATTATCACAATGGCATTTTCTACTCCACATAACATCGAATCGATTGATGTAATCCTCTTCTCTATATACAATGTCACGTGATATAGAAGCTCACGTACCTGTCAGGCAGAAAGGCAACAAGATTATGTAATTATCTATCAACCAATCAAAGCTTGGCTAGAATGATCCATCAAGTCCATCTCATTCTTCTCCACCATCGTGAATTCCGCGATAGTCCAAAGATCACCCTTGTTTGTCCTCTGCTTTCGTCATTCAACTCAATTACTTCTACCTAGCCTATCAAAATGCCACGCGCAGTCAGGGGTACACCACACACCTCATCAATTCAACAAACCAAGCTAAGCTAACCCTCTCATCTAGGGGTTCTCATCGAGTGCGACCCATCCGTCAAAGCCATCATCCTCAAATACGACGAAGAACGACACGACTATATCGTGGAAGATCTGGACGACGACCGCCACCTCGTAATCAAGGAGAGCCAGCTGCAGAATCTCAAGTACCGTCTTGGAAAGGTATGCTGCATGGAGATGTGGATGCGCGTGCTGTTGCTGATGTGTCTAGGAATTGGATGACAAGGTCATGCAGCCTGACGAGTCGGAGTCGGAATAATCACTTACGAACACCGTCGACTTGAAGAAAGCTGCCTCTGTATTCTAGTTTCGCCACCCTTCCCCTCCGCCATGCTCGGTACTACACACTTCCTCCGCGTGAGGTAGAGCTGTCTGTTTCGGTATATTGGGTGGGCGGAGCAATTGTGTCCGATTGCTTGCGTTAGTGGCACTCACGTTCGGTTTGTTACACTCGCGTAAGCAGGAGAATCATCTAGATACTCTGGGTGTAGGGGTCTGCCTTTCAATAGCATAGCTCATGGGAAACTGCACGCGTGACGTCATACTAATCAAGTCTTTGCTCCTCCTGGGTGGATGGGACTGTGATTGAGCTAAGCAGGGAGCGAAGGTAGCAGCCATTGTGTGATCCCATGTGCTCGAGTCTTGGTGACAGTGTCACTGCTGACCATGCGCGTTCGACGTCACGTGACCACGGAAGCTGCTAGAAGCCACTAGCCATATCGAGCACCAACTGGTATCATCAGCAAGCACTTTCGCCAACCTTCGAGACATCTCCAGATACGCCAGGATAAGTTGTTTGTGATACTCTCGCAAGTTCTGGAATCATGTCTCTCAGGTATATTAAGGGCCTCCAGCCCCGTGGAGTTGATCTCATCCATCACCAAGAAACAGCAGTACAACAACACAGCAAGCAAATCTAAGACAACAAGTCTACCACAACACATCTCACTATCAACTATCAATCCTCTTCTCAATACTCTCATACTCCACATTCAATCCAACATGTCTCTCTTCCGCACCATGCCCACTGGCGGCGACTTCGCCCCTCTCTTCCGTCTCCTCGATGACTACGATGTCCACCGCTCCGGAAAAGGCCAAACCACGCCGGTGCGCTCCTTCTCGCCTCGCTTTGATGTCCGCGAATCGCAAGACGCATACCTCCTAGATGGCGAGCTGCCAGGAATCGCCCAGAAGGACATCGAGATCGAGTTCTCCGACCACCAGACTCTAGTGGTCAAGGGCCGCACCGAACGCCAGTACCACAGCGAGCCCTCCGATCAAGAAAGCAACCCGAGCGACACCGACGATAACGCCCAGGCCGGCGAGAAGCGTGTCAAGAAGTCGAACCACCGCTTCTGGGTGAGCGAGCGCTCGGTCGGTGAATTCCACCGCAGCTTCAATTTCCCGAACCGCGTGGATCAGGACAACGTCAAAGCCAGTCTAAAGCATGGCGTGCTGTCTATTGTTGTGCCCAAGGCGACTACTTCGGGTTCGAAGAAGATTACTATCGAGTAATTTCTAATTTCGGTCCTGATTACGATTGATGGTTATTGAGCTTGCAACTTGCTCTGATTTGATTAAGGTTTATTAAGTCTGCGGCTTCTACTCTAATTACGATTGATGGTTTTGCGCTAGCATAGCAGTGGGATATGGATTGTTTTGCGGTTTTCCAAGTTTGTTGTACTAATAACGTGAATGGCTGAAATATTTAATATCAATTCGAGATTTTCTTTGAGTTTCCATATTTGAGCAGTGTATTACATTCCTCGCGTAGAATCGCATATCTCACGTAGTACTCCATAATTCTTACCCCGTGTGGAGGAAGCATGGAATGTGGGTCTCCTGCACCCCCAATACCAATGGATGATGGATGTTCCGATACCGGCATGACAAACCAGTCAAATATTGCGATTGGTCTATCATGGATGGCTTCATGTTCACATACATGGAAATCAAACATCCTCAGCCCTAAACCCTCACCACCAATTCGAGTAGCACTACACCAGTAGATCGATATATCATCATACTTTGAGACAATTACAGCTTGCGATTGCCCCATTTTAACCCCCCGACGCAGCAACAAAATGGCCTCCATTCTACCACCGGATATCATGGCCCTCCAACTCTCCACCATCGACCTCCTCACGGCGATGTTCCCCACACCAGGCGAGCTCGACATCCCAACCTCCACAACAGACTGCATCGACCGACTCCGCAATTGGTGCGAAGATCCCTCCTCAGCACCCCCAGACACACCAGCCCGACTCGACCTCGCCGTGCGACTCCCCATCCCATCCAGCGACCAGATCATCCAAGTAAACATCATCGTGCCCCTCCAGCACACCAGCTCAGAAACCGAACTCGACGAGCCCCCACCACTCAGCTACACCCTCCGCCAGCCGGAGTGGCTCTCACGCGCCGAACTAGCTTCCATCTCGGCCGACATGCCCACAGATGACATCCTCTCCGCCTTCCAATACATCCAAGACACAGCATGCGCACACCTCACCTCATCATCATCGTCAACAAACCCCACCTCCAACCCAAATCAACCAAACCAACCCATCATCCGTGCCTGGTTCTACTTCCCCTCTCTATCCACGCGCGAAAAGCGCGACGACCTCGTCCGCACAGCCCCGTCCTACTCCCTAACAGGCTTCGTCCTCGCCGGAAAACCCGGCGTGCTCTGTCTAGAGGGGGAGTCAGCGCGCATCGACGCCTACATGAAGTACATCAAGACGCACTCGTGGGGCGACATCCCCAGCCACCAGAAGAAGGTCAGCGAGCGGTTCCGGCAGACAGAGGCCGTGGAGCGCGTGTTTGCCGACATGCAGGAGATTACGGACTCGCTGGGCGAGAGGAGTGGGCAGCGTGCGAATCGGGGCGATATGCAGGCTTTGGAGGCTTGGTTGGGGGCGAGGGGGTTGGGGAGGCGTTTGAGAGGGTGATTTTTTGAGATTTTTATATATGCGTGTGCCAGTATTGTTATTATTATGCATTGCTGGTAGATGAAATTAATGTCTCGGGGGTTTATATACGGGATTGAGCATATTATCGGTAAGACTGCTTGCATACAATGTGATCTGTTTTAGACTCGATGAACCAGATTAGACTAAGCCGACGAAGTCCAGCTTTTAGCTAAGGCACCTGGTATGTTCTCTCAAACTGGGTACATGGATTCCTAGGGCGGTTCATAATCCCAATATTGAATACTCCAGTAATCATAAAAGCTTCTTTCTGCATGATCACCGGCGTTAGGGTATCTGATAACCCCGTGACCTACCATACCAGACAGGCTACTCCCGATCCTTGCATCCCCTCATTCCTAGTTTCCCCTGGGAAGAGATCAGGTCGGATCCAACTCATGATGATAAAGTTAATATGGTTGCGCTCGAACCATTCTTACGTACTAGTTGTTCTCCTGGAATGTGTACACATTGTGGATTCCAGGCTTGGACAGCCTGGTAGGATGGTAAACTTCCATGTTCTGAACCTATTAGATATTGGAGATACGAGGGAAAGAATAAATTGGAGATGGATATGACCGGTCAAAGAAGAGGCTGATACGACTCTGACAGATTGAATGAGAAAACCTGAAGATAAATATGAAAGGCTCTAGTGTCCAGATTTAGAAGGCATGCAGGGTGATTTGTATATACGCGTGATTCAAATAAGAGATAAAAAAATAGGTGAATGTGTAAGTACATAAGCAAGGAGTGAGAGCATAATTAGAGGAAAATAGGGCTAAGACAAATAAGGCTAAGACATGCAGGGCCAGATACATAGAGATCAGGATATATATGAGTTCTAAGTAAGAGTTACTCAATCAATGTCTAACTACTATTTTATATAAGGGCTTGTAGTACTGTTCTCTTACTTCTCTCACCGAAATATCTCTAATAGTCAGGCGATATAAGTAAGACCAATCCAACACAATTGTTAGAACCCAGGGAATCGTGTGTCCTTATCCTAGCATACCTCACTCATTGTGGAATTCTAACATTGCTGGCATGTCTAGCTTTCGACCAACATTTATGGGTCACCACATACCCGTTTCAGGGTGTAGTATCAAACTCCATGGTGTCCACATTCCAGGACTTCACCTAGCATTTCTGGTTGCAATTTGCCTATTCTCAGCCACCTAAACATCTAAGTTCTTCTCTGGGACGTAAAACCCCAGCTATACCATTGGAGAATCTGTTTCCAGCTCATCCACATATGTCTCGTCGCATTGGAAATAGGGTTGTTTACGAAGGCCAGAAAATGCAATTATATCCTTGTAGCCGGGTGGGAATCCTTTGTGGACATCTTCTATCGCAATAAAGACAGAATTACCAACAACAAAACCCGAAAGTGATATGGTGGCTTCAGTGATCTAGTAATTGCGCTATCTTCTATACGGTCTTTATTAAATCAGCCTGATTCATATGAAGGGACACGCCAGGAAACCACATGACAGAAGCTGGAAACAGAAACCAGCACACTATGTCTCACTACGCACGCGAGGAGTTAGGCCGGGGAGCAAGACCGTGATTTCACTGCTTTGGGTGATCCACATCTCGCGAATCATGTCTCAAGACTGCTACACCAAGATGTTGACCTAATGATTGGTATATGGCTTAACCTGACTGATATACCTAACACACCTCTCTTAAGTTCTATCAAGGCAACTTCTAGTATAGATAGACTGATCCTTCTTTAGATACTAGCTCGAGAATAACTAGATTGTAATTTAGTTACTAGTGAACTTCTTGATTTATAGATATTTAGCTTACTCAGAATAAAAAGAGAATACTAGATCTCTAAAGACCGGGCTTATAACCTCTCAAGACTACTACACCAAGATGTTGACCCAACGGTGAGTATAGGACTTAAACTGACTGATATACCCAACATCATGTACACGAAGATTGCCGTCTATGGGCTACTAGCGTGCCAGGTAGCTCACCCCAGCCCTCACAAACCCAAGGACCCGAGGATAGTCTCTGGATGGGTCGGAAGGAAGTCTGCCGCAATCAGTAATATCCACTGTACGTAATGTCTCCGTCAAGGGATGGATAATGGCTCTGGATCCTACTCATTGATATTCTCACCAACAGTGCTAGACGCATTGTATCAGCTTTCACTCCACCTTGGTATAGGTCTTTGGCCTAGTGGGGGTTCGCCTATTCTAGTATGCAAATACAAAGGTTGCTCTGATTGTTACTAAACTCTACATTTCTCTTTCATCATGTAAGATGCGTAATCCCGTCGACTTGTACAATGCAGGACCTACCAAAGAGCATCTCACTCTTAGAACCTCGAATCAATGGACGGCGCAATTCAGCCATACTAATATAGAGTGGATAAAGTAATCTGAGCCAGTCAGAGTCGAGATTGTTATTATCATCTAATGATAGAAATAATCAATATAAATATGAGCTTGTTATGTTATATATAAGAATCAAATACGTTTTATAAAACCATATCAAAAGGCCTATCTACATCCTACAACCTTATGTGCGATCCCCCTTTAACCGCGCGACATATCTATACAATTGGAATTACATATCGTAGTATAACGCATACTCTTCTTTTGACCGTTGCACCAAAGCACCAAATCATTATTCAGTCAGCTTGATATGGGTGATATCAACATCTATCGAAACTCATCCAGCATCCAGATATATAATGCCATCGGGCCGAGGCATGTGAAGCCGGCCTCACATACTCAATCCCCTCACCAATATACAAATCATTCAACATTATATCTCTGAGGTAGCTAATCTATTCCATCAAGTACGAATTATCTCTTTCAAACCTATTCAAGCAGTGTTCGCAGTATTGTTGGATGTGTCACTGTGTCGTAGACCAAAGCCGTGACATCTCCACATCGGGTAAATACCTCGGCTCGGCCGACCTCTAAGTAATCACCGCGCAGGTCGTCGCTGTTTACAATAAACCCTCTCCTCTACACCTACATCTTACACTCCCTCCCTATCTCATCCTCACTGCTATATTTTTACAAACAACTTTATATTCAAGATGCCCGACTACTCCTCCCTCAAGCACTTCAACGTGCACTTCCCCGCCGAGCACCAATATGTCGCCCACGTGGAGATCAACCGCGCCGACAAGATGAACGCCTTTTTCGAAGCGTACGCATCCTAATCCCCCTAATAGCAATTCCAACCCAATAATATTCCAACCAATAATATACAAAATCAATTAACAATCATAAAAAGCATGTGGCTCGAACTTCGCCACCTCTTCGACACCCTCTCCACCGACCCCTCCGTGCGCGCCATCGTCCTCTCCGGCGCGGGCCCCAAAGCATTCACAACCGGCCTAGACGTCAAAGCGGCCTCAGAAGGCGGCGTCCTCTCCGCCGAAGGCGACGCCGATACCGCGCGCAAAGCGGCCCAACTCCGCCGCTACATCGGGACATTTCAAGACTGCATTACATCGCTCGAGCGGTGCGAGAAGCCCGTCATCGCCGCGATGCACGGCTTCGCGCTCGGTCTAGCCGTTGATATTGCCACTGCATGCGACGTGCGGCTTTGCGCGCGCGACGTGCGCTTCGCCGTGAAGGAGGTGGATATTGGGCTTGCGGCTGATATTGGCACGTTGAGTCGGTTGCCGAAGGTTGTGGGGAACTACGGGTGGGTGAAGGAGGTTGCGCTGAGCGCGAGGGTGTTTGGGGCTGAGGAGGCTGAGCGGGTTGGGTTCGTGAGTCGCGTGTTTGGCGGCAAGGAGGAGTTGGTGGGGGGTGCGTTGGAGGTCGCTGGGTTGATTGCTAGTAAGAGTCCTGTTGCTGTGCAGGGGACGAAGGATATTTTGAATTGGTCGAGGGATCATCCTGTGAATGAGGGTATGTTTCCTTCCCTTCTTTTCTCCTTGAGATAAGTATGGATTCGGCGATGCTAACTAAGGTGTAGGTCTCCGATACACCGCAGTGTGGAACAGCGCCGCGTTACAGACCAACGATGTGTCCGCGGCAATGTTATCAGGGATTCAGAAGCGGAAGCCGACTTTTGAGAAGCTGTAAGCTTTTCTATTGTCTTTTTGTCTCATGGCGATGAACTTATATACACACTACTCCGCACGTACATACTATACGTACACACATACTATATAGGATTGGCTTGTCTGGTTGGACTATTTTGGTTGGTATTTGGTGTGACTTAGGTTGTAGATGTGGGTGGTATGCCTGCATTGTGTGCGTACCTCGGATGTCATCTATATATAGGCTCCAAAAGGGGAATTGTACGATATAATACTGGGTTAAGACTCATAGCAACCCCATATACAGTATCTGGTAACATAGTATCCGATAGGTTCATATAGCAGGCTCAACCATACTATAATCCATCCGACCGGTATATGCAATTGATCTATTCATATCTAGACTCCCAAACAATTCAAACAGCCCCTCATAAACACTAAAGCTAACGCCTCATCATAATATTATTGGGTATGTGTATGTGAATATGTTCATGTTTCCAGCACCTTCTTCACTATCGACCGCTTCTCCACTCGCTGATAATACCCCGCTACATTGCGGTGGGTCTTGGTAGATACGACTCCCTGCACCACCATCTCCCGTAGGATGGGCCAGAGCGCGCAGTCATCGATTCCTAGTGCTGGTCCGCAGAGGTAGGCTTGGCCGGCTAGGGTCTTGTCCCATTTTTCGAGACACTCGGAGAGATCCCCTGGGGTGCCATCGTGGGCTTGGTATTGGTCCCAGCTGGCGAGGAGCTGGTCGATCTTGTCGAGTTGATCACCCCCTTGGAGGGCTGCGACTCCGGGGCGGGGCGGCGTTCGTGCGAGGTATGTGAGGATGTTGACGTCGCCTGATACTTCTGTGCCGTCGCTGGCGGTGAATAAGGGTTGGGCATGAGATGGCGTCTTTGACGTGTCTGGCATGTCGTACCGCACACCGTTCTCGTCGAGCGCCAGTCGTACCCGGAGACTGGCGATGTCGTCGGTGCCGAGTGAGAGCATCGCCGTCGACGATGTCACAAAGTTGACTGCGTCAAACCCGCCCCCGTACACCTTATCCCAGTCGAGGTCGACGCTGCGATTCTCTTCTCCAAACGCCCGGATCAGCCGCTCCGTCTCGGCCGGATCGCCGTGGATTACAGGTCGGCCTAGGCCCTGCTCCTTGGAGACGGCGCCTTGGCCCCAGATCATGTCGCCTTGGGCGTTCACGAACGTGGCGATACGACGGAAGGTCAGGGAGATGCGCTGTCCGCCGAACGCGCGCTCGTCGAGCGATTTCTCCTTCTCCGGCCGCTTGTCAGGCCGGATGCCGTGCAGCCAGCGTCGGTTGGTCTGCTCGCCGAGGATGAACAGCGACTCGTGCGGGAGCGGGATGCGCTGCGTTACCCGACCCGACTCCCCGTCTGTCTCGTGCGACTTGGTGCGGAGGACCATGGTGCGCTGACACCCCAGACTCACATTGCAGATGAGCGACCCCCGTGCAATGTCGAGCGTCTTGTCCGAGTGCTCTGAGATGCGGTCGTCCCCGCCGCGGTAGAGCTGGATGAGCACGTGGTTGAGCGGGTGGCCCAGAATGCGCTCGACGAAGACCCGGACTTCGTTAACTGTCCGCGTGAACGGCAGTAACGGCGGCGACTCGTCGGCCGGATGGCGGTAGATGGGGATCGACCCGTCGGGCTGTGGCCGGCCCTGCACGGCCACGAGACGCGGCACCTCCCCGGAGAGATGGTACATCTTCTGCCAGGCGACCTCGTCGCGGATCTGTTCGAAGGCTTCCGGGGGCAAGTCGAGCTCGTAGAGGATGCGGGAGTCGCCCTCGCCGATCCGGTCGCCGGGACGACAGACCTCGGGCATCTTGTTGGGCGCGGACGGGCGGCGGTAGGATGAACGGGGGCCGGAGTCGGATTTGCCCTCGGACTTGCCATCGGGCTTGACGTCGTGTTGTCGTCGCGGGCGACGGGCCCGCGCGTGTGATTTCTTTTCTGGAGATCCTGGGGGCTGCTCCGGGCGACGGTGGCGGCCGCTGGCGCGAACGAGGTTGGCGAGCTCCAGTAAGTTGCCATCCTCGTCGTCGGACGCGTCAGCTAGTAGGTCTTGGACCATCCGCTGCTGGCCGGACCCCGACCCTTCCGCGGAATCGCGTGCGGCTTTGCGGTTCCGCCGGACGTTCAGCTCGTCCATGACGGTCTCAATTCCGGTGGGGGTCACCCACCGGGCGGGTTGCGGGTCGCCCTTGCGCGCGATAGCGTCGGTCTCCTCCCAATCTAACTCCTCTAGTAACTCCTGGACGGAAATACCGTTAGCGCCCAGGATATCGGCCATGCGTCGCATGGCCTCCTCGTGGCGCTGGAAGCTGCGAAAGCCGAGACAGTCTTCGACGACGGTGACGGAGAAGCCGAGACGCACGGCGTCGAGGGCGGTCGCGTAGACGGAGACGTTGGACAGGGAGCCGCAGAGGTAGATCTCAGTGACGAAACGAGTGCGAAAGGAAAGGATGAGGCCCTGATCCTGCAAGGCGGAATAGTCGGATTTATCGATGAGAGTGTCGGAGGGGTCGACGGCGGACAAGACGGGGGCGGGAAACTGAGCGCCCGCAGTGTGCGGGTAACAGCAGCGCGGGGGATCAACCGAGAGGAAGGCCTCCTCGTCTAGGGGGGTGATGGGCTGGATGGGACCGGGATCGGACGGGGGTTCTGACGGAGGGTCTGTGGCTTTCTTGGCGGGGCGATCGAGCACGACCAGTTCTTGAGCGTCAAGACCGATCAGCGAGCGACGGTCGGCTTGGTGCGAGCGGACCCAGACGACATCCCCGTTGCGACGAAAGGCAGTGGTCAAGGGGGCGAGGGAGTCGAGGAAGTCCGAGGTATTAGGGACGTGCAGGGCGCCTGAAGGACGGACGAAATCGTTCTGCAAGTCCAGCAACAATAGAGCCTTTCTGGTGTGGATGGCGGGCAGATTGCCGAAAGACGGGAAACTCATCGTAACATGATAGTCGGGATTGATATGTATATATATAGGAGGAGTATCGACAATCCGGTGGAGAGACTGTTGGTAGAGAAAGCTAGAGAGAAGAGTGAGGGAAGGAGTGGGAACGAGAAAGATGCAGAATTGACTGGTCTAATCAGTTCGATTCACCAGATAGTCCAGATCTGCACCAGCTGTATCACACATTCTGATTGGATTGTGGCGCAGGATCCCCGCCAGTCCATCGCAGCATCAGGACTAGAAGCAGAAGCAGGATGGATCGTGACGATCGCGTCTTGCGATGGAAACGTGACTGGAGAGCAGGGAGCCTGAGGCAGGGATGATGCAGAGATGAGTCATCTGCATCGATCCATCATAATTTGCTACATAGCGCTAGTCCCGATCCGGTCTAATCACGAACTGAGGCTAATCCCTATTCGGACATCACATGATCCACCGACATCGGCCGGGGAGCCTGAGTCCAACTCCGGTCACCTGACCCCCCCCCGGTTTTCCCGCCTTTTTTTTCAGGATTCGCTCGTTATAAAAGTCGTCATTCTCCCTTCTTTCTCCTTCTTTCTTTCTTCTCTCTCCCATCCATCCATCTATCACTTCATCTCTCCCCTCTCCTCTCTCACCACCCTCACAATGGCTTCTCGTGGTCTTCCCCGTGCCCTCCGTGTGGCCCGCGTCGCCGCTCCTCGCTCCGTCGTCACCGCCGCCCTTCCTCGTCCGGCTCTGGCCAAGGCCGCTGCCAATGCCATCCCCCGTGTGACGGCCACCCCCGTCACTCCCATCCGTGGCCTGAAGACTATGACCTTTGCCGATTCCAAGGAGGTCGTCTACGAGCGTGCCGATTGGCCCCGTGAGAAGCTGCAGGAATACTTCAAGAACGACACCCTCGCCCTGATTGGCTACGGCTCCCAGGGTCACGGCCAGGGTCTCAACCTGCGCGACCAGGGTCTGAACGTCATCGTCGGTGTCCGCAAGGATGGTGCCTCGTGGAAGGAGGCCATCCAGGACGGTTGGGTTCCCGGCCGCAACCTGTTCGACGTCACCGAGGCCGTCCAGAAGGGTACGATCGTCATGAACCTGCTCTCCGACGCCGCCCAGAGTGAGACCTGGCCCACCCTGAAGCCCCTCATCACCAAGGGCAAGACCCTCTACTTCTCCCACGGCTTCTCGCCCGTCTTCAAGGACCTCACCAAGGTCGACGTCCCCGCCGACGTCGACGTCATCCTCGTCGCCCCCAAGGGCTCCGGCCGCACCGTCCGCTCCCTCTTCCGTGAGGGCCGCGGCATCAACTCCTCCATCGCCGTCTACCAGGACGTCACCGGCCAGGCCAAGGAGCGCGCCATCGCCATGGGTGTCGCCGTCGGCTCCGGCTACCTGTACGAGACCACCTTCGAGAAGGAGGTCTACTCCGACCTGTACGGAGAGCGCGGCTGCCTGATGGGCGGCATCCACGGCATGTTCCTCGCCCAGTACGAGGTTCTCCGCGAGCGCGGCCACTCCCCCTCCGAGGCCTTCAACGAGACCGTCGAGGAGGCCACCCAGTCCCTGTACCCGCTCATCGGCGCCAACGGCATGGACTGGATGTACGCCGCCTGCTCCACCACCGCCCGCCGCGGCGCCATCGACTGGTCGTCGCGCTTCCGCGAGAACCTGAAGCCCCTCTTCAACGAGCTGTACGACAGCGTCCGCGACGGCACCGAGACCCAGCGCTCGCTCGACTACAACTCCCAGAAGGACTACCGCGAGAAGTACGAGAAGGAGATGCAGGACATCCGTGATCTCGAGATCTGGCGTGCCGGCAAGGCCGTGCGCTCGCTGCGTCCCGAGAACCAGAAATAAATAAAAAATTATGTATTATGATATCAAAGTTTTATTTTAATCTATTTCACTTTTTTTTTTTCCAAAATTGATCCTTCCTCACGTCGCATTGGCTTAATTGTATATTTATCACTTCGACTGGGACTGTACAAGATAATAGTAAACTCAGACAGATACTGCAGGACAGCAATACTATAGTATCAAGTCTACTAGCTTATGAGTCACTAAATCATGCATAGTCCAATCAACACTAGCAAGACTAGCTCAAACCCTCTCCAGTCCTCAGATGACTCCTGTCCCCATCATTCCCTCCCCACCATCCCCCACCACCACCCCAACCCATCTAACAACACAGAATACACAGCCCAAAACCCCTCCAAAGAATCAACCCAAAAGCACGAAAGGGGAAAAGAAGATAGAAAATGACATCCACCGAAAAACCCACCCCCTCCGAACAGGCCAAAAACCTCACCCCCGCAGCAATCCACTCCGCCCACACCCTCATAAAACCCCACATCCACAAAACGCCCCTCCTAACCAGCAAAACTCTCAACACGCTCGCCTCGACACCACAACCGGGCGTCGCAGACGCAGCGAGCCCCACGCTGCGCTTCTACTTCAAATGCGAGAATTACCAGCGCATTGGGGCGTTCAAGGCGAGGGGGGCGTTCCATGCGCTGTTGAGGTTGTTGGAGAGGGTTGGGGAGGAGAAGCTTAGGGCGTGTGGGGTTGTTACGCATTCTTCTGGTGAGTTTCTTTGATTCAATATTTCGTTTTATTCCATATATGGATATGTGTGTGTGTGTGTGTGTCTGTGTTATGGTTTATCTTTGATATTAACGTGGTAAAGGCAACCACGCACAAGCCCTCGCCCTCGCAGCATCAACGCTCAACATCCCCGCCTACATCGTGATGCCACGGATCAGCACAGTCTCAAAGATTGAAGGGACGCGCTCGCAAGGCGCCGAGATCGTATTCAGCGGCTCGACGGCACCAGAGCGAGAGGCCGTCGTGCGGGAAGTGCAAGCTCGGACCGGGGCGATTCTCGTCCCGCCTTACGACGACTTCGACGTCATCTGCGGACAGGGCACGACGGGGTTGGAGCTGGAGGCGCAGTATAAGGCGCTTGTTGGTGATGAGGGGAAAGAGCTGGATGCGGTGATTACGCCTGTTGGTGGGGGTGGACTGAATGCGGGGGTTGCGACTTATTTCTCCGAGAAGCGGACGAGGGTGTTTGGGGCGGAGCCGAGTTTTGAGGGCGCGGATGATTGTCGGAGGGGGTTGGCGAGTGAGGGGAGGGAGAGGGTGGAGGTTGTGAAGTCGTTGACGATTGCGGATGGGTTGAGGACGCCGGTGGGTGTGTTGAACTGGAAGGTGTTGTCGGATCCGCGGAAGGTGGCGGGTGTGTATGCGGTGACGGAGGAGCAGATCAAGGCGGCGTTGAGGCTCGTTCTGGAGAGGATGAAGGTCGTTGTGGAGCCGAGTGCGGTGGTTGGACTGGCGGTTTGTCTGTATAATGAGGAGTTCCGGGCGATGGTGGAGCGGGAGGCGGGGAGTGTGGGGTGGGATGTGGGAGTTGTGTTTAGCGGGGGGAACACGACGGTAGAGGCGATTGGGAAGCTGTTCTCTTGACTATAGTAGTTGAGTGCTAGACATTAAATCGTGACGACTCCCTCGGTGATCGTGAAGGAAAATCCCCCTTTCTGCTGGATCCGCTCCACCACCCGCTGCGGCCAATCCTCCTCTCCCCATGCGTTAGCCCTCGCCCAGAACTGGCCCCGTCGGACCGCGTCCTGTCGTGCGTCTGCGGCCCGCTGCGCCCCGTGCACTGTCGTCCCCGATGGAAAGGCCCGGACGGCCTCCCGACCAACGACCAGTCGCAGCGTCGGAAACGCACCCCATCCTGGAAGCAGGGGCCGCAGCGACGGTGCGCGGACACGACTACGGCTCCGTTCTTCTCCCGGGTTGTACAGGTCGAATGGGCCAGACGCTGGATTAGACGCAGGCGGCCGCCCTGTAGTAACCGTAGTGGTGTACACGACCGTACAACCAAACCGTCGCTGCAGACGCCTGAGCTCAGCAACGAGTGCAGCGTAGAGGTCGGAGATATGGAAGCTCTGCTGCATGCGTCGCTCGCGCTCGAGCTCCGCGTACGGCCGGCCGATGTCCTCGATGCGGGCGACCTCGTCGCGCAGCCGGTCTGGCCAGAAGAAGGCGCTTGCGCTGTCGAGGAAGATCGCGTGCAGGGGTCGGGGAGCGGAGTGGTGGCGTGTGAGGTCCAGCAGGTAGGTGTCTAGCGTTTGTAAGGTAGCGAGGAGCGAGCAGGATGACTGGGGTCGGAACACGTGGACGTGCTGTAGGGTGGTTGCAATAGTTGTTTCTATGCCAGTGTGATCTGACTGACCGGCTTTCTGCTTAACAATACCTCTGGCTACGCTTTGTAGCCGTTCAGCATCAAACCGGCCGTCCGTGTCGATGTAGACGACGGCAGCGGTGCATCCACCTAGAGACGCGCCGTTGAACGTCGATGGCAAGACTGCCATCGCAGTCAGATAGTACAAGATCTGGGACTTCCCCGCTGCCGACGAGGCGCTGGAGATTTCCACGACGGGATCATGGCGCTTCTTGGATAGAGCCTCTGGCTGTACTTCCTCCTGTTCATCCTGGCCAACAGGAACCGTCCTTTCCACAGCGGGGACAGGACCAACAGGCATAAAGACCTCAACTAAGCCATCCAGCGCATCTGCTCCTAATCGTGGGGATGGTCCCAGTAGAGTTCGCAAATCGCAGAAGATCTGTCCGTCAATCAGTAGAGCATAGTCTTTAGTGGGATAAGCAACCTACCTCATCTAGCCCTTCCTCGTGGATCTCCTTTAGCAAATTCTCCCCAAAACTGGCAGCCATATTGAGGATTCATGGGTGTGAAGACTTAGTTTATACCAAAGGGTAGACAATGTCCTGCCAATAAAGATGTAGGATGGAGAGGTGAAGAAATGCGGAGATAAACGATAACAAACTCCGCTCCGCCCACGCCGACCTCCGATCTTCTTCTCCACCACCATCATCACCACCATCACACCCAATCCACTCCAACAACCCACCACCAAACAAGCGAACAACAAAACTAAACAAATACCAAAGAGGAAGACAGTGCAATGGCCCCCTTAGTCCCCATCTTCTCGGCATCCTCCCTCCCAGACCACGTCAACACCGTGCAGCGCAACTTCCAAGAAAAGCGTCGCAAAGGCGGGCCCGTCGACCTCGCGCAATGTCCGCTCTTCGAAATGACCCAGTACTCGTGTAATCCGCCGCAGGAGGGGGTTCCGAGGCCGGGTGTTGTGGTGTGCAAGCCTGTTGTGCGGTTATTTAGGCGGTATGTGCCATCGGTCGTGATTTTCTACAAGGGTGGGTGGATGATGAGTGCTGACTGGCTGGGATAGGTGTGCCGAGGGTTTAACAGTCGAGACGACGGCGTGGGAGCCTATACGGGTTGCGGAGGAGAAGGAGGCGAGACAGCGGGTACAGGCGTCAACTCCATAGGGGAGTTGCGTTGGACAGGCTACAGAACATATCAAAGCATGGAGTCGGCGTTACGGAAGTCAATTGTACTATAGGAAATCATGAATGCATATTAATTCTACTCCAATGGGTATCTCCGTATCTCAACGTTATAATACAAGTCCAGATCAAAGTCAACCAGACCAAATCAACCAACGCCAACGCCATCCCACCCACCATGCATGCTACCTATCCAGCGATCCAGCCCTCCACCCGCGACATCTCAGGAGTCGCCTCCTTCGGGGCAGGCTTCGACTCCCGCCGAGTGCCTCCCGACCGACGCCAGAAGTCGCGCTCGCAGTTGATAATTGGCGGCAGGTCGATATTCAGCGCCAGCTTGTTCCTCCCCGGCTTGACCTCGGGGTCGGCCGCGGCGCCGAACTCGATCTCCATGGGCGCGGTAGGCGGCGCATTCTGCATCTTCTTAGCCAGGCTCCTGACGGTCTTCTCGAACATGCTGTCCATGGTCTCGGTGCGACGACCCCACGGTTTCTTGTCGCGCGACGACGTCCCGGCCTGCGTGTCTGTGAAGGCGGCGCGAGCCAGCTTGCGCAGCGCCTCCTCGCCGTGGCGGCCGTCCTCCGTGGCGCGCTCGCGGATCCGCTGCGGGTCCTGCTCGCGCTCAGTGAAGACCGCCGTGTGGCGGTATGTGTGCTTGCTCGGGAACTCGGGGAAGTGCGTGGGGATGTAGGCTCTGTGGGCGCGGTCGGTCTCGCCGCTGAGCTGGGGGCCCAGGGACGGGAGGGTCTTGAAGGGGGCATCGACGGGCGGAGGGGTGAGCGGCAGCGTCGGGATGGGGTCGATGGACGAGGGGGATTTGAGGTGAGGGATGAGATCGTCGAGGCGGAGACGGTGTCGGAGCAGAGCGTGCTCGAAGTCTTGCGGGATGGGTTGCGTGCGTCGGCTGACGAGCATGGCCTGGCGGATGAATGAGGCGAACCGGAGGATGTCTAAAACGGTTGCGTCAGTAAACAGAGCTATAGCCCGTAAGGGAAGCTGGGGACGTGTTTACATTCTCCCGTGGCATTGCGAAAACTATCCAGCGCCGCTGGATCCGCTATGTCAAAGCCACATTCTCGGAGATACAGCCCAATGGACCGGTCCATCAGATGGTCGACGGTGGCATCGTCGGTGATGGCGGGCTCGGGCAGGGTCTGGACGACGGGGGTGTGTAGGCTGTGATGGTGGTGGTAGGGTCGCTTTGGTCGCTTAGTATCGGTGAAGTCAGGCTGATCCAGCAGCGAAGAGGATCGCTTGAGCGACGAAGGTGGCTGTTCCGAGGAGACCATGATGTTGCTTGAGGAGATGAAGTTGTTGGGATGACGGCGGACAAACATGGGCGGGCGGTCACGTGGCGTGTGTGCCTGAGGCAACTGTCAGTCAACGCCTCGATGATTGAAGTTATACTGATCCCATCCAGAACACTTCGGGCAATTGTACTCTGATTTGATCACTTGTTAGTACTTATATCTCGTTTGATTGGGTCCTTTTGCAGCGGCGCCTGAACAAGCTATTCTCCTTCTCTCCTCTCTTATAACCGTCCTTTGGGATTACCAGGGCCGTTTGCCTTACTCTCTAATTGTAGTAGTCTATGCCATCTAATTTCTATCATTGCAGAGAACACAGAAACTCTTCAGGCTCTTCTTTCCTGCAATTTGAGCATAGCGACAGAGACAGGGAAATTATGGTTGACGAAACACTACCACCAAAGTAGGTCAATATATCCCCAGACTCCCTTCCTGTTTAAATCGACTCCTACTCTACAACGCTAAGATTAACATAATTATACCATATTAACATCCCAAATCACTCTGTCAATCACTCTTCAATCCACCAACAGGATCCCAGTGGTTGATCTTTGCCTTGTCGTCAAAAGGCGCGTTCCCCACCTTTCCCACCTAGATAGGCAAGTCCCAGTCCAAACAAGACATTCGACCAATCTGTCTTCCATTACTTCTTCCTCCTCCAAGATAGGAAACCTCCGACATAGCAGGGCATGTCAGGCGACTATGCTCGGTGGTGTTGTTCTCCACAATACGTTCCCTACCTGCATGTGCCGCCGCATCCCCACTAGTCCTCAGCCAGTGGGATTATCATACCCCTCCAGTAGGTGCGTTTCTTTTGTTCTAGTTTACGCCGCTATTCTTCAGAGTCAACCCCTTGCTGATCACATTCTGGGGCATCGGTAATATGAATATGGAGTTTAGAATGGTCATTCCATTGTATCTATACCCGATCTACCAGTCCTACAAGGCGGTAGTGTATATGCTTGGGCTGGATTGTCCAGATAGAGATGGTAGTTGGAGATCTGGCCATATATCATGGATGAACTTGATTCGGCATCTTCTGTGTACTAGAAGTCTAAGGTATCCTCTGCACTGTAGAGTGAGAGCCCTAGAAGGCTCACCGCTATTACTGGTTTTATATACTGGTGCAGCCTAGGCCCCCTGCGAATTACCAGTAACAGAGGAATTCAGACTGTAGATCATGATGTAAATGACTGCTTTTGGTCTGGAGCATATTAGCACCATGAAACCAACACAACTTGCAGCGGGCGTATCAAAGAGTAAGAATGAAAGTCGAAGCAAGTCTCAGATCGGTCCGTTATCCTATGGATTCTGAAGGTGTAACAGAGCACGAGGCCAGATCTATGAAAACAAAAACATAGAGAGACAGGAGAGAACCAGGTATCAGATACTAATGGATCGCTTTGAGTGTAACCCTATAACAGTGTCTGGTGGAATAAGAGGGGCTAGTCGCATGCAGGACAGGGAAGAATCAAGAATCAAGAATCAAGATATCAGATATTCGTGATCTTTCCGCTGATATCATTGCTAATGCAGTGAGCCGTAGGGGAGAGAGAAATGTATAATGGGGTGGAGAAGAGTGATATCACTTTGCAGTCAGCTCTTGACTGGAATACGCAATGCCAGACAGAACCTATAGATATAAGTACAACCTCCTGCCATGGGTACAGTGGTATCAGTCTCATCAAACCCTCTGAAAGACCACGATACACCCACAACACCCCTCGAAGCAATGGCGCAACCTACTCCATGTGCAGACAGTGTCTGTATGCAGGCATCCAACAATGCCACCCTCAACGAGCCCCCGGTTATATCCAGTCAGGATAGGGCCTCGGTGAATGGCGACGATATCGCAAAACCAGCTGCCCAAGTTCCGGTCGCCATATGTGGCATGTCGGTCCGTCTTCCGGGAGGCCTGCGCTCACCACAAGAGCTATGGGACTTCATACTCTCAAAGAGCGATGCCCGTGGCCCCGTTCCGAAGTCTAGGTATAATGTTTCCGCACACTACTCCGACAGACGTAAGCCGGGCACAGTGGCAACGGAATATGGGTACTTCCTCGATGAAAGCACCGATATTTCGGCTCTGGACACATCGTTTTTCCACATGGGAAAAAGCGAGGTGGAGCGAGCAGACCCACATCAGCGTCTGATGCTGGAAGCGGCCAGGGAATGTTTGGAGGATGCTGGAGAAACCAACTGGAAAGGGCGACCCATTGGCTGCTACATTGGCAGCTTTGCTGATGACTGGGTGGAAATGTTCGCCAAGGAGACACAGCCCTACGGCAGTTATCGAGCAACCGGCCACGGCGACTTCATGCTGCCTAACCGCGTCTCGTATGAGATGGATCTGACAGGACCAAGGTTTGTGAGCACCCGGGAGAGGACCGCGATGTATATTTCTGGGCTAAAACAAAACACACAGCATACTACTCCGCACGGGTTGCTCGGCATCCATGGTTGCGCTACACGAAGCGTGTGTCGCTGTCTCCCGCGGGGACTGCGAGAGTGCCATCGTTGGCGGCGTCAACTTGATACTGCACCCCGGTATGACCGCTGCCGTGTCCGAGCAAGGAGCTTTGTCTCCCGATGGATCCTGTAAAATCTTCTCCGCGGATGCCAATGGTTACGCTCGAGCCGACGCAATTTCCGCCATCTTTATCAAGCCTCTCTCTGATGCTATTCGTGATGGTAACCCCATTCGAGCTGTCATCCGCGGGACAGGAACCAACAGTGATGGGAGGGGGACCGCCGCTGGTATCCAGGTTCCCAACGGAGTGACCCATGAAGCTCTGATGAGACGCACGTACCAGATGGCGGGCATCACCAACTTTGCGGAGACTGCCTTCGTTGAGTGTCACGGTACAGGGACTTCGATTGGCGATCCCATCGAAGCCGGCGCTGTCGGGCGAGTCTTTGGCCCCACTGGCGGGGTCCAGATTGGATCTGTGAAGGCCAACGTTGGTCATTCCGAAGGTGCGTCTGGTCTCACATCGATTGTCAAGGCCGTGATGGCCTTGGAGCACCGCGTCATTCCCCCGAACATCAAGTTCCACGAGCCCAACCCTAAGATCCCGTGGGATTCCTGTGGTCTCTCCGTCCCAACAGAGTCAATGCCATGGCCTGAGGGACGAAAGGAACGGATCAGTGTGAATTCGTTTGGAGTTGGGGGCGCCAACGCGCACGTCGTTCTGGATTCCGCTCTCAGCTGCGGAGTTCCGCCTGTCGCCAGGCGGCCCTTCACCTCGCCTGAACTGCTTCTCTACTCCGCCAATACCAAAGAGTCCCTGGAGAGGATGACCGTCGCCTACCAGGCCTGGGTTCAGGAGAACCAAGACACGGTGAGCGACCTGGCTTTCACGCTGGCTAACAGGAGAGAGCATTTGCCTTATCGGGCGTTCGCGGTGGCAAGCCCCGGGGGCTCTCTCACTACATCCCCTCCCGTGCGGTCTCAGGAACCGCCCGCTATATTGATGGTATTTACAGGCCAAGGAGCTCAGTGGCCACAGATGGGGCATTGTTTGCTCAATGACCCTTCCTACCCGGTTTTCAAGAAACGGATTCAGTCGCTCGACGCACATCTGCAAACCCTCCGTCATGCGCCCAAGTGGTCTATTGAAACCGAGCTGGAAGCGCCCGCCAGCAGTAGCAGGCTTGGTTCAGCCGAACTAGCCCAGCCACTATGTACAGCAATCCAGATTGCGCTGGTGGATTGTCTTACCTCCATTGGAGTGCAGCCCACTGCGGTGGTGGGACACTCCAGCGGAGAGATCGTGGCGGCATACGCAGCTGGGGCTATCTCGCCATTCGCGGCCATCACGGTTGCATTTTATCGTGGCTTTGTCACACGGCATATCAAGAATGGAGCCATGGCAGCTATCGGCTTGGGTTCAAAAGATGTACAAGAGTATCTCGAGCCGGGGGTCGTCGTTGCTTGCGAGAACTCACCGAAGAGCGTCACCCTTGCGGGTAACATACGAGGGGTTGAACTGGTCGTTGCCAGGATCCAAGAGGCCCAGCCTGGTATCCTAGCCAAACTGCTGCGGGTGGACAAGGCGTACCACACGAGCCACATGGTTGAAATCGGGGGTGAGTATGAGAACTTAATTCGACATGAGGTGTCTGCCAAAGCCCCCCAGAGGTTCGTATATAGCAGTGTCACAGGCGAGCTACTGGATCCTGACTGCGACCTCGGCGCCACGTACTGGCGGAAAAACCTGGAGTCCCCGGTGCGCTTCTATTCGGTCATGTCGTGGATCATGCAGCATGAGCAGTCAAAGAACATGGTCATGGTCGAAGTTGGACCTCACTCGGCCCTCGCGGGTCCCCTACGGCAGATCCAGGCCGAGTGCTCCAACAATGCACCCTATGTGTCTGCACTGACCCGCCACCAGAACGATGTGGAAACGTTCCTGCGATTGATCGGGACGTTATATAGTTTGAATGTTCCCGTGCAGCTAGAGAAGGTGGTGTCTAGCGGCTCGTGTCTGCCCGATCTGCCCAGATACCCATGGGACCACTCGCAGAGTTTCTGGTATGAGTCTCGCCTCAGTAAAGAGTGGCGCCATCGGAAGCATGCCCACCATGATCTATTGGGTCTTCGCGTCGCGGAGAGCTCTCACTTCAACGTCCTTTTCCGGAATATATTCCACTTGGACAACGCCCCGTGGATCCGTGACCACAAGGTCCGAGAAGACATCGTCTTTCCTTTAGCTGGGTACGTGGGTATGATCGGCGAAGCTGCTAGACAAGTGACCGACATCGATAAGTCGTTCACGTTGCGCAAGGTTCTCATCAGCGCTGCTCTCGTGTTAAACGAAGGCTCTCCTGTCGAGATGGTGACGACATTGCAGCGGCAGCGACTGACGGATTCCCTCGACAGTGAATGGTGGGAGTTCACCATTGCATCCTACAACGGAACTTCCTGGTTAAAACACTGCTCGGGGGAGGTGCGTGCACATGAAGATGACCTGGGAGAGGCGAAGAGGCATGACCCGCTGGTGCGCAAGGTCGAAACTCCTCGTTTTTACAGGTATCTGGCCAAGTCGGGTATCCACCTTGGTCCTGCTTTTCAACGGCTTGATGCTATTAGATCAGACACCGTCACAACAGATGCGACATCGAAGGTCGCTGCAAAACCCGAAGACGGAATCGGCTACCACGTGCACCCGGCTGTTGTCGATGCTTCATTGCAGATGCTCAGTGCAGCCGTCTCCAAAGGGCAGGTTAATGGCACGACCAAGATGTTGATCCCGACGGAGGTGAAAGAACTGAGCATCACCCGATGTACTGAGGACGTCGGAATCCAAGCTTCTGCATCCTACACCCGAGACGGTTCTATTATCGGTGGTGCACGAGGCGTTACCGTTGACGGCAGGATAGTTTTCCGCAGTTCTGGCGTCAAGCGGTCGGTTTTGGACGACCAGGGCCCCGGAAATGGCGGTATAGCTACCGCTCGCGCGACATGGAGCCCGCATATTGACTTTTTGGATCCTCTGACTCTGATAAAGCCGTTCATTGACCGCAGCAGCGAGATGCCCGTCCTGGTGGAATTGGAGCGCCTGTGTATGCTGCATACAAAGAGAACACTCGAGGGGCTAGACAGCCCGATCAACCACATGCGCAAGTACAAATCATGGATCAATCGTGAGTGGGCCACAGTCGAGCTCCAGCGCCTTGATCATCTTGATAACACGGCCCTTGAGTTCCGAGCGGTTTCTATCGTCAGAGAGCTTTCGCAAACCCCAGCTGCCGATGCTGCGATGGGTATCTGGAAGATCGGCGGCAACATAGAAAGTATCTTCACGGGGACAGTGGAGCCACTGGAAGTCCTTCTTGCGGACAATACCCTGGTCAACATCTATGACTATTTGGATCAATGCGACGAGACTCGGCTATTGATGGAAGCTCTGACACACAGCAAGCCTAACCTACGGGTTCTCGAAATCGGCGCTGGAACCGGTGGCTCTACTGTCAATATTTTGAGGCTGTTGACCCCGGGGGGGAATCCTCTCTACTCGAAGTATACCTTTAGCGATATTTCTTCGGGATTTTTCGTCGCCGCCAAGGAACGTTTCAAATCTTTCCCAAATATCGAATATCTTCCACTAGATATCAGCAAGGACCCATTGGAGCAGGGCTTCGATGGCCGGAAATATGACCTTATCCTAGCGTCCAACGTCCTTCACGCTACCAAAAGCCTCCGTGAAAGCTTAGGGAACATCCACAAGCTATTGGACACCAACGGTCGACTCTTGCTCCACGAGCTCAACCCGTCTGCGAGATGGCCTAACTATATCTTCGGAACCCTAGCGGGGTGGTGGTATGGTGAAGCCGACGGCCGGGCGGACGAGCCATACGTCGACGCCGACCGGTGGACGAAAGAGTTGATGTCTGCTGGATTCTGTGCGCCCGACGCTGCAGTCCTTGACTCACCTGTACCGCATCAACTCAACACGACCTACCTAGCTCGGCCAGCTGTCCAAGACCCTCCAAAGAAGGTCACTCTCCTCACCCTTTCCGATTCCGACAATGTGCGCTCCATCGTCTACAGTCTGGCCAACAGAGGGTACGCGATTGACCATCGGGGGCTGCAAGGACCATTCCCTGCCGACCAGGATGTCATTGCCCTGCTTGACGCGGATGGGCCCTTTTTCGAAAACATCGACGAGGAAAGGTTTGAAACATTCAAGGCCTTGGTGGGCGAGCTCAAGGATTGTGGGATTTTCTGGGTGACAGCTCTTTCGCAAGTCCAGTGCCAGGACCCACGGTACGGCCAGATCACCGGGATTGCGCGGGTCATGCGATCTGAGATGCTGGTCGATTTTGCCACGTGCGAGGTTGACGATGTCGGTTTGTCTGTGCACAGGATTGTTGACGTGTTTGAGAAGTTTCAGACGCGCCAGGTTCGCGACAATCTCCGGCCTGAGATGGAATACGCCATCGTGAACAATGCTGTGTATGTCGGACGCATCCATACATTCTCCGTACATGACGAGCTTCTGGAGCCAGACATGGGCAAATCCGTTGCTCTCCGTACCAGCAAACCTGGTAACCTCGCCAATTTACATTGGATGGCCCATGATATCGAAGAGATGGAAGACGGGGATGTGGAGGTCGACATACATACGACTGGCCTTAACTTCAGGGTAAGTCTGACCGACCAGATGATCATAACCTGAGATATCAAAACGGCGCTAAGTTCAAGGACAGGATGTGTTGGTCGCCATGGGCATTGTCGAGGCCTCTGGAGGTGGAATCGGTCAAGAAGCCGCGGGCATTGTGCGCCGCACTGGTGCCACCGTTACAACTCTCCAGGCTGGCGACCGTGTTATGCTTCTGTCCAATTACATGTTTTCCACCCGCCGAGTGCTGCCAGAGAGTCTGTGCGAGAAGATCCCAGACGGGTTGAGCTTTGAAGACGCGGCTACCCTGCCTCTTGTGTTTGCCACGGCCATCTACTCCCTTTTCCATCTTGGTAATTTGAAGAAGGGCCAGGTAAACCTCTCTCTCTCTCTCTTTGTTTGACCGAATATTCATTTGACCTTCGTCTAGTCTATTTTGATCCACAGCGCCTGCGGTGGAGTTGGGCTTGCTACCATCCAGCTTGCGCAGATGGCAGGAGCCGCGATCTACGCAACTGTCGGCAATGAAGAAAAGGTCAAGCACCTCACAGACATGCTGAACCTGCCTCGAAACCGAATCTTCAGCTCTCGGAGCGCCACTTTCGCCGACGACATCATGCGAGAGACCAACAACAGAGGCGTTGACCTGGCGCTCAATTCACTGTCCGGCGAGCTTCTCCATGCGACGTGGAGGTGCATTGCGCCTTTCGGCAAGATGATCGAGATCGGGAAGAGAGACCTGATCGGCTCCACAAAACTGGACATGGTCCCTTTCTTGGACAATCGGAGTTACTGCAGCGTGGATCTGGATAAGATTAGTCTCCAACGGCCGGCCATTGCAAAGGAGTAAGTGGTCAGTACTCAGCTACAGGCGCGGGCATTAACATAGTTCATCTAGACTGCTCACGGAAATCGGCAACTTCGTGAGGGAGCGTCACATCCATCCTATTCGGCCGATCAAGGTCTTTGATTCCAATCGTATCGTGGACGCCTTTCGGTACATGCAGCAGGGCGTCCACCTGGGCAAGATTGTCGTGTCGATGCGCGATGCAACTGGCCAGTCCACTGTGGCTGAGGACAGCGTGGTGAAACAAAGGAAAGACACAACGTTTGACAGTTCGGCGGCGTATCTGCTTGTCGGTGGTCTGGGAGGCCTGGGTCGGTCCGTCTCTACGTGGATGGTCGAACGAGGCGCCCGCCACCTTATCTTCCTCTCCCGCAGTGCAGGCGCAACCAACACGCATTCGGAGTTTTGCCAAGAGATTTCCAGCATGGGCTGTCGCGTCGACATCGTGCAGGGGACTGTTTTGCGGATCGAAGACGTCACGCGGGCCATTGATCACGCCCATGGCCGTCTCAAGGGGATCCTGCAGATGTCCATGGTCCTTCGGGACCGGGGGTTCCCACGCATGACCAAGGCCGAGTGGGACACTGCCGTCGATCCCAAGGTGCAAGGGACGTGGAACCTCCACAATGCCGCTCTGGCCATGGACATAGGCCTCGAGTTCTTTGTTCTATTCAGCTCTATCAACGGCATCGTCGGACAGCCCGGGCAGACCAACTACGCAGGCGCCAATACTTTCATGGACGCCTTCGCGCAATACCGTCGGCAGATGGGGCTGCCCGCCTGCGCCATCCAGATCGGGGTCGTCGAGGACGTGGGCTACGTCGCGGAGAACGCGTCCGTCCAGCAGCGGTTTACGCAGACGGTGGGTTCGGACGGGACTATTTCCGAACAGGAGCTTCTTAGCGCCATCGGGGCAGCCACGACCTCAACAAAGGACTTTTACGTCGGGGTGCGCTCCAGCATGCGGTTGAATAACCCCGGAGAGCGATCGCCCTGGAAAGGCGACATCCGCATGGCGGCCTTCCACAACGGCGAAGAAGCCGGCCAGACGGCCCAAGACAGCACCAGCAACGACCTACAGACATTCATCGCCAAGGCGAGAAGCGACCCTGCTTTACTGGAGCAGGCCGATTCCGCGCATTTCCTTGCTCGGGAGATTGGGAAAAAGGTGTTCAGTCTCTTGCTGAAGCCTGAAGAGGAATTGCGCACATCCTGCTCTCTTAGCGAGCTGGGATTGGATTCCCTGTTCGCTATTGAGGTTCGACAGTGGTGGAGGACCGTTTTCGGGTTTAATATCAACGTGTTGGAGATGATGGGGATGGGGTCGTTGGATGATCTTGGAGTGCATGCTGCGAGGGGTCTGAGTGCTCTTTTTCATGGTTGATAAATCATGACAGTGGTGGATATGAGGTTGAAGCCCTTGATTGAGATTGTAACGACAAGTTCAGCTTCATTTGAACGGGGACGTGAACTTCAATTCCAGTCCAGGTCAGTGTTAAGCTCGAGTAATCAGTTTTCCTAAGAGTGAGAAAGAGTATCAGAAGTTATACAGTGAATGAATCTTAGATGTATTGTATTACATAATACATGCATAGATCCTTGCATAAGCTGGACTACAACGTTGGTCACGTGATACCAACTCAATACACCTGCCTTATCTATGCTGTTGCAGTTCAGACTCACTCCTCAGAAAGAGTAAAAAGACAATCATCTAGATAGTAGATGCTATATATGTCCTCAGTAGATAATACCAAACAACAAGACACCTAAAGAAAAGCAAAGCCGGAATAACCCGCTGTTCGCAGCGACGGACACACCCACGCCGATCCACCAGTCAGGCCACTCCAAAGTCGCTTACGTGAAAGCCGGACCTCACCCGACCTCATCCATCCGATCCGACATCACCGCCCTTCTCTCACCACCTCGCTCACCTGTCGCTGTCGCTTGCGTCTACCAATTGATTCAATCAAAATGGCCGCTATTGCTCCTATTACCGGTGTATGTCTACCTATCTGTCTATCCCCTCATTGACCCGTCTTGCGAATGACGGGGGGAAAAGGAAAGAGGGAGAAAATGAGGGGAGAAAAATGGAAGGAAAAGGCAAGGGTCAATGCTGACATTGAGTACAGATGCTGCGCCGGAGTCTTGTGCTCGATCTGAGCACTGCTTTTGGTAGGTCTTCCTATATATTCTTGGGGGATTGTTGGGGTGGGACATTATATGGGGGGTGATTGGGGAGGAGGTGGGATTGGAGCAGGATTGATGCGATCATACCTCCTACCTAGCTCTACCTACCTACCTTCACCAACCCAATTGAGAGGAAGAAGAATCAGAAGAAGAGAAGAGAAGCGAAGACAAAACGAAGGGAAGAACAAACAATCTAACCATCTCACAGGCTTCGGAACCACCTTCGGCTACCTCTGGTGGTACGGTACGTATACTCACTCTACCTCTACCTCTACCTCTACCCTCTTTGATACACCTCCCTCTTCCTCCTATCATCCACACACGATACAACACTATATACACGCAAGTCTAATAAAAGAATAGGATACCACCTCCCCCGCGTCCGCGCCCGCGACAACTACTACAACGCCCTCGAAACCGAGCGTCTTGAGGCTGCCAAGGCCTAAACAACTTCTTCCTTTCGCTTTCGACTGTTGTTCGCTACGGTGGATAGATGTGGATTGATTGGTTGGACTACTGGGTAGCTAGCTACTATCTGGTTAGCTAGGTAGTCGGTTGGTAGTCACGGTCAATAAAGGGTTCTGTGTATTGTACATATGTACTGTACTTGACTGCTGTCGCAATTTCTTTTGTCTACTTCAATACCGTAGACTTTTACACTAGTATACTAGGTAGTAAGATGTAAGCAGGATCAAATAAAGTAAGCCAGCAGGGAATAATCTATCCAGTCGCTAATGGTAATCCTAATAAAATAAGCACAGCATGCAATACTACCCATGTAATCAATTAATCAAATGACTATCGCAAAACCTTGTCGAATTGCACCCCTCGCACCGTTCCCCCCGCCATAGACGTCCGCACATTCCGCTTGAATGCGTCCCTATTTGTGCGTAGATCGTCGGCTGCTTCTTTGTTGAGGGGGTCGGAGGCGTTGGGTTCGAGGAAGAGGAACTATCCTGTCAGTATTCCTTACCATATCTATCGTGGCACATGCTACATTCCCTCAAACAAACCAAGGAGACAAAATAAAAGGGTACATACCTGCATCCCAACAATAACCGCATTCAAATTCAACACCGGCTTCCAATCCTCCCTCAAAATATTCAGACACACATTCCCCTCCATGTCAATATTCGGATGATAGATCTTCTGCGTGCACTTGACCTTGGGCGGATCATGCGGGAAGTTCTGGTTGACAGTAAACGAAAAGGCGAAGGCCCCGCCTTTGTACATGCCCTCGTCGGGTTCGATGGTGAGGGTGAAGTTGAGGATGTCGTCGGGGTTGGGGAAGGTCATTTTCATGGTGCTGCCTAGGGTGAGTTCTTGCAGGTCTTTATTTATACACTGTTAGCTTTGTTTCTTTTTTTCTATGATGGAAAGATAGAGAGAGAGAGAGAGAGAGAGAGAGAGAGAGAGAGAGAGAGAGAGAGAGAGGAAAGGGGAGAAATACCCCGCTGCACCCTCAACTGCGCCGCAGTAACCTTCTTCTTCTTCTTCCCGTCAGCGCCTTCGGCATTTTCAGCCTGCTGTTGTTTTTGTTTCTACTGATTATCAGTATGTCTACCAACATGGTAGGTAATGAAGAGACACACCATAGACCAAATCTTTAACATCTTGACCGTATCTCTTCTCTCTTCTCTGATATGAATGAACCGAGTGGATTATTTGAACCCAGCAATGGAGTATGATTTGCCGTGTGTATCGAGGTGGTAGGTAGGTAGGTAGGTAGGTATGTTCGAGTCCGTTGTTCAACCGTCGTTCGTTCGTTCGTCCGTCTGTGCTCGTGTTCGCGTCCGTGTCTCAGTCGAGTCTCTCCGTCGAGTCGAGTCGAGTCAAGTCGAATCTCTCCAAATCAAATTGTCGAGTCAATCAACCAGTCGTCGAACAAGATAAAGAAATGAATCTACCCAAATCAGCAACAACAAACGAACCCTCAAATCCAACCTGACTGCGATGCGGGGTGGGGTAGATTCCACACAATCCACCACGTACCAAGCCCCAACAAACAAATAGAAAATATAAAATAGAATAGGATCTCACCTGTGATTGAATCGCATGTACGTACCCATAAAGGAAAAGACCGACTGTTCTGCTGTCTGAGATTTAACAAGAAAAGTGTGAGGCTGAATAGGTATGGATGGGTAGGTATGGGGTGGAGGCGGAGAGCCTAACCTGACTACTACACTAACAGTAACCTGACGCCATATGGTGGTGACCGACCGCCTTTGAGAGCCGCATTTAGTCAGATTTCTCTCTTTCGTTCATTTCACTTCATACTGTATACATTCCAACCTCACAGCTACAAATGTCTGGTTAGGTCAAATACTCCGTACAAGTCTATATTATTATAACATGCATTGGTCTAATCGCTCAACTGAATAACATCACCCTCCCTCCCCCTTCCGCATAGTCCAACCCAACCTAGTAGGAAACAACTGCGTATGTAGGATACAAGATGGTGTCAAAAAATGTGCCAAGAATAACTCCGCGTCCGGTCCCTTGACCATCACACCTTTTCATAAGCCCCGGCTGGGGTGACCGGTTGACGGTCCGGTTTACCGTCGCGCGAAGCAGCACATCAGTCCCGTCCTGCCCAGGAACCAGCACGCGCCGATGAATCGGAACAGCGCGCACACCGCGTTCGACCACAGCAGTGCTTGGAAGAATTTCGAGGTTCGTTCGGTAGCGGAGTTCTACATATCATCAGTATTATAACCAGAGAGAGAGAAAGGAGGGGGGGGGGACGTACGGTAAAACCAAACTTGTTCACGCTCTCGTTGGTAATGCACACGGCAAGCAATCCATTGCTGAAGATCCACAGCGTCACCAAGCGGGTTCGGAAACTCTTGTACGAATCGTCCAAGCTCTTCTCCTCGTGCTCCACCGGAGGCACATACGGAGTCAGCGCCCGCTTCACCGTCGCTTCGAACTGGCTGTCGATATCCGCCTGCGGCTTGTCGATTTCCTCGATCACCGCTTCTTTCCCATCGTCTTTGGTCGTCTTAGCGGACGGCAGAGCATCCGCCTTATCCGAACCCTTGGTACCCCACGACACGTCGTGCCAGTTGCTGAACGCGTAGACGTTGAGGATGTTGATGTAGGACGACTGCACCGCCATGTACTGCGGGAACGAGGTGAACATGTGCCACGGGTCCATGTACATGAACGAGGCGACAAAGTACAGGCCAAAGGTAGCGGCCAGGGCGATGATGATGATACCCGCACCACTCGACCCGAAGAAGGATTTCAGGAATTCCGTCAGGCCCTTGTCGGTCACGAAGTCCATCTCGGCGCCGCCGCTGAAGGCACGCACCACCAGGTACAGGGCGTCCACCACGACGTAAATCTGGATCACACCGAAAACGACAAAGGAGGCCAGGTACGTGAACTTGGATCCCTTGGGCCGGTTACCCAGCGCGAGGATGAACTGCAGCAACACAAACCCGAGGTAGATGTATTTGACGATGGTGTTCACGATCGGGGTGGCGGTCCTCCCGAAGGGGAACCCGGTGTCTCCGTTGTTCTTGTTCGGGGTACCGACCAGGTCCATGATGACCGTCGTGGTCAGCCAGTAGGACGCCAGGGACAGCCACGTCAGCAGCGTGGTGAACACGTTGTACAGCATCTGAATGTGCAGGAAGAACATGCGGATGATGTTGTGCCCACTCTTGTACATACGGCCAAAGTGCATGAGCGAGTAGATACCGGCGGCGAAGGAACCGTTCAACCAACGTCGCCGCTGGGAGATGAATTCGGCCGCACCTTCGGGGACATCCGTTTCACCCTTGGAGGCCTTGACGTAGGACAGATGCCACTTGGAGCCGGCTTTGGCGACCAGCTCGAAACAGAGGATACGATCCTCGGCCAAGAACATGTTCTTCTTGAAGATGTTCATCCCTTCGATACCCTTCTTACCCAGCTGCTTCGAGAGGGTGTGGTCACCGTGGAAATACTGTTCCAGCGGGCGACCCATGATGGCACGGAATCGATAGGCGGAGAACGCACCGGGCAACACGCTGACATAACCGAACGAACTCTCCAGGGGCTTGTCGAGGATGTTACTGATCTTGTACTCGAAGTTCTGCGCGGCCACCAGCGGGTTGATCAGGTTCTTCCACCCCTTACCCAACATCGCGTGGATCTCACCGCAGGCACCGCCCAGGTCCTTGTCGTTGTAGAAGGCTTCCCAGAGGGCCAGCAGCGACTTGTGACCGGGCTTGGTACCGGCATCGAGAAGGATACAGACTTCGGGGTTCAAAATGCGGCCAAAGGCGTTGAACAGCCAGCGATGGGAGTTGATCTTCTTGGTGTTCTTCTGCTTCAGGCAGAACATCATCTGCACCGGCGGGAGGGTGCTGGGTCCGTCGTCGGTGGGACGGATGAGCTGCTGGTTCGGGGTGACGGACAGTTGGGTGGTATATTCGAACTGGTCTGGTTAGCACCGCGCGCGATGCACGGGATTGGGGACAACGTACGATATGCGCCACCGTCTCCTTGCCGTCGACGTCACGCTTCATGACTCCGTCCTGGTAGATACCCACCGTGGCGAGGAGATCGAGGGTGTCCTTGTCGCAGGGGTCGATACCGTCGAACACGAGACAGACGACGATCTTCTGCCAGGCGGGACCACCCTTGTTCCAGAATTCGGACTTCTTGAGGTTGACGATGTCCCGGATGTTCTGCATGGCACCGTGGAGCGTGCGGGCGGTGAGGGTTTTGTCTTCATTGTAGTAGGTGATGGCAATGAGCAGCTCGGTGTGACGGTTGTACATGGCGGGACGCAGGTTGTAACCATTGTGGAGGGTGAATTCGTTGGGATCGCACGTGGCGGCGGTGTCTGTCACGGTTAGACTTGGTGGGAGGGAAGAATCAGGGGTTCAAAGACGGAGCTCACATCGCATGTGGGTGAATTCTTCGCTTCCACCCTCCAGGTCATTGCGGTACTTGGCCTGGATGGCATTCTGGATGGCACTGGGAACGGGGTAATCGACACTGAGGACGGAACCCTGGACCAGCTTGACCTTTCTGGTAGCATAACGGCGCAGACCACCGCCGCCGCCGCCACCGCCCGAGGGACCACCGGGGGCCTGTCGCTGACGCCAGGCCTCGGTGGAGGAGGTTTCGCTGCGGGCGTAGGGGGAGGCGACGCGGCCGGGGACGCCAAAGGCGGCGGCGGGGTTGTCCCCGGAGTGACCGGAGTAGACGGAGCCACCGGCGCTGTAAGGGTCCTGGAACGACGCGTCAGGCGCGTAGGTCTCGGTCAAACTGTAGCCCGAGGTCGGTCTGGCGCCGGGGGAGAGACCCCGCTGATGGGGGTCATCGAAGGGCGATCCGGCTTGCTGGTGAGCGAGCAGACCCCTGGCGGCTTCTTCTTCGTACTGTTGGGGGGGGGAGGGGATTCTGGATCAGTCTGGGACGCGACAGGGGATGGTGGAGGGAAAGCTTACGGTAGCACCTTGAGGGACATCCTGCAGGCGCATGCCATCATGGTCCTCGTAGCCAGGCGGGTGAGGGCCAGAGCCTTGGTAGGCCATGATCACGGATAATACAAGTGATTAACCCGTGAGAGGGGGGAGGGGGTGGTGTCGTGGAGAGGTCAGGCGAACAAAGGAGGCAGCCGAGTAGAAGGCAAACGGGGGAAAGGGGTATCAAGAAAGGCGGGGGAGTAAGGAGGTGACAGGAGGGAAGAAGTGGAAGAACCACGGGGTCGCGAGAATGCGAGAGACGGGGGAGAAAGAAAAACCGGTGGTCGTCGCACAGAGAAAGGGGAGGAAGAGAAGGCAAGAATCCGAAGGCTGGAAATTGATATCAACCAGGAAGAAAGCCAGGAGGGGCGCAGGAACGTGGACAATAAGCGGCCACCAGGGCTGAAGAAGGTCCTCGAGTGAACCGAACCGTACGGAGGGAAGATTGACCAGACGGACAGATGGAGAGATGGAAAGAAGATGAAGCCAGAGGGAGATCCAAGGAGGGAAAAGAAAAAGAAAGAAAGAAAGAAGAAACAATGACTAGATAGAAAGAGGAAAAGCGACAGATGGACGATGGACCTGTTGTTTTAGCAGCGACGATGAGAGGAACCCATAAAAAAATATTAAAATCATATAATGAAAATAACATACAAAGGGTAAAATTAGACTAGAATAAATAGAATAAAATTGCCAGAGAATACGGAGAAATACAGGATTATAGGATAGAATAGTAGAATACCCAGTAGAATACTTGAGAAAACACGAAGAATCCGAGATGGATCAACCGTCCCTCTAGTGGTTTTTTATTCGGTCTGTCATAGGATGGTTTGGTACGGCGCGGAGATAGCAGTAGCGGTGGATCAGGGATTCATTCAGTAAGTGATGGACAGAATATCATGATCAGGAAATCATGAATATCACGAATATCATGTATATCACGAATATATAGATATATAAATATACAAATATGCTATTATATGAATCTATAATAATCAAATATCAACAGGGTAAATAGCTAGACTCATCCAGGTGTATAGATTGAAATCAGGGGTTGTACGGTATTGTCACTGTTACTTCATCCTATGTCAGGATAGAAGTACAGAATACGAAGTACTCCGTAGAAGTACAGGTCCAGAAATGGAGGAGTAAATACTACTAAAAAGTAAGAGTATGATATCAAACGGTCAAATCAAACAGTCCAACTAAGTCAACAGAACGCACCCCAGTTCCAAAGTATCTTGCGGTCTGGGTCTAATTATTCAGGCCCCCGGTGGAGACGGTGGACCCTTATTGATTTGCTGCTGCACCAGCTGAAGCTGAGACAGTGGTGTATTTCTGTATGTTGTATTGTATTGTATTGTATCTCCTATTCCCCAGTACCCGATAGAACTGTCATCGGGACTGACTTCTTCAATAAATCAAGGGATCAAGCTGAAGACTCTATACCTCTGGTAACATTCCATCCCTCACAGCATCCGATCCACCTAACATACTCATCAATCAACCAAGCAAGAAACTACATTATGCTCATCTGACAGATACGAATCCAAAGAATAAGGAGAAACGCCACGGGGATGGTCCGACACGCTTCCATCCACTAATTGGATCCTCCTCCACATCGGAGAAGCCCTGTGGGATGCCCTAGTCTAGAGTCCAGAGTCAAGACACCGTGTTAATCAACCGTTGGTCAGTCATCCCCGCTAGTCCGGAAATAAAGAAAAAAATCAAAAATCCAGAGAAAGGAGAATACGGAGGGAAGCTGAATGGTGGATGGTCGTTTCAGACGGCTGGCCTGGATAACACTAACCCATCTTTCTCCTAGGATGGACTAGTACGGATTACTGAGTACTAGACTGGCACCGTCTCCGCTAGTGTTGGCTATTCTTAGATCACGATTTGAGCCACTGTTTGGGTTCCGTGGGTTGACGGAGTCTACAGTGGCTGGTTGAGTAGGTACATACATAGTGGCTGTATACCTTATTACTGGAAATCAAATAAGGGAAAAAGTAAGATCAATAGAATAAAGTAAGATAAGATCAATAAAGTAAAATCGATCAAGATTAAATCAGATGAAGTAAATTAAATAGAAATGAGAACCATGTCTTGTGCTCAGACATCAAACCGTTCCAGCTCGACCATGGATCGGATTCCTCCACCCACCCAGGCAGTGATGAGCATGAATTGTCCCGGGCGGCACACAGTGTCAGTGACAAGAGTATAGAAAGAGAGATATATATAATAGAATAGATAGTAATATAAATATATGATAAGATATATAAACGAGTCCAATATCAGATTCAAGTGGATATAATAATTATAACCATAAGGGAGAAGTCAACATAAATAGGTAGATAAATATGAAAAAGAAATAAACAAAGCCCGCCATGCGGAAGATGGCTTGGTCGTTATTCAGTCCATGCACGATACTCCGTCGGTAGGAGTAGGAGATACATGCAGTGCATCATGCGATAGTCTTGATGTAATGGGGATTCAAGGATTTGAATAACTTTATTGATCTATATTGTTCTACTGTCTATCTACCACATGTGTCCAATATATATATAATATATAAGTAAGATCCTACCAACTCGAGGTATACCTAGTACTCTATAAGAAGATCCATCAGATGAATGGAAAGAGGGATTAATCTCCCGTCCCAACGTGGATCGGTCTGGACTCAGTAGTCCTTCGTGCCTTTAGTGAGTAGGTGTGGTTACTGACACGCACTCAACCATCCCTTTCACTGCCTGGAGGTATGACGATCCTGAGACAATCTGCAAGGATGGAATCACATCCTCCAGCTGCATCTCTATGTTCCGACGCATGCAGATACTCGAGGTTATCCAGGAGGACCTGAAAGAACCGGTTCTTTCATCCCGTGTCCAGTCCAGGTACAGGGACTAATCCGTGGCAATACCAGTGCGTGGGGATACCACCGGCACTAGTTCTAGTCTCTTCATTTCTCTTGTTTCTCCTCTTTTTCTCTCTCTCTCTCTCTCTCCACTTCCACTTCCACTCTTCTTCTTCCTACTCACTTCTCTCTCTATCCCAACATCAATCATCTCTTCTTTCTTTCTCTTTCCCTTCCTTTTTCCCTTCTCATCTCATCTCTTCCATCCTTCCTGCTTTCTACTTCCACTTCCACTTCATTTCTTACTTTCTACCCTCCCCTACCTCACTTCTGTCCTGTCAAGCCGATCTCAACCTCTCCCCTGAATCCTACAGCCACACGCGTCGCTTCCGACCTCCCTCGTACACCCGCATGCCCAATGCATCGCTGCTGACTTGTCCCTCCTACTCACTCGCTATCCTTTCGCCGGTCCCTGCTTCCTGACTCCCCATCCGGGTTCGACGGACTATGACCCTCGCTCTCTCCCGCCCTTCTCTCGCTTGATCCTCCCATCCCCCCCCCCGCCCTCTCCCGCTCCGACTTGACGTCGACGAGCATTCCACTCTTTTCACCAGCATTGTTTTCTGCCCCTCCACCAACTCACGCTCTTTACGCCGTTGACCGGCTCGACCTTCTTTTCTCCTTTATATCAACCACTCCTCTTTCCTGACGATCCACCTGTCACTCGTTCCACGTCATCATGGCGCTCTATCAAACCGACCCGTCTTTCTCTTCCCACCGTATGTGCATTTCCCCCATCTCACGAGACTACTGAACTGACCATCCAGTCCTCTCCACCCGTTCCATCTTCAAACGTTGCATCAAATGCGAGTCCGCCGCCCCCCCATGCCCCAAATGTGAGGAGGGCACCACCTGTACCATGATCAGCCAGTCCTGCGACTCGTGCCCCACCACAAAATGTATCCCCACCTCCTCCGGCGGCAGCTCCGGCTCCGGGGGCTCGTCCGGCGATGACGGCGACGGTGGTGGAGGCAGTAATGCCGGCGCCATCGCCGGTGGGGTCGTCGGTGGCCTCGCCTGCGTCGCCATCGTCACCTTCCTGGTCTGGTGGTTCGTCATCCGCAAGAAGCGCCAGGCGTATGCCCAGCCGGGCGCATCGGCCGAGAAGCGCAACGCCCAGGCGCGCAAGTCGACCCAGTCCATCGCCTCCACCGTCCTCACCCGCGCCTCCAACGTCATCCAGATCGCCTACATCCCGGGCGTCACCAACCGCTCCCCGCCCGAGACCCCCGGCTCGCTCGTCCCGCCCGTGCCCCCGCTGCCCGGCTCCTCCCCCGACCAGCACTTCTTCATGCCCGGCGACCTGCGCGACTCCTCCTGGACCGACGCCTCCAGCCAGCACCGCAGCATCGCCCCCAGTCTGCGCAGCAGCGTCGCCACCACCATCTACCGCGACAACGCCATCGTCAGCCCCATGCCCGCCCAGCAGGCCATGCGCAGTCGCGCCGCCGTCGTCAGCATCCACGGCGGCAACGGCGCCCCCATGCCCCCCGACGCCCCCGCCGTCCCCGCCATCACCCCCGCCCAACTCGCCAGGGCCGGCGTGCCCGAGTCCACCAGCAACAGCTCGATCGTCGCTCGGACCGTCATCGCCAAGCCCGTCATGGTCAAGGCCAAGAAACACAACAAAGCCGGCAGCGACGCCCCCTCGCCCGACGCCACCGTCGCGAGCAAGACGTCCGACGTCCCTACCTCGGGCTTCGACGCCAGCTCCGACGAGGAGGACGAGGATGATGCCCGCACCATCCGCAACCAGCCTCCTGCAGCCACCCCGCGCGACGCCCAATCCCGCACCTCCACGGTCATTGAGGACTCCCCGGCCGCCCACCAGGGTCCGTTCCAGGACCAGGCCCACCCCGCGCCGCCGTCCCGCGAGGACACCCACGTGCGCACTTCGGCCTTCCTGGAGACCGACGAGCCACGGTCAAACCGCAGCAGTCGCGTTCCACCTCCACGGGTCGAAAGTCCATTTTCCGACCTAAACGAGGTCAAATGAGCAGCTGTTGTATTTTTTTTTTTTGGCTTTTAGGGTCTCACGTTGGGAATCTCACTGGGTTTGTTCTGCACAGGCGATTATGGAGTCGGGTGTTTGCTCTTCTATTCAATTCTGTTCTTTTTTTTTTTTTTTTTTTTCTCTCTCCTTCGATAGAGCTGCTATCTCCCCCTCTTTGACACTGGCTTCTTTGTATCTATGACGACTATGTTTTTGATCCGTGGATCTTGTTTCTTTGTTTGTTATTCACTAGGGATGTTGATGAGACTGATGACTCGACTCGGTCTTATCTGTTCTGCACTATCTAAGATTATCATCTGATTGACTTGCACTTGCACCGCTTGCACTATTTTACTTGCACAATGATATGATTCTACGTAGTGACTTTGACCATATTCATAATCCAGACTTGGGTATATATATATATAAATCTATACATATAATAGAACAAACGACACACTTCCAACCAGCCCAGCGTTTAGTCGTCAGCCGTATGAGTATCAGTTGATCATACATATCACCAGCCCACCATTCATTTACGTAAATAAATAAAGCAAGATATACATACAACGCAAACAACACTGCAAAAACAGCCCAGACCAGTTCATTCCTCCTGGTGACTTTTTCGTTCTTCTCTTTCTGCTTGTTTTATGGTCCGCGTACTCTGTACCTAGTATATTATATACACTGACTATAGTAAGTGAGGGTATAGCTGGGGTTGAGTTTGGTTATGATTATGGTTACCTTCTCTATGCTCTTTATATATTATTATGACTGACTAGAATGCAGATAGAGAGGGGTAGGACATGTTAATGATGTTACTGTCTATGGACTTTTCTACATTATTCATTCAATATAGTGTGTGTGTATATATATATATATATATATATCATAATAGATATTTGGATGAATAAAGAGGAAAAAGAGAGAGAGAGAGAGTACTATTAACGAGGGTATACTATCAAAAATCTAACCATCAACCATCAACCATCAACATCCAAGCCCATCCCGTCCGCAATCTTCCGAATAAGCGCCCGCTTGAGGAACGCCTCGCGGGAGAGCCCCCGCGTGTGCCGCGACCAGCTCTCAACGGAGATGACGCCCTTGACGAGCGCGGACTGCAGCGCGTAGATGGCCTGGTGAATGCCGCGCTCTTCGGCGACGAGGTCGTAGAGCTGTTTGCCGACGACTGTGGGGGCGACGAGGACGTCGTCGATGGGGGGAGGCCTGGGGGGTGGGGGTCGGAGGGGGAGGTGGAGGATGGGATGCGGGACTGGGCGTCGGCGATGACGGCGTCGGCGCGGTGGAGGGATTGTTGGAGGGTGGAGGTGTTGGATTCGAGGGTGGAGTTGAGGGCGTTGAGGGAGGAGGCTTCTGTTTGGAGGGTGGCGACGGCGGCGTGGAGGGACTGGGACTGGGAGAGGAGGGAGTGCGCCGCGGATTCGGACTGCGTGACGTTCGCTTGCAGGGTTTCGGCGAGGGTCTTCGATACCGCTTGGAGGAGGGCGTCCTTTTCGGGATTGGGTGGGATGGGTGGTGCTGGGCCGGAGGGCGTGATGGTGGGGAGCTCCACTTCGAAGGGCGACGTGAGGAGGTCGGGAGTTTCTGCTTTGGGCCGCGGAGGGGGCTGGTGGGTCATTGGGTGAGGCGATGCCTGCGCCGGCTGGAAGGATGCCGGCGCATGCCAGCTGGGCGGTTGGGTCGTTGGGTGCGGTGGGCCTTGCGGCGCATATGGCTGTTGGGGGGCTTGGGGAGGGAGCTGGGCGGCGGGTGTGCGCATGGACGGATGGGGCGGTGGCTGGGGAGGATATCCTGCCGGTTGGGCTGCATGGTACTGCGGCGCATGGTATGGACTGCTCAGTACTTCTGGTGCGCCACTCTGCGGCGCATACTGCAGCGGAGGCTCTGGGTTGTGGGCAGCTGCATGAGGTTGGAAGGACGATCGCGGCCCGCCCTCCTTGGGTGGAAGAGGAGGCACCGGGGGACCTGCGCTCTGCTGCCCGTGGGACGGCTGCCCAGCAGACACCTGTCCTGGTTTCGGCGGGGGCGGCGGTGGTACCTGGCCCGTTATGTGCGGAGAGGGAGCGCTCGGTGGCGGCGAGCGGGTGGACGGCCCCAGTTCGGCGGGTAGTGGAGGTCGAGGGGGTGGTGTCTGTGCGTGCTCCGGTGGTCTTTGAGGCATTATCGGCTGTTTGTATTTGACTGGAGGCTCCTTTGCAAAGACATCCCGGAGGATGGAGAGCAGATCGGATAGGGAGGACCTCTGATAGTGTGTTGGTCAGCTTCAGACGCGTATACATGGCGAGCTACTAACCTCCCATGCGTCTGCCCAGTGCGCCAAGTAGTGGTGATAGACCCGTCCTTCAAGTGTCACATGCTGACCAACACGGACGACCATATCCTGAGTCGGAGTCACGTAGACGATCGGGGGCTCGTGAGGGTAGGTACTGGGGACCCATAGCGATATGGGAAACTTGTAGATGGTGCCGCGAAACGTCACGGGTACCGTTCCGGAGAGCTGGAGGAGGAGGGCGGAGAAACCGGACTCGAATGCTGACGATGATCAATTGCTGCCCAGTAAACACACGTAGTGCTGAAGACTCACTGTAGACATCGGTGCGAGGAGACAGGGAAGGATACTGAGCCAGGACGTTGGCGACATCGTAGTAGGTGCGATTGGGGTCTTGATAGGTCTGGCGGGGATCGTAGTGGTCCTGGAGTGGTCAGCGAGATAGGATCAAAGAACAAAGAACCACAAGAGAAAATACCCTGATGAGCACGCTGTACAGCCAATTCAGGGTCCTCTGGGGCACAGCAGCCATGACGACGGACCAAATGACTGACAAGTAGCGAGATGGAGAAGTTGAGGAATCTCGGTGACATCGTGACTTTCCCCCGCATGCTGACTCAGCAGATCGGCATAACTTGCAGTCATAACTATGCACCTTGATTGATAGAGTTGATTTGTTCTTGAATTGATTTGATAGTAGAGTAGATGGTATGTTCAATTAAGGAATTAGATAGACGATATAGTTTGATATATTTGTACAGTATATACGTATAATATCTAGCACAGCTGTTTATATATGGAGTTGCCGTGGGATCTAACCCTAACAGATGTATATATCATTGCACTTCATCCTGTACTTCACACGTCGCATCTCTCACCTCTTCATTCGATTATATCAATGATGGCTGTCCTGAGGCTTGTGTAGAATGCAGAAATTATATAGAGACAGCATCCTATATATTGTAGCTATCTTTGAAATCAGACTGCTCTCCAAGGCTGCTCGCAGTCTGGATACCATTCTAGTGACTCACTGGCCTGCTTCTACAATCGACAGTAGAATTACCCAGGCTCATGAAACAAATACTCCTACAAGCCTTATACTAAATCAACTGAACCACTTCTTCAACGCGGGGAACGGGATATAATAGATATGGGAGAACCTCTCACACCCGCTCGTGAAACCCGTTCAGCTCAGCTGGACAGAATGGCAGGCTTGTCTGTTCCACGCCGGTCTGGGCTGCAGCTATTTAGATTAACCGTTTAGACATGGATACACTGTATGTCTGTGAATGGTAACCTCTGGGAATGGTGTTAGGTCTGACTGGTGCATGGGTGGCTGGGTCTATACTGGTCCTATATCAAATCTATCGATTCAATTCTACCAAATTGGTGGCTCTGGCATGAAACAGCCGTAGTCGCAGTAACGGAGTTGTAAAGAGTAATCCTATATATAGACGAAACCAACCCAACAGTGAATGGGGGTAAAATGTTGGTTGGAAGTGGCTGAGGGGATTGCCCGTCTTGATATTGTTCATCTCCATTGTTTGTCTTGGAGAGTGACGACAAACAACCGGGATCCAGGGTGGCAGCTCCACAGAGGCCAGTCTACGGGGTCATTGTCTACGACAGACGTTGCCATTATGATTGTTACACTCGTACTCTTTCAAAGCCTCGCTATTGTCTGTTTCGGGCGTTGCACTGCAGCGGCGCTTTTGTCAGGGTCACTCGAGTTAGGGTTCGAGGCCATCCTGCTGCAACCTTGTACTTCTACGTCTTCATCTCTCTCTGGACGACACTCTTCGAACTACTCTCTTGCTGATATTCTCACCAGATACAAGATACTCGGATTGAATAGCACAACCAACAGAGAACTACAGAGCGACAGAAAGACAAAGGCGCGAAGATGTCCTTCGACCCCTTCAACCAAGCCTTCACCATATACACCACAGACGGTATCCCCATCAACATCACCGTCCCCATGGTGGACGAGTATGCGCAATACGCCATCCGCATCAGCATCAACTACGGCGCGCAGCTGGGCGCTTCGCTCGTCCTCTTCCTCATCCTCCTGCTCCTCACCAGACCAGAGAAACGCACCTCCAGCGTCTTCATCCTCAATGCCGCCGCCCTCCTCCTCAACGCCGGCCGGCTCCTCTGCCAATCTGTCTTCTTCACCACGCCCTTCGCCCACTTCTACCCCTACTTCGCAGGCGACTTCTCGCGCGTCCCGACCTCCGCCTACGCAGAGTCCATCCTCGGCGTCGTGCTCGCCACCCTGCTGCTCATCTGCGTCGAAACCTCCCTCGTCCTGCAGACCCAGGTCGTCTGCGCCACCATCCGTCGCAGATATCGCCATCTGCTCCTGGCTGTATCTATTGCCGTGGCGCTCACCCCCGTCGGGTTCCGATTCGGCTTCATGGTCGAAAACTGCAAGGCGATTGTCGACGCATCCACCGCCCACCACGTCCAGTGGCTGGAAAGCACGACCAACATCGTCACCACCGTCAGCATCTGCTTCTTCTGCAGCGTGTTCATCGGCAAGCTGGGCGTCGCCATCCGCATGCGCAAGTCACTCGGCGTGCGTGAGTTTGGCCCTATGAAAGCTATCTTCGTCATGGGGTGTCAGACGCTCGTTATCCCAGGTTTGTCTCCTCCTTGTGTTGTCCTTCTTCCCCAATCCTGCCCCCATAAACCCGACCAGCCCATGCTGATATAAAGAAAAACAGCCCTCTTCTCCATCCTCCAATACTTCGTCGGCGTCCCCGAACTAGCCTCCAACGTCCTCACGCTCGTCACCCTCTCCCTCCCCCTCTCCTCCATCTGGGCCGGCGTAACCCTAGACTACCACCGCTCCTCAACCGACAGCAACTCCTCGCGCCGCAACCTCTGGAACCTCCTCTCAATCTCCCCCAACGCGACAGCATCAAGGTCCCACGCCGCGCAGTCCAAGCAGGACATATCGCTTTCGTCGTCGTTCACGGCCTCCACAGCCGCGACGGCCGCCTCGAAGCAGAATACGACGTGCTATGCGGGGCAGTATGAGGATTTTCCTTCGGGGCGGGCGGGCGAGGATCCTGTTGGGTATGGGATTTCTGTTGCGCGGGATATTTCGGTGGAGGAGAGTTATCGGGGGGGGAGGGCTGGGGCTGCTGGGGTGTAACTTTTCTCTCTCGTTTCTTTTTTCTTTTTCTGTTTTGTTTTCTTTCCTTTTGATTTTTCTTTTTTTTTTTATGTGTCCTTTCTTCTTTCTTAGGCGGGATTTATTTTCGTTTTTGTGTGGTGCTTTCGAAGAGTCAACTGCGTACCCCCCTCCTCGTCCCTGCCCGCGTAATACACGATCAGGCCGACAGACATAACAGCAGCGCAAGAACGACCTCAGCCACACCTGCCCTTTTTTCTTGTCCATTCTTCTGATCAGCTTGACTGCTCTCTCACAGGCAGATCCATTCTTTCCCTATTATGGCGCTTTGTATTGCGATGCTGATACCATGCTCCTTCTTGTAAACTCTGTTTTTTTCGTCTTTCGTTCTTCGTTTAGTTATACCCGCGCCTTCCTAGTAACGAATTAGCAGTAGCCAGGCATCCTTGCCAATTTCAATAAATAAGAGAACAATAATAAATAGTAAAAAAAAGGAGAAGAATTTCCAATGCATCCATTATTGCTATTAAACAGCCAGTCTATCACACAACCTTAACTCAACTCAAGTCTCCCTCCCCAATTTCGCCAGCGACTCCATCAGGAAGTCGTGCGCGTTCATCACATCCGTACTACCGTACACCACCCGTCGTCGAGGGCCCAGCGACGCCGCGGCGCGACCGCCTTGTGCGGCGCTGCCCTCGCCTGCCGATCCGTCCGTTTGACGCGCCCAGTCTTGCAGATTCCCATACTCGTCCATACTGCCGCCGCCGACGGTGAAGACGATCGCCTCGTTGAAGGCCTGGCGGCGCTGGCCGAAGCTGGCGGTTTGGCCCGGGCTGGGCCCGCCGAGGGGGTTGGTGGGCTGGGTGTTGCGCGAGGCGGACGCCGCGGGGATGGCGCCGCGGGCGTTGGCGGAGCGGGGGTCGAAGTAGAGGTAGTTTTCGGTTTTGGCGATGGCGGAGCTGGACGCGGACTGGGGGTCCATGATGGATTCGGTGATTTTGGTCAGCGTGAGGTCTTTGTTGACGGGGAGGAAGTTCTTCACGCCCGAGATGAGCGAGTCGAAGTTGGCGCCTAGGGCGCCTGAGGTGATGCGGTCTGTGAGGCGGTTGGAGAGCGAGGAGAAGCCGCGGAAGAGGTCTGATGACTGGGACTGCTGCCCCTGTTGCGGCGTGGCGGTTGTCATCATTGTCATCCGGGTGAGTTCGCGCACCTGGCGCACGTATGCGAGGGCGCTGACGTCTTCGACGCCTGCGCGGGCTAGGGCCTCTTCGAACTGTGTCATGTCCGCGCGCGACACCTCGGTTTCCGTGCTCAGGAACCAGATGATGAAGAGGCGCAGCTTGTCGATGGGGTCGTTGCCCTTGGTGGTGTCGTTGACTAGCTCCATGATCTGCGCCTTGGTCTGCTTGGTGATGTTTTCCTCTAGCTCGAAGAAGTTGTCCAGCTGGCGGTCCTTGATGCCCTTGAGGAGGGCTGTGGCGATGTTCATGTGCATGTCCAGGATCGCCTTGCGTTCCCGCAGTTCCGGGAGGAGGGTGATCGCCGCTTTGAGGTGTTGTGCCGATGCGCTGGTGTCGTTTTGGAGGTCCTCGATCGACGAAGCGCCGGTCTTTCTAGTCACCTCGGTGGCGTCTTCCTTGTATCGCGTCAGTTCCGCATCGATCTCTTCGGCCACCTGGGGGAACGGCGCGCCCGCGTTGCGCTTCCAGAAGAAATCGCTGGCGTTGAGGTCGTATGACTTCTTGGTGACGCCCTTGGCGGGGTTGGTGTCATCCACCGGGGTCTCCAGCGTGATGCGATTCAGACGCATCTGGAGGACATCTTGCACCAGCGACTGGTAAGTCCACGAGTGGGACAGCATCGGGACGAGGTCCACATTGCGATCCACGATGATGAGGACGGGTCGCGCGGCGGGGACACCCGAAGCGTCTTTCTTGTTGGTCGAGAACAGGTTGTCTTTGGAGTTGAGGATGTGGTCTCTGAGTTTGCGATCCAATTTGGTGGCGATCAGCTCTGCGGCTCCACCTTTGGGACAGCGGATGATGGGGATTGCACCTGTGGTTGTTAATAGGGGAAGACCAGAAAAAAAAAAGGACGAAGGGAAAAAAGCATACCCATGGTGACGCTGACGCTGAACAGTCCGCTCACGATCCTGTCGACGATGGCATCCAGATCCTCATCGCTGGTCTGAGCGCTATTGATCTTCCAGTACGCATCCTTGCCTAGACCCAGACTGAACAGGTCGGGTTCGGCGACAATGAAGTTCAAGTACTGATCATAAACCTGCGCGATGTGTTGCGACGCTCCCGACGTGGCGACCTGCGAGGCAAAATCTTCCAGGAGCGGGCGTGGCACGGACGAGAGGAAGTTGACATAGGCGGGGGAGTAGA